GGTACGTTCTTCTTTTAGCCTCTTCACAGCTACTAGAGAGCCATCGGCTAAACGTCCTTTGTACACTTTACCAAAACCACCTCTACCCAACACATTTTTGGTGCTAAAGTTATCTGTAGCAACTAATAGTTCACCCAAGGAGAACCTTCTGGGTTGTCCTAAGTGAATCTCTGGGTCTTCTTCAGCTGCAAAATATGGAAAAATCAGCGAAAGAAGCTTCAATGCAAAAAAATATAAAGATAGTTGACTAACCAGGTACATCGAAAAAGTGGTCTTGTCGTCTTGTCAGCCACCAAGCAAGCGCAATGGCTGGAACAGCAAATAGAACCGCTGCACCTGCAGCGACTCCCCCTGCTATTGCTGCAGTCATTGGTCTTCCTGAGAGTATGAGATAAACACAGTTTTCATAACACAGGAACTCAGTAGCAATTGATGAACCATTGGTACTAGGAAAATGATGATTCATTAACCAAGTGGGATCTGTGAGGAAATGTAACAGAGCTAATACATAGCAATCTAGCAAGTTAACACTTTTAACTCTTTATCAGCAATGTTCAACACCAATCAATCGAAAGTGATACCAATCCTAGTAAAGAAATTATTTTCTAATTAGTAGGTAGTCAATCCTAGTAAAGACATGCCAAATATATAACAAAAATTCTTATTTAAAGAATAATAACCACGAAATAGTCAACCAAACATATACAAACTAAATGCCTTTTAACAATTTTCAGATTCTCTTCCAATGTACGACCATAAATAAAATAAAAAAGTTTACTGGTTTTATGTCATATCACTGGATATAACCTTCGAAAAAGTATCTTTCTGAACGGTAATCATAAACGTGTGAGTGCATAAAGGTGAAAATGCCATGCTTAACGAGGACTAAATATATGAATGTAGGAAGAAATTAGACACTGAATAATGTAAAAGAACTATCAAGAAACACACAGAAGATAATGGAACGTACAAAATGAAGACCTGAAGGTGATAGTGGCGTAGTAGAAGAGATAGGAGCAGGCGGAAATTCAGGAACTATATTATTATTATTGTTGTCAAAACTGCAGATAATTTTCAGACGAATAGTAACCCATTGTGAGTTTGTGAGCAATCCATCTAAGATCAAAGTCACACTCGGTACAAGAAGAAAAACCTTGTAGGAGTGAACAGCGAGAAGGAACCATTAACAGGAACATCTCCAGTGAGCTGATTGTTTGAGAGATCCCTGCATTTCAGGATGATATCGTTTTTTTCATAACTCAAGATGGCACAGCCAATATTTAAAAATGAACAGAATAATTCAGGCGAGACAAAGTTCTTACAGTACTTGCAGCGACGACACAGCAGTCAAAGACATTGGAATTTCTCCAGATAAGTTGTTGTTATTAAGATGCCTAAGCACATATAGTAGATTACCATGTCATCAATTCTAAACAGTAAAGAGTCCAAAATGACAAACACCCAACAAGTATGATTTATCTTAACAAAACATATTGAAGAACAGAAATAGTGCCGTTTTGAAAACTGTTAGAGCAATTACTGACAGACTCTACTTTCTTGGTAAAATTTCCAAGCACGTAGACGCAATAGTTTTCTAGGAAAGAAATACAAGCAAATTCTGAAACTGTAAACAAGGATGAAGAAGATAATGGGTACATACAAGAACCGGAGTTTCTGTAGTTTGCCAAGCGATGAAGGGATTGGACCGCTTATGTTGTTGAAGGAAAGATCTAAGCTCAACAGTTCCCTCAAGTTTCCAAGCTCCTCAGGTATTGCTCCAATAATGTTATTGCTAAAAACCTCCCTGTCATTATTATATTTTTCATAAGAGGATTCTTAGATTGGAGATCTCTAAAACTACTTTTACCAGAAATCCATGTTACATCATACCAAGTGACTTTGAACACTAGAATAACACTATAGAGCTTAGATTTTGTAAAAGTGGAAACTATATTTTTGTAAGAAATTCACATTGGAGAGTATTTCTCAGCAGGAACAAAAATATGTAGAGTTGATACCATCACTAGAGAGATACCAGAACCAAACTCCGCAGTTACTCATCTAAATGAGATAAGCAGAGCATTCGACATATAGAGAGCTTGAAAATATCTTTCATATAGTCGGCTATAGGTCTACATCAATTGAAAATCAAAAATGAGATCATGTAGGGTTCCAGTAACAAGACTCGAAATGCCTAGCAAACGGTATCTAAAATAGCATTATATAAAGATTGCCTACAATATCAACTGATTGACCTGTTTAGCTTAATATGCATCAACCACAGGAGGGCACAAATCTATCCAGAGCTCTCTACTGAAAGCAAATGTACAATTGAAAAGTTCTCCAAACGGAAATTGTGTCAAGATTTAGCAGATCAATGAAGATAGCTAATAGCTTATTGTCACAGTCGCTTTGAAACAAGCAAAATGAAGCATATGCATAATAAACATTCAAATCCTCCCTAAACACAGAAGTAGAACGTACAAAAACTCAAATGAAAAAAAACAAATACAAAAATCTTTGTGAAAGTCATTGACTTGACTTGTCAAAGAGATGGCTTACAAGTACTGCAAGTTTGGAAGCTGACCAAGCTGTGGTACAAGTTGTCCAGATAGATTTGCATTCCCAAGAGCGTTGAGCAAAACATCAAGCAGTAAGAAGATTTCCCAAAAGACTTCAATCATTTATTTGAAAACCATCAGAGAGAGAGTCAGAGAGAAAAACAGAAACTTACACTCGAATAACTCTGTTCTCATTATTGCAAGTAACATGAAACCATGTACATGGAGTAGCAAGAGTTGAATCCCAGTTTTGAAGTACATTATTAGGATCAGCAAATAAACTCTTTCTCAGTTCAGTCAAAGCATCACCTTTACCATACAAGACACAAAATTCAAAAACGTTGCACTAATAATCATATCTAGCCAACAAAGAGATAAGCAAAAGAAGAAAAAAAAGAACCTTCCAAGTTTCCGGCGACTCTGAGAAGCAAATTGAAACGTAAAATCAGCCAAATAAAGCTACGGGCTGGTCCTTTTTCCATTTTTTCTCACTTCTTAGACAAACCAGTTAGAGGAAGAGGATTCGAAACCATTGATTAAGAAAAATGGTTTTTTTCTTCTACGCGTAGTCGGCGTTTGACCAAATATGAAAAAAACCTAAAATCGATTCGCGACGAGAGATCAAAATTCGGAGATTTCCGAATGCTAATCGTGGACCCCATTTTTATCCAAAGGAAAGGAGCAAAATTGGGCTCAAAGGTTATCAAAGACGATGACTTTTCCTCTTGAGGAGAAGACTGAAGACTGATGGCGAGAGCCGAGAATCATCTCTGGTTTAAAACATAAGGGGTCGATTAGTAAGAAACTAAATAATAGCATGGCTGATTATAAATTTTTAAAACTTTCGTATTTTGTGTTTATTACTAATCAGTCCCTTTTGTTTATCATAGTAACAATCTCCCACTTCACCACTTCCCACCTCTATCTCTCTCTCTCATGATGACAATGGGCGATTCCAATTTCCGACCACCGTAAACCTACATATTCCGGCACTGGACCACCGTTAACCGAAATTACACACGCATGAAATGTTTTTAACAAATGCCAATTGTACGCCTTTACCCGAACGAAATGTGTTTTGGTACTCATTCAAAGAAAAAAAGAGTCAATGAAATGAAACAAAGTCATCACGTTATACATATAAATCACCGTTCACGAATATCTATCTCACTAGACTTTTCAAAACTTTGAATTGTATCCTTACGTCATTAGACAGCCAAGCCATCACCAATTATGATTAGATGGCTTTCGTTACTACTTACTAGTAGTTCTTAAAATCATCATTCCAAATCGTCTAGAATGCAATCTTCTACATTAACAGATCGGTTTAACACAACGGAAGTTTCATTAATCGTCTTACAACCTCATTTGCTGAGCTTTGTTTGTATATAGCTTACCTAATATTATCAAAATCGTCTCTATTAGCTGTTCACGTTAATTAAGCCATACGCATTCGTCACTAAACTTAACCTTTTACAAAAACAAACAAATGAACAAAAAAAAATGAGGTTGGAATCTTATTCCATAATCTGATGTCTGCTCCTAATTGCTCTTTTTTCCGTTTATACTTTATACAAAGCTATGAGCCAAAGGGCTTAATTAATTTGCGTCTTCGTTAACATCATCCGAATTATTATTTTCTTGTAGTTGTAATACTGACACTAATGCTATATTTCAAATTGGTCAAAAAATAGCCAAGTTCTATTAATCTATTATCATCACCCTTTTTACTTCAAGCCAAAACATCGTTTTCCACTAAATGTCCATTATTTATTTATTCAAGACTTTATAATCCTAGGTGTACATTATACTTATCCAAATACATAGGTTTTTCTATATAATCGTACAAATTTTACATACTTCAAATCCATAGCCAAATTTTTGAAGTTTAAATTGTTACTCGTAAATTAATATGACAAATTATATTTTGCAATTGCAACTACGATGGATCGTCTTTGGAGTATGGTCATAATTCGAATTCCCCTAGAGTTCCATTCCGGTAATTATTTGCGACTTCTTCATTTCGTCCTACTTGATTCAATGATTTACCTGAAATAGATTTGCGGAAAACGTTTTTGCTCATAGTGTATACTTTTTAAACTAGATTTTGATCCTCTTTTCTTTGTTTACTATCAACGAACAATTTTATATTGTAAACTTTTAAACTAGTCTCATTATAATATCGAAACAAATGGATCTAGAACATAGAGTTAAGGGCTCATTATTCCTTATTATTATTACAATAAAGTTTCAAGTGTTTTTTAATATTCCTTACAGAAAAAAAAAACTCAATTACTATTTAGCTGAAATTGACATCATACTTAGACTGCAGATTAGGAAGATACAGTCCCCAAAACTTCTCAAACTCAGGCTCCTTCATGTTCTCATCAAACATAGCGAATATGTAAGTCTCTATGGCTTTCCCTGGCTTTCTCGGAGTTCCGCTCTTCACATGTTGTATCAAATTGTTAACATATGTCTTAGCATTCACCACACTCGTCCCTGGTCCACCTGCGGTCGGCCAACCACTCTCCGACACAACAATTTCCAACGATCCGCCTCCGGATTTCTCCAACGCCACGTAAACCGAATCGAGATTGGCGTCGAAGAGGTTATTGTAAGCGTATTGGCCGTCAGTGAATTCAGTGGTTTGTTTGGTGAACAGAGAGTAGTCTAAATGGATGCTGTTCATGTCATCCTTGTAGCCGAAGTAAGAGTACATGTTCAGGAGCAAAGGCGATTGCTTGCTAACCAAGAAATCTATCACCGGTTGGAGAAAGGTCTTATACTCATCCGTGAATCTCCCAAGCGACGGTGGAAACGTTTCCGTGACGGCTCCCATGAATATAGCAGTCGAGACCTTGATCCCGAGGCCTGCGTCAGAAACGGCTTTCTCGATGTTCTGCATGGCCTGGAAGAGAGACCTCCCAGCTGGCTCCGAGGGTGTCACCTCGTTTCCGACAGTGATGTACCTGAACCTGACACCGTCATAGTTCTTGACGTTGTCGCGGACCCACGTGTCGGCCTCCATTTGGTTAGAGGCGATACGTTCGAGATCGGATTTGGGAACGTCGAGGATGAGCTCGATGTTGGAGCCGCGGAGAGCGTTGAGAGTCTCTGGGTTGGGGTCGTAAATGCGCATCCGCTGGATGTTCAGCTGCTTGTAAAGAGCCACAACGTCCGGTGGATTTGGCCGGGGATCGCCTCGCATCCCGTAGCATACTCCGATTTGTCCAGCTGACCATTAGTATTGAAATTGAATCAAATTATGTGGATTAGTATAATAAAACCAATAGAGTCATAAAACATAAGTAATGAATATGTTACAAAATATTAAAACACTATTGAACCTGTAGTGTGGAATAAGGAAGCTATTACAAGACCGAGAGGAATCAGCAACAAGATCCTTGATTCAGACATTTTCATGATATGTTAAAGATTTTGTGAAGATATGGATACTTTTTTTTTATTTATGTTTAAGTCGTACAGTTTTGCGCCTAATTTATAGAGCGAGTCTGGGGTTCAAGTCAGTCAATGGATGAATTACCGACAATCACAACATACTTCTAAGTTCTAACACACACATAGTCCACAAAATTAGGTTTGAAAAGTCTACGAATACGAGATTTCTTATACACAAGTATGGACAAACTAGCTAAAGACTGAAGTGTTAAATGGGATGCATCGCCCAAAACGAATTTGTATTGGGTTTTGAAACATTCTGATTTAAATGGTTGTTTTGATTCAGGCTGTGTATTATAAACTATTACTAATGTATTTTCTCTCTGTTTTGTTATAACATTGTTTCAATGCAAAGTTAAATTTTATTGTTCTGTTACCAATTGTATATTGGAGCCTTTTATCACTGGTTGAATAGTTTTTAGTTAGACAAGAATTAATTTTTTTTTCTGTAGAAGAAAACAAGATATCAGATCACCCGCTAGCCAACGTCAATTATGGTTGGATCATACTCCCTCTGTCTAAAAACTTGATGTTTTAGATTTTTCACACATATTAAGAAGTAATTAATGTTAGTTAAAAGTGCATCATTTTCTCTCTCATTAGTTACTTTTTATAAATATGAACCAATAGAATTAAAAAGTATTTATGGAATTCATAAATAAATAACATTTATCAATAAAAAATATTTTAAAAAGCTAAAAAATCAAGTTTTGTGGAACAAAGAAATTTTCTAAAACATTAAGTTTTCTGAAACAAAGGGAGTAGATGATTCTTGGAACAGTCAATGGCACCTTAAAACACGTTGGACACTAAAGTCTACATTCTGTAGTTTCTATCCCTGAAACACTAAGAAGAAAAGTAAAAGTACCACATTCCAAATGGTAATTTAGGTGAACATTCTAAGATTTTACCCGTTAGTTTTTCTAATTATAATAATAAGTTTTCAATCATAATTTTAGTGACGGGTTTCATAAGTTTCTAGTTCATTGTTGTGGCAAAAACTACACTAGTCAAAACTTGTAAATAAGAATAATTTAGAGGAGATGTGTTGTTGTTTTTTCATGATAACAAATAAATGAATGGGTATCGAGCAATTCTTAAAATATGAGGCTCAAAGAACACGTCAAGATGAAATTAGCAAGAACAAAGAACAAGAGTGAGGATAAATTGTTTTTACTATTGACGTCTAAGAGTGCTTATAAAAGCAAGAACATCGACAACAAGAGTGAGGATAAATTGTTTTTACTATTGACGTCTAAGAGTGAATTGCTCGATTAGGATTTGGTCCCTGACTCTCTGCTCCTCCTATTGGTTTACAGGCTACAGCTTTCAGCCGGATATAACGTCTCTATTTACTCTGCTTGACTTGGTAATAATTTACGTTTACTTCAGTAGATTTAGTTGTTTTTAATCAAAACATTGAACCATTCTTGTTTGAATAATTCTTCAGTCCACTCTCAAAGTCGACTATTAAATTATATGTTTGTCGTTTCTTTTCGGACTAGATGAGTTTGGATGCTTGACTTCGATTTGAATATTTTCACTTCAGTAAGAAAGCTAACCTCGTGTTGGCAACAAAAATACCTCTTAGAGAAATTTGGCAACAAAAATACTATAAATTTTAACTTTATTGCTAAGGTAATCATCTTATTTAGACCCTTGGATTTTACTGCACTTGGATGATATGATGACGAATAGTAAAAGCTCAGCTCAGCTCAGCATAAAAAGAAGGAAAAAAGGTAAAAAACAAGAAACAGAAATAGAAAGCCTACAGTAAAGAATCTCCACTTTACTTCACCACTTTACTTCACCACCTCACTTCTCTCTCTCTCTCTCATGATGAAAATGGGCGATTCCGAACACCGTAAACCTACATATCCCGGCACCGGACCTCTATCTCGACGGCGATCATGGTGCTGCTCTTTCGCCGTTCCTCCAGGGAGTCCTGATGCTCGTTCAATTTCATCTCGTAACCACATTCCAGCTAAGATGCATCATCAGCGTCAGAGGACCAAACCGAACAATGTTGATAAACCGGGCCCCAAATCGGTTCCTTGCTCACCGCAGAGCTCCAAATCGGCTTTAATAGGTCGAATCGACCCGCGTCGGATCTTATCTCCGGGTCGGGTTTCTCCCATCGATTCCGATCCCATCATCAACACATTGCAAGAGACCAATCACGAAGATGATGATGATGTCGCTGCAGCTGATTCGGTACCGAATCTGCATTCAGAGAGCTTCCGAGCACCGAAAATCGTGGCAAATTCGGGTTCGTGCTCGGTTCCGGTGAGTGGAATTGAGTGTTACGACGCTAGGTTGAGTCTGAAAGGGAGAAATGGTGGGGTTTTGGTGCTGGAGCTGAGCTCGGAGGTTTTAGCTGCGAATTCGGATGTTTTCTCGGCTATGATTGAAGAAAAGTCTTCATCTTTGGGGTTTAAGAAGACATGCAGGATTGAAGTTTCTGATGTGGAGAATCTCGGGGTTTTTAGGGAAACTGTAGAACTCATGTTCGAGGAGAGTAATGGCATTGTCAAGAAGTTCATGAAAATGGGTGTTTACAGAGCCATTGATGTACTCGAGGTTTGGAAAATTCTCTTCCTTTCTTCTTCCATTTCGCTCTTAAACATACAAGATGGGTTTGTTGTGATTACCATATTTGCTTTAGTTACTATAACTGGTAAAAACTCTGCCTTTTCGTCTCTGATTTCAGAGCTCACACATCGTTGGTTAAACCCTTGAGTTCTCAGATTGTTTATCAAAGCATAGATATGAAAGAAATCTAGAACTTGATTGGATGTATTTAGACTACATTGTTGACATTAGTATTTTGGAATTTTTCGCCTTGAAATATTGAGGCACTTATACTCTAGCTTTGAGCTTCATGATTCTAAGTTCCTTCTGCCATATCAGTGAACGTATTTTGTTCTTGTCTTTGAGTATGAACACTGTTGTGTGGAGCTTTGATCATTGTTCTGCTCTGTGTAAGATTGAGTTTCTTTTTCTTTACATAGATAAATCTTTGTGAGCGGTGGAGCTTACAAAGTTTTTTCGTAACCATAAACAGGTAGCGGCTGGGATCAAATTTTCGAGAGCTGTCTTGTCCTGTCTGAAATATCTTGAAGCTGTTCCTTGGACAGAGGACGAGGAGGAAAAACTGAGGAGAGTTCTTGCAATTTATAGCTTTGATAATGCTTCAACCAGCGAAATATTGGCAAGATTTGATTCAGACGAGACAGAGAGCTCACAAGACAGCTTATCGAAGAAGCTGGTTTGGTCAATAACATCATGCAGTGATGTAAATCCTAGAAACGAGCTAAGATCATTGGTGAAAGGTCTTCTTTGCAAGAGTTCAGTGTACGAGAAAGAACAGCCTGAGATCAATAAGGAAGACATATACAGAGCAGGCAAGTGCTGTGTGGATTCACTAGCTAAGCTGTTTGAAGAAGGCAACGAGAAAGGAAAGTCATTGATAGAATGTATATCGAGGGAAGTGGAGAACATAATCTGGCTGCTGGAAATCATGATAGATCGGGAAATAGCGGAGGAGTTTGTGGAGATATGGGGAAAGCAAAGAAAGTTAGTGGAAATGCACGAGAAGGCGTCACCAATGGTGAGGTATGAATTAAGCAGAGTAACAGGTGTAATGTTCATAGCAATGGGGAAAAGGAAAGTGCAATGCGGAGGAGAAGCAAGAGCGGGGCTAGTAGAAGCGTGGTTTAGGCCAATGTTGGTAGATTTCGGGTGGCTACAAAGATGCAAGAAAGGACTTGACATGAGAGAAGTAGAGGAAGGTATGGGACAAACGCTGTTAACACTGCCGTTAAAGCAGCAGTATCAAGTGTTCATGGAATGGTTTAAGTGGTTCTCCAAGCATGGGAGTGAATGTCCTAATCTCAGCAAGGCGTTTCAGATTTGGTGGCGTAGGTCGTTTCTTAGAGGTGTAGAATCTTCCACTTGTAGGTGAAAACAAAATGTTGTTAGTGTAAGAGACAATTTTAGGTGTTAGCTGTTTTATAACTCTCTCTTATTGATTCCTCTCTTTGTATCTTTCCACGCTATGTATTGTCTCGGATTTTGTTGGAGCTAGTTTAGTAGTCTATCAGTATGTGTTTCTCAATTCTCACAAGACAGTTTGTTTTACGTGAATCTGAACATTTACTTTAAAAAGAAGAAGGGGACAGACAGTTTTGTTTTTGTGAAGAGGATACAACAAACACACAAACAAAAGAGATTTAAGAGGAAGAAGCATCAATGTAAGAACTAAGAACAATCAGAGAACTGTTTCAAAGAAGAGAAGGTAGTACTAGTAGTGAAGTGTCATTTCTGTTTCTTACCACCAGAAAGAATACGCTGAATCTGAAGTCCACGACTGAAGGCTTGGTTAAACAGAAGTCGAGTCTGAAACTCGGAGACGAACGGGAACCAGGCGAGAATCGTGACTGGCATGAAGATGACGACTCCCATTATGTACTCATAGCCACGAGCCAAAGCCTTAACCGATCCCCACATTCCCACCGCTTTCATCAACTGTCTCCCGACTTGCGAAATCTGAAGCAAAGCCCATCCCGTTGGGAGAAACGCTAAGAGACTTTGCATTATATCTCCAACCGTGAGTTTCAAGAAGTGGAATAACATTCCAACGATCACCACCGATCCGATGAAGAGGAAAAGCTTCAGTAATCTGAACATGAGTTGGAAATCTGCGCTGAACTTCTTTCTCCCCATTGAAACTATCTTCAGTATGATCATCACTGCCACTATAACGAGCCAAGAGAGTCCGTAAACTATAATGCTCTGTTGTTTCCCGAGTCTGCTTTCCTTGGTTAAGTTCAAGTGGTAGACAATGCCGTACTGATAGATGAAGTAACGGAAGGAGAGGAAGATTTCCCAGAATTTTCCGAAAAAGCCAGAGTGAAGCAAATGTTCTTGTTCTTCTTCCCACCAAGATTCCCAGCTTTTGTTTGCTGGCACTCCGATACCTCCTCTGCTGCTTATCCATTTGTTCCAATCATCCCAGTCATCGACAACTTTCTGCCATTCGAATCCCGAGGGGTTGAAAAGGAACGGTGAGAATAACCAGGAACCAACGAGGAACCAAGTTGATCCCATGACAAGAGCGTAAGCCACTGAGTCCTCTGTTGCTTTCCCATATATTCTGTAACATATTAGCAGTACCATTAGCTCCAATCCTTTCACAAAGTGGCTTCTTGAGTACATTCTGTAATTCTCTCCGAACTTCTCGTGCTTCACCACAAACCCACGACCTGTTGCCCTGTACTTTGCTCCTCCGTGTAGTATGGTTCGTCCATAGTAATGAACCTTTGTTCCAAGTGAGAAGGTAAAGAAGACAGGCGCTAACTGAAGCTGCATTATGAGTAAATCGCTAAACGCAGTCCTGAATCCTCTCTCTAGACCAATCTCCATTAGCATTGGTAGTGTCATCAACAGACCTAGCTGCACTACGGACTGTGAAGCCATCGCTGCCTTGAGTGAACTATCTCCTTTAGCCGCTGCATACTTTACTATTGCCTCTTCCACTCCACTCAATGACAGATAAAGTCTTCCATACAAGAATGCATAAACTGTGAGGACAACAATCTGTAATACAAAGAATAATAACTCAATATGTTAAGCAAATTATGAGTCAATGGTAAAGTAAACTCAGTATGACTATCTGAAAGACCAGAAGTTACCATGGAGCTGATGTAGAAGCCTATTGTTGTGAAGTAACATGACATCATACGGAAGAAATCGAAACGATGCCCAAGTCTGTAGAGATCTCTACTCAATGTTTGCTCACCGTTACCACAAGCAACTTTGGCTTCAAAGAGGGATATCTGGTTCAAACCAACATCTCTTCCTTTTCCTACTTGGATGTACTCATGATGAGTGATATTACCACGCCTTAGAGTTGAGTTGAAACCTATATACATAAAATTGAACCAGTCATAAGTGAATCATGAAGGAAACATATAAACTATTTAGTAAGGTCCAGAGCCTAACCAGCAAAGATATCCTCGCTAAGATTTATTCCGCGTGATGCTTTACTGATACCACCCCGAGTGATGTGGAAGATTCTATCAAAGACATCAGGGTGACCATAGTGAAACCGGACCCTGAAATCAGAAATCAGAAGTCATAAGCTTCATATTTTGTATCAAGCAATATTGTGTAGAATGAAAGAAGGAAGATCATGACATACTTCAGAGGACTTGCAAGGACTCGCTGACCAATGGTAACAAAACTTGTTTCTTGATTCGACATAAACCAGGCTAAAGAAGAAACACTGTAGCGAAACACAAATTTATATCAGCTACCAAAAAGAAGAACTCTCTACTCAAAAAAGCAAAAAATAGCCAAATTTCCCAAATACCTGCCAGTGAAGATATGTTCTCTGAAACCAAGAATAGTTGGTGCACGTACTCCATGGTCTTCATTGAACTCTTCGAGCAGGTTCCTCATTTTCAGTGCTTCTTCCAAGTAATGGTCCTATTCATTAGATACTATGGTAAGTAAAATTCTTCCAACAGAGAATAGTGCAGTATGTTTTTGTTGGGAAAACAAAATAGGTACCTGATTCATGTCAATGGCCTGGAGAGCTTCTCCTCTTGTAAAAATGAGTGCATGATTCTGGTTTTCGGGCTTTCCTTCTCCTATTTTTGCTGGACCAGGCAGTTTTATTCGATATATTTCCTTTGAAAAAGAACAGATACAAATTTTAAAATCAGGGATCTCGAATAGGACACAGTTTTTAGCTACTCTGTTAAGATTTCAAATAGTAAAAATTACCTGATCAAGATTATCAACAGCCTTGATAAGCACCGAGTAGAACACTTTCTGCACTTTTCCTCCTTCTCTTTCCTCAACCTCATCAATATATGCTACACGGAGAGAGGGGTTGCTGCAGCATTGGATATGAAAAATGAGCCTTAACAGGGCAACCATTACAGGAAGGAAGAATTTCAAATTTCTGGAAACTATTCACCAGCAAGGATGAAGAAGGGACTTACTTAACCATTAGATTTAGGATATCAGTAGCTCTGCGGTCTCCACTTCGCTTCTGATTTCCATAGTTCTGACAGGTAGCAACGTAAGTAAACTTGAGATCTGCTACTGCCTCTAATTGAGCATACAAAGATCTCTGACTTTTCTTGTCTTCCTCAGTTGGCTCTGAAATGGCTTTGTACCCTGCTAATATTTCTGTAAACACAAGAAATGTTGTAAGTACTTAACTCATTCATTGACATTGCTTCAGTAATTTGGTTGTACAACGTAAGAATGACAAGATACAGTCAATTGACAACACTTTCACGTTTCACCTATATAAGTAATCATGCCTCACCTTGTTCAGTAGCCATGTCAAGGAAAGCCTGAAGCTTCAGTGCTCGCCTGTAATACATCATTCCTCTAACTGCAGGATAAAAAACTCTGTAAGCAACAAAAACCAATGTAGAAAAATATATGTAGGGATCGATGGTATAACTTACCTGTTCTAAACAAAGTCTGTCCCCTCAAAGAAACCCAATGGCGAAGCTGCAATATATTTTCTTCACCCTCCAAAACAGCACTTTCATTTTTACAACCAAGCCGCTCCAAGAAGTTAGTCCACTCATCTGAAATGGTAGACCATACATATATATATCAGTTACCGTAAGCATTGAGAAGTAACTACATCCGACAGTAAAAGCTTATCAATAAGACATACCTGGGAAGATCTTCTGCAAGTAGTAAACAACCGATATACCATCTTCATTCTCCATTTCCAGGTCGTTCTTAGAATAGACAGTCTCTTCACTATAGTACGGAGTCAGAACACTGTAAATGAAAAAAGGAAACACTTAAGGTCACTGATAAGGAAGAGCTCCTCTCTCCAGTAGAAATTCGTAAAAGTTCCATATGGTGTCATCCGAGAAGCATAGATTCTGTTAGAGATGGTGATAAACAGAGCACATACCTGAAGGAGAGCATATTTCTGACACGAGGAGCTCGGGGCATATCCATGAACAGTGAATTTGTGAAGAAGGTAATCCTTCTTCGTGCTTCAAGGTTTGTCGGAACATCCATAGCAGACTCTTTTACCGTCAAAAGTAAATGGAGTCTACTTATCTACAACAATGAATTAATCATAATGTTGTCATTAGTCTGAAGAATGCAGAGTACCCCTAAGGATAAAGCTTATATCATGTTTTTTGAGCTTTTACCTGTTCATCCCATTGAGCTGTTGCCACTGGAGGAAATAGTATAGCAGGTTTTGCGTCAATACCAGCAAAAAGTTGCCTTCCGGATTCCTTGTTGGTATGCCCAAGTTCTACCAATTCGCTGGAAAAAGGTGCTACCAATGTTCACTCTTATGTGTGGATACTATATACATGTGCACTAAAGAAACTTTCCAATTCGCTATCTAAAGATATAAAGTCTACTAACCGGTTTTCATTTTGCATCATATCTCGAGTCACTACTTCCAACATATCTTGCAACAACAGCACCACTGTGTCTCTTTTGGATGGGTCCGCATCTTTCTGCAGCATTATAAGTTATACATAATTATTTAGTTTCTCAGATGACATTTTTAGTTTACAAGTATTATCACTTCCATCACAACTGATCTTTAATGGATGTGATTCACTTACCAAGATTCCGACAAGCTCGACGAATTTACTGCAAAGAGCAGGTAAAGGAGCCATTTTGAAATTCGCAAGGAAGGTATTCTTTGATATGTTGCTCTCCACCTCTTTGATGATGATACCAATAATCCTGTGGTTTTATATATCTTGTTAGCATCTTTCAAATGAATTTAAAACTCAAAGAGGGGACTAAAATTTCAGGTTGAAGCATATATATCTGTTAAAGGCTAAAGAAACTACTTAGAGGAATGTTGAAGCACATATATATGCTAAAGGTTTAGGAGAAAAAATATATCTAAACTACATCAGCTAATAATGAGAAATGGCAGAGAACAAAGTATAATCAGAACTAATTAAGAGCCATTAGCTTCAGTGGAAGATAAATGATGGAGTGCCAGTATCCTTTAGGATTCTAATAAATTTTGATAAAGAAGAACTTATCTGATGAATGAGAAAATACCTTTTCTCATTCTCCCCAATTACCAAGGTGTGCAAGACATGTTTGAAAGATTCGTAGCATTCAATGACAGCACACTTCATGTACTCGTCTGCGCATATGCGTTTCCAGAGGTCAGAATCTCTTGTTCGAAATTGAGCTGCCATATCCAATGCTATCGGTATCTATAACATGAAGAGAGCTTTAGCAATAAGGGAAAAAACGATATATGTGATGGTAAAAGAAGATCACAAACCTTGCTTGCAAGCAAAAATGGTGGCCACTGAATTAGTTTTAAACTAGGATCTGAAGTATAAGGTACAAGCAACAGATCCATCTCCCTGCAAAAACACTTGTTGCTAAGACACGGAAACTTCGTAATTCATAAAGAAGGCAGTATAATACCGAAGTTATTACCTGTCACTGATGAGATCTTCCTCACGGAAGCAGCAAATGATTTCATTCCAGAGTTGGGAAAATTTTGCGGCTTCAGTTCTTCTTGCTGCTGTGACCTGCATACAGATATAATTTAGTAGATATATGGCAACATTCTCACAAAAATCAGTTTGTAGATACAAACAAACATAAATCTTGTTTAACCTCTGCAAATCTTTTCGACAAGGAAAATCCTCTTCTCCTTGTTTTATCAGAAGGAACCAGGAACGTGTTAAATGCACCAGGTAATGATTGGAACCTTGACCTTAGCATTCCAAGTGTTCGTATCTGGAGGAAGAAGAATACAGAGTTTATGTGTTAACAATATTGTCATGCAGGACGACCTTAATTTCTTCGTAGTAACACAACAAGGGTAAAAGAAGTTTGTGGAATGGATCCAGAAAGCTTACCTCTCCCAAACGATCAAAGGCCCCAATGACACCACCGCAGATAGTGGAGAAAATAGCATACCAAATTTGTGTGTCCATAAAGTAAACCTGAAGCAAAACTTAGGAGCATGAGACATCCATGGACTTGCTGAATAATTCATTAATATTTTTGGTTGATAAAAGTATACCAGAATCACTGGTAACCAGAGTGACACTACTGCTCCATAGTTGTTCTCAGCTGCATGGAGTGTTCAAACATTTAGCTTACACCAGATACTAAAATCAAAATCGAAAAGTATATTTCCAAGCGAAGAGCTTTAAGTAGTAAGATTACCATTGGGGAAAAACTCATGCCATTGATACTTCACATGGCGAATGCTCATAATTGCGTTAGTTGGCTTCACCAAAAGTTTCACCTGTAAGAAGGCATAAGGGAGAAGTATTGAAGTTTAGTGCTATTGTTATAGTTCGAGCATCAGGTCACATAACTGTTATGCAGTGTCAAACCTGTAGAAAGTAGCTAAATGCAAACTTGCAACAGAAAAGCAACAGCCAGAAAATCGTATACCTGGAAATTCCAAGACACATATTAGAGCACAAAACAATGCTTGTCAACTAACTATGTACGATCAATTCAATAGTAGAACTTGTATGGATCTTTAAATTCACTTTATCAAAGAAATTTGACTTTCATGCATCCCCCTTCCAACATAAATTCTTGGCTGAAAAGGAAAAACATGTAACACATCAGTAATTGGGTATTCAAACTTTATAAGATAACCCCTGAACATAACCCTATAACTAACCACCACCACAGAGGGTAAATGGGTCCAGATTTGCAGATAATCTCAACTATCAGAGTTAAGAGCTCTTAACATGTCTAAGGGATTTTCTGACTAAACTGAGTAAATGTTTTATCCATAACCAGAAGAAAAATCAAAATTTAAACCAAGCGGTCATACCTGTGACCACCACAAAAGCAATCTAAATATATGCCAGTCTGAATTCTCAATCCAACGTCGAAGCATTGGAAAAATGAACATGATCGCTGCCAGCACATTTGGGAGCAAGTATAGAGCGGCAGCCATGATGTATAGCGGAGGAACCCCTTTCACTCGAGGAAGGAATGATAGCCATTGCTTCAGCTTCCCAGGAGCAAAAGAGACAGACTGGGCATAGCAAAGGGGTAATACAACACACCAAGCGAGACTGACAATGATCTTGAGTATATTTCTCAAAATATCAGTAAATTTCCACCTGTGGAAACCTGGGAAGTTTAAGATAACGTCCAAGACACCTGGCATAGAAGCAAGAAACAGAGCAACCTTAATTTCCAGGAAAAGTAACTAAAAATGAAAAATACAGAGGAACTCCATATAACTAAAGTATTGAGGTGAGGGTGACATACTCTGAAGGAAGCGTAGGAAAGCTGCTGTAATGAAGATACTGGAGAGAGAATATAAAACATCCTTGCGTAATATATCCTTCAGCTCTACTCGTTCAAATGCAAGAATGATCATTGCCTGTATTGACAAGTCGAGTTGTCATTTTAACTGGCTCGTGTTATTAGGAATCATGTGTATTGCTCGTGCCAGATTCGCTTACTTGGAGTGCTAATAGATAGAATGTCCAGAGTCGGTCAAAACTGTGATATATGTGCCAGAAAGTTCGAGTTTCTGTGAAATTTGATTTGCCTGTGTTTCCCGCTTTTCGTAACGTTCCTTTTTTTCCCTGTAATTTGAAATTGACAAGATACTGTTTAGCTCAATCGAGGCAGAGAAACAGATAAGGAAACCACAAGGGACTACCTGTGCCATATCACGCGTTGATCTGAAAAGATCTCCATCATCACGCATTGGCCAGCCAAGAGAGAAGCAATCAGGAGACCTATATAACATTAATGCGTAAATGATACAAGAAAATCGAGGTGTCCCAGCCAAGTTAACGTTCAATTTACAGACTTGAGTTCAAAGATACCAGAAATATTCGTTCAGATCATCATAGTTGGACCAATCTGAGTGAGCAGCCTTGCCAGTCGCATTCTTATTTGCTTCCTAATTCACAAAAAAGGTTAGCTATGGTGTATACAATGTCAAGATTCTTAAGGTGTACTCGTCCTATCATTCAAATAGCTACCTTCTCAACGACACGGTAGATTGGTGTAATGACCTTCCGTAGAAATGCCTCATCATCTCCACCGTAAGAAGGCTTAATGTTTTCTCCAGTAACGATGCTGACATTTCCAGCCAAGAGGCCATGTAGTTCATAAGCCATCTGAGCATAAACAAGAGAGATTTTGATATACACATCTGTTTCACCCATTATAACAAAAGGTAAATAAAAAAAAATCTGGATGTATTACTGACATTGTGGAAAATATAGCACAAGCATTCTGGCATGAAGCGAATATTTGCAGCTTCGCCCCAGATGAGAAGATACAAGCCCATATATAGTATCTTCCGCTGTTGTATATCTTGAGCAGCTTGAGGAAGCCTTTGCATAAAAATAGTTGAGTGAGTTTTGATTAGAGTACGAACATCATTCAAAAACATTTCCCATCCAAGCGACTTATAAAAGAAAATGTTGGCAAGTACCTTAAACTGTGTTTACGTCCTAAAAATTTGCACCAGTTCTTGTAGTTCTTAAAGAGCTTTGTCATCACGGCATCAACTGCTCTGTCATCGAGCTGCATTTATAGATTAAATTGATAAAGATTTCTTTGCTAAAGGAAAATTGTTGCATAAATGAAACTGTATCCTGAATTGATAGAATATTGAGACAATGCTTTGTTTTATCAGCATCGGACAATTTTGTTCAAGGCCAACATATGGTGTTGTTCTATATAAGTGAACGGCCATAACTATTAATGGTACCTTGTTCAGAGGCTCTGGCTTAGGAGTCAACCTTATATGATTATCTGCTAGTAAACAAACCAGATGCTCCCTCTGGTTCCTGACATTGTCTCTCTGTGAAAATGAAAGAAATAAGAAGTAAAAAAACATATCTCACTGGTTTGACATCAATACATTACTCTTTACAGATCACCAACTTGCCTGGAATCCAAACATAGCTCTTAACCAGTCCAAAATATCCAGATTTCCGGATTTCTTCTTGTGCTGCTCAAATCCAGTTGGCCAGTTCAATCCACGAGTGTTCCCTAAGGCAGCTACAGCAGCTTTGACCTAGTCATCAAGCAGAGTTAGAGATATACATGTATAAGTAAAAAGATTTCTAAACTGAGCAGCGTTTAGATTCTAGAGCATGGAAAGATTTGTTCAAGTAATATCTACCTCCTCAAGCTGCATAGCAGACTGCGAGGCCCCAGCAGAGTCCAGTGGAAGAATGTTGTACGGTGCATAAATTTCATTCTTTTCTTGGACATCTCTAGCAGCTGCAATAATCTATTCAGAAACAAATGGAAAAAATTTAAACTCCCATCTCAGTTAACTAAATAAGGAACTTTTTATAGCTCTCCTGGTTGCTTTGAAGAAATAGAATTTGGACACAAACCTCAGGAGCTACTGCTTCAACTTTCTCGCTCTTGTTTACTGCCATAAGGACTTCAAAGAGCACTCCGGCCGTCTGGTATGCTTTACCAAGCTGAGCTCTGCGAGATGTCGGTTAAGAAAATCATCAGAATAAGAACACAAATATTAGTTATCTGCAAAGTCCTTGTAATTTGAATATGCCAACATGACCAAAGTTCGGAAACTACAGGTGTTTATATACGCAAAACAACCATATTACCTGTCTGCTTGATCCCCTTGGTCAAGTGCTCTGACATAGTGCTCATAATATTGTTGATAGTAGCTCTCAACTTCTCGTCCATCGGTTTTCTTCACCCTAGAAGCAAGACTCGAAGCATTGTCCTGTATCACAAAATTTGTTATTAGCTCCACTCACGCTAGAATAAAAGCTCCCTATCCGTATTCATTTGAAATGGATATTCTCAATATGATATTACCCTTTCTAATCTTTGGAAGAGAAGTGTTTTGAACTGCCTCACACCTCGGCCACTAGAGCTAGGATCCAACCTATGAGCTTTCTCGAATGCATAAAATCGACCTTGATACGAAGAGAGGAAAGTTAAGTGAGCATCACATAACTGAACTAATTCGACTTTATTCTGGAAGCAAAAGAACAAGTAAAACGCAAAATCATACAGAGGTAGGCAACACGAGGGCGCTCATGTTCAATCTCTGCAGCAACACGCAGAATTGGGGCAATGGTGCCAAGGGAGGCTGGAACCACCTCATGATCAAAAACTTCAATAGACACTGTTGTGGCGGCACTACGAGATGGCCGCCTCATTAGCCCCTGAGGGCCAGAGTCATGAGATGTACTGCTCTGTGCCATCTCTCCCTGTAAGAAACATAACTAATCAGTGCACCGAATAACAACAAAGATCGAGGAATTTTAATGACCAAAAACAGCGTTAATGAGAAGAGATTAGGCTGATATACCCTCTGAATTTAGGCCAGTAACAATGTGATTAGAACATTAGTTTCTTTTTTCTCGATTGTTCTCTGCAATTTGTTCCTAGAAGACACCCACAATCAAAATTTAGCTCAGTCGAAGAGAATTGAAATCCAGAAGAAAAAAGGAGTATCAATTCCTAAACAAACTTCACGGAAACACAATCTGGGGTAAAATCTCTGCATCGTATACGGAAAACAAAATGACCTCATGATCAATAACGAAACACACGCACAAATTATCAAAACGGAGCTCATGCGAGAAGAATTGAAGAACGAAGACGTCGATTCAATGTTTTTCTTCTCATAATTTCCTAAACAAATTTCAAGGAAGCTGGATCGGTAGAAAAATCTCGTGTATCGTACGCAAAACAAAGGAGCTAATGATAAATAACGACAAACATATACGAATCAAAAACGGAGCTCAGGCGAGAAGAAATCCAAAACGAAAACTCGACATCGATTCCTAAACAAATGTCAAGGAAGCTGAATCGACAGTAAGAGAAGCTGAATCGTACGCAAAACAAACGGGAATAACTCAATCCAAAGAGAGGACTCACGTTGGATACGCAGAGCTTCTAGATCCCGTTCCCTGAAGGTTGAAGCAACGAAAACAAAGCACGGAATCAATGCACCGAACGATATACACAATTTCTCGCCGCGGAAAAAAAAATTGAAAAACAGGTAGAGATTCACCTGAAACAGAGACGAGGAGTCACAATTTCTCGTGGAGCATGAACAAAAAGTGACGAGAGGAAGAAGAAGGGAATAGAGAGAGAAAAATCAAAAAATGTGGGAGAGAGTGTCTCGTTGTTTGTTTTTAAGAGGGAGGGAAATGAGCGAATATTTTTCAGTTAGAAGAGAAGTACACGTGGCGGTAGACGAGAGGGCGAAAAAATTAGCGATGGGTTGTAGTGGTGAGAGGGGTAAAAGCTGGCTCTTTCTCTCTCTCTCTTCTCTCGACATTAGCGATTCTTCTGTGTGTGACAAATGGATCTCCGTCTCTTTCTCCTCAAATTCTGTTTATTTTCCATTTTGAGGATTAAGTACAGTGTGATATGCAAAACATGATATAATTCTAAAACAGATTAACGGATCGAATAGTTTAATTAGTAAAATGAGAGTTTTCCTTTTTGGGGATCAATTTGGTAATATAATGAATTAGTCTATGCGATCAATTTGGTAATATAAAGAATTTTTACATGATCAGCTTTACAAATTGCATATTTTTCCTACTTCGGTACTACCCACAGCACTCTCAACTCTATCCATAAAATGAGGATTTGGCGTAAATGGCTCTGATTATGGGCTTTTATGGGCCTAGTGAAAAAACACACAGCACAAAGCAATGATATTGACCACGTCAGCACGTGCCACCCTCTTCAACTACTCTTTCGTGCTTAGCTGTCCACTCTCTCTCTCCTTCCCCACTTGTCTCTCTCTCTTCTCTCTCTCTCTCATTTTCAGATTTTCCTCTTCCTTTTCCCATCTTCCGTATTCTATCTTCTTCCTTCTCATGCCCTAACTCCGGATTTCTCTCTCTCTCTTTCTCTTCGATTCCTTCAAAATCTCAGTTTCAAAATCCCTCCGTTTTTGTGATGCCTACTTGGTGGGCGAGAAAATCCGGCAAGAACAAAGACGATACTCACCTTGTTCACAGCCAACCTCGCTGTGTTGCCGACAAGAGTAGCAGAAGAATCTCCTTGGATAACAAAACTTCCGGCGATCCTCCCACTCCTTCTCGCCTCACTCCTCGTTGCAGTCGTGAATTCGCCGGAGCTTCCGGTTTCTCCGGGTTCGATTCCGACGAGAAGAAATGTCATCCTCTTCCTCGTCCATCGCTCTCTACTTCGGTTCCCAGCGATCACGTAAACGGATTGGTCTCCGGATCGACCTCTATCTCTAGCGTTAGCTCGTCTGGGTCAGCTGAAGATCAGAGTCAACCCAATGGTTCCAGGTTCGTTTTCCCCCTTTTGGATTGAAATTGTGCATCTGATCCACGACCTCTTACTTAGTTTCGGAGATTCCTGAATTGCTTAATCAATGGATTGTGGTTTTTTGGTGATTCTAACTCATAAACATGTAGCAGGGGACATTGCGATGTGAAATCCAACGCAGCGGCAGCTTCTCCGAGGGCAGCAACTAGACCCACGTCTCCACTACATCACCGATTATCTGGCATGAGCTTAGATTCTTCGACAGGGAGGAATGATGATGGAAGATCCTCAGAGTATCACCCTTTGCCTCTGCCGCCAGGTTCTCCTACAAGCCCCTCTGTTGCGCCGCCGTGTTCTTCTCCTACAAGCCCTTCTTCTGTGCAAGGGTCCTGGACTAGAGGAGGATCCGAGACGTCTCCTTCAGGGTTTTCGAAGTGGAAGAAAGGGAAATTTATAGGGAGTGGCACTTTTGGGCAAGTCTATCAAGGGTTTAACAGGTGATAATGAAATTCTTCTACTGATTTACTTGGAGAAATTTGATAAGTTTGCTTAGTTTTTTAGGTGACAAGAGTTGGCTTCTCTTTGTTTTAGGATTTTAGCAATGGCTTCGACTGGTTTGGATAGCGTAATATGCGATGTTCTGATAGATAGGGCATTTGATGCTAGCTTTCTCTGTAGGCCATTAATATTGATATCCTGTTCAATAGCTCTCTTAAACCAGTAATCTAGAGATGCTTCATGTGACGAATTTGGGTAGATTTCATGACTCCTGAGATAGTTCATGTCTGATTTCACCACCTGCCATTTAGGATTCTAGATTAAGGCACTAGCAAGCGCACAAGTTTCTATAATGGTAGCTCTAATTCCAATTACTGCGTCACAACTTTGTAGTATCTTCCTCTCTAAATTTGGTTGGTACCATCATCATATAATATTTTTTTTCGCTAATCTTACAGTGAGAAAGGAAAAATATGTGCTATTAAAGAGGTCAAGGTCATCTCTGACGACAAAACGTCAAAAGAATGTCTGAAGCAACTAAATCAGGTTTGTCTAGTTCGCTTCATCTTTTGTATATGTTAACGCCTGATCCCTGCCAACTCTAATGCTAGTCACACGTCTAACCGGATAATTTTATTTGCAGGAGATAAATGTACTGAGCCAGCTTTGTCATCCGAATATTGTTCAGTATTACGGGAGTGAACTGGTATGTGGTTCACTAAAAGTTGAGTTTGGGCAGTGTCATATTGTTATATGGAAACCATATTGAAGCACGACTTGTGTCTGGATATGTGTTATGCTTGTAGAGTGAAGAAACCTTGTCTGTGTACTTGGAGTATGTATCTGGTGGCTCGATTTATAAACTACTCTCGGAGTATGGTCCTTTCACTGAACCTGTCATCCAAAACTACACACGGCAGATTCTCGCTGGGCTAGCCTATTTACATGGACGAAATACAGTGCATAGGTAACTTGGCTGTGATATCTGAAACTACATTTTGAAAGGTTGAAATTGAACTCCATTTGTTTCTTCTTTGAAGTTTAATAAAGATATATGTTAATCCAACAGGGACATCAAAGGAGCAAATATATTAGTGGATCCGAATGGTGAAATCAAGTTAGCAGACTTTGGGATGGCCAAACATGTAAGTATATCTACGTATGTATTAACCAGAATATGGATAAATGTTCTTTAGAGAAGATATCAAATTTTGTAGCTCCTTGATATTACCTATTTCTTTATGGTTGCAGAAGCTCTAATAGCAATTTCTTTTTGCAACAGGTATCCGCTTTTTCTACAATGCTTTCTTTCACAGGGAGTCCTTATTGGATGGCACCTGAGGTATTTCAACTTTTCTTTTCTTTTTTAACTTTCGAGAAGCTCTTGGAAGTTGTGCACGGCACATTTTGTTCTTGCAGCTGATAGAAAATAGAATCATGCTTCCGTGTGTTCCCAGGTTGTGATGCACAAACTTGGCTACACCATTGCAGTCGATGTGTGGAGTTTGGGTTGTACTATTCTCGAAATGGCAACAGCAAAGCCACCTTGGAGCGAGTTTGAAGGGGTATATAAGCTACTGAAAACTTGAGATAATCTTTTTGTTCAACTCTTTTTAATTGTTCTAAATTCCAAGGAGCCTCATGACATTGTTTTCACCAGGTCGCTGCGATTTTCAAAATCGGGAACAGCAAAGACATTCCAGAAATACCTGATCACCTTTCAAACGATGCAAAGAATTTTATAAGGCTTTGTCTGCAACGAAACCCAACAGTACGTCCTACAGCTGCTCAGCTTTTAGAACACCCTTTTCTCCGAGTACACTCCACAAGAGTGGCTAATACCAGCACGCCTAAAGAAGCCTCCACACGTTCCTATGATGGAAGTGGAAGCACACTGGTATGTGTATTATGCATATGTCAACCTGTGATTAGTTTGATTAATGCTAACAAGCTAAACTTTACTTTCTTCTTGAGCAGCCTACAAGGGAGCCACTCTATCCAGGGAGACATCCAGTCTTTCACCCTATAAAGAGCCCGAGGTAAAAAAACGATTTGTGGCTTGATCAGTTTTGATTCTTACTTGCTCAACTACTAATCATGTCTTTTGCACTTTGCAGCAGAGAAAATGCAAGAGCCATCACATCCTTGCCAGTATCTCCATGTTCAAGCCCTTTACGCCAACTTGGACCAGCATACAAAAGTTGTTTCCTGTCACCTCCTCACCCATCTTACTCATTTCCCGTGCACGACAATGGGTACAACCTAGCGGAGTTTGCTGCAAGTCCGTTTAGGTTCAAGAAAGACACAATGGTAGAACCATCTAGCTACAGAGCTCAAACGCCGAATTCACCTCTTAGATCAAGACTGGTGTAGAAAATGGAGCAAAGATTGAGATCCCGATGAATCCCCAGGTTTTGGCATTGTCTCTCTCTAGACCCTGGAACATTAGGTGTGTGTGGGGCGTTGAAGTGGAGATTTTTGGAACAAGAAGGAAAGGTTAAGTGTAAAACTGGGGGGTTAAAACAAAAACAGAGATGTAAAGAGCAAACATGAAATGAATACAAAGGTTATAGAAGTGAGAGAGTAAAGATAGTTGTGTTGTTATACAAAGATGATATTCAACCATTTGTTTTCTTACAGTGTGAATATTTCCTTTAAGAAAAAAAGGTAATGAGTTTGATATCTCTTTACACTGAATTCTTTTAGGCTTGTTGATTTTGTTATTTCAATCTCGTGCTCTTGTAGACTGCGTCAACGAGTCAATATAGAGAAGCTAGTGGAGAAAATTAAGTCAACAGGTCAACGGTACGGTACAATGCAAAAAAATTATTGCCAAACTTTTGTTTTCAGTTCTTGTGCCATATTTTATGGAAAGACTCAATAAACTCATCTAAACTCTAACAAAATCGATACAGTATTGAGTGTCGCTTGGACATAATACATGAAATGAATACAAAGATTATCTATACATGAAAAGATCTAAAACAATTTAATGTAAAATTAATCATTTTCGGTAGGGTGTTAGCCAACTTATAGATTGCTAAAATACATTTTTTTCAAGATTAGAAACATAAAAAACAAAATTTTATAAAAGGAACAAGGATACACAAAATCATATCTCTCAATATTTGACTAACGTGGATTTTCTAAAGCATGTGTGGCCTTTGGTTGTTCATGTGAGGTTACAGGACTCTCAGGCAAATCCATATCATCTTCTTGCGCCCATGATCCACCATACTGCTGAACCACAAGAACCGAGACAGTAGCTGCAAAGTCTGATGAAGCAAGCAAGTCTCCAATTGCACCAAGCTCAGGACACTCACTCCAATCAGTTAAACCAGCTGTGAGAGGAGACGACATTGCTTCTCCTCTTCCAACTATAAACAAATCATGAGAGCTATCCATTGACCTCACTGCCGCAACCGTCTCCTCTCCATTGCTAACCACTTTTTCTATAAACACAATCGACTCGTACTCCGCATTTGCCAACTTGAAGGCATTGATGTAATCATCATCAAGCTGTCTTTGCTTCTTCATGTCCAGCTTTTGCTCAGTCTCTCCACGTGTAGAAGCTGCTTCTATTACATCTTCGTCAGGGATAAACCGCAGCACGGTTAACGTGATGCCTGGATGTTCAGCCATTCTCCAAGCATAGGCTAAGGCTTCTCTATCATCTGGTCCACCGAAAAACAGAACAGCTACTTGGAGAGAGATAGTGTTTGAGGTCAATCTTGTGGCTCCATTGAGTCCTCTGTCCACAAGTATCCCAACGGAGCAAGGAGAGTTTTGGAGTAAGTTCTGGTTGACTAAACGGTAAGCTGGATTGGTTGCTTCCATTCCTCCATCCACAGTTTGTTGTTTGTGGAATGGTATGATAATAAAGGAGACACGTTTGTCCTCTGCTAAGCTACAAACATCTTCATGCATCGTCGAGTAAGGCGAAATCGCTGTCAAAGGTTGTACAGCGACAAAAGCAGCATGTTGTTCATAGTTCTCAAAGGCATTGATGATGTGATCTGACTGAGCTTGTGTCCTGTTAAGAGCCGGTCGTCCTGATTTCCGAGTGTTGTGGACAATAAGCATTGCGGATGCTCGTCCTGTGAGCTCAACAAGATGGAGAACGTAGATACATATAGGAGATCTCTTGGTGGGATGTGAAGCTTCAAGAAGGTTGATTATAGTAGGAACATTACGCGGTGTGTGGACACAAACAAGAACTCTAAGCTCGCTGTCTGGCTTCGTCTGTTGGATCGTCCGTCTCTTGTAAGAAACAGAACGTTTCACTGGTCTGTAAAGGACTGTTACGATAGGTGTAATGACACCAGTCATAACCAAGGCCACAAGCACCATTGTAGCAAACGTCTCATCATCTAAAACCTTTTGATCTTTGCCAACGTTGAGGACTATCATCTCAACAAGACCTTTAGTGTTCAAGAGAAGACCAAGAGTGATTCCTTCACGAAGTGGCATTCCATGGAAAAACGCAACGATAACAGTACCAATGACTTTACCCGCACAGGCGAGGAAGATAACGAGCATCAAAGTTAGCCAAGTGGCAGGGCCTTGAATGGAAGATATGTTAGTCTTTAGACCACTTATGGCAAAGAAGAGAGGTAAGAGAAGTCCAGAGACAAAATCTTCAAGCTTCTCTATAAGGGTAAGACCAAGAGGTCCATTTGGGATCACGAGACCATACACAAAAGCTCCAAAGACAGAATGTGTTCCGATTGCATCGGTAATGAAACCTGAGATCATAACTCCTGTCAAGATGAGACATATGTAGAACTCACTAAAGTTCTCTCCCTCAGGGGTTTTCCTTATGATCCAAGAAATGCCTGGTCTGACAACAAAGACACAAGTGGCGATGAAAGCTGCACTAGAGATCATGACCCAAAGGGAAGCAAATGAAGTTTTCTCACTCTCTGCCAATGCAATGGCTAAGGCCAAGAGAATCCAAGCAAACATATCGTTGACCAGTGCTGCTGACATAGATATCCGACCAATCTCTGTATGTATGAGCTTGAGCTCAGCAAGAATTCTTGCAAGAACCGGGAATGCGGTAACAGAGAGAGCTACACCGAGGAAGAGTATGTATGTGCCTTGACCTAAATGGTCATCTGATCTATGCATGGAGAAAGAGAAAGCAGCACCAATGAGGAATGGTAAGACCATACCACCAATAGCTATGGTTAGTGCTCGCTTCCCTGTCTTGCGTACAACCATAATGTCCATCTCTACACCCACCAAGAAAAGGAAGTAAAGTAAACCAACGTTAGCCATTGTCTCAAGTACCATCACACTTCTCTGAGGGAACACTGTGTTTGCAAATTTTGAATAGCGACCAAGCACAGATGGCCCTAGCACGATTCCTCCCTGTAAATGAATATCAATGATTAACATTCTTCAAAACATACTAATATTGAATTATTAAAAAAAATAGAGAGAATGTTTTGGTTTACGTACAAGGATCTCGGAGATAACACGAGGTTGGCGAAAGGGCTTGAGTACAAAGACGAAAAAGCGAGTGACAAGAACGACCAATGTAAGCTGAAGAACAAAGAGAGGCAAAGAGAAATCGAGAGGATTGTCTCCTTGCCAAACACCATTGGTGGTGATCATGCTTGGGGCGTAACATATTATCGAAGTGTCGTTACTGTGTTCGTCACCCATTTTGTTTAACTCCTATCAAAACTTGGAATTATTGTTTGAAAAGGTTTGTTCCTGTTGAATTTTTGCAGGAATAACATACATAACGCATATGTGAGAAAGGAAATGGATTCAAAGTTGGTGGTGTTCCGTATCATCCTCTCTGCTCAACGAGTCAAGCATCATCATTTTTCATCTCTATTTTTGGTCTTCTTTTCTTTTATTAGATCCATCACAATTTTTTTTCTCAGGTGATTAGCTAACCGTTTTTGTCTTTAATTTCTCGAAATAAAATAAATATTACATTAAATTTTTAAATTTATTTAAATGTGTGTTATATAATATTCTTCTTTAGATACACAAAATTTATGCCAAAATTTGTATGAAAGAAACACCCTGGCCGGTAAAATCGTAAATAAGCTGAACTGTATTTGAAGTGTATAGTAATTAAGTTATAGAAAACGGACGTCGAGACAAGTATTATTAGCTTTAAAAATGCTAGTATGATAATATTAATTTGATTTCATTGGATTCATTATCTAGAAGTGGAAGAGCAACAAATCCTACAAAGTTTTAACTTTGAAAATGTGGTAAGAGAAAACCATAATTCGCAAGTCGCCAATTACTTGGAGTATTCGAATTCTAAAATTTGAAGCAGCAACATTGTGGTGTTGCGTCACCTTCTTTTTCACACTGTCCTCCAGTATATTGCTGAGCTATACATTTTTCGTCACAACCCCTATTTCCGTATTGTTCCTCGCATAGCCCAATGCAAGTCTCATTAGGAAAGTCTTGCTTGGTCGCTGCATATATATATAACCCAAGTTAATATGTATACACATAATTGGTTTATATCAATTTCTATATTTTCTGAAAACAAACTCTTCAACCATTTCTTTTAGAAAGATCAAAGATAATTGAACAATAACAAATTACCTGGCCTAGCCAAAATTAGGTAGCTAGAAGACGAAATTGTCAATATTACTGCAAGGAAAAGGAATAAAGAAATGGATGTTTTTGTGATAGCCATTATATATTGTCTTACTACTGATTCGAGAAATATAGACTTTTGTATTTTGTATAGATCTCTCTATGAAAAGCTCTATTTATACGACTTTTTACTGAGTAAAGTCTCAATTATGTTGAGAAGAATATTATTCCATAACTGTTTGACTAAAATTTATTATGAGATTTGACTAAAATTTATTATCACCATGGTGACTATAATTTCGACTAAAAATAACTTTTATCGACCTCAATTGTACATGAAATAACCGTTTCACTCTCTCCCTATTGGACTACTAGGCACACTCATTTTTATATTAAAAAATAATATTTGTAAATGTATTTGAATATAAACAGCTACAATCTTTTTTTTTTCTATCTAATTAAACACTACTGAAAAAAAATATATATATAATTAAACTATACTATTACACTAACGTCAGAGTTATGACTTAAAGACTGTAACGGCCAAAAAAAAAGTACACTTTTTGTTTTTAACAAAAGTAAACTTACGTCATTGTTAAGACTGTAGCGGACGAGGTTTAAAAAAGAAAAACCATTGCGTATGTTGAAAAAAAGTGAATATATATTCGTGTTATGATTAGTTGAGTATTCGGAGAGTGAGTATTTTGATCGGCTTTTGGTTTACGACTAGTTAGTGCGCGGAAAATTAATCCCAAAAATATGATTACTCGCGTAGCAAAATAGCAAATCGACATATTTGATAATATTTTTCTTTCAGTCACTCGTCGTATACCAAGTTACCAACTATGTACGACAATTTATTCAAGATATTTTTGTTCATTTTCAAATATCAGAAACTGGTGACGACATTAGAAACAAATAGAATACACAAATGAAAAAGAGGAAAAACAAAAAGAAAATTGTATAAGGCAACACGTGACTCTTCATATCTTGGGGAAGTTACAGCGAAGAGAGAAGAACAATTGCATGTGAACCTCTCTTTCTCTCTATGATATAAGAAAACAAATGTCCCGTGAACCAACAAAACTAAAAACTTTCACTTAATTCCAATGGAAGTTACAGAAAACCAAGCTGTCTCCTTAAGTCTTTTTGAACCAAAATGACCAATACCACAAAAGTTTATTACAATAATAAACACAATTAGAAGAAAGAAAAAACTACATAAGACCAAAATTTGGTTTTGTACTATTACTCGTCCTTTTTCTCAAGCTTTGGACAAAAGAGACAGAGAGAGAACATAGCTTCATCATCGATGGAGAAGACAGGATGGGAAATCGAAGCTTCAGATATTGACTACAACATCTTTGTAGAGAAGATTCATGTTAATCCTTTCAAAATCTTTACACGAAAGACGGTGCCGGAAGCTGACCAGCCGGTTAAGACAGAAGAAGAGCCAGAGAAGCTTGAGCATGGAAGCTGCAACAAAGTCAAGCATGTACTAAAAGGAGTGACCTGCAGAGCTAAACCGTGGGAGATTCTCGCCATCGTTGGTCCAAGCGGTGCAGGGAAGTCTTCTTTACTTGAAATTCTAGCTGCTAGAATCATCCCTCAAACCGGATCGGTTTTAGTTAACCAGAAGCCGGTTGATAGAGCCAATTTCAAGAAAATCTCCGGTTATGTCACTCAGAAGGACACTCTGTTTCCTTTGCTTACAGTGGAGGAAACCCTTTTGTTTAGTGCCAAGCTGCGTTTAAAGCTCCCTGCAGAGGAACTAAGATCACGGGTGAAGTCATTGGTGCGTGAGCTTGGCCTCGAAGCTGTTGCTACTGCTCGTGTCGGCGATGATAGCATCAGAGGGATATCAGGTGGAGAGAGACGCCGTGTCTCCATAGGAGTTGAAGTTATTCATGATCCCAAAGTTCTGATTCTTGATGAGCCAACCTCTGGTCTTGATAGTACTTCAGCTCTGCAGATTGTGGACATGCTCAAGCTCATGGCTGAAACACGAGGCCGGACCATAATTCTGAGTATCCACCAACCTGGTTTTCGTATAGTCAAACTGTTCAACTCTGTTCTTTTGTTAGCTAATGGCTCCACCTTGAACCAAGGCTCGGTTGATGAGCTCGGCGTGTACTTAAGGTCAAATGGTTTGCAGCCTCCTTTACATGTGAACATCGTCGAATTCGCCATTGAATCAATTGAAGCCATCACTAAGCAGCAGCAGCGACCGCTAGGGGAAAGCAGAAGAGTAGAAGCTCATGTCCTAACATCACAAGAGAAGAGACCAGAAGATAGTCAAGAGGAGAGCAGAAGTGGCAAGTTCACACTACAACAGCTGTTTCAACAATCAAAGGTTGCTGATGTAGGAACAATGAAGAACATAGGGACGGAATTCACCAGAGGTTTCGCGAATTCGAGACTAGGAGAAACTATGATACTCACTCACAGGTTCTCCAAGAACATTTTCAGAACCAAGGAGCTGTTTGCGTGCAGGACGGTTCAGATGTTAGGTTCAGGAATCGTTCTAGGACTGATTTTCCATAATCTCAAAGACGATTTAGAAGGTGCACGAGAAAGAGTCGGCCTCTTTGCATTCATATTGACCTTCCTGCTAACATCAACAATAGAGGCACTCCCAATATTTCTGCAAGAAAGAGAGATTCTGATGAAGGAGACTTCAAGTGGAAGCTACAGAGTTTCATCATATGCCGTCGCTAATGGACTTGTTTACTTGCCGTTTCTTCTCATCCTGGCTGTTCTGTTCTCAGTTCCAGTGTACTGGCTGGCGGGACTAAACCCGAATTTCATGGCGTTTCTACAGTTTTTGCTCCTAATTTGGTTGATCCTCTACACAGCAAACTCAGTGGTTGTGTGCTTTAGTGCATTGGTTCCTAACTTCATTGTTGGAAACTCAGTGATCTCTGGTGTGATGGGTTCCTTCTTTCTGTTCTCTGGCTACTTCATATCGAAGCGCGAGATCCCTAGTTACTGGATTTTCATGCACTACATATCTTTGTTCAAGTACCCATTTGAAGGATTTCTGATCAACGAATTCTCCGAGTCAAGCAAGTGTTTGGAGTATGGTTTCGGAAAATGCTTGATGACCGAGGAAGGTCTACTAAAAGAAGAAAGGTATGGAGAGGCAAACAAATGGAGAAATGTTGTGATCATGCTATCTTTTGTCTTGCTCTACAGGTTCATTTCCTATGTGATTCTGAGGTGTAGATGTTCACAGAGAAGTTTCAAGACCACTCTTGCTTGATGATAGAATGTGGTAACAATAATGTTACAAATTTGTTCAAATGTTTAATTATTTTACTTCGTATAGCAGCTAAAGATGTGAAAGAAATGTTGTTTATGCAAAAGAAAATTTCCATTGGTTCTATCATTTCTATTTCCTCTTCGGCAAAGAAACTATCCAGTAAAGGGACTTACATGGCAATGTCTAGATGAATAATCAAGTTCCTCAGACGAGAATGATCCTGTTTCGTCATGATCTTCTTGCTCCTGTCTCATCTCTGCTGTTAGAATATCAAGAAGCGAGTGGATCTGCTTTCTTCGAGGATGTCTTTTATCTTTAACCATGAAAACATGAGCATGTCCTTGTATGTCTATCCAGCTACATCCTGGCTGCTTTGTGACTCCTTCTTTCCTCATCGCCTTCCGTACATTCATCACATCTCCCCACTGTCCGAGCTCAGCGTACATGTTGGAAAGAAGAACATACGGTCCTGAATTCGACGCCTCTACTTCTAGAAGCTTCTCTGCAACGTATTCAGCTATTGTAATGTTCCTATGAACTTTGCAAGCAGCAAGCAAAGAGCCCCATATGATAGAATCCGGCTCCATAGGCATCTCCTCAATCATACTCTTTGCTTCGTCGAGAAATCCAGCTCGGCCGAGCAAATCGACCATGCAGGTATAGTGATCCATAACCGGAGCCACACCGAAATCTCTGGTCATGGAAGAAAAGTAATGCCTCCCTTCGTCAACTAATCCAGCATGTCCACACGCAGAAAGAACACCAATCATGGTAACGTGATCTGGTTTCTCTCCAGAGTCAAGCATTTCTCTAAACAACTCAAGAGCCTCGTTTCCATAACCATTTTGTGCGAATCCAATAATCATCGCGTTCCAGGAGACGCAGTCTCTTTCCATCATCTTCCTAAACACAAGATAACCATCTTCCACACAACCACATTTCACATACATATCAATCAAGGAATTGCCAACAAATATGTCAGCTTCTTCACCAGACTGAAACTTAAACCCATGCTTCAACACATGGACATGAGCTTGCATCCCAAGCTGCAACTCCGCAAGATCTGCACACGCCTTGAGGATATTTGCAAAGGTATAGTGCGTTGGAGATACTGATTCCCTCTTTAAGAGAACAAAGAGACCAAGTGCTTCCTCGTTTTCCCCGTTCTGCGTATAGCCAGAGATAAGCGCATTCCACGAAACAACATTCCTCTCCTTCATTTTGGTGAACATGAGCCTAGCAGCTTTAGTACTCGCAGCCATCGCGTAACCACTGATCATGGAGGTCTCCGCGATCACATTTCTGATAGGCAAGCCATCAAATATGAACCTAGCTTCTTTTATTCTGCCACACTTTGCATACATATCCACAAAAGCATTGCTCAGAATAATATCATTCCTCAACTTCCCACTTTTCGCAACAAGTCCGTGAATTTCCTGACCAACCTTAACCGCAGACAAGCTCGCACACGCGCTTATCACACTTGCAAACGTAACCTCATCAGGGTCAACACCAGCTCTCAACATCATATGGAAAACCTTGAGAGCTTCCAACGCAGGACCGTTCTGCTCGTAACACGTAATCAAACTATTCCAAGTCACAACATTTCTCTCACCCATCTCATCAAAAACATGCTGAGCATCGTCGACGTTTCCGCATTTCGAATACATGTCAACAAGAGCAGAGCCTATGTAAACAGCATCTGACAAACAAGGCGATTTCGCGATCAGAGAATGTATCTGCACACCTCTGTTCATATCATTCAAACCAGAACAAGCACTGAGACCACTAGCGAACGCATATTCATTCAACACAAACCCTTCCTTATGCATCACGGCAAGATAATGCAACGCCTCTTCACACCTATCGTGTTGTGCGAATCCCGAAACCATCGAGTTCCAAGTACACTGATCTCGCTCAGGCATCGACTTGAACAGAGAATCAGCTTCGTCGAGAAACCCTAACTTAGCCAGAGCCGTCACGAAAGAGTTCCAAGTGAATACATTTCGTTCAGGCATTTTGTCGAACACTTTGCGACCGTCGTCGAGTGAACCACATTTCGCGTAGGCGTCGATGAGACGATTCTGTATATAGACTTCGTTGACGAAAGGGGATTTGATGATCGAAGCATGGACACAACGGACGTCATTTGGTGATAACTTGGATTTGATGCATGAATCGAGAAGCTTTGAGAACGGTGAAGAATTCGTGAAAGAGTGATCACCAGCGAGTTTGAGAATCGATTTCGTTGCCATTCCATTATCGTTGGAGAAAATTTCAAACTGATTTGCAGAACAATGAGCATGGATTTGGATTTCTCGAGCAATCAAAGCTACACATCTTCGAATAGAGAGAAGAATTTCTCAGAAAAAGGCGGGATTGATTTATGATAGGCTTAACCGGAACTAACCGGAGATCAAATAAAATGTGATGCGGTTAAGTGGAACGGTTTGGTCCGTATTTTCCAGGTGGAAAAGGGGAAAAAGAAAGGAGCGAGTCACATGGAGTTCCAAATTTGGTAACTAAATCTATAAATAGAAAAAATGCCTAGTTTCATGCACTAAGCTTACCCATAAAATCAGATGAATCACAAGTCGTTAGATCTCAAGGAAAAGAGAAAGAAAATGACTGAGGAGAGCCCAGAGGAAGATCATGAATCTCCTGGAGCAGCAGAAACAAACCCAGGAAGCCCTTCTTCAAAGAACAACAATAACAACAACAATAGCAGCAACAACAAAGAACAAGACCGGTTTCTTCCAATTGCTAATGTCGGAAGAATCATGAAAAAGATCCTTCCGGTGAACGGTAAGATCTCGAAAGACGCGAAAGAGACCGTTCAAGAATGTGTGTCGGAGTTCATAAGTTTTGTGACTGGTGAAGCTTCTGACAAGTGTCAAAGAGAGAAGAGGAAAACAATCAATGGAGATGACATCATTTGGGCTATTACAACTCTCGGTTTCGAAGAATATGTAGCTCCTTTAAAGGTTTATCTCTCCAAATACAGAGACACAGAAGGAGAGAAAGTCAATAGTCCTAAACAAAGACAGCAGCAGCAGCAACAGCAACAACCAAATCATCTACAACAGAATCATCATTTTCAGTTCCAAGAACAAGACCATAGCAACATTTCGTGTACTAGTTACATCTCTCATCATCACCCTTCTCCATTCTTGCCTGCCGATCATCAACCGTTTCCAAATCTACCCTTCTCTCCTAAAGCATTGCAGAAACAGTTTCCGCAGCAGCATGATAATATTGATTCCATTGGACAGTGGGGAGTGTGAGAACATTGTTTGATTTTTTTTTATATCATACGTTTTTGTTTCCCTTGTGAGTACATCTTGATGCTTATATACTGTTGCTATATAGATACATTAGATACGTACATCTTGATATTTTCAATATACCAATGTTCTAATTTTGTGTAACAGAAATACTTGATGTGTTTTTCTTGGATTATGTTTAAATGGAATATCACAAGAGAAATTATGCAGCAACTAGCAAGTCAATAATAACACAAAGCTAAATTGGTTACTAAATCTTTATAAATTTACTGTTTACTCTATGAACAAAAACTTGGTTGGTAAATTAGCAGGCTAATCGGTTGATTACTGCGCTGCCAAATTAGTGAGTGTAACAATAACAGAGCTGGAACCATATTTGTGTCAAGAAAACATATCAATCTCTTACTCGTGGTTTACATTAGTAGAATCTGATCACATGTTGAAAAATATAACATTTTGAACCCTTATTCTCACCAAGAAAGTAATATTGTTACAAGTGAATGTATCATGAAATTCTTCACAATCCCAAGTTTATTTTTGGGAATTGACATGTTCACAAGTCGTAACACTCATAAGTCATAACAAAAATATTCATAAGTATAAACTTAAGGGTTGCTTCTATGATTCTGATTGGATATGAAGAAACCCAATAATTATTTTTTACATATAAATAAGAGAGCAGCAAGCAACTATGAATCTGATTGGATAAAGAAGCAACCCAATAATTTTTTTTTTACCTTTTTACATAAAAGCACAAGAAGTAGCAGCTATGAATCTCATTGGGATATGAAGCAACCCAACTATAAATTTTTACACATAAATATGAGAAAGCAGAGAGTTACTTCATCTTTGAGAACCAAACTCTAATCATCTCTGTAGACTAAAGTCGGGTACTCTGGACTCCACATGTTGTTTTCCACGTACTGCATCAGTCCATCCTGCATAATACACGTCACAGCGTTGAAAAATACAGAGCAAATGAAATGGTTTGCCTACTGAAGAAATCAAGAGATGCTATTCTGTTCCTAACATGTAAACCAAACTTGTACTACTTTCTAATGCAGAATACAGATGATCTTAAGTCCCAATTCCCATCAGAGATGTTAGTTCCACTTATACTAAAGTTGTTACTGAGCTGAGTTACCTCATTGAGCTTTTGGAGTTCTCGAGCGTCCATTTCTCTATATCCGCAGGCTAATTCCTCTTCAATCGCTTCCTTAATCACCGCAGCCGCTATTCTTTTCGTTATGTCACGTATCCTGCAATTTCAATTTCAATTCCAAGCTAAATATAGATAACATCTTTATCAAACCCCTTTGTCTTATGCAACAGGCGAAATGTTCTTCTATTTTGTTACCTTGATATTGGAGGGTATATAATCCCCTTTAGCACTTCTTCCTCGCTCATGTATGCTGCTAGGCTGCAGTTGTTTAACAGAACAATGTCATGATCCCACATCCAGAAAACGTTGGACTTGATTTTGATTTCAAGGTCTACTAAAATAAGGGTTTTACATTGACTAGTATATGAAATTTCAAATGAAAGAAATATGTTAATAGTCTATGAGATCATCCAAATATGCGTCTGGTAATATGTACACATTCTTTAAGGTTTATAGAATTTGGCACATAGTTTATATATATATATCATGTCACCGACTTACGCTTACAAACAGGAAAGGAAAATGCAGTAGGTGAAGAAAAGAGCTTACCACTCAGCTGCGGCCTGAAGCATCCCATCTGAGACAATGGGGGTACCAGATAGAAGAATGCCAAGTCCAATACTACATCAAAATTTAGAGGAGAAGAAAATCAATTTATTTTCAGGACCATTGATGCATCTAGTCAAGAATGTTTGTAATTCTGTCTGACAATAAATTAGCGGAACTAACCCCGGAAAGAGATACATGTTGTTTCCTTGGTTGCAATGTCCTACATTACCATTCCCTGCCACACGGAAAAAGTGTTAGTATATCAAACCAAAGACACAGCAATCAAGTGTCTAGTGCTGCGTCAATTCAAAACTTAAAATGAAAATATAGGAGCATTTAGGAGTTTCTTCTCATACATACCAAGATCAACATTCTTGAACGGGCTTCCGCTCGCAAAAATCATATTGTCGCCTAATATAGAAAACGCCTCTTGAGCCGTGCATTCAGCTGTAATTTTTAAGCACAAGTAACTAATCAGTTCTGAAAACAATCACAAACCACATTTCAACGCAAGCGAAGGGGAGAAATTACCATTTTTTGTGGGATTTGACATTGCAAAAATAGCTGGTCTTGTCGAGGTTGAACCTTTCATGGCTTCTAAAACCTTAAACACAACCATATGTCAGAATAATGGAAGCACGAGGCATCAAAGCCTCATTAGAAGCTATGAGCTATGCTAGATTATATTTGCTAGCTCATTTAACTAGCAGTTACCATCAAAATCAGATAATGAAAGACAATGGTCGCTGAAGAAATTATCATAATCGACCACACCTTCTATAGCACAGCACTAGATTATACTTTTTCCTGCATGTTTAAGCTTTTGCCAAATTTGTTTACCTCTTTCGAGAATAAACCTCCAACTGCAGATAAACCCAGAAGCACATCAGGTTTAACTTCCCGAACCTAGCCAGATGAAACAGAAAACTGTTGGTTTCTTGCTAGTTTTAAGCTTTTGTGAGGCTGAATTTCTATCAACCACCAAATTCATTGCCAAATAAAATTTGGTATAACTGATGAACATATCAATAAAAAGCTAAAAAGAATCACAGACCACTTCAACAAGACTTGCTCCTTCTTTTAATCCTTGACGCTCCATTTCTTTAGTCTTCCTAGCAAATGGCTTAGCCTCTGGATCAATATCTTCTCGTCCTTCAGTGATAAGACCCTAGTTATGTGCAACAAAAGAGTTAACAACTTCAGCTCACCAAGCTCTTGCACAAAACAAGCGCCAAAGGAACAGATGATGAAGTGATTTGGCTAGTAAAAGAAAACCAGGGGGAAATCCCTTGACCGGAGGAAAACGACTCATGAGCTCCCGACACTAATATGGAATAACATACCTGAGCATCAACCACCCAAAATTGACTTTGTGCACTATCAAACGCGGTTTCGGTATTTCCCAACATCCGTGCCATTGTCTTCCTTGCAGCATTTAGAACACCGATTCCCGCACTACAAAAGAATCAAAGAAAGCTCAATATATAACTATTCTAAGCTACTTCATGATGCTTTTCACATATGCAATCACATCCACTTAGATTAATGCAATCGGAAGTTTCCATCGGATAAATGTCTTTGAACAACACTAAAACAGAAGATGCACCAGTAAATAAATAAACAATAAGCCCACATTTACCAATTAAAGTCTAGGATAAACTAGGAAAAGGAAAGCCAGGAAAATAGCAACAGAGAATGGTTTACCTTCCAGCGCCAGCAACAACAATCTTCATCTTTGGAAAATCAATCATCGGCCGCCCTTGAGCTCTAACTGCTCCAAGAAGACCAGCGATCGCAACCCCTGCTGTCCCCTAAGCCGGATCATGAGACATATTAATCATAACACGAAAACCAAATTTTACTATCAGCATTTCTAGTTTCAGTTTTCTGTTTATTGACTCTACTCTTTAAAAAATGCCAGAAGTTAACTAACACATTGACCTGATATAAGTAGTATAGAAACAAATAATGGCAAAATTCATCTTCACAAGAATCACTCGAAGGCGGAAGACTCATTACCTGGACATCATCATTGAACATTCGGTAGCTGTTTCTATACCTCTGCAATAATTTGAAAGCCCACTTGCTCTGGAAATCCTCAAACTGTGGGCAGAGAAATATTAAAACGTTTCATTAACAAGAAACATTTGTTATACCAGAGATCTATGAAGCATCAGTTACCTGCACAATAACATGTGGCCACCGAGTAAACACTGCCTCCATAAATTCATCGATTACTTCTATATATTCGTCATTTTCTAAACGATGTTGCTGCAGTCCCAAGTCTGTCAACAAATAAAAACACAGAAAGAATGATACCATAAGACATAATAATAAGCTAATAATTGACTTCAGTACAGGTAAGAGGTGCAAATGAATCTTACAGAGGGGGTTTTTGAGTAGTTTTTCATTGTTTGTTCCAACATCAATCATGACAGGAAGTACCTAAACCAGCACGCACAACATCAAGTATTGTATCACGTCATCATTGAGAAAAGTGAAGAGGAAAGAAAAGAAAAAAAGAAGAAAACAGAGGATGCTGTGAGTACCCGTTGCGGATTTATTCCAGCTGCAGCAACATATAAATCAAGCTTCCCTACAGAAATTCCAATTCCATGAATGCCTAGATCTCCAAGACCCAAAATCCGGCTTCCATCGGTAACAACAATCATATCAACCTTGATGTAAAATGAAAACGTTACATCAGAAAACTAATGGTCACTAAACTATATATATGCGTTTCTCGGTATAATAGAGACAAAAGTGTCAGATATATCAAAGACCTGTTCAGCTGGCCAGTTGTAAACCATAGACATCATTTCACCACGATCTTCAGAACTAAAATACATCCCTCTTGGCCTCCTAAACAACCCACTGTAGTTTTGGCAGACAAGACCAACCGTAGGAGTGTAGACTATCGGCGCATATTCCTCAATATTGGCAATCAAAACCTAAAACATGTTTAAAAACAACAATGGTGATGAGTTAGGTAAGTATCGTTGTGAAGCTTAAGTAAGTAGAGCAACTTGTGCCTCTTCATAGGTCAAAGCAAACAGTGTAAGCAACTCTTGCACAGATTTTAGCAGCAAATAGAGCAACTTTAAGACCTTCTCTTAGCTCAAGGACGAAAAATATTTCACCTTGTAGTACATGGTCTCATTTCGGTCGTGCAAACGATTAAGAATCCGCCATTTAGCGAGAGCGTTTGGATCAGAAGGTCCATCTCTTGCTTGCTCCTCCAATCTCTTCAGGTCAGTCACTGTTGTAGAAAAAAAAATCGATCCTTTCATTGAGGTACAAAGACGCTTATATCTTTTCAAAACAAGAAATTTCCAGTAGTATCTTACTAAAACGAGTAATTTGCTGATCAGAATCCATGACATTAGGTGGAAGAAGACCCCTAAGATCAAGACGGTCTCTCTCCGTCATCGTGAACGCAGTTCCCTAAACAGAGAGTTTGATTCGATTTCGATTGAAAAAAAAAAAGCATAATTTCAGATCTAGTTCGTGTTCAGATTCGAAATCACAAGCTCAATTGATACCTTGTTGAACCAAGGGTCGTGGAGGATATCGAGGCTTCGTTTATGGACGATCGTTGGACGGTGGCCTTCCGTCGTGGTGAAGGATCTGGCGGATGAATAGAGTATTCTCCGGTGTAGCATACGGCTGAGTGAAGAACTCAGCCGGAGTTTGTTCCCTATGCCCATCGCTTTCGGGTTTTTCCGGCGAAAACTAGTACCGATCTGAGACTTCACAGTGTTTTCCGACTCTCTCTCTCTCTCTCCGTGTGTGTGAATGTGTGTGATGATTGATGATTATCAGAGTCTCATTTTCTGTCTTTTTTCAATTCGTTTCTTTTTATTTAATTTTTTTATTCCAAGATTCTCATTTCCTTTCTTCTTCTTTTTTCTTATCATTTTTTTCCCGCAATTTTGGTCAATGAAAAAATATTCCTCAAAATCTACCAAAATATTCGTTTATGACACAACATTTTATTTTAATTTTAAAGAGTTTTTTTTTGTAACTGGATATATTTCTAAAGAGTTGAGTTTGAGTTTGAATTAATGATGAAGAAACAAAGTACAGGAACAACTACAGAAGAAAAAAACAACTAATAGCAACAATAACAGAGCAACAAATAACACAAATTTGTCTTTTGAAAAACCATAAGAAAACAAAAAAACATAATTCTAAAATGGCCAAAAGCCAAGAAGAAATATCAGTGTCTATAATTGTAGCAACAACATTGTGGCCCTTTTGCACTACCGTAAAAGTCACACTGTCCTCCTGCATAGTGAAATTTTTGTGTACAGTCATCGAAACATGTGCGTTGTCCGTAAAAGCTTGGGCATGGCCTAATGCAACGATCATATTTTGGTGGTTGCACGTCCGCTGCAAATGAACAACCCAAGTTAATATATATGGTTATTATACTTATTACCATTGCTTTTCGATCTCAAATGATCAAAAATAGTGGAAAATATAACAACTTACCCGGATCGGCCAAAATGTTGTAGCTAGAGAACGAAATTGCCAGCATTACCGAAAGAAAAATCGTCGAAGTGTTTTTATGATATCCATTGTATTGTTTTCACTATAAAAACTCGATTAAGACAAATAGTGTTTTTATTTTGTTTTGAAGATCTTCTGGAAATGCACTATTTATATAGTTTTATGTCAAAGTAAAATCTCAATTTGAAGTTTGACTACAAGTTATTTAAATGGTATTGACTGTAATTCAATATGAAGTTTGACTAAGATTTTTTATGTACCGTAATTATATATTTGACTAAACATAACTTTGATTACTTATGTTTACTCTAATACTATATACGTCATGTTTGGACTCATCACAAGAGTAACCTATTGGAGATTAATTTAAAACTAAACTATAACTTGAGATCACCGAGGAAAAGTGAGGGATGAATCGGTGATGGTTTTGATACAAGAGACCACAAAACTGAGAGACAGAAATTTGAGGATAGAGTTTTTAATTTCTCTGAATAATTGCAGAAGAAGCTTTCAGATTACTGTATATTCTTATTATTAGTTTATGACACAGCATTTTATTTTTAATTTAAAGAGTTTACTTTGAAGTAATAAAGAAGAAATGAAGTTGAAGAGCAACAAATAACACAAATGTATCTTCTAAAATAAGATAAGAAATATCTAATTCTTAAATGGCCAATAGCCAAGAAGAAATATCAATGTCTATAATTGTAGCAACAACATTGTGGCCCTTTCCCACCAGCAGAATCACACTGTCCTCCTGCAAAGTGAAACTTTTGTGTACAGTCATCGAAACATTTACGGTTTCCGTAAAAGCTCGTACATGGCCCAACGCAACGATCATATTTTGTTGGTTGCACGACCGCTGCAAATGAACAACCCAAGTATATATATGGTTATTAATTAGCATTGCTTTTCAAATGATCAAAAATAGTTGAAATACCTGGTTTGGCCGCCAAAACGTTGTAGTTAGAGAACGAAACTGTCAAGATTACAGCAAGAAAAATAGTCATGAATGTTTTTATGATACCCATATTGTATTGTTTTCACTATAAGTTCTATTAAAGACAAATAGTGTTTTGATATATTTTGAAGATCTTATGAAAATGCAGTATTTATATAATCTTCTGTCAAGTAAAATCTCAATTTTAATTTCTGCCAGATCTTTTATTTTTATGTTTACCATTGATGACTCTTCCAAAACTGGAACATTATATTGGGCTTGTGTTGCTAATTTGGAGATGTATTGAACATGAGATTTGAAGTGATTTAGAGTGATCAGATTTTTAGTGAGTTTTTAGATGATTTTGGGTGAATTGTAGAATTTCTTACTATGATTTTAGTTAAAGTATTCTATCATCCCATCTAAAATCATGTGATTTGGATTCTCATAATCAAACTAAATATATGATAAGTACTCTCATATATACGTACACACGTCACGTTTGGACCCATCACAAGAGTAACCTAATGGAGATTAGCGAGTACCAATTAACTATTTCGGGAAACAAGAGTCAATGGTGAACTAATTGACTCTATTGTGATGAATCTAAATATTTTCACATGAATCTTATTGTGATGAATCTATTACGTAATCTATATCCTCAACGTCAAAATGAACTACAAAAGAATGTGGTACTATTTGCTTTACTTTTCACAGTGAAAAAAAATAAGATTAAAAGCTCAAACATACGTAGAAATGATTTAAAATGTTTGGGACATAGTAAGCAGATACGTAGAGAGAATTGGCAAAAAAAAGTCTGGAGCTTCTAAGGTTAAAAAAAAAATAAATAAATACAAATAGGTAGGAAATAAAATAACTTGTTTTTATTCTTTCTTACTTCACCGGATGAAAGATCGTTTTGCTGGGAAGAACCCTCCTCGTTTTGCTACGGTTCTGATTCTCCGCGGTTTGACTTCCTCTTCGCTTCTCACAGAGATGGCCTCCGGTTCTTTCCTGTAAAAGCCCACACACACACACACACACACACAGTTAAAAGAGAGTTCCAACACAAAACCAGATAATTAATATATTTGTAATCTAGAGCAGTCTTTTAATAGTGAAACTCTTGGGTTTCCATTACATAAAAACAATCTCATTGTGTGTGATTTTAAGCATTACATTGTAAGACTAAATGAACATAGTATAACTAATTCTCTATAAGCATCCGATCCAATATAAAAATTATAATTTGAGTAAGATCACAAAGAAAGCAAGAAAGAAATTTGACTAACCTCTTTGTTTTCCTTTTTGTTTTGTCTTTGGGTGTATTCTTCCTCTGAATGTGAACCTCCCTTGGAACGTAATCAAGGAGATGTGGCCATGATCCCTCTTTAGTCACATCATCATAGATTTGTTGATGTGTTTCCTTACCAACTATGCAAATGTTTGTCCTCTTCTTCTCTTCTTCATCATCATCATCATCATCATCATCATCATCATCATCGTGGACCACGTCTAGGCTACAATACACTGCCACTTCATTCTCCTCGTCCAGCAAGAAACTTACCACAGTCACCAACTTTCCCAACTCAAAATGACCCAAATCCACAACCAAGAACTCTCTCCACGAAACCTTCTTATCGATCTTATCGCTCGTCGTCACCCATATCTTCATCTGTAACGAGAGCCTATGAAGATACTGATGCAACACCGCGAGCTGCTCATCTCTAACAGCTGCAAGAACACCTGTATCTACATGATCATCTGTCTCGATATCATCAGGACCATCAACCTCGTACGGAAGAGAGATAAACCCAAATCTCTCTCTTGCGAAATCAAAACTCAGTATGGACTGACCAGACTCCTCATCGTCATATTTAGCAATCCAATAAGCCGTGCCTTTAACCGACACGCCAGGAGATGATATGTCCCAGTCATGTTTCTTGACATCTATGACCCTCCACGAATCAGAGCTAAACTCATATACTTCAACTTCAGAAACCTTGCAGTAACCACGGTAATATCTCAAGACTTTGTAGGAGGGAGATGACTTGCTGCCTACGTATCCAATAGCATACATGTCACCACTCTCGTAACGGGTCCTTGGTTCGATCAACCTTGTTTCACCGTTACAAGGGTTCGAAACCACGAGCTTTTTGTTTCCCTCCACAGTGCATAGTATCAAACCGTTGCAGTAGAAAACGTCAGATATTTCGAGACCATGTTTTGGATCTTTTAGATTGGTAAGCGTACCTCTAATCTCCATGGAACGATCGACGCTGTTTTGAATCCCATGGAGATTGGTTGCATAAACGCTACCGTTCAGCAATAAGACGACCTCTCCTGCTGCTGCTTTAGCCAAGTTTCTCTCCACGAGTAAAGCTTTGAGTAAACTGTACCATCGTTTACAAGTAGTTTGCCATTTTGCTAGAGATTTGTTGGGGACTCTGGTGAGTATTTCTGTTTGCAAATCACGTGGAAATTCGGAGTTCGACATTTTGTCTCTGACTCTCTCCCTCTCGAGAGAAAGAAAAGCGTATAGGGCGGCGAATAGAAATTGCGAAGAAATGATATGGTGTGCCCTAATCTTTCTATGGAAACCGTATATACGTTTTTGTGTGCTCCTATTTTCTTGGTCTACAGTTGGTTCCACGTAAAGAAGTTCGAATATTCGCTGGGATTTGTAGATATTTTAAATTTTTGAATGGTTGCTGAATTTGTTATTCTGAAAACATATGTTCATGTCACACAATTATTTGCTCATTATTTAATGTATGAACATAAGGTGCATAATAATTTAAAGAATAAGCATAAACCATGAAATCAAACCAATATTTATGAATTGAAACTTTTTTTGTTCCTTTACTATTCATGAGAAAACATTTTTTCTCTATTATTTCTGTTCCCACTAATCTCTATTCCACTCAATCCCCTAACGATAAACATTTCACTCAAAATAGTACAATTGAGAGGTCCAAATTAACAAATACACTATCTTATTATATAAAGCTGGATGCGCGCGACGTGGTTGCGACACGTAGGATTTTTATAAAATTTAGGATTGCGACATGTGTCACTTTTAATGTTATGTCCGTTAAGATCGTGACATGTGTCTTAGAAAAAAAAAAAAAAATAATTAAAAAAAATAGATAAAGGAAAAAAAACGAAATTTTAATCTTTTATAGTTAAAAGAAAAAAAAAATATATTTGTCATATCCTAATAGAAAAAGGTTTCCCATTCATCAAATTTATATTATCCAAACACATATAAGATTCAAATTAATGAAATAAATAAAATCCTATTAGTACATGAAATAGGTTAGGTAAACTAAATTTCCTATAACTGCATGGAATAAGTTACATGAACCCCTATAAAAAGAGAGTTAAAGTAGTTTTTTTTCTCATTCACAAACTCATCAAAGCAAACAACATGATAGCAATACGTATGATTTTTATAACTCACAAAATTGCGATATGTGTTTATATTCCCATTATGAACAGGAAAAAAACAATATATAATAAGCTATTGCGATTCAATTATGTGCTTCTATCTTTTGTATAATCTTTTCTCTCATAAAAAATCATGTATTTAAAATTCATGGTATCAATGAATAATATTTAACTCTATATTAGTTGGATAGAAATCAAAATTATTGTCGATACATGTATCTAACTCTATATCGGTTGGATAGAAATCAAAATTATTGTCGTTACATGTATTTGATCCGGTGAAGACATGTTAATTGGAAAAATGTTAAACAGATATAAAAACTAGAAAAATAATTAAAAAAAAACTAACTAATAATGAAAATGAAAATTTATAATGGTCTGAGTCAAAAACAAAATTGAGAAAGAAACAATATAAATAGAAAACTAACAAATTAATTATCAAGCAACTAACTAATATTAAGAAAATATAATGAACCGATATTCTAATTTTAAATAGTTTAATTTTCAATATTGTTAGGTAAAAAATTATTAAATAAAGATTTCATCAATTGAAATCTCTTGAATGGAATAATAAAGTTTTGTTGAATTAATTAATCAGTTGATCATATTTAGACATATATAAGTCTTTCTATATTGGATAAAAATAAAAATAAAACAAATTAATTCATTTTTCATATCATGAATTCAAAAAAATATCAATTACAATAAAAACGTAAAAAGGTTACCGATCTTATTTTATTTAAATATTTTTATCGGGTTTTTAATATTATTCTGTTTACTTTAAAATGATCAAATTTGGTTTAATACTTTTCCATGATTTTATTACAAAATCTTAAAATAAATATACGCGGGTCTTTAATCTAGTGGTACATAAACTCAAATAACATAGACACATACTCAAACAAAGTAATTAATTGAGTTTTGAGTGTAATTTTCTCCTACGGTTAATTTCTTGGTTTTTATATTGTCTATTTACTATAATCTCCCTCGATTATATTGCTGAACAAAAAAACAAAAAAAACAAAAAACTAGGGCCGTGCCAGTGAGTGAACACAAAAGAGAAAATAAAGGGGGTTCTGAAGAAAATCGAAAAACCCTGCAATCTCCACCAGCGAGAGATGAGCAATTGGAAGACTCTTCTCCTTCGCATCGGCGAAAAGGGTCCCGAGTACGGGACCTCCTCCGACTACAAAGACCATATTGTCAGTACTCTCTCTCTCGATTCATCTTCCCTCTTAAACCCTAATTTTGCTCTGAAGTCCTTTTGGGAGCTCATCGCTTGCTCGTTGTAGTCCATATACCTTTCGTTTACTCAAATTTCTCCGTTCTGTGTGTTTTATATGCAGGAGACTTGTTTTGGTGTTATTCGGAGAGAAATCGAGCGTTCTGGGGACCAAGTTTTGCCTGTAAGTTTAACATCGTTGTTCAAATTTGATGAAATGTGTCACTGATTCGGTAGTCTAATAGTGTTATTTCATCTTCTACAGTTTCTACTGCAATGTGCTGAACAATTGCCTCATAAGATTCCCTTGTATGGGACTTTGGTAAGTCTTCTTTTTCACTAAAGCCTTCTTTTTTCTTTTCTGGGTATGTATTAGATGTGTACTAGGTAGAGATTTCGATTGAGTCCTATATGATTTCTGTGAATTGATGCATATCGAATAAGAATTAGCTCTGAAGTAATAACCCAATGATAAAAATTCCCTTTAGGTGGATTATTTTGTGTCTAACATATCATAGATGACATACTGTAGAAATCAACTTATTCATAGTACTGGCTGTATTAGGTGGTGAAATCTGACAGAACACGCAAAGTATCATTTTCTACTTTTGAGCAATTAAGAAAATGCACAAATATGTTCTGAAGGATGGCTAATTAGCTCTGTATGAGTATGCATGAAGACATACTATGGCATTTTAGTTTTGTGCTCAGCATTTGGATATACGCTGAACAGAGATATCTTGTTCCCTGTTGTATATTAGTTCAGTTTAATTTGATAAATGTACTTCAAAAAGTGATGGATGTCTTTGCACATGGTGCAGATTGGTTTGCTGAACTTGGAGAATGAGGACTTTGTTCAAAAGATGGTAGAAAATGTCCAAGCTAATTTCCAGGTGAGTAATATGTACATCAATGGCCAATAATAATTTCATTCGAATAGCTAAATTGATAGAATAAGTTTTTTTGTTTCAGTTAGTTTTGTTTGTATTGTAACTGCTTTAACCGGGTCGAACATGCCAGGTCGCTTTGGATTCTGGCAACTGCAACAGTATCCGTATATTGCTACGCTTTATGACTTCACTGGTATGGTTACGAATCTTGTTAAATATTTGCTTCGTTAATTGATATGCAAGTTCATATATTCTAGACACCAAAAGCGTCTGCAACATAAAACTGTGAATTTTACAGGGATATACAGAATGTGCGCAAATATTGAGATGTTTGTATATTTTCTTAACATGCTTTATTTGTCTTCTTTAGTTGTGCAGTAAAGTTATTCAACCTGCTTCTTTGATTGTCGTGTTCGAAACATTATTGTCATCTGCTGCCACCACTGTGGATGAAGAGAAAGGGAATCCATCATGGCAGTCACAAGCTGACTTTTACGTTGTATGCATCTTGTCCAGCCTTCCATGGGGAGGAGCAGAACTCGCTGAGGTACTGTTTTTGAACTGCGTCTATACGTGCTGCTGTAAACTCTTATCTTAGGTTGTTACCGTAGCTGAATTTCCCTGAATAACCCTCTTTCTTGCAGCAAGTACCTGATGAGATCGAAAGAGTGCTAGTCGGGATACAAGCTTATTTGAGCATCCGAAAGCATTCTTCCACCTCTGGTTTAAGTTTTTTTCACAACGGCGAATCTGAAAATAATCTTGCAGAAAAGGTTTGATTTTAGTTCTTAATTTTTGAAGTTGTTGTATTTTGTATCATGGTTTAGTAACTTTAGTTTGCCTTGTTCGTCTTTGTTGTTTGCTGTCTCTTTAGGATTTCATGGAGGACCTATTGGATCGAATACAGTCTCTGGCTTCCAATGGATGGAAACTTGATAGTGGTATGCATGTTTTTTAAGGTTTTGATTTCTCTTTGTATCACTAAGACTGCAACCCACAACAATCCTCTCCTTAATTCCTCTTTCTACCTTCTTTTACCTTACGAATTATTAGTTAATCAATTCATATGGCTAGAAATGTTAGTTGTATATTACTATTGATGACAATTGAATGTTTTTTTAACGTGCTAGTTCCTAGGCCTCATCTCTCGTTCGAGGCTCAGCTTGTTGCTGGAAAATTTCATGAGCTAGGCCCCATTAAATGTATGGAACCACCGAGTCCACCTTCTGATCTTTCAAGAGCACACCTCGGCAAGCAAAAGCATGATGCGTTGATGAGATATCCCCAGAGGATTCGCAGGTTGAATATATTTCCAGCGAATAAAACAGAGGTGATATTCTGCTCTGTGGTGTCTTATGTTTATATGGATAAATCACTTTAGAGGTTTATTACACTTGTTACAGTTCCAGTCATCAACATTTATTTTCTCTTATCTATTATATACGTTGATTGATATATGGGTTGTACGATGTCAGTTTGTATTCCTTTTCTTTTTCCTACCCTCTCTTCTGATGCTGTAACTTTTAAACTCGCAGGATATTCAACCTATCGATCGCTTTGTCGTGGAGGAGTACCTGCTGGATGTGCTCCTCTATTTAAACGGATGGTATGTATTTTAGCGAAACTGGAGTGCTCTTGGATTTTTATATTCTTATTATATTTTACGCAGTGGACTGTCGTCTATGTATTGCTGGTTTTGGTGTAGATCTTGGTTTTGTCCTCCCTACCATTAACAACTAGTCAAATCCTCTTTTAATATCTATCCTTAGCTTAAGGTTTAGATCTTGGTTTTTTCCTCTGGACTAGTAACAATTAGTCTTGTGCTCTCCAAATATCTAACTTTAACTTATTGCAAACTAGTCGGAAGGAGTGCGCTTCCTACATGGCTAATCTTCCAGTTCCTTTTCGGTATGAGTACCTTATGGCAGAGACACTATTTTCTCAGGTGAAGTTCTATTGTTATTTAAATTTGGAATTTAGTTCTCTATTGAGTGCTCTGTCGAAAGTTTTTAGATATAACAATTGGATGTACTGATTTTCAGATACTGCTGCTACCACAGCCACCGTTCAAGACTCTTTATTATACTCTCGTTATTATGGATCTTTGCAAGGTAGCAACCAAAAGGATTTACTTTGATCATTCGATGGTTTTCTCTTCGCTGGTGTCATATCTTTTACTACCTGATTCCAAATATTTTAATTATCTTAGGCTCTTCCCGGTGCCTTTCCTGCTGTTGTTGCTGGCGCTGTTCGTGCACTCTTTGAGAAAATTTCCGACTTAGATATGGAATCCAGGACACGTCTTATCCTCTGGTTTTCTCACCATTTGTAAGTACATTTTCATTTTTCTTACCTTTTCCACTTACGCGATCTCGAAAATGTGCTTCAGTGAGGAATCAGTTATTAAATTAGTTATTCATCACATGAAGTTGATTGCATATTTGCTTTGATTTCCATGCTTAACAGATCCAACTTCCAATTCATCTGGCCGTGGGAAGAGTGGGCTTATGTGTTGGACCTTCCCAAATGGGCCCCTAAGCGTGTATTTGTTCAGGAGGTTTTGCAAAGAGAAGTACGCTTGTCTTACTGGGACAAAATTAAGCAGGTAACATTAATTTTGTTTTGATTTATATATTCTGTTAAAAAAAAATTTGCTTCGTCCTCCTTTACTGGTTTGTGTGGTCAGTTTGGTGATGGGATTTGGAATTGGTTATCTTTAGTATTTCACTCAGAAGTTCTTTGTCTCTACGTGTGTCAAACAGAGCATCGAGAGTGCGAGTGCCCTAGAAGAACTGCTACCTGCAAAAGCTGGTCCGGCTTATATATATTCCTCGGAAGAGGGTAAAGAGAAAACAGAAGAACATCAATTGTCAGCTGAGTTGAACAAGAAGGTCAAGGAAAAACAATCTGCACGTGACATGATGTCATGGATTGAAGAAACGATATATCCAGTTCATGGATTTGAAGTGACTCTTACAGTAGTTGCACAGACATTACTTGAGATCGGATCAAAAAGTTTCACTCACATGGTCACTGTCCTGGAGCGATATGGCCAAGTATTTGCAAAGCTTTGTCCTGATAATGACAAACAGGTGATGCTGTTATCTCAAGTGAGTACATACTGGAAGAACAATGCACAAATGACTGCGGTGGCCATCGATAGGATGATGGGTTATAGACTCGTATCTAATCAGGCAATTGTTAGATGGGTCTTCTCCCCGGAAAACGTTGATCAGTTCCATGTGTCTGATCAGCCATGGGAGGTCAGTTGCATATTCCTTTACGTATTTAATCTGATTTCATACTCTGAAGAGCTTATTTGCTTATACTTTGATTTTTCTTTCTTTCTCTGCAGATACTTGGGAATGCCCTTAACAAGACTTACAATCGTATCACTGATTTGAGGAAAGAAATATCAAACATTACGAAAAATGTCTTGGTCGCTGAGAAAGCTTCAGCAAATGCACGAGCAGAGTTGGAGGCGGCCGAGAGCAAACTTTCCCTAGTGGAGGGTGAGCCTGTTCTTGGTGAGAATCCGGCAAAGATGAAGCGTTTAAGAGCAACGGTGGAGAAGACAGGTGAAGCAGAGGTATCTGTAAGGGAGTCCCGCGAGGCAAAAGAAGCCCTTCTAAACAGAGCTCTCTCTGAAACCGAGGTATTAAATTAGTTGGCATCCCGTTATAGTGCAGCAGATGGTCTTATATTTTGTAGTGTACTGTATTGGCTTTGTGTTCGTTTTGTTTGCTGAAAGCTAATTGACTTTCCTTGTGGCGTAGGTTCTACTGCTTCAGCTGTACCAAAGCTTCTCAGCAATCTTGAAGGAACGGCTTCCAGAAGCAACCAAAGCGAGATCATTGCAGGATCTAAAATCTATGAGCGCGGAGGATGAGAGCTCCTCTGCGATGGAAGTGGACAGTGAGAATGGAAACCCGAAGAAAAAGAGCGAGATAGGTGAGAGAGAACAGTGGTGCTTATCAACACTTGGCTATCTAACGGCGTTTACAAGACAATATGCAGACGAGGTAAGAGTTGGACGTTGTGAGAGCTTAAATACGATTTTATAAAACTGAAAATTCTTACTTGTTTCTCAATGTCTTGTAGATATGGCCACACATGGAGAAGTTGGAGTTGGAGGTGTTCTCTGGAGAAGATGTTCATCCTCTTTTTCTTGAAGCCGTATTTTCTGCACTCCAGTTCCCTTCACAATAAACCTCATCTTTTTCATCTGGAACCTGTGTCTCTTGTTTTTGTGTTGTAAGATTTTTTGACATTCAAGTTTTACTAGTATGGGAATCCAATATCCAAGCAAATTGGAAAAACAAAGAAGAGTGTAAACAGTTCTATTAGTACTAGCTCATTTCTCAGTGTCGTGTTGTCGGTTTCCTTGCTATAACAAAACAAGCAGCTATTATTGATTAAAAGAGTTTTTTACAAACTTGATTGGTTGCTTGGATAAGCCTAATTTTTAGAATCGAGCCACGTGGCCTTGGTGGAGGCAAGGGCTTGACGTTAAGTTATGGCCATGTACATGTCCGAATGACGTCGCGGCTTGATAGTGGTGAGTAGGCCTTGGCCGAAATAACCGACCCAAAACCGTTTCGGTTACAGTCAAATATCTGTGAATTAGATACTTGATTTGGATGATCAAGTCATAGTGTGGTGATTGGTGAATCAGATAGATTTTCATTGACAGAATACGCGTGAACACACACACACACACGTGTAGAGTATCTTGGGAAGATATGAACGAAGATACATACAAGAAGAATAACAATATAGTTTTGGCTTTATCCAAAGAATTGCACTTTATAAACAAACACAGCGAGCATGCATGGTCTCACTCATGGGATTGAGTTATAAAGACCCCGTAATATTGGCTTTAAACGCTGTATGAGGACTGATATGGGACTCCTCGTTACAGCCTGATTCATGATCGGCATCTTAGTTTCCTGGAAGCACTCACATGCATGTACCTATCACAGAGAACACAAAAAAAAGTTAGGTAATGCAGATAAAGAGTTTGACAGCAGAAGAACTTTACCTCTTCACTACGTCTTCCAGCTGGGAATCGAATGATTTGACTAGAATCCTGCTTCCACTGGATGCAAGGGCTAAGGTCAAGGTGATCAACGTCATGGTCAATCGAAGTATCCAGGCATTCGCAGCCATGCGCATATAGATACTTAAGGCTCAATGGAAGTGATTCTTTCAATGACTTGAGTTTCTTGCAATAATTGAGGCAGAGAGTTACCAAGGAAGAGAGATCCTTGATGCTTGTAGGCACTGTTTCAAAATCGTGTCTACTGATATCTAAATATGTTAGATTAGTAAACCGAGTAAGCTGATCAGACAAAGACTGAACATTCTTGCAATTGTCAAGACGAAGCTCAAGCAAGCAATATCTTCTTTGATCTTGTTCTGAATGAAGAAGGTTCACCAATACTCTGAGGCTGTTACAGTCGGAAAGTGTGAGCGTCTCCAGCTGATATAGTTCTGGCAATGCTTCAAGTCTGCGGCAGTTGGAAAGTGTCACATGCTTCAACCTCGGAAGATGAATCATCGATGTAGGTAATACCCTGAAGTCATTTCCACTTAGGTCCAGTTTCTCTAGGACTTGCATGTGGTTAATGTCATCTGGGATTTTTTTGATGTTTAGGTTGATTAGATTTAAATCCGTCAACCACGGAAAATCTGTAAAGCTATAACACTCGAAAGGATCACGTTTCTTATTGCGTGTTAGCCGCATGATGTCGAGTGATTTAAAACTGTAGGGTGGTGAACTGAGTTGAGCTGCACAAGTTTCCGACATCATTTGTTTATCAGAGGTCTTTTGCTCCGAAATAAAACATAGATGATCTGCATCTCCCCAAAGAAGCTCTAGCTCAATTTTGATATTGCCCATGACTGATAGATTTGTAAGAGGAACGCTCTCCATCTCTTTCTTTTGTTGAAAATCCATGCGGATCAATCTAACGTGCATGCACCGGCCGGAGCTGTTGACTTGTATAGCAGTAGGTTCAGATTCACCTATTATAATTAGATTCTTAATCCCATCACAGTTAAATAAATCAAACTTCTTCAGTTTAGATAATCTAAAGATTGACGTCGGAATCCGTTTCAGGGAAATGCAACCTCGTAGTATCAACTCCTCAAGACACACAGCTTCCTGAAGATTTGGAAGCTCTTTCAGATCCTTAGAGCCTGTCATATCAAGCCTCCTCAGATGCAAAAGTCTCTGTGAAGAAAACAAAAGGAAAAGTTCAAAACAAAATTTATAGAAAACAAATTTTGATGTATTAACCGACATTAGTATTGTAGGATAGCATACCGGGGTTTCTTTCCAAAGCGTTCTGAGCTTGCTATAACAAAGATTTATTTCAACAAGATTTTCTGGACGGATTGTGGAAGGCAAGGTCGTAAAAGGATATGAATCCCAGTGTAGTAATCTAAGCTTATGAGGAGCTAGAAAATTTCCCTTTAGACTGCGTCTCCAGGAATTTGAAACGTGTTGGTGCTCGTAGACATTCAAAAAGTTTAGATTATGCATCCGTTTGAAAAAATTCCAACCAAGAAAAGAACGAAAGGGCAATTCGCAAGAATGTACGGTCAGGCCTTCAATTTTACTTGTACCCTGATGATGGAAACACAAAAAAAATTAATATGGTGAAGATGAACCATGGCATGCATAGCCAAAAAAAAAAAAAAAAAAAAAAAAAAAAAAAAAAATCAGAACAGTAGTTTGTAGAAGCTTACTGCGTTTTCAACTAGCACACTATATATGTCCTCTGGATCCCACAAAATTCGTTGATCAGAAGGCTTGTTTCCGGATTCTAGTTTCACAATCTGTCTTCCCATATTCTCTACCAAAGCATGCATAGCTATATACCCATCATTAGATATGTTGATTAGAGACTTTTCCTCTAACAGGCTTATCCCTAGTTCTCCACTATCAAGAAGGGTCATGGCGCGCCAAACAGGATCTCCATTAAAGAGGCATGCAACATGAAGAAAAGCAGTCTTACCATCTTTGTTTAAGCTATTATAGCTAACTTTCAAGATATTTGTGATATTCTCGTACGGAGCTGCTTTAAATGATGCTAATGCAATTTCCCATGCCTTTTGGAACTTGCCATGGAGATATAAACCTAAAGCCTCTAGGGCCAAAGGAAGACCATGGCCAAGCTCATATGCACGCAATGAAAGCTGTATATCGGCAAATAAAGGGCGTCTTCCTTTAAAAGCAATATGTACAAATAGATTGAGAGCATCATCTTTATCCAAGCACTTAACATCATATACCACATAACAGAAGTTAAAGACGCTCTTGTCTCGTGTGGTTACGATGATTCGGCTCCCTGGTCCAAACCATGCACACTCTTGTGCTAGGGCCTGCTTCACATCATCCACATCATCAAGGACAATCAAAATTTTTCGTTTTCCAAGCCTTGACTTGATTAGATCGGCTCCCTGTTCCACGCTCCACAACTTCTCATCTACTTTGCCAAGAATTTTAGAGAGAAGCAGTTCTTGCAAGTGTAAGAGACCATGTTTGGTAGATGTCTCCCTAACGTTCTGTATGAAACAATTATGAGGTGAAAACTGATGTCTAAGTTGTTCATATATATACTTGGCGATAGTGGTTTTGCCGATGCCTCCCATTCCCCATATTCCTATCATACGAACCTCATCCTTAGAGTCCAAGTCCAAGAGTGGATTCATTTGTTCCATGTGAGATTTTATTCCAACTATATTACCAAAATCTACTGGCAACATGGATAGCAACCGGCTTGAAATGCGTGTAACAATGTCTTCAATCATCTTGGCCTCATCCTTCCTAACGTTGATGTCTCACGTCAGAGGGCTCAACCCCATAGAAGATCGGAACGACTTTAATTTCCTTCTTCATCCGAAGCTCCATTATCAACCGGAGCTCGTCCAAGCACCACCTTGAAGATGCATAGTTCTTTGAAATCACCACGATAGCAAACCTTGAAGTTTGGATAGCTCCGCGGAGTTCGTCGGAAATGGAGTCTCCTATATGGAGCTCCTGATCGTCTTTGAACGTGACAATTCCCCTGGTGATAAGTGCATTGTGCAAATGACTTAGGAAGGTTTTGCGAGTGTCTTTTCCTCGAAAACTGAGGAAGACATCGTAGTTCCAGATACGAGTTGAAGAGGAGGAAGCCATCGCTTGGATTTGATCAAGCTTAATCCTACACCTCCAATGCCTTTCTCTTTTTTGGGTCAACTTACAAAACGAAGTTTTTAGGAATGAAAACTCTGCTGAAATATTCAAAACATGTAAGAAATAAGAAGAAGGTACAAAAAACCTGTCAGTCAACGCATATTGGCACGCCTTCACGTTGTTAAGGCTGTAGAAAAAAAATTGGATGTACATATCCACATATTTTAATCTTATATATAGTTTGAATTGGCTCAAAAAAGTTACACAGTTGGCAAGAAATATTTTTTTTTCCATATGATTCCATGTTGTTAAGTTTTTTGATAAAGAATAAAAATGCTCCTCATAAAATTTGAAAAGGAACAATAATTCTTATATTCATTTTTATTTGTTTCTAAGTCATTCATATTGCTCCTCTAATGATCACTATTTATAGTGTCGTTTTTCCAGTGTCCCTAGTGGGTGTTCGTGTTAGACTGTTAGGTGTGAACTTTGCTTAAAATACTAGGGTTGGACCCGCGCCTACACGGGGTGATATTTTCTTGATTTAGTTTTATTTTTAGATATCTTTTTACATAAGTATCATTCCATATGATTCCATGTTGTTAAGTTTTTTGATAAAGAATAAAAATGCTCCTCATAAAATTTGAAAAGGAACAATAATTCTTATATTCATTTTTATTTGTTTCTAAGTCATTCATATTGCTCCTCTAATGATCACTATTTATAGTGTCGTTTTTCCAGTGTCCCTAGTGGGTGTTCGTGTTAGACTGTTAGGTGTGAACTTTGCTTTAAAATACTAGGGTTGCGCCTACACGGGGTGATATTTTCTTGATTTAGTTTTATTTTTAGATATCTTTTTACATAAGTATCATTCTAGAAAAATAGGGTGTTAGACAATAAAAAATATGTCAGTTTACATTAGAAATTTTGAGTGATGTATATTTTTTTAGCCTGGATTGGAACATGACGAAATATTAAGTGACACAGTTGAATCCATATATATCTTTTAATAAGTTTGAAATAGTTTTATATGGCATATATATTTAATATTTTTGATCAATTTTAAATAACTAAAATAGTTTAACTTATATATTAAGTTATTAGATTTTATTATGATTTATTTATTTAGTTCAATTAAAGAACAAAATTAAATCAAATTAAAAAAAATTAAAGTTTGGAAACCTAATAAATCAGTTTTTTTACTATGGTTGATCATTATTTGGATCTTTTTTTATAATAGGTTTTTGAACTATCATCCCAAAATATAATCGATATGAGACTTTTAACAATTTTAGAGATTTGCTTCATTTTAAAATTTTCAAATCATAGCATATGCAGAAAAAACTAATTTTGTTTTATGAAATATTTTGATGTAATGATATAATTTATTTTTGAAAAAGTAAAGTTAAAAAAATGATAAGATAATAAATTAATTTTTAAACAATTAATATAATACAATTGAATAAAACTTTCCATATTTTACTGATTGATTGACTAATAAATACTTTTAAATTTATTTATAATTTTCGTCACTACCAGATAAGGAAATAGAAAAAAATTAATTTTAATTAATAATTATTTTTCTGATTAAATTAATAATAAATATTTCAGCACTTGCCTAATAAAGAGATTATTTTTAGAATATTCTGAGAGTGTGGCAAATTGCGACACCTCAGCATGGCATACTTGAAATTAAGTTGAAAACAAAGGGGATTTTTATAAATGTCTTCTCTTTTAATATATAAGGGATGAGCAGTAGAGAAAATGGCTTAAACAAATTTTAGGAGCAACAAAATTTTTTTATGAGCATTTTTAGGACTTTGGAGACATTTAAATCAGTTAAGTCTAAAGTTAATTTGTTAAACAACCCTAGATGACTTTTCCCATCAAAGAAGAAGTAAACGCTAAGGATTGTTGAATAACAAAATGGATCTGATGCAGGTGTATGCGTCAACAAGACAATGACTACCACGTTGTTTATCTCCCTACGCATAACCTCGGGAAAAATGACTAGTTATTCAAGACAATATATTTTTCATCTGAAAATCTGATCTTCTAACTCCTATCATGAAATTCGACGTTTTCCTAAGTTTTAGAGGAACAGACACAGGCAGAACATTTGTCAGTCATCTTTGTCATATATTGGATCGAAGGCGCTTAATAACTTTCAAACATGAAGAGGTTACACCAGGAAACCAACCAGCGTCCTCTGAAGTGCTTCAAGCGATTGAAGAGTCTACAATTGCAGTCGCGATCATATCAGAGACCTACGCTTCTTCCGTCTGGTGTTTAGACGAACTCGAGAAGATAATTGAGTGCAAAGTGAAAGGGTCATTGGCGGTGATGCCAGTCTTTTACGAAGTAGACTATCACGATGTTGTAAGAAAAGCCGAAGAATTAGCAAACGACCTAACTAGGGAGGGGTATAATATGGAGAAGTTGAATAGGTGGAGTGATGCCCTCAAAAGTTTGACCCGCATTCCGAGCCACAATTCTAGTCAGTGGTACCAACTCTGCATTTTTTTTATTTATTCTGCTTTTTTTCCATTTCTTGCAACTCCTGAATCTCTCTGACATTCTGGATGACAGGTTGGAAGACTCAAAAATGATCGAAAACATTACTGAGAATGTTTTTGGTCATTGGTTCGCGGCTCAACCATCATTTGGCAACACGATTGATGGAATCCCGAGCTTAACTACTGGGATTGACGCGTTAATTAGTACCACTGACCTTGTCAGTATCACGATTCAAGATGCTAGAGATAGTCTTGGGACGTTGGCTGGAAGATACATGTTGGGAGAAAAGCCTATTAGGGTCGAGCCTAGGCCTGGGAGCTCCGTTTACGGAGAAGAATATATTACTGGCAATGAGTTGGCTCGGTTAGTCCCATCCGTGTCCAGCGGTTTTAAAATCTTTGGCATGGACCGGCACATGAAAGCAATATACACATTGCTTGGTCTCGAACTGAATGATGACGGAGTTCGTGAAATTGGCATTTGGGGTGCGGCAGGAGTCGGCAAAACGACTTTAGCCAGGCTTGTTTATGAAGAGATCTCTCCAAAATTTCAGGACCACTACTACTACTACCACAGGTCATGGGCTGATGCCAGCAGTAATTGTCAACCTCGCAGTTCAATAGGTTTGCTGGAGAAAATAACAAGAGATGTCGTCATGGAAAATGATCTAGCTATGATCCAAAACGTCGTGAAGGCCAAGCTCGGACACCAAAAGGTTTTGCTTATTGTTGATGGTTTGGATTACCAAAATGACTTGCAAAACATCACAAGGATTGCTAGGTTGTTTGGTCGAGGGAGTAGACTGATCGTAGTCCACAAGAAGGAGGAGTCATTAACTAACTGTGGAGTTGGACACTTATATGAAGTTGAGTCTATGAGATCTGATGAAGCTCTTCAGTTCTTTTCTCTGTTTGCCTTTAAACAGGAATACGTCCCTAGAGACTTATATCGGCTTTCTGCTCGTGCTGTCTTTATTGCGGGTCATCTTCCACTGGCCATGAAGGTATTGGGCTCCTTCTTACATGGGAAAGACGTCAACGAATGGGAATACGAGTTGTGTAAACTCGAGGCATCACAAAACAACTGGAATGTTGCAGTAGTGTCTAGATACATTGCTGGAGACTTCTATCAAACACGGTCGTCGACCAATCTAGATGGATGCATTGGAGAAGAGGATGAGGGAGACGATTTTCCTTCGTATTTATTTGCTCTTTCATAATTATAGTCGTCTCCCTCTTCCTCGCGGAATCACTTTTTCCAAAGACAATGTTGCTTATATTTACTGATATTTGCTTGTGCTACGATTATGCATAAATCGTTATATGAAATGAAATCGTTATATCATTTTCCGGTGAAATTTCCAAAAAAGGTTGTTTGATTTCTTTGTGCCGCTACTTGTTGTCACTTCAGAATTCTTGATTTTCCCTGAAAAATCGTCTCGCCGAAAAAAAAATAAAAAAACTCGATCGTCTTTTCATTTTTTAGTTCTAATGAGACATTAGAGGATATTGTGCTGACTAGAAAAGAAATTCGGAGCGGATTTAAATTTCTGGCTCGACCACTCAAAACCTCCGTCAATTTTTGGCCTCCTTTTGCGATGAGAGCCACCGCCTCCGCCTCCCTTAGTCTCCGGCATCTCTGCAGCTTCCCTTGTAGTGTCCCGTCTCTCCTCTTCTCATCCTATTCCTCAATCTCATTCCCTCTCCACTCTCCTCGCCTCTGCGTCTTCCTCCGCCGCAACTTCCGCCGTCGCAGCCAACTCTTTCTTAACCGTCCCTTCGCTGCAAGCTACAGTTCCTCTCCAGGTTACAATCACTACACCTTCATCTCCAATTTGAGGCGAGTTTTTGTAAATTACGATTAAAACATTTCCTTAGACGCGTAAATTCTGTAGGCGATAACACCTCTGGTTCGAACTACGATGTCATTGTGGTTGGAGCGGGACACGCTGGGTGCGAAGCGGCTTTAGCCTCTGCTCGATTGGGAGCTACTACTCTGCTTCTCACATTAAACCTCGATCGAATAGCTTGGCAGGTTCGTTGTGTACCCTTTTTTGTGTGTACTTAATTCTTCTTAGAAATGTTGAACAATAATGCCAATAAACTATATTTTTTTTGTTACGTGAAGCCTTGCAATCCAGCAGTAGGTGGACCAGCAAAATCACAATTAGTACATGAAGTTGATGCACTAGGAGGTGATATTGGCAAGGTTGCTGATAGGTAATTGTATACAATTTCTCAGCTTTACCGTCTTTTCTTGCCTTCTGTTTGATTTCCTTTTGGTTTATCTAGTGAAACTCTTGGCTTATACAATGACTGTGGGTATATTGTTATATTTAGTTCTGACTATATGTTGTTTCTTCTTCGTCACTGTCACTGAACAACTGATTATTTGGGTTCAGAATTTTGATCGCTGATGTTATATCTTCTTAACAGTGCAGATGCTATTTACAGAAGCGTATCCTAAATGTCTCAAGGGGTCCTGCTGTAAGATCACTACGTGCGCAGACTGACAAAAGGGAATATGCCATGGAGATGAAGAAGATAGTGGAAAGGTCAGCTTAAGTTTATAGATCCTTTATTTGGTGACAACTCTGAATACAATCTTGAATTATAAGGTGTAGATGTTTTTATTAACAGTTGTTCATGGTTTTTTCTAATAGCTGCAATTTTCTTTTTCTTGAAACGCCAGCACTGAGAATCTCTGCATTAGAGAGGCAATGGTAACTGATATTCTAGTTGGGAAGAATGACAATGTGGAAGGCGTAGCCACATTTTTCGGGATGAATTTTTATGCGCCTTCTGTTATTCTCACCACTGGAACCTTTATGAGTGGGAAGATTTGGGTCGGTAGAAAGTCTATGCCTGCTGGAAGAGCTGGCGAGTCAGCTTCACAAGGATTGACAGAGAATCTGCAGAAACTTGGATTTGAAACAGATCGCTTAAAGACTGGGACTCCAGCGCGTGTGGATCGCCGGACTATAGATTTTTCCAATTTGGAGGCTCAACATGGAGACGAAGAGGTTTGTATAGGTTTCACTATACCGTTATAAAAGTAGCCTATTGAGGATCAGTATTTCATTTCCTTCTTTGGTATCTAACTAAAGGGGTTCATAAACCTTTTGTATTTTGAAGATGCTGAACGTTTGTTTTCTTTTCCCAGGTCAGCTGGTTTAGTTTCGACCCAGATTTTCATATCGAGAGAGAGCAAATGAGCTGCTACTTAACTCGCACTACAAAGTTTACACACCAATTGATCAGGGATAATTTGCATGAGACCCCAACTTATGGTGGATGGGTTGAAGCAAAAGGTCCTAGGTACTGCCCTTCTATTGAAGACAAGGTAAATTATTTTATGTGCATATGCTTTACCTCTTTTGCTTTGTATTATCTTTGTCTTGGACGAAAAGGAAGTTACATCAGACATGGTTCAGTTACCTTTCTTTTTTATTGAGTTGATTCTTCTTGATATACTTATCAATGTTTGTGTTACATTGTGGAATCTAAGTGTGAGCAGGACCATGGAAACCTGAATTTGGTAGATAAAAGTAATTCTGAGACTGGTTCCCGCTCCAACATGCAAATATATTCTGATAAGTCATTATAATGAGACATAATAGTTAACAAAATAGTTAGACCCTTGGGAAGCATGAATTTAAATAGGGGAGGAAACAGATCAGTGCTGGTTTTAGTGTTTGTTATAGAATCAAGAATATCTCGAAAAACAATAGGAGAAAAATTGAGAGAGTTTAGTTTATTGGTTCCTTGGAATTTGTGTTTTATTTCTTGGTTCAGCTAGTGTTCGTTGTTTCTGAAGGAGTAATTGTTCTCAGTTGTATCATATTCTTGGATGATATCACAGTAGCAAATAATATATACTGATTTTCTGCATACTGCTCTATGTTTTTCATCATCTTTTATTTGCAAGTCCTGAAGGTGATTCTTGTGGTTCCATAAAGCAACATTGCATTCTCTGTTTCTACCGTTGGTACAAAGAATATGTTGAACCATCTTTCGCTTAAACTGCTTTTGATGAACATTTTACTAATCTCTATATCTTCTTTGGTTTCAGATTGTTAGGTTTAAAGACAAAGAGTCGCATCAAATATTCCTTGAACCAGAGGGCCGAGATGTTCCTGAGATCTATGTGCAGGTTGATGCATGTCTTAGTTATGATTTTTCCAATTGTTATCGTCTCCAGTAGGGAAAAACTGTGAAGCTTAACTGCCTAAGGATGAGAAAAGGAACCTTGCTTGTCGTCTCTATGTTAATATCTTGAACATATGGTTGTCGAGCAAAATTTCTTTATGTCTTAACTTAGAGCAAGCCTTGTCTGTAGTTTAATCTGAGGGTACATAAGCTACGTTTTCAAGCTTGGTTGCTTAGTATTCAGTGGCTAATATATGTATTGGTATTTCAAGTCTTTCAAGCGTCGTATATAACTTCTCATGAGTGATTTGTTAGAGTGTAATATCTTTGTTATCACTATCATTCTTATGTATTGGTATTAATAGGGATTTTCAACTGGCCTGCCGGAGAATCTCCAGCTGCCACTTCTAAGAAGCCTTCCCGGACTAGAAAATTGCGCAATGCTAAGGCCTGCGTATGCTGTTGAGTATGATTATTTGCCAGCTCATCAGTGTACCAGGTCTCTTATGACGAAGAAAATTGAAGGACTTTTCTTCTCTGGTCAGATCAACGGCACAACTGGTTACGAAGAGGCTGCTGCACAGGTAAATGTGTTGGAGACTTTAATTTCCTTAATAATGGACCTTGATTCAGGATAATAGGTGTTGATAGGATGATATGGGAAGAATGAAAACTGTCGGTTGAATGAAAACTGCTGTTTAGACTATGTAAGTGCGTTTCATGTAACCACCAATCTCTGTTACCTGTTTGAAATATAGGGTATTATATCTGGAATCAATGCTGCCAGACATTCGGACGGTAAGAAACAAGTTGTTCTTGAGAGGGAAAGCAGTTATATAGGCACACTGATTGACGATTTAGTCACAAAGGATCTCAGAGAGCCATACCGCATGCTAACAAGGCAAGTTCCATGTCATTTTCCTGTTCATTATCCATTAACTTTCCTGTTTGATAGTCAAAAATATTTTTCTTCTCAATGACAGTCGTTCAGAACATCGGCTTCTTCTTCGATTTGATAATGCGGATAGTCGACTCACGCCTCTGGGGCGTGAACTCGGATTGATAGATGATAGACGATGGAAGTTATACCAAGAGAAGCAAGCAAGGATTTCAGAAGAGAAGAAGAGACTGAAAACAGTCAAGATTTCAGGTTATCTCCATATTCCATTCCTCTCCCAATTGAAATGTGCTTTTTTTAAAACTAACTTTCATTTACGCACAAGCCTTACTATTATAACGCATGGAGCTCTCTGTCTCTCTTCAAGCAAACGTATTAAGACTTGGCGGAAACTGAATTTGGTGCATAAACTGATGATACATTGCTTCGCATTTGCAGGAGGTGAGTTTGCTGCTGAAGTTACCAAGGTGTCTTCTCAGCCAGTCAAAGAATCAGCAACACTAGAGAGTGTACTCAAGAAACCTCACGTCCACTACAGCATTCTAGAGAAACACGGCTTTGGAAACGAAACATTATCCAAAATGGAGAAAGACTGCGTAGAGATCGATATCAAATACGAAGGTTTCATTCTGCGCCAGCAAAACCAACTGCAGCAGGTATGTCTTTGTCTACTTCATTGCTCTCCATTAAAACGCTCCGTCTTTGCCTGCTTTAATTGAAAAAATTGAATCTGTTAATAGATGGTGCAACAAGAACATAGACGACTTCCAGAGGATTTGGATTACTTTTCGATGACAACTTTATCCCACGAAGGGCGTGAAAAGCTTTCAAAGGTGTGATAAAAACTAGTTTTTGAGTAGAATGAATGTACTTTTTTTTTATAGCTTATCGTCTAATGTTGTGGACAAGTATAAAATTTCAGGTGAGACCGCAGACGCTAGGGCAAGCAAGCAGAGTGGGCGGAGTTAGTCCTGCTGACATAACGGCTCTGCTCATAACACTTGAATCGAACCGAAGAAGAAGTCAAGATGAGAAGAGAGGGAAAATATTGGAACATGCGTTGGCAGAATCTAATCCACACTTGGTAGAAGATAGAGAGCATATTGGTTAATGAGTGTGGTTTTAGAAGTTACATGTTAGTATCAACTCTCTAAGACTGTAAAATCTTGAAATTGATTTTGATCTATTGATTTTCAATGTTGTAGTTCATGTATAACTTCTTTTTGGAATGGCAAAAAAGAGAGTGGGCTGTTCCTGTTAAATTATCTAATCACATCCAAACCAAAGAAAACCTCGTTGCTCTTAGTTTATGCGTGTTTAATTTTCCGTTTGAGATTAAAGAGATAAACAAATCATTGTACAGAAACCAATTCAAACCCAAATCATTCCAGCTCATTCCACAAAATCACTACAGCAATCAGCTAACCTCTTCAAATATATATATTATATATATATATATATTTTTTTTTTTTATGTATCTATCTTGGATTGTAGCATATGTGGATTTTGGTCCATTTCTAAATCCAGATCAAATGTAACGTCTACAATTTGAAAAGGGTACAAAGAAAACTAAAATTAGCCATATTTCATAATCCAAAACATAACAGAGCTGTAAACAAGAAGAAGAAGTTGATTGATGGAAAAATTTGAGTCGTTTATAGAAGAAGACTTCAATCTATTGGTCGTTATCAATTAAGCATGTTTAAGTCCATTTGATCAAGGACTATCGTCAACAAATAAAGCAGTTTCTCGCTTATCCAAAACAAAACTGGCTACACAATTATTAAACAAATCTTTTAAATTTGGCAATTTCTTCCATTAACTCAAAATTACTACCGCATCTTGATAAAAAAAATAAGAATACTTTTTCGGTAATTTGAATCATTGGAGACAATAACTAACATTGGTTGTTTTGTGTAAATGTGGTGCATGTTGTATAGAAGGACTCTGTCATCTATGCATTGCTCCAAATTTTGATTATCATCCAGCATGTGGACATGCTTGTACCATCTGTCTGAGAGGTTCGTTTACTTGTTTGAGATAATGCAATTAGCTGTTATTCTTGTTCTCAATTGTTTCCTTGTTTATCTCATAGAACATCTTCATCACGAAGTTTATGATGGAAGACATAAACTGAGATGTGCACATCACGATGATTGCCACATTCTTCATCTGAAGTCTAATTTATGTAATGAGGATAAGGTGATTGTTTGTGAGGAGACCGTAAAAGAACTTGAAGAGGTAAAAATTGCATGTCCATTTAACTTGTTTCTTTCTTTGAAATTTGTTCATACCAAACATTTCTTTATACAGAAACTTGAAAACTGAATTTTGTTTATAATCAAACATCTCTCTTTAAATTTTGTTTACCAATGTGCTCAAGATGAAGTGCTGAAAGGAGAGCTCAAAATCTGTTTTAGTTTGCTGTGAACAACCTTGTTATAATTCTGCTATCACTTTATTCGTAGATGATTTTTAACTTTTAAAATTGTATATAATAAATCTAAATTTTGTATATGCTTTTATCTTTTGTGCCTTTTTAAATTTTGAACTTATGTTTAACTTGAAAGAGTTGAATGTGAATCTAATTTCGTTTTAGTTTATTTACTAATATACTCCGATTGAATCTTTTACTAGTTTATAGTTTAATTACTAGACTAACTCTTATTTTTATTTTATTATTAATGAGTTTTTATACCTATTTTACCCCCAAATCGTTTGTTAACAAAAAACTTGAATTACAGAAATGCCATTATTATTTTTATTTTTTTAATAACGACAGACTTATTTTACAGACACAATAGACTTATTGTTTTATAGACTTAGTTTTGTTTAGTCATAGATTTAGTTAGTTTTCAGAGACTTATTAAGAGATCCATAGACTTATTAAGAGATCCATAGACTTTCTTTTTTGTTTAGCCACAGACTTACTTAAATTTGATAGACTTATTAAATTTCTATAGATTTAAGTTTCTTTGTGCACAGACTTAATCAATTTTGATAAACTTATTAAATTTCTACAGATTTAATTTTGATTAGTGACAGACTTAGTTAATTAGCATAGACTTATTTACCTTCAACAGATTTAATTATCTTTAGATACAGACTTACTCAATTTTGATAGATTTATTTAACCATCCCTACAGATTTATTTTTCTTTGGCAATAGATTTACTAATTTTGACAAACTTATTGGTTTTTCATAGATTTGTTTACTTAAGCCACAAATTTACTCAGAAAGTTTGTTTCCTTTGAACACAGATTTATTTTGTAATGGCCATAGAGATATTAAACCAATTATAGCCAATTTTCATTTTAAAATTAAATCAATCATAACCAATTTTCGATTTTTAATGGTTAACCAAACCGAACCAAATCCTACTTAATCATTTCAATTTAAAATCCTAAACCAAGTCTTTTACGTTACATAATTAAAAAAGAAGCCCTAATCTCAACTTTTTTGGCGTTCTTCTTCCTAAGCCATCTTCTTCCTCTTTTGTCACTTGGCTCCATTACTCCATTCCTATTTCATCAGTTAATGGCTATTATTAATCTGATTTGTGGTAAATGGATGTTTGAGAATAACAGATGGTTGTTTGGTATTGACAACAAAAGAGGGAAAAAAAATAAGAGCAAACGAGGGTACTACTTTTAGCGATTTTGTAGATATGGTGATTACAGAATACAATATCGACAAGCAGCTCTACAAGGTCGACCTGAGCTACATGTTTCCCAAGAAGGTTTTGTTGACATTACCAAAAAACACACCTCCTGTAGATGTTGGAACTAGTAGACATTTTCAGGGCTATTTGGAACAACTAAACACAGATGCGGTGCAACTTTGTGTCGAATTAAAGACAAAAGGTTTGGAGGATGGTGCAACTGACGAAGAAGAGGAAGAGGATGAGGATGAGGATGAGGACGAGAATGACAGGTTTGACTGGTGTGATGATTCAGACGGAGCATCTTCAGGTGATGAGGACTTTGCTACATACGGGTTGGCTCCAGACGGAGCATCTTCAGGTGATGTGGACTTTGCTACATACGGGTTGGCTCCAGACGGAGTATGTTCAGGTGATGTGGACTTTGCTACATACGGGTTGGCTCCGGAAGGAAAAGAGAATAAGGTAAATTCTCCAACTACAAAGACTGGCTCTAGTTTGACGAATGCACATGTTAAGCTAGAACTATCTGAGCTCACTCTAGCTATCGGCGACTATAGTCGGAGACTCGGCAGTTTTTGTTTTAAGGGTTTATGCTTTTAATTTAGATTAATTTATTTACTTTGTATTTTAATTTAATCAAAAACAAGAGATTAAAACAATGGCATACATGTAATAAAAAAAGGTTAAGATGGTTTAACGGACTTTAACCACCTTTCTCACTTAAGTTTTTAGAAGGGGTGTTAGATTAACAATATCCCTTCGAATTGGTGTTAGTCTGACTAATTTTCTCTTTTACGTATCCCAAATTAAGATTAAGCTATTCCAGTTATTCTAATTGTCTTAAACAGATGATGCTAAAGCAATTGGTGACTGGCGCTTATCGCTGCCAACGTGAGAGAGAGAGGCTAGTGTGAGATAAAAGAGTAATTTTTAATCTAAATTTTTCTATCTTAGTAACTCCCTCTATGATGGTTTTGTAATGGCTATAAACAAGCAGTTTAGAGGCGGGAAAGCAAAGACAAACGGCACCATAAACAAACACCACACAACTCACTACATATCAGGTATTTTTGCCGCTCTCTCATCCTTTAGCCTCTGCATACGCTGCTCCCACTTAAGACGATTAGCGGCCCTCCCCTTAACTGAATCCATGTGACATTTATAAACGCCGAGACTCTTGTCTTTAAGGAGATCAAGAGGATCACCTTCTTCAATGAATCTAGTGAGGTGCCTCTGGTAAAATGCGTGGAAAGGATCCGATTTGCGCAGAAAAAGATATCTACCTTTCTCCTTCCCACGTTCCAGAAAAGTCTCCTCGAACTCCACACCGTTTCTGAAAACAAAGAGTGCCGTTGTCTCGATCATAGCTCTGAGATGTGGAGCTGGGAAACTCATCTTCTTTGAATCGTTTTGCCCCGATGGCAAATCAGAATGATCCATGAATTGCTTCGAACTGGAGATTATCTACAGCCAGAAAAAGAAGAAAAAAAACAACAACAGCATGAATATCAGATTCTGATGGAAACGGAAAGGAAAAACTATCTACCAAATCTAGTGAAATAGGTTTATAAACGTGGAGATCGATCAATTCGAAAAACAATCGGAAGGCGTATATATATGATAAACCATCTATCACATCTAGTCGATTAGATCAATCGGCAAAAACATCCATACGAAAAAGTAGAAGAATCGGCCAGCTACTTAGGGTATCGGAGAGATATAAGAAACACCGTACCTTTGCCGGTAAAGGAACAACCCCGCCGCGACGTCGACAGAGAACGAACGATTTCGAGACGCTTATTGGGAATCGATTGAGGAGAATCCTCGTGCGAACTAAGACCAACCGTGAGCCCTCGCTTTTATGGATGAAACTCGTCTTCTGGTTTTCCATATGGGCCTTTATTATTTGGGCCTATAACTTCTCTCGTTAGACCAAACTGGGCGGTGGATGTGAGGCAGCTCTAGGATTCGATTTGGATTTTAACCGTGTTTTACGTGTTGGATTTAATTTCGTTGCTTTACATTGACATGAATCTCATCTCCTAATTGATTAGAGACACGAATATCCTCGTTTGTCTTTTGTCCCTCATGGTTTTGTCACGTGTTCCTGGAAATCTGGAATAGTCTGGTTTTTTTTGTTGAAACAATGCTTTGCATGTTATGTTATCTTCCCTTTCTTGCTACTCTTATTCTCCTCACAATCATAATTCATAACAAAGTGTGCAGTATAGCTTTTAGCAAAATGTTTAGCAACAATTTCTGCAGCTTAATAACTCACTCGTCTCTTTTTATTTTTCTTTTGCTTTGTTAGTCGGCATTATAAGATTGTGGTCATTGTCGACGGGAAGAAATTCTAAACGGATTTAAATTGCTAGCTTCATGCGGGAGGATGGCATTCTTTAGGAACTACTCAAACAACACGGTTTGAGTCGTCTAGGGCTTTTGGCACTTTGATAAAAATACCATGCCGTCTCACGAAGACAATCAACACGCCTAGGGTATTGTTTGAGAGATGCACACATGTGTGTGTGGCGTCATCCCACCATATAAAGATATGTAGATGTGCTTGGTGATTCATCTATGAAGATTGCAATTCATAGCAATGGTAGACATTGTAGTGTTGGATACCATATGCAATTGTCGTAGTTTTAGTAGGTCCCGGATGTAGGAAACCAACCTCGTTAAAAAACTCTATGTGTTCTGTACTTTTATGCACATACATAGTATTTGCTCATACTCCAACGTAAAGAACTAGCCACATATGTGCACTTTCAAAGTATGCAGTATAGCTTTTAGCAAAATGTATCAAGGTACATGTTCATGTCATACGTTTACGTAACTATTCATGTGATTTGTTTTTAATTAAAGTACATGTTCCTCCTCTGCGATGGTGTCTTACTCTTAGTGTTTGTCGCTATGTACTCTGGTCTCATCGCTTCGTCCGAAACAACAGGGAGGAAAGTTGGAGAAAGACCGATAATCGAGGTTTCGATAGTTACGATCCAGTATTCGGTCTAGAGTATTACCTTTGCGTCAAATTTGAAATCAATCATTTTTTTTTGCCGCCTTGATGTCACCATGAATGATTTTAGGATTGCCTACAAACGTGCCTTAACAAGCACGGCATGTTATTTATCAAACATCTTTACATATTTTTTTTCAGACCTTAATTAGGCTTACAATTTTCATGAAGATGAGAAATTCCTTTAGCAGAACCAACAGCCATCTTCAATCTTTGAGCTCCATTCCATCGGAGGCCTTCCCTTCCCTGTCACAAAAATTCAAATTCAGAACACAAAATCATCACTAACTGTAAACATACAAAGCATACAATATCATGTAATATATTATGTTCATGAAAGAAAAAACAAAGTCCTTTCTTGCAGAGGAAGTCAACGAGTCCCACGAGAGAATATGATAAGCTATCAACAGATAATGCTGATACACAACAAGAGTGTGATCTTCGTGACGGATTTAAAGAAGAGAACGAGAATGTGGGAGTGATAGCGGAGGAAGATATTAATTAACAAAAAATTCGATGAGTTCATCAGAAAAATAAAAGGAGGAGCTTAGAATCGAAGCTCATCGCCACTTAATCCGTGTCTAATTTCTAATTAATTAGTTTTGTTTAAGTTGATTACTTTGCTCATTATCATAGAAATAGGGTGAGTTTTTCTAGCAAGACCATGTTATATAGCTAAACTGGGATAGTTTGCAAAAATAGGCACGGTGACATTTTCCTAGATAAGTAACGTATTTTATTGCTAATTGTTTTTAAAGTAAGGCATGAGTACAAGAAGTCAAGAATGATTGGTTTTCCAAAACCATATTATTGGATATTTTTTAAATGACGGACGATAAATCAATTACAATATTTCTGAAAGTCTATAGTCGAAAAACAGATTGAAGAGGATCATAGCATCTCAGTGATCTCAGCGAAGCCAAGAAACAGAGCAGAACTCAGGGAATCCAAGAAACCGGTTTTATATTTCTTTCCCTATCTGCGTTGCTTTCATGCTTTAACTTCCCCAAGATATGAAGAGTCACGTGTTGCTTTATGCAAAAATTTGTGGGATGAAATGAACATAAATATTAAATAACACGTGCATAAAAATTAGAGGAAACTGAATTTGGTGCATAAAGTGATGATACATTGCTTCGCATTTGCAGGAGGTGATTTTGCTGCTGAAGTTACCAAGGTGTCTTCTCAGCCAGTTAAAGAATCAGCGACACTAGAGAGTGTACTAAAGAAACCTCACGTCCACTACAGCATTCTAGAGAAACACGGCTTTGGAAACAAAACATTATCCAAAATGGAGAAAGACTGCGTAGAGATCGATATCAAATACGAAGGTTTCGTTGTGCGGCAGCAAAACCAACTGCAGCAGGTATGTCTTTGTCTACTTCATTGCTCTCCATGAAACGCTCCTTCTTTCCCTGCTTTAATTGGAAATTTTGAATCTGTTAATAGATGGTACAACAAGAACATAGACGACTTCCAGAGGATTTGGATTACTTTTCGATGACAACTTTATCTCACGAAGGGCGTGAAAAGCTTTCAAAGGTGTGTTAATAAACTAGTTTTTGAGTAGAATGAATGTACTTTTTTTTTATAGCAATGTTGAAACTGATTTGTAAAATCTAGTCTGAAAAATCTTGAAATTGATTTTGATCTATTTTGATATTCAATGTTGTAATTCCTGTCATCCTGTGTACCTTCTCTTCTGGAATGGCTAAAAAGAGAGTGGCTGTTCCTGTTAAATTATTTAGTCACATCCAAACCAAAGAAAAACTCATTTCCCTTATTTTCCGTTTGAGATTAAAGAGAGAAACAAATCATTATAGAGGAACCATTTCTGACCCAAAAACAATTTCTCTTTTAGAGAAAAGGTGGAAATTCGTTAAGCCTCTCCGGTGACTGGCGGTGGTGTTCGTTTTGGGTGCCGTTAGTCTTGCTTTCATGCCTTCTAACATAGTGACTGGTGAATTAAGTTCCACCTCATTCGATGATGAATAGTTGTCCATCAAATCACTGCAGCAATCAGCCAACCTCTTCAAATAATTATGAATTTATCTATCTTGGGATTGTAGCATATGTGGATTTTGGTCCATTTCTGAATTCAGATAAAATGTAACATCTACAATTTGAAAAGGGTACAAAGAAAACTAAAGTTAACCTATAAATAAACAAGAAGAAGAAGTTGATTGATGGAAAATTTTGAGTCTTTTATAGAAGAAGACGTTTCATTGTTTTTCAATCTATTGGTCGCTTATCCATTAAGCATGTTTAAGCCCATTTAATCAAGGACTATCGTCAACAAATAAAGCAGTTTCTCGCTTATCCAAAACAAAATTGGGTACACAATTATTAAACAAATATTTTAAACTTAGGCAATTTCTTCCATTAACTCAAAATTATTAATGCATGTCGATAAAAAAATAAGAATATTTTTCCGTTAATTTGAATCATTAGAGACAATAACTAACATTTTGTTATTTTGTGTAAATATGGTGCATGTTGTAGAGATGATGTACTTCACATTTGTTTCCATCAGTTTACCTCCATCATGAATTAACTAATGGAAGGCATAGGCTTAGTTGAGCAAATCACATCGACTATCTGCATAACTAGCCATTTTTTTTTATTCGAAGTTTTAATCATATATTTTATCAATGTCCAATCTCTTGGAAAATGATATGAATGTGGTTGCTTATCGACGATTCTTTCTTTGAAATTTGTTCATACCAGACATCTCTTTATACTGAAACTTGAAAACTGAATTTTGTACCTTTGTCTTTAGTTAATTACCAATGTGCTCAAGATGAAATGCCGAAAGGAGAGCCGAAAGCTGTTTTAGCTCACAACGATGTTATAATTCTGCTATCACTTTATTCGTAGATGATTTTTAACTTTTAAAATTGTATATAATAAATCTAATTTTTGTAGATGCTTTTATCTTTTGTGCCTTTTTAAATTTTGAACTTATGTTTAAATTGAAAGAGTTGAATGTGAATCTAATTTCGTGTTAGTTTATTTACTCAAATCATTGTCGTTAGGTACATATTTGGTGATATATAGTTTTTGGATTTTAGTACCAAATATATCTCGATTGAATCTGGTATGGTATTTTACGTATCCCAAATTAAGATTAAGCTATTCCAATTATTATAATTGTCTTAAACTGTTGGAGAACATCGTTTATAAATATTTAAGAGTAATCACAAAAACATAAAAACACTCTGAAAGATGATGCTAAAGCAATTGGTGACTGGCGCTTATCGCTGCCCAACGTGAGAGAGAGGCTAGTGTGAGATTTCGCAGAGAGAAATTGATAAAGAGTAATTTTTAATCTAAATTTTTCTCTCTTAGTAACTCCCTCTATGATGGTTTTGTAATGGCTATAAACAAACAGTTTAGAGGCGGGAAAGCAAAAAGACAAACGGCACCATAAACAAACACCACACTACTCACTACATCCATACGAAAAAATACATAATTCGAAAAAATACTCCACTGAAAACCAACATCCATACGAAAAAAGTAGAAGAATCGGCCAGCTACTTAGGGTTTCGGAGAAAAATAAGAAACTCCATACCTTAGCCGGCAAGGAACAGCCACGCCGCGACGTCGACAGAAAACGAACGATTTCGAGACGATTATTGGGAATCGATTTGGGATCCTTGTGCGAAAAGAGAATAACCAACCGTGCTTTTATAGTTTTTCCATATGGGCCTTTATTATTTGGGCCTATAACTTCTCTCCGTATTGTTAGACGGCTTCATGGCAATTTTGTAATTTCAGAAATGTCTAAAAACTGTTGGAGAACATCGTTGAAGTTGAAACATCCGTTTATCTTTTGAGTAAAGCACAGTAACATAATACACTCTGAAAGATGATGCTAAGGCAAATATCGCCGACGTCCCATCTCCACGTACTCTTCCGCCGTCTCTCCACCATTTCCGACGCCGGCTTCACTCTCAATCTCCCAAAACTCGAACCTTCAAACGACGCCGAACTAATCTCCCAACTACTCGTCACCAACCACAACCCTTTCCACTCTATGGAATCATCTCTCCAACTCCATGGAATCTCCCTCTCCCCTCACCTAATCCACCAAACCCTCCTTCGTCTCCGTCACAATTCCAAAATCGCCCTCGCCTTCTTCCAGCATTTACGCTCCTTGCCCTCTCCTTCCACAACCACCCTCACCTCCTTCAACCTAATCATCGATATCCTCGGGAAAGTTCGCCAATTCGATGTGATCAGGCAGATAATCGTCGAGATGGAGCAGCAGGAGAACGTCAAACCTTCTTCCGAGACGTTTCTCATCCTCGTCAAGCGCTTAATCGCCGCCGGACTCACTCGCCAAGCCGTGAGAGCTTTCGACGATGCTCCTTGTTTCCTTGAGAATCGTCTCGGTGTAGAAGAATTCGGATTTCTCCTCGATACGCTCTGTAAATACGGACACACGAAAATGGCGGTTGGGGTTTTCAACGAGCGGAAATCGGAGTTTGGGTGTAACGAGAAGACGTACACGATCCTGATTGCTGGTTGGTGTAAGCTCCGGAGGATCGACATGGCGGAGAGATTCTTATCGGAGATGATTGAGTCTGGGATTGAGCCAAACGTCGTCACGTATAACGTTTTGCTCAACGGGATTTGCCGGACGGCGAGTTTGCATCCGGAGGAGAGATTCGAGAGGAATGTGAGAAACGCAGAGAAAGTGTTCGACGAAATGCGTCAGAGAGGGATTGAGCCTGACGTCACGAGCTTCTCTATTGTGCTTCACATGTACAGCCGAGCTCATAAATCTGAGCTGACTTTGGATAAGTTGAAGCTGATGAAAGCGAAAGGGATTAGCCCGACGATCGAAACGTATACTTCGGTTGTGAAGTGTCTCTGTTCTTGTGGTAGATTAGAGGAAGCAGAAGAGTTGCTTGATACAATGGTGGAGAATGGGATAAGCCCTTCTTCCGCAACGTACAATTGCTTCTTCAAAGAGTACAAAGGAAGAAAAGACGCTAATGGAGCGATGAAGCTGTATAGGAAGATGAAAGATGGATTGTGCAAGCCGAATACGCAGACGTATAATGTTCTGCTGGGTACGTTTATCAATTTGGGGAAGATGGAGATTGTGAAAGAGATATGGGATGATCTGAAAGGAAGTGAGACGGGTCCGGATTTGGATTCGTATACTTCTTTGGTTCATGGGTTGTGTTGCAAGGAGAAATGGAAGGAAGCTTGTGGGTATTTTGTGGAGATGATAGAGAAAGGTTTCTTGCCACAGAAGCTAACTTTTGAGACATTGTATAAAGGATTGATACAGTCTAATAAGCTGAGGACTTGGAGGAGATTGAAGAAGAGACTCGACGAGGAATCTATCACATTTGGGTCTGAGTTTCAGAGATATCCTTTTGAGCCTTACAAGCGATGAGATCCAAAATCAGGCATGGCCAAAATGTATTAATGGAAGGCATTATGTCATTTTTCTTAGGCTCTGCTTATTATGAGATTTGGTGCGATCAATATACATTTCTTAGCTAGCATATGCGGTCATGTAAGAATTTTGGTGTGAAGATAAATTGTATTTCATTGATTAAATCTCATCTCCACCATAGACTAAACCGGCAATGTGACAAATAATTGGGAGTTTCAACCGTAGCCCTAAAGTAATATCTCTGCCTAACCCAAAAAAAAAAGTGAAATAATAAAGAGCAGTCCATAAATAAGATAACATAAGGTTTGATTAGAAAAGGGTTCGATAATACAAGAAAACAACCACAGTCAGCAAAAAAATTATTTATCCTCCAATAACCCCAATCTCTCTCTCCAGACACAAATATACGCTTTCTCTCTCTCTCACACTTCAAATCCCCTCTCTCTCTATCGTTCTCGCAGCCGACGATCCATCCAAAACTCGATAACCGGTGATCGTCTTTCTCTCTCCACCGTACCACCTCACCGACCTCTCCCTTCCTTTCAATTACCATCTAACCATCTAACAGAAACCGGTCTATTCGAGTCGAATTCAAACTCCGATTAAAAAAATTCGGAGAAACGTTACGAATTGAGACTTCGTTTCCAGTTTCTGTTTTAATCGGCACCGGAGATAGATTATCCGGTGAGATTCCTAAAAGCGTGTTTTGATTTCCAATCATGCCGCTACTTGTTGCCCCGTTGTTTTTCCGATTTTCCCCCGAGTCTATCGTCTCTGTGACTGTGTAGAATAGCTATCTCCTCTCTATTACTTTGTTTGCTCCTTCTTTCTCCGGTTATGCTGAGAGCGTTTGGATTTCTCTATTCACACACCCGATTCTAGGGTTCATTTTGCGAATCTGGATCGACAATTCGAGATTTAGAGGGCTTTAGGATTCGATTTGGATTTTAATCGTGCTTTACGTGTCGGATCTGCTTTTCACCCTTTTAATCTCGCTGCTTTGCATTGACATGAATCTCCTGATTGAATTAGACATTTATCCTCGTTTATCTTTGGTCTCTCATGGTTTTGCCCAATTAAGCGCTCTGCTCTGCTGCTGGAAATGAGAAATCCATTCATGTCACGTGTTCCTGGAATTCTGGAATAGTCTGAATTTTTGTTGAAACAATCCTTTGCATGTTATCTTCCTCTTCTTACTGTCTTTGCCACTCTTATTCTCAAAATGTTTAGCACCATTTTATGCAGCTTATTGACTCACTCGTTTCCTTTTTCTTTATGCTTTCTTAGTCCTATTGAGGCACTAGAAGATTGTGGTCGTTGTCGTCTGACGGGGAGAAACTCTGAACGTGTTTAAATTGCTAGCTTCATGTGAGAAGATGGCATTCTTTAGGAACTACTCAAACGATACGGTATCACATAATATTGTGGATGAAAACGAGGAGCGGCAAAACGCTGCTACTTTTCAGGGCTCACCTTCGAACGAAGATATGGATGGTAGTTATAGTGAAAGAGGCTTTGACATGAACATGGACGTACAGTATCAGAGTGATGCGGAACCTGGATGTGATATTAGGCAGGAAAATGAGACAACAATTGGTAATGAAGCTGGTCCTGTGGATCCCCATCGTCAACCTTCGGGAAGGAGAATGGGTGTGTCTGGGAAATGGGGTTCCACATTTTGGAAGGATTGTCAGCCAATGGGACAGAGAGAGGGCTCTGATTCTGCTAAAGATTCACAATCCGGTTACAAGGACGCATATCATTCTGAAGATAATCTGTCAAACGATCGGAGCGAAAAAATAGATTCAGAAAATGAAAATGAGGAGGATAAAGCAATGAACAAGCGTCAAAGTAATCAAGCTGACGTTCCAGCAGATGAAATGTTGTCTGATGAATATTACGAACAGGATGAAGATAATCAAAGCGACCATGTGCAGTACAAAGGGTATAGCAATGCTATAAATTCAAGATCACTGCCAAAGACAGGATCTTCTATCCATAGCAAGTCAAGGGCCTCAAGAGCAATTCAACAAAACATTCACTACGGTGATGGTAATGAAGACAACAATGGTGATGCTGATATTGACTATGAAGAGGAGGAAGATGGTAAATTCTTGTAATTTTTATTCCTACATAGATTGACTTCATTGCTTATTTGTATACGGTGCTAGAACTTGCGCTGATGTTTTTTTCTCTGAATACTTCTCACCCCAAGTAGTCCTACTTGTTTTGAGCTTCAGTAACATTTGCTATCTTATTTCTCATCAGAGGATGACCCTGAAGATGCTGACTTTGAGCCCGATGATGCTGCTCCTGGTGGTGATGCAAGGAAGAAGGTTTGATCTCTTACGATTCTTGTGTGGGGACTTGGTATACAGATTCTTCACAATGAAGCTAAAATTGAACAAAAGAATGTAGATACTTTCTGAGATATTTTCTTAACTAAGTTTGCCATTCGTAACAAGGAAAGATCGATATACTTAACATGTTGTGTTCTTGCTTGTAACTTGATTTAGTTTTGATGGGATTTCTTTCAACTTTGTTGTTGTTTGGTTTTAGCATGACCAAGCTTGGGACGTTTCTGATGAAGATCCTGACAGTGATGATGATGTTGATCTTTCTGATTCTGAGGATGACTATGACATCAAAAAGCCCAAGGTCAGGCAGCAAGCTAAAGGTTCCCGGAAATTAAGCTCTGGAAACGAACGGAAATCATTCCATGCTTCTAGTCGACCAAAGAGGAAAACATCATATCAAGAGGACTGCTCGGAGGAGGACTCTGACAATGACGAGGGTTTTAGAAGCATGCCCAGAAGAGGGACAACTCTCAGGCAAAACAATGGAAGGTCTAACAATCATATAGGACAGAGTAGTGAAGTTCGGAGCTCCACCAGATCAGTTCGTAAAGTCTCTTATGTAGAGAGTGAAGACAGTGAAGATATAGATGACGGGAGAAATCGAAAAAACCAAAAGGTATGATATCTTGTTACATTTCAAGGTTATAGATTCTCCCTCAACCTTCTTATGTTTGCCTTCAGGAATCTGGTACATTTAAATAGAAGCTAGCAGTAGTGTGATGAAGCCTTTTCCAATGCAGTCTAATTTACTCATTGCTATTGTTACAATTTGAACTTGTAGTGTATTATTTATCTGTTGGAAACAAGGTAGATTAACTTATATCCTTCTTAGTGAGCTGCATCTGGACTACCTATACTTTTTTTTTATTTGATTAATTCCAACTATCTTACTCAGAGTAGCCGTTAATTCCATCTACATGACCTAGAGTGAAAGCAATGATCTTTTTACTGGACTCATATTCTCTGTTTTTTTCTTTTTGTTTCTGATATGTTGGTTAGGATGACATTGAAGAGGAGGATTGTGATGCTATAGAAAAAGTGCTCTGGCATCAGCCAAAAGACATGGGTGAAGATGTTCACATGAATAACAATTCAACAGTTCCTGTTCTAGTAAGCCATCTGTTTGATGCTGAGCCAGATTGGAATGAAATGGAATTCCTAATAAAATGGAAAGGTCAATCACACTTGCATTGTCAGTGGAAATCATTGAGCGATCTCCAAAATGTATGTCCTGATGACTACTTTTTATTTTCATTTTTGATCAATCTGTTGCATAGATATACATACACATGTACCTACGACGTCCCCCACTTTACAGATTGGTTGAAAAAACTGTATTTGTGATAATGCTATTTTCTTCTCTAAATCTTTGGTTAATTGTTTATGTTGTGTCTTGCAGCTTAGTGGCTTTAAGAAGGTTCTTAACTACACGAAGAAAGTGACAGAGGAGATTAGGTACAGGACAGCACTTTCCCGAGAGGAGGTAATGTTTGAATGCTTGCAACATTTTCTGGGTTTTACTATCTTTATATTATCTATAAGACTATAAGGAAGAATCCCATAAGATAACACTGTTGGTCCACTTCATGCTTCTATTTATTATTACCTTGGTTAAACCATGTTTACCATGTAAAATGGTAACCATTTGTTTTTATTTAGGCACTATCATTTTAGACATGTGCTGCCACAGTATGGTATATAAATCTGAAATTCTTCCACTTGATATATATTTTCAACCTTTTAGATTGAGGTCAATGATGTGAGCAAAGAAATGGATCTGGACATCATTAAGCAGAATAGTCAGGTTAGTGTTTTCAGTACATCAATAATCAGACCTGCAATTTATATTGGAATGTTGTATCTGTGACCTAATTTAGTTTTTATTTAGGTTGAAAGAGTAATTGCCGACCGAATAAGCAAAGATGGTTTAGGTGATGTGGTGCCAGAGTATCTAGTAAAGTGGCAAGGGCTATCTTATGCTGAAGCAACTTGGTATATTTTCATTCATTTATCTTCTGAAATTACTTTCTTCATCTTTGTTTTTATATTATTTTTATTGATGTTAGATGAGAGGAAGTGGAAATCTGATTGTTTGGTTACTTGTTGTTATTCTTTGTCACCTCAAGAAAAAATGAATTTCTTCCTTTTTCTTTTAACGAGGAAGTAACGAGTTTGACATCTGTTGGTTCAGTCTCTTGTCTAACACTCTGGCTGTATCTTGTTCTTTTTACTTTCTAACACTCTGGCTGTATCTTGCTCTTTTTCCTTTGCTTCATAAATTCAGAAGCATGCTATGAATGATCTAGAATTTGTTATTCTGTAATCTGTATCCTTCTATCCCCTCAAGTATTATTCTCTTCCTGTGTTTGCATAGGGAGAAGGATGTCGATATAGCATTTGCACAAGTCGCTATTGATGAGTACAAGGTAAAGTTTGCTTTCTGTTAAATTCTGCTTTTAACTTTGCCGTTTGGCTTCTGTTTTGCAACTCTTTGTCCAAGAAATAGAGGTTGCTCTAATGCTTGAGGTGATTTCTATCTACGATACAGGCTCGTGAAGCTTCAATTGCAGTGCAAGGAAAAATGGTGGAACAGCAGCGTACAAAAGGAAAAGGTCTGTTATGTAATCATTAGTTTTATAATTTTTTTGCTTTTTATTGTTTTTTTCCCTCCATTACCTGGAAAACATGTAAGAAAAGTACTTTACATTTTAGAAACTGTCTTTGCCTTGCGAACTTGTTGTTGCTACTTGCTAGTTTGGTCTTTCATTCTTCACCTCTCGAATCCAAAAAGGATGCTCATGTAAAGTTAGATTAAAAAATTGATCAGTGTCTTTGTCGTTTTTTCTTTTTCTTTTTCCGTTCACATAAGAATAGTCATTCACGCTGCTTGGTTCTGCTAATTTCTTCTAACCAGCTCATGAATTTGAATGATACCGTGTAATAGAAGAAATAACTAAAATACTTAAGGGGGGCATGACTTAGATTTGTATGCTCTGTCACTTTACCATCTTCATGTTGATTGTGGTAGTTTTCTATTTTGTCTATTTTGTCTATTTTGTCTGTTGTTGAGATATAGGGTAGTTGAGAATTTTCTTTTAATGCGTAGTTGTGGTTCCTGTTCTGTGTAGCAAGTTTGCGGAAGCTTGATGAGCAGCCGGAGTGGCTAAGAGTAGGTACGCTACGGGACTACCAGCTGGAGGGTTTGAATTTTCTTGTCAACAGGTGTGTTTCTTTCTTTACATCACAATTGCTGACGATGCTTTACTTGTCTGTTTGGTCTAATGGTTCACTTTCCTACATTTTCCAGCTGGCTTAATGACACCAATGTCATTTTGGCTGACGAAATGGGTCTTGGTAAAACTGTTCAGTCAGTTTCAATGCTTGGGTTTTTACAGGTTAGAATTCTTTACTTTTCAATTGAGCACTCAAGTTTTCTACTTAGTTGAAAATATTGTTCTCTTTTTCTCAGCATTACCACTTTTTATGAGTTAAGATTTCTCTTTCCTTTTTACCTCGCAGAATACCCAACAAATTCCAGGTCCATTTCTTGTTGTTGTGCCTTTGTCGACATTAGCTAATTGGGCTAAAGAATTCAGAAAGTGGCTTCCCGACATGAATATAATAGTATATGTTGGCACCCGGGCAAGTCGAGAGGTGAGAAATAAATCAAGTGATGGTCCTGTTATAGCTTTTATTGTCTATCTAATTCTTTCATTGGCTTTAATTTTCGATTTTTTTTTCTCCACCAAGTTTCAATATGGACTATAGAACAATACATTTTCAACAACACACTAATTTGTCTCTCCCTTCCTCCCTTCTGTATTATTTTGATTTGTGTAATGTTCTGGCTTCAGGTATGTCAGCAATACGAGTTTTACAATGAAAAGAAAGTCGGCCGGCCCATAAAATTCAATGCACTGTTGACCACGTACGAGGTGGTTCTGAAGGATAAAGCTGTTCTATCCAAGATTAAGTGGATTTACTTGATGGTAGATGAAGCACATAGACTGAAAAATAGTGAGGCACAGCTATACACGGCCCTTTTGGTATGTGACTTATCCAAGAACTATTATCTGTTTTCAAGGTTCTTCTTTGTTTTTGTTCAGAATGGGAAGTGTATCTTATCTGTTTCAGGAATTTAGTACGAAGAACAAATTGCTTATTACTGGTACTCCATTACAGAACAGTGTCGAAGAGCTGTGGTATGCGTTCTTCCCTTTAGCTTTTCTCTGGAGATGACCATTTTTATTATGCTTATTACTTCGGTTTAATATGAATCCTGGAACTTGTATGTTTAGGTGTTTCGTTTGTTAATAATCTTTGATAGAGTTGATTGTTGTAGTCTGTGGTTGATCCAGTATTTTTTAATGCAAGTCATGCTTTTAAAATTCTCATGAATCATGATGCGTTTCTATTGTCACTGACACAGCTTATATATATTTATTTAAATGTGCCGACTCATAAAGATTTGTTGCTAACACAGTTTACATGAATTTGCGTCTTTGTAGCATTTGCTACTTTTATACCGTTGTGATCTGCCCTGACGATAAAGAACTTATTTCTGTATTCTGCAGGGCTCTGCTCCACTTCCTTGATCCTGGCAAGTTTAAGAATAAGGATGAGTTCGTTCAAAACTACAAGAATCTTAGCTCATTTAATGAATCTGAGGTAAGCTTTGTCTATTGCAAAACCGTATGCTGTCTTAATGAAATATTGTGTAACTATTATGCAATCGTCCACTAGCTTATACGTCTTTGGAATTTAGCTCGCCAATCTCCATGTAGAGTTGAGACCCCATATTCTACGACGAGTGATCAAAGATGTTGAGAAGTCTTTGCCTCCAAAAATTGAGCGTATCCTAAGAGTTGAGATGTCCCCTCTTCAGAAACAGTAAGCATAATTTAAGCCAATACCTGTTGACTCGATATCTTTTGAAAATTGTTAACTATATTCCATTGCTCTGTTTTAGGTACTACAAGTGGATATTGGAGCGCAACTTCCAAGATTTAAATAAAGGGGTGCGCGGTAATCAGGTGGGACACTTTATGATGCACCCAGGTTCTTATTTTATGGTTATGAAATAGTTTTACCCTTTTCCTTTGTTCTGTAAATTAGGTGGATCATTTTAATATACATGCAACTCTTTAGTTTGCAGGTATTATAAATATGAAGCTAACAAGCTCTTACTTACAATCAACAGGTGTCGCTTCTAAACATTGTGGTGGAGTTGAAGAAGTGCTGCAATCATCCTTTCTTATTTGAAAGTGCAGACCATGGATATGGGGGTGACATAAACGATAACACTAAACTGGATAAAGTTATTTTGAGTAGTGGAAAACTAGTTATCCTAGACAAGCTACTGGTTAGACTGCGTGAGACTAAGCATCGTGTGCTTATCTTTTCGCAGGTGCGGCTCAATGACTTTTCATCTTTCTAGTGCTTTTTCACTCTATTGAAATTGTATTATTTTCTTGCTATTCCGTTGTTAGGAAGGTTCAGAATTATATCTAAGGTCCATCATATGTATATAATTATTACATTGTCTTATTTTTAGTTGTACTGCTTTGTTTATTGAATGAGAGGCACTTCCGGGAAACAAACTGGGAATGTATAAGACTCCTTTGTTTCTGTTAAACAGAAGTTGCTTTCTCGACAACCATTTTAGCGGTCAAGTTTTACTTATAAAATAAATCTAACTCCGTTGAATTAGATTGTCCATGGGCTATCTTGCTGCGTTATTTCTTACGTTATGTTTGGAACTTTATTACCTAATCATTTGGCGCTGTTTTCATTGTAGATGGTAAGAATGTTAGATATCCTGGCAGAATATCTGTGTCTTAGAGGCTTCCAGTTTCAGAGACTGGACGGAAGTACAAAGGCGGAGCTGCGTCAACAGGCAATGGATCATTTTAACGCACCTGGTAGTGACGACTTCTGCTTTCTTCTTTCAACCCGAGCTGGTGGACTTGGTATCAATCTTGCTACTGCTGATACAGTCGTTATATTTGACTCTGACTGGAATCCACAGAATGACCTGCAGGTTTTGCCTTGAACAAAAATATTTTCCTTCGGATTCAGTTACTTCGTATCACTATATTTTGATAATGTCCTAATTATTACAGGCCATGAGTCGAGCGCACAGAATTGGGCAACAAGAGGTCGTGAACATTTATAGATTTGTCACTAGCAAAAGTGTTGAGGAAGAAATCCTCGAGCGCGCTAAAAGAAAAATGGTACATTAGCTTTACATTTTTGCATTCAAAACCCAGATTTATACTTGTACATCTCTTTGTCATATCAGGTAATAACAATTTTGGTCCACCATTCTTCAGGTTCTTGATCATTTGGTTATTCAAAAACTGAATGCAGAGGGGAGGCTGGAGAAGCGAGAAACTAAGAAGGGAAGTAATTTTGACAAGGTAATGACATGTTTTGTATGTCTATTGCAGCTGTTTGATTTCCTTTCAAGGTTTAATCTCAGTAAGAATGAACCGTTACTTGTTTTCTAGAACGAGCTCTCTGCAATATTGAGGTTTGGAGCGGAAGAACTTTTTAAAGAGGAGAAAAATGATGAAGAAAGCAAAAAGCGGCTGTTGAGTATGGATATTGATGAAATCCTAGAGAGAGCGGAGCAAGTTGAAGAAAAGCAAACTGCTGAATCTGAACATGAATTGTTGGGTGCTTTTAAGGCAAGTTCAGATTTTTTCTTTCTTTCCTTTTTTTTCTTCAGTTCTTGGTGAACCTAGTAGATTTAGGAAATCAAAGCAGTCCAAAGCTATTGTCTGCTTCGAAGGCTGTTTTGTTGTTCATACTTTCTCTCATGGACACAGCTACTTGGCTTAAATCTCTGAATCTACTTTTCATTGATTATATTTGTGAATAGCTTTCCACTGCTAACTTTACTACTTATTTCAGGTTGCGAACTTTTGTAATGCTGAAGATGATGGGTCTTTTTGGAGTCGTTGGATAAAACCTGAATCTGTGGTTACGGCCGAAGTAAGACTTCTATCTTCAACAATAATATCCCTCTGTCGTAGATACTTTTCTTCATATTGTCTGCTTAAATTTATCAGTTTCTAAACTTGTTCTACCTTTGTATAGGAAGCTCTTGCACCACGGGCTGCTAGGAGTACGAAGAGTTATGTGGATCCTAGCCATCATGACAGCATTGACAGGAGCCATCCTGACAGGACTAGTAAAAGAAAAAAGAAAGGATCTGAGCCTCCAGAGCATACCGATAGAAGTCAAAAGCGCAGAAAAACTGAATATTTTGTTCCTTCAACTCCAATATTAGAGGGGACTACAGCTCAAGTGCGAGGCTGGTCTTATGGAAATCTTCCTAAGAGAGATGCGCAACGATTTTATAGAACAGTACGTATAAATTATTTCTATACACTGATTCTTTCTGCATAATTTTGGGTACTGGAAAAAGATTTGAATTTAAGCTTCTCCATTTATTCACCCGCAAATCATTTCATGGTTTCCTTGCCTCCATTTGTTTCTAAGTTAATTTCTGGTATTCTCAAGAGATTGATTGACTGGTTTATATACCTTTACTCTGTGACCTGTCTTAACTACTGCTTGTTAATTTCTCGTTGTATAATTCAGGTCATGAAGTTTGGTAACCATAATCAAATTGCTAGTATTGCGCAAGAGGTGGGTGGTGTTATTGAAGCAGCCCCGGAGGAAGCACAGGTTGAGCTATTTGATGCTCTAGTTGACGGTTGTCGGGAATCTGTTGAAACAGAAAGTTTTGATTCAAAGGTAAAATTTTGTAATAAAACATCTGAACCGGAGTCTCTTGTTTTTGTTTGTTCTAACTGTGCACTGTGATAATTTAATCTTCATGTTTGCTATTCTCTGCAGGGTCCTGTGTTGGATTTCTTTGGTGTGCCAGTAAAAGCAAACGAGTTATTAAAACGTGTGCAAGGACTGCAGCTTTTATCAAAGCGCATTAGTCGATATGACGATCCAATTACACAATTCCGGGTGTTATCATACCTTAAACCTTCAAATTGGTCCAAGGGTTGCGGTTGGAATCAGAGTACGTGCGAGCTTATTCAACATTATTGTGTCAGCGTCTGATTTATGTTTTTCATTCTAAGTCTTTTAATTATCTGGTGATCTCAGTCGATGATGCAAGATTGCTTTTGGGAATACTTTATCATGGTTTTGGGAACTGGGAAAAGATAAGATTAGATGAGAATCTTGGGCTTACAAAGAAGATTGCTCCTGTTGAACTTCATCACCACGAGACTTTTCTACCTCGTGCTCCAAACTTAAAGGAGCGTGCCACTGCACTTCTGGAAATGGTACATATTACTTCCTATGATACGACACTTTCTTCTTTCTGCCTTGAAGATCCAATTGTGACTGTATGCAATTTGCTTTTCACAGGAACTTGCGGCAGCAGGAGGAAAAAACACAAACGCCAAAGCATCTCGTAAAAATTCCAAAAAGGTGAAAGACAATCTTATCAATCAATTTAAAGCACCTGCAAGAGACCGGAAAGGGAAATCTGGTCCTGCCAATGTGAGTTTAAAAGCAACAAAAGATGGACCTCGGAGAACCCAAAAAGCTGAGCCGTTGGTGAAGGAAGAAGGAGAAATGTCTGACGATGAGGGAGTTTACGAGCAGTTCAAGGAGCAGAAATGGATGGAATGGTGTGAAGATGTCTTGGCTGATGAAATCAAAACTCTTGAACGGTTACAAAAACTGCAAACCACAAGTGCCGATCTGCCAAAGGAGAAGGTTTAATTCCTCTCTTTTTAATCTTTCAGAGTTCAGAGTTCTAGGCGTGCTGTGTCTTTATCTGATCTTTTCTCAAAACTCCTTGTGTGTACACAAATAGGTGCTCTTCAAAATCCGGAGATATTTGCAAATCCTTGGGCGAAGAATAGATGAAGTTGTCTTAGAACACGAAGAGGATTTATACAAGCAAGATAGTAAGTAATCCAAAACCTCTGTTCACTTTGTAGCCACCATGTTGATGTCCATGGTTGTATTGTTAACTGGAAAAATCTGAAATGCAGGAATGACAATGAGATTGTGGAACTATGTCTCAACTTTCTCGAATCTCTCAGGGGACCGTCTCAATCAGATATACTCCAAACTGAAGCAGGAGAGAGAAGAAGAGGAAGGAGCCGGACCATCGCACCTCAATGGCTCATCCGGTGGTAGGAACTTCCAGAGGCAACAAAGATTCAAAACAGGAGGAAACTCCCAAGGATCGCAGCCTGTTCACAAAGGCATCGACACAGCAAAGTTTGAAGCGTGGAAAAGGAGAAGAAGAACAGAAAACAATGATGCTCAGTCTGAGCGACAAGCACCGACAACTAACTCTAACTCACTTGGAATACTCGGCCCTGGACCATCATCCGATAGAAGCCACCGGTCACGTCAAACTGGATTTCCTCCAAGATAAGTTTTGTTCTGTTCTACAAACCATCCGTTATATGCTTGTGCACTTGCCTGTTGAACGATTCAGAAGTTCAACAACATATATAGATACCCGGAAGATTCTTAAAACGCAGCAGCTGTGGTTCGGTTCGGTTTTAGTTGCTCGAATTGGAGATTGACATGCCCCGATCAGCTGATGCGGAATGATATGATATAATTCTTGAGCAAGGGGATGGTTTTGCTTAGGTGAAAATAGCTGTGGATGTAGTTGAGAGCTGCTAAACTCCATTTCCTTTTTCTTTTACATTATAAATCTATATATATGTTTTACCCATTCGGAATAGAGCAAAATCAAATCAAATTGTACATTACCAGTTTTGTTAATTTTAATTTCTTTATTGTCTTCTGGGTTTCTTATTTTCACTTTCTCACAAGTTTTGTCGTTATCAAGCTTTGTTGAAAGTCTTTGATATGTCAAAGGTATTGTGGGTCAAGATTTACTCTTCTCAGCCAAATCAATCACTCTTCAACTCAAAGCTTTCGTAGGTTTACAACTCTTCAGATCTTCCTGGCCAAATCAACTCTTCACTCAAAGCTTTTCATGATACTGATTGGGGTTCTATCTTGACACTCGGTGATTTGTATATTCCTTGGAGATTATTTAACCTATTAAAAATCTAAACAGCAGAACCATACACGTTGAACTGGATTTCCATACAACTCGTGACCCCATAAAGGAAGGTATCTTGAAACTTGTTCATGATCGTATTGATGCTCAAATGGCTGATGTGATGACTTGTCCTTCTCACGATGTCTTTTCTCCATCCACCCACATTTTTTAGGAGGGCTAGTAGAGTGTATATGGGTCACGTTTACATACGTAAAGAGAGGATTGTAAATAGACATCTCACTATACTTGTATATAAGAGATTCATTGTACAAACTTTACGATTAATAAGGATATAGGTTATATACTTTGATTTCTCTAATATTATGCTCCAGTTTTTAGTTTTAACATGTATCATATTATTTTTCATCCAATTTTATAACGAAATTATTGTTAATTATTATTAATTATATTTATTATCTCATACTTACATTTCATATATATGAAGTCAATACTATGACATATACACATTACATCTCATATAATATGAAGTCAATAATATGGCATATCTTCTTATATATTAAACATCACTTGGTGGAGTTGTCGGCGGTGTATCATGACCCTGTCCTCTATCTGAAGGTCCTTCTTTATAGCCTCCGTAGACTATCTTCATTGGTGGAGTCGTCGGCGGTGTATCGTGGCCCTGTCCTCTATCTGAAGGTCCTTCTTTATAGCCTCCGAAGACTACAGTCAATGGTGGAGTCGTCGGCGGTGTATCGTGACCCCGTCCTCTATTTGAAGGTCCTTCTCTATAGCCTCCGTAGATTATGGGCGGACCAATTTCTGTGACGACATGTGAATTTAAAGTTCTTGCACGTACACAAGGTTCAAGACACATGAAACAAACGACGATGAATATGATAAATGTTTTCAGACCCAAACGAGACATTTTGAGAGAGACAGCAAAATAACAGAAAAAATGAGAATGTCTTTACGATAACTTGATGATCACAATATTGTGAGACCTAGGTATATATATGTACATGTGAGATGATGTTTAATCAATTACTTTGGACCATAATAATTGTTTTTCTTCTGATTTAAGGTAAGACCTTAGATATGCCTATTAAATTGAACCTTTAAACAATGAATACAAAAGAAACAATTTGATGGTATAAATTATTCGAGATATTTGTTAATATATTAGCTAGTTTTAGTCTATTAAATTAAATATTTAATTAAGGAATACAAAAAGAAACAATTTGATGGTAAAGCAAAAGGTCATATGGTAAATCTTTTATCTTGTTTTTTTAATTTAAAATAAGATAAAAAAAAAAAGTACAGCAAAATGAAAATACGTAAATAACGTGCTTAAAAAAAATACTATCAAGATGCATTTGAAAAATGTTAAGAGATGTAGATTTCGCGCGTAGCACATGATAAGCATATAATTGTTTTCCCCATTGAATCTCTTATTTCTTTTTGGCAATTTTGATCGATTTGACCAAATGACTTTACTCGTCGTTGAGGTTGCCCAAGTCATCCCCGCCGCTGACTCGTTCCTCAACTCGGCCAACTCGGTCACAATCCCGTTGACTTTCTTCGATCTACCATGGCTAGTTTTCCACCCAGTCAAACGAGTCTTCTTCTACAGACTCACCGAGTCGACTCGTGAGCATTTCCACTCTTTCATCCTCCCTAAGCTCAAGCTCTCCCTCTCACTTGTCCTCCGCAACTACATCCCTCTCTCCAGCCGCATCACCTGGGACCTCAACGTCCCCAAACCGAGCATCGTCGTAGCTCAAAACGACGCAGTTTCCATGACCGTCGCCGAGACCGACTCTGACTTCTCTCGTCTCTCCGGTTATGGACAGCGTCCGGTATCAGAACTACACACTCTGATACCCGAGCTACCGGTTTCCGACGACTCAGCCACCGCTTTCTCTCTGCAAGTCACCTTGTTCCCGAGTCAAGGATTCTCCATCGGCTTTGCAGCACACGCACACCACGCCGTTTTGGATGGAAAAACGGCAAGCATGTTCGTCAAAGCCTGGGCCCACTCATGCAAACAACTCCTCGAAAACAAAGCCGTCTCTCTACCGGAGAGTCTAACTCCGTCTCTTGATCGGTCGACGTTGCTCAAAGATCTCTCTTGGCTCGACGAGAAGATGATCGAGATCGTGAGATCTCTCAAACCGGACAAAGCCAACGAGAGACGAAGCCTGACTCCAATGCCCACCAGAGAACTCGGAGACGACGTCGTCATCGTCACGGTGGTGCTGTCTCGCGGTGACGTCGAGAGACTCCGGGAGAAAGTCAAGAGTGAGTCGAACCGGCCGCTTCTCCACTTGTCGACTTTCGTCATCGCTTACGCATACGCATGGACCTGCTGCGTGAAGGCGCGTGGAGGAAACAGAGACCGAGCGGTGAGTTTCCTTTTCTTAGGAGATTTCAGAGAGCGGTTGGATCCGCCGCTTCCGGCGACCTACTTCGGGAACTGCGTATTTCCTGCGGTTCGCTACAACCGCAAGGCGGGGGATTTTGCGGAGGAGAGAGGATTTGTGACGGCGGTGGAGATCCTAAGCGGTTTGGTCAACGGTTTGAGTTCACGAAAGATAGAGACGATCGCGGAGGAATTCGCGGGTGGGTTGGGTTGCTTGGGTGAGAGGGCACAGCGCGGGTCGGTAACCGGGTCGACCCGGTTGGGATTCTACGAGACGGATTTCGGGTGGGGAAAACCGGTTAAAACTGATGTTGTATCCATTGGTGAAGGTGGGGGAATCTCAATGGCAGAGAGACGTGACGAGTCAGGTGGTCTCGAGATGGGAATGTGCTTGAATAAGGCTGAAACGGACCTCGTCCTTTCTATTTTCAACAATGGTTTACAAAACTAAAACCTTTTGCTAGGGCTTGGGTAGGAAGAGAACCTTGTGATACAAGAAATGAGTATTATCATGAGACTGTTAACCATTGTTGAAAAAATTGTGTTTTGTTTTGTTTGGCTGCTTTTCTAACTCTTCCTTGTCTTCTCTCGCATAGGTTTCAAAATTTGGTTGGTGTTGCACATCTCTGTTTCTTTCTGATTCTAGAGTTCTTTGCCTAACCATAAATGATGAAATTTAGGATTTGTGACTTGTTGTGAAGTTAGCCATTGAAACTAGGCGAGATTAGTGTCATATATATTTGCAGATAAGCAATTCTTTGTACAAACTTTACAATTAATAAGAATACTAGTAGAGTACCCGCACGTTTGTGCGGTGTGACGTTGTTGTTTTGTGTAGAAAATTTAAATCTAAATCCGAACCCGACAAAAAACCCTAATCAAAAAAAAAATCCCGAAAACCCTGACTGACAAAAAAAATCTGGAAACTTTTTCACCCGGAACCCGACCCCAATACCTAATCAAAATTTTAAAATACTCAATTTTTTTAATATATCTAAACCCGAAAACCAGAAATCTAAAAAATCCGGAAAACCCTAAACTGAAAAAAAAAATTGAACCTAACCCGAACAGAAATTTTCAAAGAAACCCGAACAATTTCTATATCTCTATATATATCTCTATAAAATTATGTCTCAGATTTTCACCCAAACCCGAACTTGTCTATAAAAACCCGAAAATCCAAAAAGCATATTCTATTGATTTGGAATTATCGTTAGATTATGTTAAGTTTTCTTTTTTGCAGATTTTTAAGAGATGGAAAACGGAAGTTTTCTAAACCATCGGTTTATTTTAAGTTATTATTCTTGTATCCAAACAATTTTTTCCATTTATTCTTCTATCCAAATAGATTTTTCTCTTATTCTTATATCCAAACAACTTTTGTTTCCATTTATTCTTCTATCCAAATAGATGTTTCTCTAATTCTTGTATCCAAACATTAGAATGTACTTCTCAATTAATAATATAATAATAAAGATAGGTTATAAACTTTGTTTTCTATAATATTATGCTCAACAATGTTTTAGTTTTAACATGTATCATATAATTTTTAATCCAATACGAATGTAATCCAATTTTATAACGAAATTATGTTTACTTATATTTATTACATACATATTACATCTCATATATATGAAGTCAATACTATGACATATCTTCTTATGCACATTACATCTCATATAATATGAAAGTCAATAATATGGCATATCTTCTTATATATTATTAAAAACTTGGTGGAGTCGTCGGCGGTGTATCGTGACCCTGTCCTCTCTCTGAGGGTCCTTCTTTATAGCCTCCATATATTATCTTCACTGGTGGAGTCGTTGGCGGTGTCTCGTGACCCCGCCCTCTCTCTGAAGGTCCTTCTCTATAGACTCCGTAGACTATATTCACTGGTGGAGTCGTCGGCGGTGTCTCGTGACCCCGTCCTCTTTCTGAAGGTCCTTCTCTATAGCCTCCATACATTATCTTCATCGTTGTGGGCGGACCAATTTCTGTGACGACCTGTGAATTTAAACTTCTTGCACGTATACAAGGTTTAAGACACATGAAACAAACGACGATGAATATGATAAATGTTTTCAGACCCAAACGAGACATTTTGAGAGAGACAGCAAAATAACAAAACTCTGGATGGTTTCTTTTGTTATTGTGATTAAAAAACGAGGATGCCTTTACTATTAACTTGATGATCACAATATTGTGAGACCTAGGTATATATATATATACATGTGAGATGATGTTTAATCAAATACTTTGGACCATAATAATAATTTTTCTTCTGATTTAAGGTAAGACCTTAGATATGTCTATTAAATAAATATATGAATAAAGAATACAAAAAGAAACATTTTGATGGTAAAAATGGGAAGAGATATTTGTTAATATATAAGTTAGTTATAATATAGATACTTGTCTATAAATATTTTCAACCAACCATAAGAAGCTAATTGATTAATATATAGTCTTAATACTGTATACAGTAATTAAACTAATAATCTATTGTTTGGGGAGAGCAAAATTGTGTTTTGTTGATTGTAAGAAGTTCAAATTTAATTACCAAATCTTCTTATACACTTTTGGGGATTAAAATTTTAATTTTTTTCATAAACATTATTTAGCTTTTAGATTTGTATATATTAAAATGAACAAAGGTAATGAAATTGATTTGACATTGGTCCAGTTTTGAGTATGACCTGGTCAAAATTGGGTTTCTTCGGTTTAATTTTATTTGATTTTGGTTTAAATTCAATTTGATTCGGACAAAGCTTGAACTCGGTTTAGTTCAATTAACAATGCTCTGGCTAGAATGGATTCGTTTATTTAAACTATGTATTTGGTATAGTTTAGTACAAACCAAGAGTTACGTTAATCTGACTTAGTTAGGTAACTAATTAGTGTTTAAATTTTACATAATACATATATCCAATCATTTTGTATGCCAGCAAAATTCAAGCATAGTGGCCAACCGAAAACAATCCTCTTGTTGAGGGATTTTATATTTGTTCTTGATAGTTTTGTATATTTTGTGTTTTGTGTCATGTGTCATCTAGTGTTCAATAATCCTAAACATAAAACAAGAGAGCGAGAGATAGCGAGGAAGTCCCGAGAGATTCGGCCGTTAAAGTCGTGTGGCCTTTGTTGCAAAAACAGCTTGTGTGGCTCTCTCCCATTTATCTCCTTATCTCTCCTCTTCCCTTTTCGACCTCTCATCTCTATCAGTTTCTTCCATTACAACTCCACTCCCTAATTCTTTTCTACATTTTGTTTTATTCCCAAACCTATCAAAATCCACTCCCTCCCACACTTCCACCATCCCACTACTGTTACTAAAATATATACTCAAGGGGACAAACACAAAAAATAAGAATAGAGAGGGCAAATATGCAAAAGTTCACATATGCGTTATGAGCCATACGTAAGCTTATAGATTTTTAGCATTGCTCTTATCCGCCACGCGGCTAAAGAGTCCAATGAGGGAAGATAAACAAACTAACAAAATAAAATACTTACAAACATGGAAATGGAAATATAAAAATAAATAAAGAAAAGAAGATTATATTAAAGAGTAGTAGACGCAGAACTCCAAAAGCCCCTCAGGAGCTTCTGCCTTATTCAGAGGTTAGCTTCTCTCTGCTTTTGATTTTGCCAAGTTTTCTCCGCCTTGTTATACTCTTTTGTATAATATATGATCGTTCTTTTTTTTGGGTATATTTTGTTGAATTTGTATATATGATCTGCCTGTGGAACATCTTGTAACTCTTTCACTTAGATGATCGGCGATGAATTTTGTGTATATATGTTACTGTTTTTCCTTACTGGAGTTGATAGTAGCATTTATTCATATTTCTCTATATGGTCATATATGTATATAGGCACATCTTATAGTCTATCCTTTTCTTTTGAGTCAAAGATGAGAAGTTTGTGAACTTTTATTTTTACAGTGACAAGGAGGAAGAAAAAGAGAAGCAAGAAAAAAAATGGACTACATGAATGGACCAGGGAGACACCATCTGTTTGTTCCAGGACCAGTGAACATACCGGAACAGGTAATCCGGGCGATGAACCGGAACAACGAGGATTACCGGTCACCGGCCATCCCAGCACTTACAAAAACGCTGTTGGAAGACGTGAAGAAGATATTCAAGACGACATCCGGGACGCCTTTCTTGTTTCCCACGACAGGGACTGGTGCTTGGGAGAGTGCCTTGACCAACACTCTATCTCCTGGAGACAGGATCGTCTCGTTTCTGATCGGACAATTTAGCTTGCTCTGGATTGACCAGCAGAAGAGGCTCAATTTCAAAGTTGATGTGGTTGAGAGTGAATGGGGACAAGGTGCTAATCTCCAAGTCTTGGCCTCAAAGCTCTCAGAAGACCAAAACCATTCCATCAAAGCCATTTGCATTGTCCACAACGAGACCGCGACTGGAGTCACCAATGACATCTCTGCTGTCCGAACCCTCCTCGGTGATTATTCTTCACAGCCATCTCTTTGTGTTTAATAAGAGTTTTCTCTGTTAATAATTTTTCTTAACTAACTCACATATGTACTAATCTTCACACAGATCACTACAAGCACCCGGCTTTGCTGCTTGTGGACGGTGTCTCGTCCATATGTGCGCTTGATTTCCGAATGGATGAGTGGGGAGTAGACGTGGCCTTGACCGGTTCTCAGAAAGCCTTATCTCTTCCAACAGGACTTGGCATTGTGTGCGCAAGTCCAAAAGCATTGGAAGCTACAAAAACTTCAAAATCCCTCAAAGTCTTCTTTGACTGGAATGACTACCTCAAGTTTTACAAGCTCGGAACTTATTGGCCATACACACCTTCCATTCAACTCCTATACGGTCTTAAAGCTGCTCTTGAACTTATCTTTGAGGAAGGACTTGATAATGTCATTGCCCGTCATGCTCGTTTGGGAAAGGCCACCAGGTGAGAAACATACTAAGTCCTATTCCCATGCCAGTATTCAGATTTGTTAATATGTCTTGAATCTGATCACAAGGTGAACCACGTAAATTAATGTTTGTTTGTTGTTTAATGTTAAATAGTTTCTTTAAAAGTTTCCTAGTACACCAACTTAGCAACCGATACAGGATGCATTAACTTTAAGAGATTGATTCTTGAAGACTTTGATGGTTAATATGCATTAACTTAGGCTGGCGGTGGAAGCATGGGGGCTGAAAAACTGTACACAGAAGGAGGAGTGGATAAGCAACACAGTCACAGCGGTCGTTGTGCCTCCGAATATAGACAGTACAGAGATTGTGAAAAGGGCCTGGAAGAGGTACAACCTAAGTCTTGGTCTTGGTCTCAACAAAGTTGCTGGAAAGGTTTTCAGAATTGGACACCTTGGACACGTGAATGAGGTACGTTGTGTGTGTGTGTGTGTGTGTGTGTGTGTGTGTGTGTGTGTGTGTGTATGTGTGTTCTGTAATCAAGTTTTTGACTAATCAAACATTTATCAACACTACAAATCAAATGCAGTTGCAACTATTGGGGTGTTTGGCTGGAGTGGAGATGGTACTTAAGGATGTTGGGTACCCAGTTGTATTGGGAAGTGGAGTTGCAGCTGCCACTACTTATCTTCAGCATCACATCCCTCTCATTCCTTCTCGGATCTAATTCATATCTCTATTTCTCCATGTTTCTCTCTCTCTCGCTACCTCTCAATGTATAATGACTCTCCTGTTTTTCTCTTTCCACAACTTATATTTTTACTACATTCTCTCTTTTTTTTATGTGCTATTTCCCAACAAACTTATTGAACAAAATATCAAACATGTTTCACTTTTATGGGTCCAAGGGATGCTCTTGCAATGGTAGTGTATCCATTCTAAAACTATGTCCGGGAAGAGGAGTTTTGTCTAGTCAAAAAGAAATGTGTGATCTCTTAACCGAAGATTGTAACTCTGGAAGCTCGTTTTAAACCAAGAAGGCTTAGTTGGTCGGCCTGGTCTAGCAAACCTGAAAATCCAAAAACAAAGAAACTTTTGGGCCTCTCTCACTATAATTTTATTTTTGTTTTTTTGGGGTTTTGTTTGCACAAACAATTTAATCTTCGGGGCGAAGGAATCATTTTGTCAAATTTATATTTTAGAAATTAGACAGTTGTTATTATTTCCATATGTTGCAACTTTGTAGATAGGGGTGAAAAGATACAAGAGGAAATATAATCTGACAGCCTGAGAGGATACAAGAGGAAACATAATCAGACAGCTAGTAACTACACTAGGCAATAAGATGATGTCATGCACATTCTAGTTCGCACCTAAGTGGTATTTCCCATTTTTCTGTTCTAAGTTGATTCTCCAATCTTAACAATTTGAAATATCTTTAACTCTGTAATTATTGAGAAAATAGCAAGAAAATAACAGAAACTAACCCAAAAAAAAAAAAAATGGTGACAGAGAGATCTAAAAATATCGCAAAAAGATTAATGGAAGAAAAATAGTAGTCAACGGAAAGTAATGCAATTGATTCGGTGTTCTAAAATAACAAAAACCAAAACAAGAAATTAATAAACGAAAAAAAAAAATCTTTTTTTTGCTTACTATTATTTTTGGCTGTCTTTGTCAATTTGGTTTTCCATTTTCACCTTCATGCATTGCTTTCCTTCGTCGTCCCTTCCAAGGACGACGACGGGTCTGTCTTTCATTCCATCGAGAGAACAAATCCCCTCTCCAGTTCCTTTGATCTTTCAGGTTTAGTTTTCTCAAAAACAAAATAATAAAAATGTCTTTTCTTGCGGCGCCTGGTCAAATTTTGGAGCTGAATATTATTTCGGCCCAAGAATTGGCGCCAGTGGCACGGTTGATGAAGACATATGCAATCGCTTGGATTGATCCGGAGCGTAAGCTAATGACTCGTGTAGACAATACGGGCGGAACAAGCCCTACATGGAACGACAAGTTTGTGTTTCGTCTAGACGAGGAAGAAATCTACGACGAGACATCAATAGTGGTTATAGAGATCTATGCATTGCATTGGTTCAAAGACATTCACGTTGGAACGGTACAAACTTTGGTCAGCGACCTCGTTAACCCTTCTTCCGCTATGAGATTCGTTACCTTAGAGGTTCTTCGCGCGTCAGGCAGGCCACACGGCCTCCTAAACATCGCGGTGGGGCTCATCGATAACTCGGGACAAAGCATGCCTCTTATGTTTGAAGAAGATTTGTTGTTTCACAAGAAAAACGTGTCTTCGAAATCCTTAGGACTTCGACGGTCTAAAAGTGATACAAGCTCAATGGTGGATTCACCGAGGAAGGTGACACAAACCCGTATGAGTTCTACTACAAACTCAGGCTTTGAGAAAGATGAGTTCTCATCCGACTCTCAGATGGTTGTGTACGAGCCACAGAGAAAAACGCCAAATGTAATGGTGAAGCAAACGAAGCATACCGTGTATGGGACACCGATGAGGCCAAGGAACACAAATGCATATACTCCCAAAAGGAATAGAATTGAATATGGAACACCAATGAGATCGAGACCGGTCGTTATTACAGAATCTGACTTGGGTCCTTCAGCCTCAGTGGTGGCCGCCCAAATTGCAAAGGAGAAGGCCTTGGCAGGGAGAGACGCAGAGAGTACTGTGATAAGTGTTGGTGAACGGAGCGTTGAGGGTCTTCGTTCTAAGTTAGAAAGGTGGCAAGCTAATTTACCGGTGGTTTTAGATGTTGGTTCGAGTTATCAACCAAGCTCTGACTACAAAACAAGCTCTAACTTTGTTCCTAAATCAAGTTACAAGCCCAATGAAACCGTCCCAAGAAATCAACAGATGATCGTAGCTCCACTCCAAAAGCAAGGTGGGAGAAAGAAGAAAGGAGGAGATGGTGGATTGTTTTCATGTTTTGGTAACATTTGTGGCATCGAGTGTTCTATTGTTTGTGGTGGCTCCAGTGGACAAAAAGCATCCAAGAAGAAAAAGAAAAAGAAGTGAAAAACTTCAAACTCTATTCATTTCAATAATAAACGATTTGCTTCACATTATGTTTCTAATTCTCAAACTTGTCGATTTTGTTTCTCAATAATCAAGTTCATAATAGTAAGACAGGGACAAAGGTACATTATCTCATATTTTTTATAGTCAATAAAAAACTTGATTTAATCCGCTATGATTTCAAGAATATCAAAATTACGTATGTTAATTATTCTTCATTCTTTTGCCAATAAGAAAATATTCGTTAAGAAAAAAGATGTACATGTAGACTTTCTTAAATGAAACAATTATTAACAATTCCTACGATGTGCCAATATAAAATTCCTACAATATACAAATGATTTTTTTTTTTTTTGGTTAAAGTACGGATTGAGCTTGAAAAAATGTACGAAGTCAAGGTTATGATGAAAGGAGTAACATCAAGAGTGAACAGTGAAACGGAATGGTAGACTGAAGACCAACTGAATCTCGACAAAAATAAATACAAGCAAGTAGATCATTCGACGTCAGAGGGACTTTAGTAACTCTACTTACTGGAGAGGGACTGACTCGTAGCTAGGGTTTTGAACAAAAGGATCGGAACTCGCTGATAGGAAAGGAGAGAAAAACAAAGCAATGCCAAGAGCTCCGTCAATTCGCTGTTCATCGATAGACGAATGTTTTCACTTGAATGTGTTGAAGGACTAAATTTGTTTTTCACTTTTCACTTTTTTAAATTCAAATATTTTGAAGTTTTTATGTTCAAAAGATTGATTGAAATGACCAAATTCATACATACTTTGAAGTTTGAAATGAGTTTGGTCAGATTGATTGTTAACTCATTTCAAACTTCAATGTACGAAACTACGAATAACCAAATTTGTTTTTCATTTTTCACTTTTTTAACTAGTCGGAAAATATTTAATTTTAAATTATGCGTATACATGATATTTATATTGAAATGTTAGTAATTTCTTTTTGTGGTACATGCGGCACTAATCAATCAAATGCTGACACGTTAAAAGCTAGAAAAGAGACATTCAACCTTCATATAGTAGATAAATATTCGATTTCTTCGTGCCGGTTATTTCTCTTTTTAAAAATCTTTTTATACTATTCATTCTCGGATTTCTATTTTTCGGTTTTCCTTAGCTATCCACACCGCCAATCAAAATTTTACTCTATATTATATTCCTAAAACAACCTGTTTTCTAATCCTTTTACTCATCATACAAATTTGGAGTACTACATAGAGATAGATCTTAAGCTTCAAAGAGAGGAGTTCCCCAACCACTAATTTTCATCCTCTCCATCATAAAAAAATGAGATTGGTCTCAAAGAGAAAAGCCAATTACCTCAATTCAGGTTTCAACGTTACCCAAAAGCAATCATTTTCCAAACATGCCTTCAGAAGATTTATCCATGAGTACCACTCCCAGCGACCAAGATATCGTCCCTATGGTACGTAACACGCCCCTACCTTTTAAACTCGATAATATTGTCAATTTTTCTGAGGCTTTGGAGCACAGTGTTATGTGGGATGTTACTACACATAACCATGGAGTCACGACTTCCAGTCATGTACCATGTATTAATACGGCCGTGTTTCAATCTCATCCATTTGATATGCAGATCCAAAATACTGTTGAAAACGTAACCAAAGCGGTCATCCACCAGCCTCAAGACCAAGAGATAAGCAGTGCCGATGAGAAGAAGAAGAAGAAGAAGAAGATTAGAATACCATGGACTACTGATGAGGACAGGCAAGTTTTTATATTACTTTTACTTTGTTAACGTCAAAAAAAATTCAGTTATACTCTCGAAAATTATTAGGAATATATATCTTTGTGTGTGGTATACTGATTATTAGTTGATGGTTGATAAGATCTTTATGTTTTTGGAACATTCACGTCTATATATTCAGTGTCTTGGATAAATGGGTGAAGCAAAAGGGAACCAAAAATTGGGTCGGAATCGCAAAACGCCTAAAAGGACGAAATGGAAAACAGTGTAGAGGGAGATGGTGTAACCATCTCAACCCCACCATTGAGGTATGTGCTTCTGAAGTTTAGCATTTCATACATATATATTGTATTTTTTATGAAAGTTTAGTGTTGTCTGTACAAATAGTCGTTTTCTGTGTTTAACTAAATTCAAACAATATCAAACAAGCTTTAACATTGTAATTCAATTAAAGTTTATTTGTTTTGAGATGTTAATCAAATTCATATAGATGCATAATGATTCAGTTTATTTTTTGCCAAATATGTGATTACAGCGAGCTCCTTGGAGTGAAGATGAATATCAGATCTTGGTTGCAGCCCACAAAATGCTTGGCAACAAGTGGGCCACGATTTCAATGTTTCTCCCTGGACGCAGGGACACTGCAATCAAAGGCCATTGGAATACAACAAAAAATCAGGTGAATCGTTTCATGAAGAAGAATGCAGACGATAACAACAGCAGCTTTACTCCTAGAAACATCCTTGAGAAGCACTTCTGGTCCAACATAGTGGCTACCCAGAATCTCGTCAGTGCTAACTCTGTTGCTGCAACAGCAAACATAAGCAGCGTGGAGTGGAGCAACGAGTTGAATGCTAATGATCTTGATGATGATGAGGTTGCAGAGATTTACAAACTCGTGGATGGATGGATTCTGGATGGAAACGCAGATGATGGACTTCTCTTCTGAATGTGATTTGCTCTTCTCAAGACTGTTTTTTTTTTTTTTTTTCTTTTTTCTTGGGAAAAACTTAAAGATTGTTTCTCGTGATCATCTTTTAGGTGATACACTCACCTCTCTGCTTCTATCTTTATTTTGTTTGTTTTGGATGATAAAGATTTTGGGTTTTCATAATTTCGTCTTACTGATAAAAGTTTTTTTATCATGACAACATTTTCAACAACAAAAAATGCCATTGCTTCAAAAAATGAAATGTAGCTACTAAAATAATATACTACTGCCAAAAAAACAAAAAAAAGTTGACCAGTGAAAGGAATCAACACGGATCTGGTTGCTTCGACTTGACAAAACCTTGAACTTGAAGCAACACAGTACCTACCCAGAGAAAAGGTTAAACATTTTCCGCAAAGATCCAAACTTTTTGTGTTTCGCTGATATCAGAGATCCTCCGAATCGCGATGCGTATTTGAGCTAAGCAAAAGATGCAGTCGAGAATCGTCGGCTACGCTCCGGTGTTTACCCTCTTCCCAAGCTTAAACACACCTCACAAAACCTTCACTTTCCACCAGATCTCTGTTCTCATCATCACCTTCATCGCCTACGCCTCCTTTCACGCCTCTCGCAAACCTCCAAGCATCGTCAAGAGCGTCCTCGGACCTTCCGTTGCATCGAATTCATCGTCGATCGATGCCGGATGGGCTCCGTTCAACGGAGACAAAGGAACGCAGAGACTCGGCGAGCTCGATCTCGCTTTCCTCTCGTCGTACGCGATTGGTATGTATTTCGCTGGGCATTTAGGTGATAGAATCGATTTGAGACACTTCCTCGTGTTTGGAATGATGGGCAGTGGGATTCTCACAGTTGTATTCGGATTAGGGTTTTGGATGAATGTGCATTTGCTCTGGTTTTACATGAGCGTGCAGATTGTTTGTGGGCTTTTCCAGTCTATTGGATGGCCTTGTGTTGTCTCTGTTGTTGGGAATTGGTGTGGGAAAGAGAAACGTGGATTGATCATGGGTGTGTGGAACTCTCACACCTCTGTTGGGAACATTGTTGGCTCTGTGATCGCTTCCTCTGTTCTTGATTTCGGCTGGGGATGGTCATTTCTTCTCCCTGGTGTTCTTGTGATTGTATCTGGATTAGTTGTGTTTTGCTGCTTAGTGGTGAGTCCTAATGATTTGGGGTTTGAAGAGCCTGGCAAAGAGATTGAGATGGGTTTGGCTGAGAATGTTGAGGAGAGTCTGAGGAAAACTGAAGCTGAAGATGCAGAGCTTCTTGAAACTGTGAGATTGGATGATGATGATGATTTGTCAGCTATTGGGTTTCTTGAAGCGTGGAGATTGCCTGGTGTTACGCCTTTCGCTTTCTGCTTGTTCTTCTCGAAACTCGTCGCTTACACGTTCCTCTACTGGTTACCTTACTACTTAAGGCACCAAGGTAAGCTTTTGCTTTTATATGCATCCATGGCTAAATGGAACTTTGCACTAATGTGCTTCTTGCTAACAGCTGTTGCGGGTGTGCATCTCTCACACAAGACGGCTGGGATACTATCGACAGTCTTTGACATTGGAGGAGTGTTTGGTGGGATCTCAGCAGGATTCATTTCGGATAGAATCAAGGCTCGTGCACTCACGTCGGTTGTGTTCTTGTCGCTCTCGATTCCTTCATTGATCATGTACAGAGTCTATGGGAGTGTGTCAATGTTGATCAACATCGGTTTGATGTTTATATCCGGTTTGTTAGTGAATGGTCCTTACGCGCTGATAACCACAGCAGTTGCAGCTGATCTTGGAACGCAGGAGTCCATTAAAGGGAACGGTAGGGCGTTGGCGACAGTGACCGCTATTATAGACGGTACTGGCTCGGTTGGGGCAGCGTTAGGACCGTTGCTCGCTGGTTACATATCGAGAAGAGGATGGAACAGTGTTTTTTTCATGCTTATTGTTTCGATTTTCTTTGCCGGTTTGTTCTTGGTTCGGCTTGCTAAAGCTGAGATCAAAGCTATGAGTTCCGGTGAATTGGTAGCGACGTCTGAGTGATTCTTAATTTTTGATCTTAGAGGATTGTTGTATACAAAAGGCTCTATTCAGGTGTATAGATAGATTTAAAACCATGCAATACAGATTAATACACGACCTGATTTGTTTTCTACTATCTTAGATCATAATTTTACTCCATCTAAGACTGTTATATCAGTAAGTAGTAATTGTAAATCAAATAAGGTCAGAGCAACGACATAGGGCCAGGCTGCCACGTAGAGGTCCACGCCTTTGAATTGAATAGATGAAGATCCCGTTAAATTGGAATTAAAGAAGGTATATTAGCTTAAAATAGATATGTATCGATGTGAAATGCATATAACATTTTCTGTATATAAGGAGACTCTCTTCTTTATCTTTGTTTTTCAAAACACCATCGATCATTTCTACCATCTAAGATGAAAACATCCTTTAAACTAGTGTTTACCATTCTAACTATTTTCACCATTCTTGTGCTAGGTTTGTAAATCCATTTCTGCCTTATAGGGTTACATAAACTTTTTTTTTATTTATTACTAAAACTGCGATTAACATGTTTTAAATATAATGATAACAGGAGTGGTGGGGGATGTGCAAGAGAAACGATGTCTCCCAATTTCACCTATGGCAGATCCAAAAACTGGAGTTTGTGTTCACCAAAATTGTGTGGCTATGTGTAAGAAGCAGGGTAAAGCGGGTGTGTGCGTGGGATATGATAACCAAGGAAAAAACGCCAAGACATGCAACTGTTGTGGTTAATTTGTGGCTCCCTGGTTACTAATGTCGTCGTCAAATTATTTAACAATGATGTTTGTAATAAAAGCTTTATAATAGAACAATAAAATATGGCTTGTTGGTGTAATATTTTGCACTAGTTTTATAATATGTCTTCCCCAACAATGTATATCATGTCTTTGCGACTCTCGATCTCGTCTTCTCATAAATCATGACGACTTTCTTCTCCTCATATAGCAAAAAACTTCCCATACAGTTTCCTTCTTACAAAAAATATGTACATTTTTGGCATGTTTTCAACTTTTAAGATTATTCTGAGAAATTTCCCAAAATAAATAAGAGAAAATTATAGTGGAAGGCACTTTCCCACTTACATATTACAAATAAAGGCACTTTATGCTCCAAGAGGACTTTGGGTTGTTTTCGAGGAGTTGGAAGAGTTAGAAAACTCACTTTTACCCTTAATGAAATTTTGTTATTTGAATGGTGACAAATAAAGTTTTTTTTTTTGTAAAAAAATATGGAGCTTCGTCTCCGACAGAAGAATGACGGTGATGAGAAAAGAGACTCAAAAATCAAATTCCTATTATGTTCAGGAAAATTCTAAATTGTATAAAACTTTTTATAATTGTTAAAGAATCACAATCTCCAAATCTATTAACCTAATATTAGTTTCAATATGCAAATCTAAGAAGGTTTCACAGTTCATGTGTGATTCAGGCGGAGATGACGATTTGGGAGGAGAAGACAAAGGATTGAGATATATTTGAGAATAGTTTTTTGTATTTATGTGTGGATGATCATTTGTGGATACACGATTATGGACGTTATCGTACGAGAGTATGGCTTGTAATATTTGTATGTATCAATGCATGAATATGAGTGGATAGATTTTACATGATTCTTTGCCTCTATTTCTGCCTTTTCTGAATTTTTAGAAGCATAGTTTGGTTTCTCTAATTTTTCGAAATTGACTAATCCATATGGATACCTGTTTGTGGATGTACATATATGAATATGGATATCTCTATCATGAACAAATGGGCACTAATAGGTTACAGTTAAACTCACAAACACACCATTTGATAACATTGCAACTCAAAAATGTTGCAAGTTTTTCCTTTATTCAATATATTACCTGATGTTTAAATAGTACAACAACAATCTTATATATTACCAAAGAACAACTCACAACTCTTTTGTCCGCAAAGAAACATTAAAACGTTAAAACATAGATAAAAAAACATGTTTCTATTTAAGATAGATAAACATGTTTATAGATAAACTATTTATGGGATTAAGAGATACCAGAAAATTAGAGATGACCTAAACATGGATGCATGTATATACATAACAACTGGACAGAGCCATATGGACGGATCCATTTGGATATAGAAAACAATTAACTAATATAAATGCAATAGGTTTATGAGATCATCAAAACTACTAAGATCTTCATGTCCACAAAGTTATGTACACACAGACATGTTCACATACACATTTCACTCAAGATACAAAAGATTTAAGCATTTTAACAGAAGAGATCACTTACTCCGAGTAACTGTATTTCATAAAACAAATTATTTATATTCCAAAAAATTAAATCTGTAAACAAAAGTGGAAGTGAGGGATGGCTCACTAAAAACATCCGTGTATTGAAAGGTTGAGGTTAAAGTAGACATGAAGTTGAGAAGTAATGTAACACTCCAAAACTAACAACACAATAACTTTCAAATACAATAGCATAGCCATGACAAAATCTTGATTCTTTCTCACTGAGAAGCCTAAAATTATTTCTTGGACTATTCACTTAATGAGTCTGTTTCTTCCAGGGGCGGAGCCAGAAGAAAAAATTGTATGGGGCACCAATAAAAAGAAACCAAAAATATTGAATAAATTATAAAAAAATAAATTTGTATGGAGCACCAAGGGAAGCAATCGAACTCTTTCCCTAATGCTATATCCACTAAATCTTCAACCAACTAATCAAACGAGTACTAATTGTCTATAGTGTTTACAAATATTATATAATCAGTATGTGGCACTTGCCCCATCCATCGTCAACGTAGATCCGCCACTGGTTTCTTCTATGTTTTGGATCAAGATGGAGGACGAGAGATTTTTCTGCAGGTTGATTTGGAAGTTGCGCTATACAGTTCCGAAATCAAGGGAAAAGAAACAATTTGAAGAACTAGCAAATATTAGAGACACATGGATGCAGTTTCGTGTACGACACTAGCATGGATGCAGTTTCTAAGATTCTTCTCGTAAAAAGAATTTTGAAGGGCTATTTGCATGGATGCAGTTTCATGGACGACACTAGCATGACCATATATGTTTATTAAAGAATAATAAATGATAATTATAACATAGTTAGTCATTGGATTCAAGTGTATAGACGCAAAACACATAGATAAATGCATTTATAAGAGAATCAGTGGATGAAAGCAGTGTGATATACGGCAATCATGTTTTCCAAAAAGAAAATCTCATTTCTAAGAGGTGGTCATCTTACTATGGACAATTGAGTCTGGATAGGCTTCACATCATATTAATTACATTGTCTACAAGCTCCCAAAAGGCAGTTCTTATGGTAGATATCCTTATGGACAGCTTTACATGGACGGTAATTAATGGTTGAGTTTCATCAATCAATACACATAGCCAATCTTACGAGCATGGTGTTGTGCAGAAGACACATGTAATCTCACCCACCCGTGGACAAGAATTATCAATCACTAATGGACGGCTTCACATGGACGACTTCATATGGACAAGTATAACCCATTAGTAGATCTGTACTCTGTTTCAGTCGGAGAAAGCGAGCCAATAAAGTGGAAGATTAGAATCATCTTCCATGACTTTTCCCAAAGGAGACGATGGAATCGACTAGCAATATTTAAAACAGAGAAGGAGAAGACTGTCTTTTTCGTCGGAGGGAGTGCCTGAAATCCAAAAGTACTAGAGGCGGTGGTACCGGCGGAGGAAAGGCGGTGGTACCGGCGGAGAAGAGGCGGTGGTATTGGCGGAGGAGAGACGGAGAGGAACGACGGTGTTTCTAGATTCTTTGTTACTGTTTGAATTTTTTCGAATAAGACAAGTGAAAATAGAAGAAGGTGAAAAGTTAGATATTGTGTAAAAATATAACGCTATAAAAGAAAAAGGGGCTTTTGGTCATTATATCATATGAAAGTCACTTAGGAGTGAAATGTGCCTTTATTGTTAGATTGAAAGTATAAAATGTCTATAGACACTCAAACAAATAAAAGCAGACTAGTAAATTGCCCATAGAAAATTGGTCTATTATTAGTTTGACTAATGGCTTTAAAATACTCTTTTTTTTTTCAATACATATATTTCGATAAGACCTGTGGCGTAGATTGGAGGGTTTATTAGTTGTCGTTTTACAGTCCCCAGGCGTGAAAGCTCAAAGAAAAAGAAAAAAACCATCTGATTACTTTTTCCGTTCGATTTGAGAAAGAAAGAGAAACCATAGCTAACTAAATATTCGTCGAACGAAAGAGATCACGCGTCTTCGCTTCTCATCTCTCCCCTATTGCACATGAAATTCTTGAGCTAATCTCTACTAATTTCAGTTTCGGTGTCAAAAAGATCTGAAGCTCCAAAAGAAATCTGGAAAAAGGTAACTGTTTTCTTCTTCGAAATTGTTTTAATCATCATCATACGAAAGCAAGGAAATTTCTGCTGGGTTTTGAGATCCTACTGTGTTATTTATCGTTTCACTCATGTCATTAAAGAATTCAATTTCCTTCAATTTGGATATGAATTTAATATTACAAAGTTTTGTGCTTTACTATTTCTGTTCGATCTGAAGAAACGAAATGCAAATTCTGACTTTAATTTGACAATTGGTTGCTTAAACTTGAAATTTATGTTGTTTAGGACAAAACCTTTAGTCAGGTTTCAATAACCATTTCACCATTTCTTGAGATTAATAGAGTTTAGATTTTAGTCAGATTTGTTTACAGCTTTAGCTATTGTGTCTTCAGGTATGACAATTTCATAATGAATCGATCACTGCGCAAATCATCATCATCATCACCGCCAAGACTTCTATACATCACAATCCTCATACTCTTCTTGACATGTTTGTATGGAATCATCACAAACCTCCAAACCGTAACCTATCTCTTCCGTCCTCTCTGGGACAAACCTCCCCCGCCGTTCAAACGAATCCCTCACTACTACGCCGAGAACGTCTCCATGCCACACCTCTGCCAGCTCCACGGCTGGACACCTCGCTCCCAACCTAGACGAGTCTTCGACGCCATCATCTTCAGCAACGAGCTCGACCTCCTCGAGCTCCGATGGCACGAGCTTGGACCTTACGTCACCAAATTCGTCATCTTGGAATCCAAAACCACCTTCACTGGGATCCCGAAACCGCTCTTCTTCGAATCAAACAAGGAGAGATTCGCATTCGCAAAGGACAAGACTGTACACAGAGTCTTCCCTGGGAAGAAGCGTTCTCAGGGTAAGCAACAAGAAGACCCTTTCGTGCTGGAGGGGCAACAGAGAGTTGCGATGAACTCGTTGCTTAAAGACGCAGGGATCTCCGACGGTGACGCGCTGATTATGTCAGACGCAGACGAGATCCCGAGCCCTCACACGGTGAAGATCCTACAGTGGTGCGACGGATTGCCGAGTAAAATGCATTTGGAGATGAGAGATTACAGATACTCCTTCGAGTTCCCTGTTGATTACTCTAGCTGGAGAGCTTCTGTGCATATCTACAGCAGGAAATGGACTCAGTACCGTCACTCTCGGCAGACGGATTTGATATTATCCGACGCCGGTTGGCATTGCAGCTTTTGTTTCCGGCGACTTAGTGAGTTCGTTTTGAAGATGAAGGGTTATAGCCATGCGGATAGAGTGAGGCGCAAGGAGTTTCTGGATCATGGGAGGATACAGAAACATATATGTAAAGGTTCTGATCTCTTTGACATGCTTCCTGAAGAGTACAGTTTTAAAGATTTGATTAGCAAGATCGGACCTATTCCTCCTTCTGCTTCTGCTGTGAATCTGCCTGCGTTTTTGATTCAGAACGCTGATCGGTTTCGGTTTCTTCTTCCCGGAGGTTGTCTCCGAGAGCCCTAAGCTCAGTAGTTTACTTTCTTGTGTAAAAAGATTTTATTGTCACACGAACTTAAATCGGAAAAACCACAGATAAGCAATCAAATAAAAATCTCTGTCCCACGTTCTTATTTTTTACTCAAAACTTATGGTGCGTTACAAAATAAACACATTAACGTGATTATAATGAAAAATCTACATATAATCCAACACTAAATATGAAAAAGCTTTCTAATTGTTTGTTTTATTACGCTTCCGACGTCCACATTGTAGAAATCATAATTTGGAGTTGACATGCTATAACACGTTAGCTTCAATTCGGGAGCCAATATAACACTAGGAAGTTCTGAAATTTCAGTTTGGCCGAACCACATATTAAGGGTAATATTAAACTTAGGAAAAAAGTTGATTATTAGTATTTTTTGAATAACTTGTTTTTGGTAAGATTTTTTGGAATAAATTTGAGTAAATTGTCTAGACAAAGAGAATTCCGGCAGAAAGGGGAAGGCGGCGACATGGGATCCTCTGCGTAGCATGTGAGAGGCATTGCTCCATTCAGCATTGCTCTGTCTTACATTTTACATTTTCCTATATTTGTTCTTTTCTTTTATTTTTTTTATCTTCCTTTTCGGGGTTCGTAAAATTGTATGGTTAAATTTTGAGTCCACGTGCCTAGTACTATTTTTTCGAATTGGTCGGTTCTGACTTATTACATGGTTATGAAATTAATAAAACTAGAGTTTGTTCGCCAATATTTACAAGGCCAAGGAAGTCCAAGTAACACCGCAACTGAATCATATGTTTGATGCACTAAGCAATATTCTTGTGCTTGACTGGCTTCTCGAAGAAACATGTTGTATTCCTCCATCAAACCTATCCAGAACCTCACTTTGCAATGTAGTCACTAACTTTCCCATATTGTTACAATCAGGAGATTAGTCCTCGTCTTTGCTACCATTAGAGAATAATATTTGCCTCTGAAAATCATTTTGAGATGATTAGCTAGAACTTAAAAATCACTTTTTATATCCATGACCATGACCATGAGCTCCTTCATTTGTGACTTTTTTTTTTTTACTGAATTTCCTTCGTTTATTCATCTTCCAACAGAGTATCATTTGTTACAAGATGATTGAAAGACAGAAAATAAGGAACTAGAAAGGCTGTAGAGCCAAAGAAAACCCGTGTGAAGGGATAGTAGTTCTCGGAGAAGATATCAAATTTGAAAGAGTTCAAACCATGTGTAGATGAAGCTCGCAGATTGAGAGTTTCCTGAGCTCCTTCACTTGTGACTTTCTTCATATATTCTCGAACGAAAATCCCATGATCGATGGCCCCACCCTACACCGCCGGTACGTACTCTACGATCAGGTCGAACATTGTTCATGCAATCATGCTAGGACGTAGAAACCTAACATTGTTATATATTGCTTTAGACTTCTTCTTTGTCTGGGGACTGATTCTCAAGGATATCTGTATATATACGTGCATGTATGATTATATGACCCGGTGATGATATAAATCAATATGATTAGTCGATATAGTAAGGGAGGGAGTGGGTAGGTCAACGGTCAAAGATTTACAAAGTGATGATAACAAAGAGAACAAACAGCGTGCCGCACGAGGGGATCCCTCTACGACTCTGACTCAGCCTCACACCCTTCTCTGGTTTTTTCTAATTATTTATCATACAACGTCAAAGAGAATTATTTATTTATAGTAGACCAAACAACGAACAAAAAAGAAACAGTCCTCGTAGTGTATTTCAAATCGTTATCCTGGTTTATATCTTCCTTACTGATGCTTGTAGAGTTGATATTAGGTCAACCCGGATCTTAATTTGCGAGGTCTCTTCTTGACAATGTTGGATCCTCTTTGTGAAGTTATTCTAATAATTCATTTTTGGTGCGGTGTAACTAAGAACATTTTCTCATCAAATAGTAGTTCCTCATACGACAAATTTTCATCATATATATAATTCATCTTCGCCAAGCGGCCCAAAGCCACAACATTCGAACGAAACAGGATAAATATCATGCTACTCTTCATTAGTGAGTGGCTGAGTGCCTTGTCTAAACGACATAAAGTCGTTTGTGAATTTCTTTTTCTGTGTTAGACCAGTACGAGTAAGTCGTTCCCATACCTGAGCTCGCTTGTTGGCACCAGATCATCATAAACAAATGACAAAGACAACATTGTACCACTACAAACCCGGTTTTACTCTGAACAATTTATTATAACCAAAAAGTTATTTGAAAATTTGCATAAAACACAAATATTGCTTACTTTCGGAAAGACTAGATATCATGGCCTAAATTTCTTCCAAACTTCTCGTTGGTAGCTTATTGTGAACCAATTTGAAACCTTGAAAGTACCAACATAAACGACTATCCAAAATTTAACTACAAGTTAAGGAAATTGATTATAGTTTACTTTAAAGCCCAAAATGGAAACAAAAGCTAAAAGTATGCAAACCACTACGTACTACGTGTTAGATTATGTTCGGTGATTATTTTATGCTGGAAATTTTGAGGATTTCGCAGCACCCAGAGGTTTAAAAGTTATAAGTAGAACTTAGAATATATATACTCCAAAGTCCAAATTACTGAATTAGTCTTCCTTAATTTCATTAAACACATACATAAATTTAATTTAAAATGTCACATATTAAATAACAATAAGTACAATTCAGAAGGGGTTTTTTACCGGTACCATTTAGACGTTTATGCCAATAAACTATACCAAGTTGGCGTAAGACAGAAGAATCTTTTTCTTGATGTTTTCTTCTTGGTTATTGTAACCAATAAATTACTAACAATTATGATTAACCATATGCTCTGTACATTTCTACTCCTATTAGATTGAAATGTTTTTTTAATCAGGCATAAAGTAAGTAATTTTAATATACCAAACCAAGAATTTGACGGTGACTAAGCTACCATGAATCAAGATTGGTTCAACAAAAATACATGTGTTAGTAGATAACATCATTAGTACTCTTAAGTAATTTACTTGCATAGATACTTGTTCACTATTTAATTTTGTAAGCACACATAAGCGGGTAAATATGGAGATATGTGTGTATATATTTATCATAAACATATGTTGTAGTGCATGTACAGTACTATTGTCGTAGTAACTACAAGAATTTAAAGATCGCAATACAAAGATATCTATTTCGTTCATTATCTTTCCTCAGCCCAACTAGATTGCATAGCTTCTATTTTGAAAACTACTTGTTGTTTTTATTAGACAACAATTTGACTAGTCAATCAACATTCATTGTTATGTAAATATATTATATCTAAAATGAAGAATCTCTAACCTTATATGAATATCTAAACCAAGCCTATCTAACTGTTTATAAATAAACACCACATACTATTCAATTCGGTATGCTTGGACCGATGATATGGAATATATATAACTCATAGTGATTTTGTAGTTTCGTAGATTGGCTAATGGTCATCAAAATCAGTCTTAAAATATCTAAGTAGTGACTATTTTAAATGTGTAGTAGTTGATTCATCCACTCATCTCTTCTATTTGGTAGATTGCAAATGAAGAATAAGAAGATAAAATGGTAGGAAATTGGGGACGAGTAGAGCAGCTTCTTCAAGGAGGCTTTAAACTTTAACCTAATTGAGCTCTTAAGCCAAGAAGATGGCCAAATAATATATGTTAAAAGTAGGAGACACGGAAACAGCTCCCACGTTCCTCTCTCTCTCTCCCTCTTTCCCTCATCTCACCAACACTAATAAACAACAACGAAACTTATATGAAATTTAAAATGTGTAAAAGGGTTATACCTCCGAGGAATAATTAACTATAATTTCTTTTATTTTTTTAATTTTCTCTCTTGTGATCCTCCATATATCCTATCATCTCTACTCCTTCTTCCCTTCTCTCTTCCTAATATTACTCTTTGTAGTGATTAGTGGCCAAAATCCCATCTCCCAAAGCATACTTTGAGTTGTGTCCTCATGGTAAATTAACTACTTGTACTCTTGTTTCTTCAACTTTGTAGTGAATCTCTCAATTTCATCTTAGTTCATTTACTATATGATTCTCAATCATGATGCCCAATTCCTTATAATTCTGGCTTTTATCATCATCTTAGCTCCTTAAAAACATGTGTAGAATCCTTGCTACTTGATATAAATATTAATGGTTTAGGAGGAAACAATTGAATTATGGTATGAAGTTGTTCTCTTATAAATTATAAATTGTTTAAATGGTGTGTGGTAGGGAATTCAGAAACCGGCATGGTTGGATGCGCTTTACGCAGAGAAGTTCTTCGTGGGATGTCCTTACCATGAGACGGCAAAGAAGAATGAGAAGAACGTGTGTTGTCTTGATTGTTGCATAAGTCTTTGCCCTCACTGTGTTCCCTCACATAGATTTCACAGACTCCTCCAGGTTCGCCGTTATGTGTATCACGAGGTTGTTCGGCTTGAAGATCTTCAAAAAGTCATCGACTGCTCTAACGTTCAAGTAAGTCATGTATTCAAAATACCATTATTCATATTAATATGTTCCTCTCATTGGTTCTATATAAATAGATTGGGGTTGAATTGTGAACAGGCTTATACAATAAACAGTGCAAAAGTAGTGTTCATCAAGAAGAGACCGCAAAATAGACAATTCAAAGGAGCTGGGAACTATTGCACTTCTTGTGACCGAAGTCTTCAAGAACCTTTTATCCATTGCTCCTTGGGTTGTAAGGTCATTTCTTCCTACCTTTTACTCCTTCAAAATATTCGACTCAATTCTGTTTGATATCTTATAATTAAATTGTGATATTCTGAAACGAATCATCACTAAAGATATAACGAGCTAAACCTTGATTATTTATCAATTTCAAACTATCGCATTTCAACCCGTTAATTTTGTTAGTTCCAAAAATGAGAATCTAATTTGTTTTTCTTAAACAATAATGGTTTATAAAACGATCCTAAAAAATTTAGGATAATAAAAGTAACCCAATTATTGTAAAACAAAACATATACATATGTATATTTAAATATGCTGTTGGATTTTGAAATCTTGTACTTTGAGCTAATGTTTTTAATCACTAACATGAAGAAAATCCGCAATGGGTAGGCATATTGTTTTATTTAAATAAGTCTAATATACGTTCACTGACCTTGCCAAATTTGAACTATGTTTGTTTCCATAATTACTCTAGATACAGTACTCCCATACCATGTTAGATTGTGAGATAGTACTTTATCCAAAAAAAGTTTACGACGCTTTGCTATTGCGCTTTGTAATATATCATGTTGAACAAAACACACATGCATACTTGTAAACATCTATCCTTGTTGAGCATGTATTATTATAAGCTAGATAAAGTTCAAAAGGTTTGATTATATTAAAGGTGTTGACAATATAAATGTAGGTGGACTTCGTGATGAAACGTTACAGGGACATAACCCCGTTCATAAAGCCATGTCACACTCTAACCCTAGGTCCTGACTACATCATCCCACAAGACTTACTCGGAGATGATGACATGGCTGCCTACGAGACTCCCCGATCTACGGTAGTCGACGGTGATGAGTCCATGAGCTGGTCGTCGGCTTCTTCCGATAACTACAACGCCGGTGCGGCTGCGTACGCCGCCACAACCACCCACGTCGTGAGGAAAAAGCGGACCGGTTTCTGCCACTGCGCCAAATCGGCTAATAGTTATAAAGTAGTTTCGGAGGATCCTGACGATATGTCCACTTGCATCAATCGACGCAAAGGCATTCCTCAACGGTCTCCTCTTTGTTAACGTTCTCTTTCGTTTTCATTTTCTTTTTGTTTTTTAATCTTATTTTTACCATATAGTCTCATATGTCACATGTATGGATTGTTTTTTGTTTCTCTAATAAAGTCCATAATCCATCATCAGTTTTATCTATTTTATATAGACTTGGTTACGTAGAGGCATACCTTTACACAACCAAAAGGTTAATTTAGTAACCTGTTTCGAGTTTAGTTGGACTTTGTGTCTCCAGTAGAATAGTTTGAACAAATACTCATCTTCACATTCGAAATGGTACATCATCATATTTTCAGCTTGTATTTTCATTTCAGATTAAAGAATTTGGAGAATCTGATATACTAAATTGGATTTGTTTTGGACAGCTTTGTTGGTGACTCACGTCACGTGGCTCCTAATTCCGAGCTGTGGGGTCTTTGACGGTGTTCTGTTTTTATCTAACCATTTTTTTGTTACTAGATTAATGCCTCCGTATACACGCATATTTCCTTTCAATATATGATTTTCTAATCTTACAAACATGGCTTTGTAGATTTCATTGACTCTTCAAAGTTCAAACCCATGTCCTTGATGTTCTTGCGGTAGGTCTAGCACAAGCTATATGAGATGAGATAAGGAGACTGATTTTCACAAGCGAGAGCTTTTAAAACGATATCAACTTAAACAGTAGCTAGAGAATTGTGGAGTTTAATGGAAGATATGGTTTTCTGTTACTGTTTTGGATCTGACTATAAGCCAAGCTTTAAGAAAAAACATTGCTGTAAAATCCATATGATCTCGAACTTTTATTAAATTCTACCCAACGAGCAATTAGGTACTTAAAAACCAGTTTCTGCATAGCAAAATCATACTACATACTAATTCTAGTGAAACACCTTACCAACCCAGATTGGCCCTCTATTATTCGTTTATCTACAACTTCCTCCAGCTAAGATCAGCACTTCAAACAGACTCCTGGGATGCATCAAGCATGCTCAGGTACTCATTTATAGCTTCGATTTCCTTGTCAACATTAATATCATAAGCTGATAAAGCATCAACCTTTGCAATCTCATCTGCAAAGTCAAGCTCTGTCTCTTCGTCCCGCTCTTCCCCACCATCAGTTTCACCAGATGTGCTTCCTTCGTTTCCATTCTCCTCTGCTGTTTCATCTTCCATCTCAGCATCCTCCTGCTCTGCTCCACCATCAATTTGGTTGGATGTGCTTTCTTGAGCCTCGTTGTTGCTACTGCTCGCTACACCGGCGACTCCAGGGTTTGGTTGTGGTAAAGATAGTAGCCTCTGGATTATGTCTTCTCGGCTGCCACCTCCCTCCAAAGCAGAAGTTGCTGTATTTCCCAAAGCAGAGGTGTAATGGCATTTTGTCAGTTCTTTACCATGGACTATTGCAATATAAGAGAACTGAAGAAACATGTACCTTGTCCTCGTTCAAATCCCATAGAAACAAGTTCGTCCACAGTTATGCCTACTCGTTGCTCTTGACGTTTTCTTTTCCTCGATTCAATGAAGACCTGTATCTTCGAGTTCACTTCCGGGTTTGTAAGTGCATCAAGAGCTTCCTGAAAATCGTTCTCACTTCTCCGGAGGGATTCAGCAGCAAGATCCCTCACATATCTATAAAGGTGAGCGCTTTCAATCAATACTCAACTCTTAAAACAATGTGAAAACGTTTCAAATCAAGATCAGTCTACAGTGCGTTGCTTACCCAATAGAGACGAGCCTCTCAAGCATCTGCATATTGACAGCTTTGTTCATGGGAGTCACACCATACGTCTTCTGCTCACTGAAATATCAGAGCTCTAGGTTGCTTATTTGAAGATCATAAAGTCACTACAAACTATATATCATAAGAAGAAGTAAAAAAACATACTTGATCTCTTCTTGTCTCTGGAGGTTATCCTTGCGCCTCTGAGCTCTTTTTGCCTTCTCTTCAATGAGAAAATCAACAGACGCCGCAATATCCTGATTGTTCAGTCGCAAAGCTCTCTTAGCATCCTTCTCCTCGAACCCCATACCCATAACTACGGACAGCAAGTCATCAGGTACTTGTAGCTGCATCACAATGCCCAAACAAACATTATAAACAACTGAATATCAGTAAAAGTGAAGTAATTGCTACACAACTCACTGACCTGCAACAATTTTGCATGAGCGGACTTCAGTGCATTCAAGGCTTTATCAGGTTGACCAGTGTGATATGCCACCACACCTTCTAGTAACTCTAGTCTCAGATAACTAGCCAGTAGGAAAACGAAAATCTTTCAACAAAAATGTTTTACTCTTTAGAATGAAAACCAACAACAAGTAGAGGAAAGTGAACTCACAGTGCCAACTCTGGACATTGACCTGATTGAAGGAGCCTCACACGAGAGAGGTCTTTCCCATGAGCACGCTCGAGTCCTTTCCTTGCCTTCACAAGGCGAACACCGGCATCTGAAAGGCATTTGACGTCACGGAGCAAGAAGTAGCACCATACAAAGTCTATCTCCATCATAGGGATGTTGTCCACCATCTGTAACAAGATTAAAGTTAGGTGATTGCAGTATCAAAGAGACTCAGAACACAAGAGGCAATACAAAAATAGTAAAATTAACTTGAAGGATAGAGAAAAGACCTCGAGAATCTTGGGATCACAGAGCAAGAACGATTCCTATGAAACAAGAAAACTAATCAGGAAGCTGTGGCAGAACAATATACAATATGGAAAGCAAAAGGTGGCTCCTAGGAGCTAACCTCTGCCATGGCAAGCACTTCTACAGCATCAGAGTACATTTCCATTTCTATTAGGCTCTTTGCCTTCGTGTGTAACATAAGACCCATCATTGCAGCTCTGTCCAACACAATAAAAAGAGAGGATTTCATTAGCATTGAAGTCTTGTTATAGCCGATTCATGTTCCAACATTGTTGAGCAAATACCTCTGATCAGTCTCTGATCCAAACTGTACTGTATGACCTCCCTGATCCTCAAGCTCTATGTTATAGTCTTCGCTCGGCAATGGCAATGAACCATCAGCATGCCTCTTGGACAACGCCGTCGCTGCCGCTCTACAACATACACAACAAATACGATCATGATCCGCAGAAAAAACGGTTCTTTAAAGCAATCACACACACAAAGAGTCACTTGATCACGAAATTCAATCGAAAGTCAGAAACTTTAGCCTATCGGATCAGAATTAGGAGAATCGGTTCTTGCAAGTAATATCAAACACTAATCAATTGAAGAAATTAGGTGCTTACTTGACACGGGAGAGACGTCTTGCTCGTTCTTCCTCGGCCAAGATCGATTTGCCTTCTTCGGGAGCTGCAGCGCGACTCGAGAGGATTTTGGAGTTTTCCTTGATACCTAATTGGGCAAGCGTCTGAGTATTATCGCCGTCGTCCTTGAGGATTTTACCGGCGAAAATAAGTTTGATCGAATCAGGATCGAGGCCCGATCGCTTAGCGACTTCATCTCTCAGCATCTGTAGAGTCCAGTTCTCGAGTTCCACCTCAATCAAGCCACCCCATGTCCCAGCAACCTTGAGTTTCGCCATTGAATAGTTTCTCACGAGTAGCTAGGTTTTGAGAATTTTGGAAAATCTTCAAGTGCCTGCGTTCGTGTATACGCAGGCTACTTATATATATACAGTACGTCGTGAAAAATAATAAATAAATATACCTATACCAAATCAAGTCAAAAAATGAAAAAGAAATAACCCTATGCACATACATTTGTATCGATAAAATATAGTATATATTAATTTAGTAACATAAAATTATTAAAATACATTAAAAAAGTAATGAATTTGGGTGTCTCTCTAACTCTCTATACAATCAAAATAATTCTTATGACTACAATACGTAAACTAAAGACCGGTTTATATATGAAAATGCAGATCGTTAATTGTTTTGAAATTTTTCCTGGATATTGGATTTGGTGAGGATGTTCTTTGAACATAATCCCTTCCCCCATCAAAAAGTAGAACTGGCTAATCCTAAGACAAAGGGTCCAGAAACTAGCCCTTGAAAACTGTCTCCTCTTTAGGTATCCGTTCTTTCAAAAATCTGACCATGATTGGTGACTGTCTATGTGAATGATGTAGAGCTGCAGCTACAGCATCACTAGAGTCGATATATTTTTTTTTTTGAATGAACACTAGAGTCGATATTAGGTCTTCGCTTTTAACGTTTAACGTATAGAGAATGGAGCATCACTTACTCCTTTCGTTTACCCTATCCCGCCGATTTCCTCTGTCTCACTGGTTGGAGTGATGCATGCCACTGGCGGTTTCTAAGCGAGGCAATCTTTTCTTCCATGACAAAAGAAAGAGGGGTTGCTGAAATAAACTTGGTCAAAGGAGCGTAAGAGTGTTAGATTTCATTGAGTTTGGTCTTAATATGTCTAAGTTAGGATAAATGTGTATCAAACACTGTCTTGTAAAGTCGCAACTCTTTGCTTATGTTGTATTACACAAGCGCACACAAGTAGTAGAGAGACACAACTCTTCCTTGTGTTTTGTCTTAGCTAGTATATAACACACTAGTAACATAACAATTTTCAAATCAATAAAAGTTTATATTTCGTTCTTCTTGTGTTCTTCAAAAGAGAAGAGATAATTTATCTCTTGCTCTGTTTTGTCTCTTTCTTACTCTTACTTTGCTTTGAAATCAAAACTCTAACAAAGAGTAACTTTATTTCATGCTAGTAACAAATACAAAAGCAGATAAGATATTGCCAAATCTGTAGCAATAAGACAACATAAAAACCAAATATAACACACAACATACAACAAATGGAACACAAACTGATAATAAAACATATAGACGCGGAAACAATGAGATTTGTAAAAGGTAAGAGAGACTGTCCTGTTTCATTGTTTCTACTCCATCACGAGTTGCTTGCCTCACTAATAACGATACTGTCCAGTGTAGTTCCTGTTGGTCATTAAGGAAGTAAACAAACGCCGCCGTGCCCATGTTGACATCAACGGTGCGTACCACCTTGAGCTGTACTCGTTAACTTGCTCAAACACATTCCGTAAATAACTTGTATTTATGTCAAACACAACATCCTTACAAATATTTTTGAAGAACTGGGATACCTCAATCTTACTGCCAAAGTAGTTCTCTATGATCCGGTTGTCGTCGCTCAAAAACGTTGCATCCTCCTCGCCGTTTAGAAGGCATCCCATGAAAACTACGTAGCTTGTTATCTCGTTTGTACTCTTTGCGTATGATTGTTCAAAGGCGACGCAGTTGAGGAAGATGGAGCTGCTGAATCCATCCAATCTTAGCAATGGTATGTGAAGTTTGTTCCTCTTCCATCTTATATCTAATAAGGAATCTGCATCACTCCTTATGAATGTTATCCCTCGGAGACTAAGTCTTGTAGATGACATTATCAAGGTAAAATCCGAGGGTGATACTTTTCCAGATTTAGCCTTCATGGGTGGTACATCTTCAGATTCACCTTTAGATTTCTTGTTAGGTGTGAGGCTCATGCGAATGAGGTCAAGAAGATGCTTCCCCTCCAAGTTTCTGTATTTCTCCAAGTGTCTCTCTGGTCTACCCAACGAGAGGTTGAAGAAGCGAAACGCCATCCAGTTTAGGTCATCAAAGACACCTATCTTTGAAACTTTCATTAAAGTTTGAAGAACAATGAAAGGAACCTGATTTTCCAAGAGGAGAAGATCACTCTGAATGGCCGGGAGAATCCACGGGATGGTGAAAATAGGATCTTCACTCACATCCAGCTGAATGATTCTTGAAACGATAAGCAACAACATGAGAACGAAGCACCCATCCAGAACCATCATATACACAAATTCCTTTGGACCTTGGCTAGGATTCTCGGAATAAGAAATCCTACTGACTTTCTCCAATTCCATGACAGCCGTGACCAAGTCGTAATCAGTTACTCCCTTCTTTCTTGCCTTATTTAGAAAAATCTTGAGAAACCGAGGCTTGTGCTCTTGAATCATCCGGAGGTGTGCTTCTCCATAATGGTAAGGACCAATGGAAACCACTTTCGGCATATAGGCTGTAGGGTTCATTTCTGCAAAGCTTCTAGGGACTCTGAAGATGCAACATGATTCCTTACCAGCTGATTCCATGAGAAGCTGTGGTTTCTCATGTCCTGATTGTACGTTCTTGAAATCCTCTAAGATCTCATATAGATAATCATTTTCAGTCTCGTCTCCCATGGTGATATCCTCTGAGAATTCCCCCTTCTTGGATGCCATGATTCAGTTTTACTTGGATCCTGCTTCCCTGGGTTCAGAGACAAGATCGCATTTAAATTTTAGTTATAAATCGAGACGTTTATTGGAGAAGAAAGAGAAAACCTTACTGTAAGGGGATCAGTTGACGTGTAACTTCAGCTCTTTGACTCTTGAGAGGGAGGCTAGAGCGAATTAAAAGTCTTTTTTATTTTCCTCTTACTCTCTTCTCCTATAATAGTTCGTAAAATGATAATAAGTAGGAAGGAGATTGGGCTTTGATTGGTAGCATATTTTGATGGTTAACCAATCAAAATAAAGTTACATGAAATGGTACAAAGTAAGTGGTACAAAACACTACAAAAATGATGGTGCAACATCAAAGTAATGGTACATTTGATATTCCACAATATGAATGTTATTTAACACCATAGTTTGTACTCTAAGACTAGAATGCTTCAAACTTTTGTAATACATTTACTATTATAGAGTGACCAACCAAAGCTAACATTATAAAAGGTCTCGTCGGTGAAAGATAAAATGTTGTAATGGTTGGTGGAAGAGTTAAAACTAAAAGCAGCTTCATCGGTAAGATAAAATGTTGTAATGGTCTAGTATATAAGGTCTTTTAATAAAGCACTGTGCAAATCTTAATTTCTAATCAACGGGCTTTTAACTCTCCATTATATTTACTTATATTTATCAAAAAAAGATGGTTCAATTTTCTTTTTGTTGTTGTAGTTTGGAAAATAATATATCAAGGTTACCTTTGTTCACACTTTATGATAGGTTGACATGCGTTTTTTCTAATTTAACATACCTTACTTTTCATATATCATGTAGTTAATACAAATTTAACATACATAATTTTCATCACCTACCATATAAGTGACATATAATCACACATACAATTAACGTCTTATACTCTCACCCACTCTCTCTTAATTTAACATTTAAAACCAGAAAAGGTCTTGCTCTTTTTTTTTTTTGTCCACTTGACAATTTCTTTAGAAACTAAACTAATATTTTTAAATGATATAATTTAGAAAATTTTGTGAGAAGATATGATTAATAAAGTTAAGGTTTGCCCACAAAAAAAATATATTATATTTGACAGATCATCTTAATATAAGTTAAACTAAATAGTCTAATTTATACGCATCATAGTATGCTTGTCTTAATCTAATTAACATTTTAACCTTCTTCATGCATGAAAGGGCAACTAACTTATACTATAATCCCAGCAAATAATGACTTATTTTGTATATCTATGTTTAGTTTGGTGTCACTAGTAATAGACACACTAAATTATCATACTAAATACATGTAATCAAATTTCACGCTGGGAGAAAAAAATATCAAATTCATAATACGAGCTCAGTGACATCGAGGTTCGCAATTATTATCGTTATTTAACATCACCATAAACAATAAGCATAACAGTGCCATGGTCGTCAATTGATTAGTTGTCATGTCAGTAGCAAGGGATATTTTTAAATTTGATATCAATTTTTAACAAAATTATTTATAGCATATCAATTTGCCATTGACGTCTAACGCACGATCGCTTAGTGATAACTGACAATCATATAGCTTTGATTAGTTGTCATGTCACTAGCAATGACTACAGTCGACTAAACCATATTACTGATTAAGATAATTTTATATACTATGTTAAATATAATAATTAAAGTTAACTAACCCGTTTCGATTATAGTGTTATGATAATTGAAGAGACGGAGCAAAGTCAGATAAGTTTCATCAAAAGAAAGAAAAAATAACTTTATTTAATGCAGAGTAAGAAACACAAAAGCATATAAAGTCATAACCACATGGATAACAATAACAAAACATAAAACACAAATTGATAAAACATAACGCGAAATAATTTATAAACTTTCCCTTCTATCAGTTTCCCTGAGGAAGAGGAAATGGAGGAGCTGTATTTCAATCTGCAGCCTTTTTATCGTTCAGGTAGGACATAACCGCAAAAGTAGCTTGCAGGATGGTAAGAAGAAGAGCGAAAACAACAGCAAACGATGACAGACAAGTCCATGGTGACTCAAAGTGTGTGTGCTTAAAGCCTGCCCATACTCTATTGGACTGTTTTGAGGTGTAGAGGTTAACTCCCAGAAACACACACCGTAAATAACTTCTACTCATGTCGAAGTTTACACCTTTACATATGTCTTTGAAGAACTGGGACACCTCACTCTCGCTGCCAAAGTAGTTCTCTATGATCTGCTTGTCGTTGCTCAAGAAAGCTGCATCTTCCTCTCCTTTTAGAAGGCACCCCATGAAGTACATGTAGCTTGTTATGTCGTTGGTACTCTGTGAATAAAACTGTTCATAAGCGACGCAGTTGAGGAAGATTGAGCTGATGGACTCGTCCAGTCTTAGCAGTGGTATCTGAAGCATGTTATCCTTTAATCTTATATCCAGTATCGAATCTGCATCACTAATAAGCCTGAACTTTATCCCCTGGAGGCGAAGTCTTTTGGCCGGCAGTATCAAGTCAGATGTAGAATCCTTTGGAGGTTCCGATCTCATGCTAGGTGTGATGCTAGGTCTGGTGCTAGGTGCGAAGCTCATGCGAATGAGGTCAAGAAGATGTTTCCCCTCAAAGTTTCTGCACTTCTCCAAGTGTCTTTCTGGTCTATCCGGAAAGAAAAAATGAACCGCCATCGTGTTTAGGTCATCAAAGACACCTATCTTTGAAACTTTCATTAAAGTTTGAAGAACAATGAAAGGAACCTGATTTTCCAAGAGGAGAAGATCGCTCCGAATGGCCGGGAGAATCCATGGGACCTTGAAAACTGGATCCTCCTTGTCAAGCAACTCAGTACTCTTGGAAAAAATAAGTATCAACATGAGAATGAAGCACCCATCAAGAATCATCATATACACTAATTCATTTGAAATTTGGCGAAGACCCTCAGAATAAGAATTCCTAACTTTTTCTTCCAAAGCCGCTACAGCCTCGAACAAGTCTTTTTCTTCCACTGCCTTCTTTTTTGCATTACTTAGAAAAAGCTTCAGAAACCGAGGCTTGTGCTCTTGAATCATCTTGAGGAGTTTATCTCCGTAATGGTAAGGACCAACGGAAACAACTTTGGGCTTATATGCTTCTGGGTTCACTTTTGAGAGGCTATCAGGGATTCTGAAGATGCAACAAGATTCCTTACCAGCTGATTCCGTGAGAAGCAGTCGATCTACACTTATTGCTAGCTGGTACTTGACATGACTGGAGATATCCATGACTCAACTCCACTAGGCTTTCCTGAATTCAGAGACAAGACGATTAAACCTAAAATATAAATTGAGAATTTCGTTAAGGAATGCGAAAATCTCACTGTGAGTTATGCTTTAATGAACGTGAAAACCTAAAAAATGAGTCAACCTCTTATGTCAGACTTTTTAACAACTAGATAATAATTAATCCGCAAATGAACGTGAAAAGATTAAAAAATCTACAAAGAAATTATTAAGCATCGTATTATATAATATTGGATGTACAAGACATGCATAAGATTTTTGTAACTCACTAATGATCAAATGCTGAGTCATGTTTTGTTTTTTGTGCACCAACTTGATTTTATAAATCTTAGCTTTGGTTTACAACTCACAAAGGTAAAAGCGATTCAATATAAAAAGTTGAATCTAAAATTACATTAAAACACAACAAAGATAGAGCTGAGAAACAATAATAACATAATAAATTCAGAATCACCACCATGAGGTTAATTCTTCCTCTAAGATAGATATGGAGGCCTAATTTTTTGAACACAACACCCAGGTCCTAAACTCTACGCCTAAAGCTAATAACACAATAATCAACTCCCAGTGTAATAAACTATAAACATAAATTGTTGTTAGTTCTAACGAAATATATAAATTAAACACAAAGAAAATTATTACCAAGACGAGTAGGTAATGTTAAATCTGAATGATTTTTGATTAAACATTTTTATAAATGTGTTCTCAATTTTATTATGTTATCAGTGACAGCTAACTGGCATTAATAATTGAATCAACCTTTTGCTCGGTATCGTTTCACAAAAAAAGGAATCTTAAATGTACGACTACTCTACTAACTCTTTGTTTATTATACTTTTGTTTCACTTGATGTTGACATCATGCTAATGAAGTTTTAACAATCTTTGGGTCCGTTCGACTCAATGAATTGTTTGGTACAATTTGAAATGGGTTTGGTTGGTTGACTTCGATTTACATTGATACCAGCAGCAGTCTGTAACTCTTTATACTCTCAAGTATCACCAATTTTGTTCAGCCGTTTCAGGATATATATAAATAAAGAAGAAATAGGAGAAACAACAAGGTTTGGTTTCCTGTAGCTTCAGATGACCATAACAGGAGAAAGGTTTGATGCAGCGAGGCCCAAGACTCCGACGGAGTACTTGAAGAATAAATTCGGTGCCGCCAATATGCCGGAGAGGCTGCTGGAGTTGATGAAGTTGCTGAACACAGAGGACGAAGAAGACTCTTACAAACAAAAGAAAAACCAAAAAGAAGAAGACCTGGCTGGATTGAAGGCGGCCAAGGTAATCAGGAAGGAAATGAAAAGCATAATATACGATTTTCCCGAGTTCCGCGGGTTCGACAAGTCGACTCTCAGGCTTCCCCAGTTGAACCAGTATCTGTTTTCTACGAAGTTCAATCCGCCGATCCCTAATAAGGTGAAGTTTTTCTTGCTCCAAGTTTGTTTAGTCACATAGGTGTGCTCGAATCTTAGCTTTTTTTTTGTTGCAAAAAAGGAGACACTTTATGAGAAATATGTTTCTGTTTTGCAGGTTCGTGATGACATGATGAATGCCCCGCTGTCGCATTACTTCATTCACACCAGCCTCAACTCCTACTTTACCGGGAACCTTGTCTTGGAGAAATACAGCGATGAGCCTATCATCGATGCACTTAAACAGGGTGTGAGGGTTATTGAACTAGATCTGATGCCGTGTCCTGAAGGCGGCATCTGCGTTAGCCGTCGCATGTAATGGTTTCGCCATGTTTTTTTTTACGTCAGAAGCATTTGTCTGTCCACTATTGATTTTTGATCTTGCTCTGAGTTTTGTTTTCATTATCAACTTGATAGGAACTTTGAGAAGCCTCTCAAATTGCAAAAGTGTTTGGATTCTATTAAAGATCATGCTTTTACTCACACAAGCAGTTACCCCGTGATCATTACTTTTAAGGACGGCGCCAATCCGGATCTTCACTCCAAAGCTTGTCAGGTTTAGAACCTTCTTACTTCTTCTCCTCATTTGCCTAAATTTTTATTGTTTCTTACTCTAAACTTCTGCTCACATTTGTATGAATTCGTGGTTGCATATGTAGATGATAAATCAGACATTTGGTGGTATGGTACATCAGCGTGATCCTCATAGTTTGGAGGAGTTTCCTTCTCCTGCACAACTCCGAAACAAGATATTAATATCAAGAAGACCCCCGAAACAGTTGTTATGTGCTAATGGTGCTAAAGAAAAGATTTGCGTACAAGATGGGAAGAAGACACTACAGGACTCGCCAGATGTGAACTACCAGAGCCTAGTTTCCTTTTATGCTGTGGAGCCAAGCGGAATGCTAAGGAAAGCATTAACAGACAAGGTTAAAAAAACCCAACGACCAGGATGGTACGAGAAAGAAGTTATAAGGTACTGTTGATCAAAATAAGTGTATATATATGTACTCCAAATCCTTTTAACTTGAACCTCAACAGGGTCAAAATAATTGAGTTGCGAGTACTGGAAAGCTAACTTATTAAAAAGACTTCACAATAAACAGCTTTACCAAAACAAGTTTTTTGCGGATACGTCCAAGTGGCAAATTATATAAGAGCGCCCCATATAAACCCCAGAGAGCTTGGATCCATGGTGCTCAAATGATTGCACTAAGCAGACAGGTGTGGCTCTAATGTTTTCTCTTCTTCTTTTTTTTTTTTTTTTTTTTTTTTTGTCTGTCTTCTCTTACTAATGTAAAGTGGTTGCATTAGCATAAGTGCGCTATGTGGAATCGACCATGTGTTCTCTGAAGCTTATACACATGTGTTTCGGGCTTACCTATTGGACTCATGTCACGTGTACAACATGTTTTTACCACATAACTACAGGAGGACAATAAAAAACTTTGGTTGGTGCAAGGGATGTTTAGAGCGAATGGAGGATGCGGTTATGTTAAGAAGCCGGATTTTCTCTTGAATGCAAGTCCTAGTGGAGTTTTCTATCCAGCAGTGGATCCAATGGGGAAGAGGAAAATGTTAACGGTTTGTCATGCGACAACTATTCTTTTTCCCATGCTTCCATCTTCTTATTTAAGATATGACATGAAATTATGTCTTGCAGGTCAAAGTCTACATGGGAGATGGATGGCGGGTGGACTTCGAGAATACAATAGGTCGATGGTCGAAGCCAAAGTTATATGTTATGGTAAAATCTATTAAGTTGTGTTTTTAATATTAAAAAAAAAAAAAAAAAAAAAAAAATTGTCAGAAGGGAGATTGATTGTTGTTTATTTGTTGAAAACGCACAGATTGGTATTGCCGGTGTAACCCATGATGAGAAAATTGTGCAAACGAAGGTGCAAAGAAAATGGATACCTGTTTGGGGACAAGACTTTACATTCCCGTTGAGATATCATCATCTTGCTTTGCTTAGTATTCAAGTCTACAACCATGATTTATCACTTCCAGACGGATTTTGTGGCCAGACATGTCTACCGGTTCCTGAACTTATAGAAGGGATTCGAGCTGTTCCCCTCTATGATGAAAAAGGTAAAAAATGCAGCTCGACAATGCTGCTCATGGGTTTCACGTGGTCTTAACCTACCATTTTCTTTCTCTTTTCATTGTTACATTTTACTTTTGTTTTGTATTGTATCTATTTCTTTTGAATGACTTCCATTTTAAGGAGAAGATCGCTCCAAGTGCATGTTCAACTGTACTTGGGTCGTACCAAAAAAAAAAAAAAAACTGTACTTGGGGTGCCACTCCAAAAACTCCCTTAATTCTTCCTGCAAATTCATATATTTAATCGATTGGTTTGGTTTAAACCTTAGAGGTTGGTTTTTTGCCATACTTGTTTAGGTTTAGGGTCGACTTCCGAATAGACTGAAACCCTCCTGATAGATGAAATATGATATGACATCATCAAAACCAGTTCCTAAGACATTAAGAATGTACTCCAGTTTGATAAATAAGAACGGTCAATAATTGTGCTCATATATTAGTATGGCAATAGCATCGTTACTTCAATATCCAAAGAACAAAAACTTGATATGAGGGATACACACATTTACTTTAATAAAAACATTCCAAAATTTATGTTTGCAACATTATCAATTCATTCTCAAAGCTGTTATGTGATGGTGACTTCCAGAAACAGAGGTTTGTGATATTTTTGAAGTCTGGAATCAGGTATTATATGAATACATGTGTGTATAGCTTAGTAGACACAAATCTTTACATGAACTTCTCTTTGTAAAATATCTCCATGTATTAATTGAAACTGAAATCCTCTTTCTTTCACTCTCTTTGTAATCTGCAAAAGAAGCCACATGCCCAAATTTTTTTCACGTTTAGTTATGTAAACTTTAGGACCATATATTTCTTGTCTAGGATGTAGTTATTTTTTTTTATCACGAATATGCAAAATGAATAGTAAGTTGAACATTTTGCTGTAATTTTGGTGTTAGACTTTAGACTTTTTTTTTAAGGATTTAGTCTTGAATAAATATTTATTTTTGGGAGTTAAGGATAAGCAACATACTCATCTTTATTATTACACATATAGACCACACACTTGATTACTATCTTACATGATTTACCAAAAAAAAACAAAAATGAGTGTTTCTCGTTCCAATGTTGTAGTACACTCTCTTAGTTTCGAGTGACTTTTCTTCAAGATCTGTTGGATCAATTTCCGAACCTGCAACTATGTCTTTTCCACAGATTCCATATCTCTCTCTCTACTGATTCTAATTTCTTCAAGTTCCCTTTTTTAACCCATCAGCTGATACAATCGCTCGAGCCCTTCTCCCCTCCTCAACTCTAGCTCACGCGACCTCTCCTCCATGTGTTTCCCCTCTGACTAAAATTCGTAGGTTTCGTCGAGACAGGTTTTCGTCTCTGACATTATATCTATCTGGCTTTTCTTGTTCATAATCCTTCTGTAATCTATATGGTTATTAGTTTTCATCACTTACTGTCTGCTTGAAACCCAGTTTAGTGAAGCATCAAATCTGTGTTTGGCTTCGATTGTTAAATTTTCTGATTCGTGTGTAAGTTTCTAATTTGAATCTGGGTGGTTTTGTTATCGAATTGTTATCCCCATTGAGTAGATAAATATCTTATTAGCCATATATTATGAAAATATAAGCTGAAAATTTAAAATTTAAATAAAAAATCTGCACGGGCCTTAACGAACCGATTTTAATAACTTGATGTTGATTTGTAATTTTAACAATGTTTCAGATCATGGTATCGTACCGGGTCTTCGTGGTGTTGACGGTTGTGCTGGTGGTTACAGTGTTGGGGTTTGCAGAAGCGTATCCGAAAGAGGACTTGGTCGTGAGTTTGCCTGGTCAACCAAAGGTCGGTTTCAGACAATATGCTGGATATGTCACTGTGGACTCGGAAAGTGGCCGGAGTCTCTTCTACTACTACGTGGAAGCTGATAAAACACCCGACAAGAAACCTTTAACCCTTTGGCTTAACGGAGGTTTGTATATTTGTCTTTGCCCTGTCACTTGTTGAATTGATATGTCTAGTAAAGTGTTAAAGATCTAAGCTTTCATTTGGCATTTGTGTAGGTCCAGGTTGTTCTTCAGTTGGTGGAGGAGCTTTCACTGAGTTGGGTCCGTTTTATCCAACAGGAGATGGTCGTGGCCTCCGCATTAACTCCATGTCATGGAACAAAGGTTAGATTTTTTTTGTGATCTTCTTGATGTAAATAGCTGAGAATTGTGATTCTTAATCTGAATATCTGATGCTACTGTCTCTTATTGTAAATATGTGTAGCTTCGGACCTGCTTTTTGTGGAGTCACCAGCTGGAGTGGGATGGTCTTACTCCAACAGAAGCTCTGATTACAACACCGGTGACAAATCTACTGGTAAAATCTCAAAATCTAAAATCCCCTTTTTTCAGGTCAAGAATACTCTTGTTGTTTCTTGACGTGTTCTGTATTTGAACAGCCGAAGACATGCTTGTGTTCTTGCTGAGATGGTTCGACAAGTTCCCTGAGTTGAAGTCTCGTGAGCTCTTTCTCACTGGTGAAAGCTATGCAGGTTTGTTTTCGACTGTTCTGTTTCTTATTTTAAGGAATGGTTATGAATGAGACTCTTTAACAATTTTAGTGACTCATATACAATCTCTTGCAGGACATTACATACCACAATTGGCTGATGCAATACTAAGCTACAATTCACGCTCAAGTGGATTCAAATTCAACGTCAAAGGCATTGCAGTAAGCAAGAAAACTTCTTCTCGACTTTCCATTTAACTCTTTTGTCTCTCTCTCTTCTGATTCCTTTGTGTGTGTGTGTGTTTATATATCTGATCAGATAGGGAATCCACTTCTGAAGCTTGACACGGACACTGCAGCTACATACGACTTCTTCTGGTCGCATGGGATGATCTCCGATGAACTCAGAGACACAATCACAAGCCAGTGTGACTTTGCAAGTTCGCAGAAGCAAACCAAGCCGTGCAGCGATGCTCTCATCAACAGCAGCCTCATCAACGAATACATCAACGACTATGACGTGCTTCTTGATCTATGCTACCCAGCTATCGTCGAGCAAGAGCTGCGGCTCAAGAAAATGGTTAAAGCCTCTCTCTTCCCACCTTTTTTGTTCTTTCTAACCAACAAAAGATTTTAGAAAATGGTTGGTTTTTACACAGGCTACTAAGATGAGCGTAGGGGTTGATGTGTGTATGACTTACGAGCGCAAGTTCTATTTCAATCTCCCAGAGGTCCAGCACGCTCTTCACGCGAACCGGACCGGTTTACCTTACGAGTGGTCTATGTGCAGCAGGTAAAAGTCTATTTCATTGATCAAAACTGGAGTTGATTGATTATACTACATTGTCCTAATTGGTAGTATTGATTTGTCACAGCCAATTAAATTACAGTTCCATTGACGGGAACATCAACATGCTTCCGATTCTTAAGAGAATTCTACACAAGAAAGTTCCGGTTTGGATCTTCAGTGGAGATCAAGATTCTGTTGTTCCACTTCTTGGCTCAAGAACTCTCGTACGACAACTTGCTGATGATCTTAGCTTCACTACCACAGTTCCCTATGGAACTTGGTTCCACAAAGAGCAGGTATAAGTTCTCAAAAACCAGCAGAAAGCAAAACCTTGCTTCATTTCCTCAAACTGATTATGAATGTTATGTGACTATAGGTTGGTGGCTGGGGTACAGAGTATGGAAACCTACTGACGTTTGCAACGGTGAGAGGAGCTTCTCATATGGTGCCCTTTGCGCAGCCTTCACGAGCTCTGCATTTATTCACCAGCTTTGTCCGTGGCCGGAGATTGCCTAACAAACCCCATACCTCTACATGACATGACGAATGTAAGAGAAAGATCTCTCTAACGCTAATGATCCAACGTCAAGACTCGGGTCTATTTTCTTAGCTTAATAATTGCCTCATATTGTAATGGTTGTACGAAAATAAACGTCAAAACAACGGAGATGAAGCTCCACTGATTATTGTCTTAGACCAAAACTCTCTTAATTTAATGTTTCGTTCTACCAATGAGCCTAAACGAGTGGGTCAAAATTTCATAATAGACAAAGTTATTGAGAATATCAAAAAATTTACCAAATTGGGTTGCATCATTCAGTTATGACAATTTAGTTTTATATGTGTTGTGTACTTGGTTGTCCACTTTTTGTATACATGATCAAAATCGTTTGAAACCAATTTGATGTTATTTCTCTAGAGGATACATATATTTTAAACGAATTTTTGGTGTTTCGATGTACAACAACATTCGCCTGAAATACATCTCCCGATTAACTGAATACTTCTTGCTGCACATTCCTCCTCACATTTGTCGGGTCCACCCTCAGAACACGGATGATAGCACTTTTTGTACTCTTGATTTATCCCGATACCTATTTAACAACAATATAAACAAACATTGACATTTATTTAAAATACTAAAACATGATCATAAAGAAATAGCAATAGGGCGTACGAAAATGAGCTAATACCATTATTGATATCTCTGCATTGAACACAAGAGATGAGCAAGAGAGTACTAAGAACAAATGCCATTAACATTTTCTTGGGGATAGCCATTTTGTATGATATTTTCTTACAATATTTGTTTTGTTTTTTTGAGTGTTATGTTTGTTGAGATGGTTACCTCTATATATAATAACACAAATACTATAAGAAAAAACAAAAACTAAAATATAGATAAAAATCTTTTGATTTCTTTCCTTATATTATAGTCAAAACTCAAAAGAAAATGATTTCCTTATTAAACAGATTATCAAAATCTATAAGTTTATTTACTTATAATAAAGAGAATGATTTCCATATTAAACAGATTATCAAAATCTATAAATTTATTTACTTATTTTATCGTCAAAATATAATAAAGAGAATGATTTCCTTTCCTAAACTATAGTCAAAATAAAATAAAGAAAAATGATACAATCCTAAGAAACCAGAGAGCATTAACTGCAGAACCGAATCAAACGAGAAATCTAAACTGCACCTTTTAGAACCGGTTGAAGGTTTTTTTTTTTTTTGGTAAAATGTGAAGATTTTATACCAATTAAAGTTGGAGAAGAACTGAATACAGCAAGCAGTGGAACCACTACAGGCCGGAAGCTAAAATGATATGAATAATAGTAAAAAAAAAAATTCAAATTCCCCTGTTCATTACTCAAATAAAACGTTTATTTCAACATGTATCATGTTTTATAAATTAAAATGGCGAAATATCCTAACAAAGGAGTAGTTGTTAGGTTAAAATTCAGTCAAACGTTTTATTTGATAATATTATAAATTTATGCATGCCACTACAATGCATAGTATCCATATACCTATTTCGCCTTTTTAATTTATAAAACATGAAATGTTGAAATAAGAATAAACATTGCAGTCATCTTTTAAACAACTTTTCTAATAATTGGCTGTCCACACACATATCACAGATTAGCATATTGTAGTTATGTATTGAATGTCAAAGATGATATATTCTACCATCATAGCCACAAAGCATATGAAATTAATCGAAGCTTCGACTTTAGATAACTCGAGCAAGATTGTCGAACTTTGAATTGTTCTTTTCCTTATGGAAGCCATATAAGTTAAATTTAAAGAACCCATCATTTTCACCTAATAAAGTAAAGTTTGAAGAGACAGTGAGTGAGGGATATCGGTAGAGGTTGGGTTAAAGACTGGTACCACTTGGGGCTACCCACTTTGATGGATCACTTTCGACCAATAAATTGCGGAGTGGAGCATTGACTACTGTGCATATGCTCTACCAAATTATTTTGTTAAAACACTGTGGTCCATCTTTTAGGAGTTATATAGTTTCTTTAGAGTGGTTAGTAAGTATTTAATGATTTTTGTTAATTGGAAGCAATAGCAAAAATTGCGGGCTGTTGATTGCGAAAAGTACCAAAACCCATGTTTTTGGGTATTGGTTTTTGCATTCGCTTACCTATAACTATAAGAGAGATAGATGGTTTTATCGGTTAATCCAAGAGTTCTTTTTTTTTTTGCATAATTGAGCTGATTAGTAATTCTAGACTTACAGTCCGATCCAGATCAACCAAAGTTATCAAAATAATCAAATATGCCTTTGGTCGGAAAAAAACAATTGGTCGGAAAAAACAAAATCTTAGATTATAACGTTTGAACAAAAAAAAAAAAAGGATTATAACGTATGAGACTTCATGATTGATAAAATAACATTAAATAAATAAATAGAGGGAAAAAAATCCTATGTAGAGTAAAAGAGAAACTATGATGTGAATAATTTCAATATACTGTATATCACATGTTTGGTTTTCTAAAATCTTTGAAAAGTGGAATGCTTGAAAACAAAATCTTTCTAAGTCACAACCACTGCACTTTGCTTTATTTGTCTCCCATCATATGTGTAATATGTGTCCCCAGACTCTTTTTTTCCGCAAAAATAATCAAAGCTAGCTATACTTTTCGATTAGTATATTTAGTTTATTTTCGTTGAGGAGACCAAAATATGTAAATTATTATCATTAAAAATATTTATACATGTATGTATACGTACTCAACCATTAATTGCGATATATATATAGTCTACAAAGTCCAAACTCACATAAGATCAGTCACACACACACACACACAAAATGGATTGGTTCTCTTGGCTCTCTAAAACCGACCTTGACCCGACCCTAAGCTACGAGTACGGGCTCATCTTTGCCCAGAAGAAGCTCCGGAGTGAAGACATCGCTCTTTTCAACCACAAATTTCTCCGGAGACTTGGCATTACTGTAGCCAAACACCGTCTAGAGATTCTCAAGCTTTCAGAGAGAGAAACAAAAGCACTAGGCTGCTATCACCGTCGTCCAGCTACGGCCAAACTTATCTCTACCGTCATAAGGGCGACCAAAAGTTTCGGCAATCACTTCAACAAGTGGCTCTTCCTCGGAGGAACCGCCGTAGTTGAACCATTGAAGGAGAAGCAATCACCGCCGCCACCAGTCTGCCGTGGCGGAGCCTTTGTGATTGGTAAGTTCAAGATAATGCACATATAACGACCTTTTGCAACCGGATATTTCTATACAGAAAATTACATCAAAGTTATTATTTTGTTATGGTGAAAATGGGTAAACAAAACCTCATTCTTAAGACAAGAAACTTTATTCGGTTTTGTGTTTATGAGTTTACGTTTTGTTATAGTGAAAGTGAATGAAGCAAGAACTCCAAAAAATTGTAGGTATGACGGATTTGCTATATTAATTTCAACAAAGCTAAAGTATAGTTTTAAATGTGTTATGGTACAAGAACCGAAGTGCATTTATAAGTGAAGCAAGGAGTCTACGTTTGGTAGATATAACGGTTTTTGCTATTTTAATGTTTTTCTGGTACAAGAACCAAACTGCATTTATGAATGAAGCAAGAAGTCTAAAATTTTGTAGGAGAAACTGGTAAAGTAATTTGTTTCTGAAGATTATGCCCTGATATAGTTACGGTTTATTAATGTTAAAAAACTGTCAGGAAATAATAAAGTCAACGCCGAAAACGCTGAGGTAAAAGTGGAGAGGTTACCTGTGATCAAGAAGAAGAGGATTGCGAAATCTGGACCGTTGGATCTGAAACACGGAATGCAAGAGAAAATGACGTTTAAAGGCAACCGGAGCATGAACCTATCTGGACCGTTGGATCGAAGCGTCCAAGAAAGACTCGTATTAGCTTACAGAAGCCCTGTTGTGTCGGGACAGTTGGATGGAAACTTAAACGAACGGCTGAGATTATCAGGGCCGTTGAAAGGAAGACCACCAAGCCCAAGTGTGTATGTGGAGTACAATAAAAGAGACGATGATGACACACGTTGGGCTGCTCTGTTTCAAAACTTGAAGCCAACATAGCTTTTGCTTAATTGTGGGGTATCTTGTTGTGCTAATTATACAAACAATTATCTTATGCTCTTATAGTTATGGAGATGTTAGTTTTTTACTAGCATCTTGTTCGTTTTGTGAGTTTGTATGTGAAAATTTAGATGAAAACTGAACTTTCTAATAAAATGTGATATTTTGGATACAGTTGAAACTAGAGTTTGAAACATGACAAGTGTGACTATTCCATTCTGACGTAGCGGAAACTTTTAGGGATAGAACTAGAGATCCGTTGATTCCATAGAATACCGGATAACTAGGATTTGAGAGTCCTCCTCTCAGGGCTTTCGCAAAAGCTCTTGGTTGTGAATACTCTTCACAGTGGTTTATCAAAACCTCTTAAGGAAATCTCCTTTTATTAATTAATCAAAGTCTCCATTACAATATGAAGCCTAGACGGCTATATATAAGAAAACCTCAAAAACCCTAAAAGCCATAAATAATAATAAATGTAAATAATACTTATTTATCTAAATACATAAAATCTAGATAATAAAGATATTTGGAGATCTTCCAAATATCACGCTGCATCAGGTCTCATCGGCCAAGAAAGATTCGTCCTCGAATCTTCAATCGGTTTTTCCACATCGGTTTAACACAAACCGAATCTTGCACGGAATCTTCACATACCGAATCTTCACCAATCTTGCATGAACCAAACTCATCACCGATCAGCTTCTCTTGATAACAACTTCGATTCGGCCCGGATTTTGTACGGAACTGGATCTGCACGATTTTCGCACGGATCTGTTTCTGCACGGCTGACGCGCACACGTTTTTGAAAACGCTTTGCTTGAACACAAAATCGACATGATCAATGTCCAAGACATCGTCTTCATAGTTATCATAGATCGGATCGCCATAGATCTCTCGATAGATCTCATGACTCTCTTCTCTTTCGACAAAAGGACTTTCGTCCTCGAAAGTATAGATGCTGTCACTCACCATGACATCCAGAATCGATCTCTGATTAAGAAATTAAAGAGACACAGCTCTGATACCAACTGACGTAGCGGAAGCTTCTAGGGATAGAACTAGAGATCGTTGATTCCGTAGAATACCGGATAACTAGGGTTTGAGAGTCCTCCTCTCAGGGCTTTCGCAAAAGCTCTTGGTTGTGAATACTCTTCACAGTGGTTTATCAAAACCTCTTAAGGAAATCTCATTTTATTAATTAATCAAAGTCTGAATTACAATATGAAGCCTAGACGGCTATATATAAGAAAACCTCAAAAACCCTAAAAGCCATAAATAATAATAAATGTAAATAATACTTATTTATCTAAATACATAAAATCTAGATAATAAAGATATTTGGAGATCTTCCAAATATCACGCTGCATCAGGTCTCGCCAGCCAAGAAAGATTCGTCCTCGAATCTTCAATCGGTTTTTCCACATCGGTTTAACACAAACCGAATCTTGCACGGAATCTTCACCAATCTTGCATGAACCGAACTCATCACCGATCAGCTTCTCTTGATAACAACTTCGATTCGGCCCGGATTTTGTACGGAACTGGATCTGCACGATTTTCGCACGGATCTGTTTCTGCATGGCTGACGCACACACGTTTTTGAAAACGCTTTGTTTGAACACAAAATCGACATGATCAATGTCCAAGACATCGTCTTCATAGTTATCATAGATCGGATTGTCATAGATCTCTCGATAGATCTCATGACTCTCTTTTCTCTCGACAAAAAGGATTTTCGTCCTCGAAAGTATAGATGCTGTCACTCACCATGACATCCAGAATCGATTTCTGATTAAGAAATCAAAGAGACACAGCTCTGATACCAACTGACATAGCGGAAGCTTCTAGGGATAGAACTAGAGATCGTTGATTCCGTAGAATACCGGATAACTAGGGTTTGAGAGTTCTCCTCTCAAGGCTTTCGCAAAAGCTCTTGGTTGTGAATACTCTTCACAGTGGTTTATCAAAACCTCTTAAGGAAATCTCCTTTTATTAATTAATCAAAGTCTCTATTACAATATGAAGTCTAGACGGTTATATATAAGAAAACTTAACCCTGAAAGCTATAAATAATAATAAATGTAAATAATATTTATTTATCTAAATACATAAAATCTAGATAATAAAGATATTTGGAGATCGCTATATCACATTCGCCCAGCAAATGAACGCCAACAGTGACATGTATATTTGTTTTTTGGTGAGAAGAAAAAAGAAGAAGCGAATTATAAAAGTTCGAAAGAGAAATAATGGCGAACACGTAGCTCATTACTCATCAAACCTTGATGTGAATTTTCCTCTAAGTTAATCATTTATAAATTCATTTTTATCGTATTGCCTTTGTAATCTTGTCCCAAAGTTAGTTAATACTAATTTACCTAATCAAAATAGTTCCAAGTTTTTTTAACCTATTCAAGAAAACATTACAATAGCAAAATATCTCTGTCACGGTCCAACAACAACTCTCTATTCTCTCACAGATACGTCTCGCGACGCGTAGGCATAAGTAGGATCTTTTGTCTATTATTGGTGTATTATTTTTATTTTTTGCTGTCAACGTGTTTTGCTTTCGAATAGTACAAAATACAACATTTTTGTCACCCTTTTTCTTTTATCATAAAAATACCTAAGAAGACTACATATTTCGTTTTTATGATGACGATTCTTTGTTTTCATAGTAGTCAGTGATTTACCTGAAAATTCAATTAATTTCTTGTAATTTGTTGTTCAAAAAAAAAGTTTCTAGTAATTTTAATACATAACAGGAAATAAACACAATTAAAATATGAAATGGCTGATATATTACGCTATATTAAAGATTTAATAAAATACGAAAAGTAATTAATTAGTCGGAAAATCTTTTTAGAAGAATCTAAAACTACTTTCGAAATGGGGAAATAAAAATAAAAATAAAATTAAAAGAAAAAGTGATTTGGAAATTATGAAAAGGCCGAGGATTCGAGGAAGTGAACGAGAACCGCGTCATGCGGGTCTCTCGAATCAATCGTGTTCTTAACACGTCTGCCATTCTTTTTCTATCACAATTCACAAATCGATAAGAAACATAAAAACACTGAAACGAGAGGATAAGCAAAACAAACACCTAAACCGTAAAAAAACAACCAGACAGAAGTATGTTGTGCTCCAGATCTAAACGAGTGTTTGTACTCGTGTGTATTCTTTCTTCATTTCTTCTTGTCGCCACTGCAACATCGATTACTGGTAAGAAAGAGAGAGACTTTTTAATCTACTTCTGAACAGCAGTTAATTGTTTCTTGTCTTTTTGATTAATCATCGATTAAAAAAAGTCTTTTTTTTTCCTTCCAATTGGGTTTGGATTGTTGCAGAAGAAGAAGAAGGAGTAGAAGAATGGGGGACAAGTGTAAAAGGAAGGTTTTTGGCAGAGGAAAATGAACTAAACTCATCTCTGATTTTGGCTGCAAAGAGAACCAAAAGAAAAGATCCTGATGAGAATTTCAAGCTTTATACTGGTGGATGGAACATAAGCAATACCCATTATTGGACTGTGAGTCTTTATATTTCTGTGGTCCTAATGTCCTAAATATTTTCCTAAATTTGGGTGCTGTTTCTCTTCTTCCCCAAGTTGGGTTTCACTTGGGTTCTTAGATTCTCATTAAAAGTTTTGGATTTTAACCAGAAACTCTCTGGCTAAGTGGAGTTTGGTTGTTACAAGGAGTAATTACGCTTAATCAATGGATATTTTTTTTAACTTGATTTATGACTACCGTTCTTGCAGAAATAATTTGAAAGATATTTGAAACTTATCGAATTCTTCTTATTTTAAGCATCTTGTAGGATACTTTATAAGCCGTTTTCTGCTTTCGACTTGGGTTTTACTTTGGTTCTTCAATAAGTAATCTTAATTAAAGTTTTGATCTTTACCCCAAAACTCTGGCTAGGAGGTTGATTGTCTAAAGGTGGATTAGCATTCATAATTAGCCTTTTTGGATGAATCAGTTTTCTGCTTATATTGATGATAGATGTTGAAACCAATTGATATGTTTCATCTTTATAATTAAAGTTTTGATCTTCACCTCCAGAAACTCTGGCTAACTGGAGTTTAATTGTTTTAAATCTGTTATTATACTTACTATGGTTCAATCAATGGATAAACTAGATTAGCACTTATCATGCTAACTTATTTGGAGGATACTTGTGACATGCTTAATCTTTCTCATTCTTTGCTTGTGGTGCAGTCTGTTGCTTACACAGCGGCGCCTTTCATTACTATAGCACTAATCTGGTTTGTGTTCTTCGGGATATGCACTTTTTTCATCTGCGTTTGCTATTGCTGCTGTTCCCGTCGATCTTACGGCTACTCCCGGATTGCTTATGCTCTCTCCCTGATCCTCCTCATACTGTTCACAATCGCAGCAATGTAATTAATTGCAACTCTCTCTTTCACTAGCTTCCTTCTATTGTTAATCCTTGTTTTCTTAAATATTCTTGTGTGTTTGACATTCCAGCGTGGGATGTGTTTTCCTTTACACTGGTCAAGGGAAGTTTCATGCGAGCACATCAGATACTTTGGACTATGTAGTGCGTCAAGCAAATTTCACGTCAGAAAGCCTCAGGAATGTGTCAGATTATCTCAACGCAGCTAAGAAAGTGGATGTGCAATCCATCGTTCTTCCGAGTGATGTTTTATCGAGCATTGACGATATACAGGGAAAGATAAACTCCTCTGCAACTACTCTTTCTACTAAAACAATGGAGAACCAAGACAAGATTCAAGATGTCTTGGACAACATGTAAGAAAAAATTCCAGTACCATATTGTTAATCTTCACCATTTTTGTTGCTAATCATATTTTGTCTCTCTATTTGTTGCAGGAGACTTGCACTCATCATCATCGCTGCTGTGATGCTTTTCCTTGCATTTATCGGATTCTGTAAGTCGTTCTTCTTATATATGCATCAGAAAAATCCTAACGAACTATTATCAATTGGACTAACCTTGCTGATTATGCTCATACAGTACTCTCTATCTTTGGAGTGCAGTGCCTTGTGTACACGTAAGTGTAGTCTCATTGTTATGTTCCGTTTCACCATTGGTTCCATTAACTCATGTTGTGATTTAACAATGGACAGGTTGGTGATTCTTGGTTGGATTCTTGTCACTGGCACTTTCGTCTTATGTGGTGTATTTCTTGTTCTACACAAGTGAGTCTTGTTGTTCCCTCTCTACCATTTTGCATCAAAAGGTTTCTCAAACTAAAACATTTCTTCTACTTTTTTTGTCAGCGTTGTTGGAGATACGTGTGTGGCAATGGACCAATGGGTCCAAAACCCAACAGCTCACACGGCTCTAGACGATATTCTACCATGCGTTGATAATGCAACCGCGAGAGAAACATTGACTCGGACTAAGCTTGTGACATACCAGTTGGCTAACCTTCTTGACTCTGCCATCAACAACATGGCCAACAGAAACTTCCCTCCTCAAGCCCGACCCCTTTATTACAACCAGTCCGGTCCCTTAATGCCCAAACTCTGTAACCCTTTCAACGCTGATCTCTCTGACCACCAGTGCCAACCCGGTGACGTCCATCTGAGCAATGCCACAGACGTAAGCCAAACATTCCCTTGAATATACAGAACATATCTTAAAACTAATACAACATGTTGATGACTTTGTGTTTTGACTCTGTTTCTACGCAGATGTGGAAGAGCTTCACTTGCCAAGTTGGAGCATCAGGAATATGCAGCACACAAGGACGTCTGACACCAAAGCTTTACACACAGATGGCTGCAGCACTTAACGTAAGCTATGGTCTGAACAAGTACGGTCCATTCCTGGCAGATCTGCAAGGGTGTGACTTCGTGAGGTCAACATTCACTGATATAGAGAGGGATCACTGTCCGGGACTGAAGAGATACACAAAATGGATCTATGCTGGTCTTGTGGTTGTGTCTACTGCTGTGATGCTGTCTTTGGTGTTTTGGATTATATACGCTAGGGAGAGGAGGCACAGGGTTTACACAAAAGACTACAATGCTATGCACCCTGAAGCTTCACGAGACAAAGCCCCCTAATTAAAGATGTTGTGTTGTTTTGCTGTGTATATTTATGTGTGTGAGAAGGTGGTGATCTTCTGTGTAATGTATGATGAGATTAATCTTTGATTGTTGATTTGTTTTGATTATTGTTTTTACAGTGTACATTTATGTGTTGGTGATGGTAAAACAGTCATTTTGTGCCAATTTTTTCACTGAAGTTTATGAAAAAATAAAATTGATAAATGACAAAAGGAGCATGATTTGGACCAATCAAAAGCTATGTATGTTTCATCTCTAAACAGAGGAATTAAATCTTGTCTAAAAATCAAATCTAGCCTCAAAGACATAAAACCCTCCTCAGACCAAAATCTAGGGTTTACCCTTGACCGGATCTAGACACATAGGCTATTCAGGTTCTCTCCTCGCCCTCACTCTCTCTTATATTCTCTCTCCTCGTCTTCTGTAGAATTTCGTTAAAGTTTGAACCTTTCTGTCTCCTAATCTCTTACAGGAGTCCTTTTCGGTTCAATTTCGAGTAGATAATGGAAGTGGTTACCGTTGGGTCGATGGAGACGCAGAGACAACAGACAGCGGCGTGTTCTGTCGCTGAGACTCTTCTCATCCTCGTCGGAAGGAATCTCGCTTGTCTCCTCCTTGTGGTATATACAACACCTCTCTTAATTTCTGAGTTGTAGTTTGCTTACTGTTTCGTTGTACTCTGTTAGATTTATCAATTCTTCTTCTTTGCCGAAATTGAGACTTCCCTCTTTCCAGAGATGACTCTGTGTTCCTCAATTAAAGGTTTATTAGATTTGTTTTGACCCGTTGTGAACAATTGCAATTACTCAAGAGTTCTGTTTTTGGGATAAGATTTTGTCTTAAATCTTAATTTGTCTGAATTTAGACTATCACTTGAGTTAATTGGTTCTAGATGGGTATTTTGTACAATTGAAATTGAATGCAGATTTTGAACAATGTCAAAGTGTTACACTTTCTGTGAATTAGTCACTTTTACTTTGTGGCTTTTGCCAATTTCTGTTGTGTCTCTCTGTTGTAAAGATGTGTTATTGGAGTTGTGTGATAGGGTAAGGTTTAGTTTGTTTGGTTGTACCTTTTGGAGTCTAAAAATGCAATCTTGTGTGTGATAATTGCAGGCGGAGTCTTTACTGATTGGGATGATTGCTGAAGATCAGAGGTGAGTATAAAGGCGACACCTTTCGTTTTTTGTCCTCTCTTTTATGGAGCTTTGTCTAAATTTATCTTTTTTTGTTAGGCTTTCTGTGAAGGAGGGTTTCAAGAAAGCAAGCTGTGATGAGGAAGCCAAAGATGCAAGCGACTCTGATGATGATAACGACTCTGATGATAACGCTGAGGACGACGACGATGATGATGATGATGTCAATGATGAAGATTTCTCAGGGGAGGACGAAGGGGAAGAAGCTGATGATCCGGAGGATGATCCAGTGCCTAATGGTGGTGGAGGAGGAGCAGGAAGCGATGATGACGACGACGATGATGATGAGGATGATAATGATGACGATGATGATGAGGACGACGAGGAGGAAGATGATGAAGAGGAAGATGACGAAGATGTTCGCCAGCCACCTGCTAAGAAGAGAAAATGAAGCATGAGAGTAAGAGGAGGCTCTGTGTTGTTTATTGTGTGTTTAAGAGTTTGGAAGAGGATCGTCTCTGTGTTGGTTTAATTAGTGTTTAGGGAGACTTTTATCTTTCTTACTCAGATTTCATCTTCTTGTGTTTCTATTTACTCGTGTGTGATTGATTTTTTTCGTCATGGATTTTAGTTATCTTCTTTGTTTAGAATATCTCGTCTCTTCTTTTAGCATCTGCCTATGATTATGAGCTTTTCCAAACTCATACACACTAACAATAACCAGATAGAAAACTCAATTTCCTTTATTAATAGAGTCCAATTTATATGGATATAGATATGAATGATTATTTCTTAGAATCATTACAATTTCTCATACATATTAAATCATTGCTGATAAAGGTAGTTCTTAATCGTTTTTCGGAGTGCATTTTGGAGATTTTGCGAGTTTAATGGGTTTGGTCTTGAGGACAGGATTTTGCTCGAAAAAGTTTGTTGGTCGGAGTTCAAAGCCACGTGCCAAAGTAGGCATGGTCGGAAAATCTTCTTGGCAGGGGACGTGGTGGAATCCAACGGTGTACCACATCACTATATCTTTCTTCTCTATCTCCCTGTTCCTGTTACATTCAATTACAATAGATTTTATTAGCCCCACCCAGTAAAATGCTCGCATTAGTTATTATCTTAAATATATATCATATCGTATCTATAACTTTACAAAACTGTTACATTCATAAAGCTTGTATTCTGCCACCCTAATGATTTTTTGCAGGATTAATGTAGCCGTGGAACAACCTATTCACCGGATCTTCTGACACCATTTCTACTGACCAAATGAGAGAAAAAGATTACTGCAAGCTTCAGAATTGTTTTAGAAAACTTTTGATGAGTTGACATTTTTGTTGTTTGAGACAATTATTTTTGTTTTTTTTTGTGTGAATTAGTTCCTTTCAAGATTTATTAAATTAAATTGGTAATACTACGATTCAAATCATGCAAATCATAAAATGAAACTAGATAAGTAAATTACCTTTGAGACCAGACGTTTAACGTGTCGTCGCCTTGGCTCCGATCGGCGTATAAACCACTAGCCCAAACTTCCGACTTGTTATAAGGCGTGATCCACACGTTATAGTTGGTGAACGCTGCACGAATCTGTGGGTAGTCGTTTTGGTCAAGAAGTGGACCTGCGACCGGGCCAGAAAGTAAACGGTATCCAATCTCATTGCCATGCTTCGTTTTCCGGTTAGGGTTAACCACCACCAACTCCTCCGGTCTCTGCCCTAGTTTCACCCTAGCATCTGCCTCCGTTCTCGCCGTCTTTTTACTTGTTGTCCAGTAGCTTTTTCTTGGTGTGTTGGCAGACTTTGGAGTCTTCTTGGTCACGAGTTCGTTACGGATAAATGAATTGTCGGTTCCATCAATGTCAAGATCAAGACGGAACGTCACGAAATGGTCGTGGTTGACTCCAACAGTGTAGTCTGCAACAATTGTCCCGTGGATATCGTCTTCTTTGATCTCCGATGTGTGTACATATTCCACAGGTTTGACTTCTAGAACACCGGTTAAACCAACCTAGGCACATTATAACGGTAACATTAGTTAATAGGCAATATTAAAATATACAACGGAGTTGTAACAAAAAAAAATGGAAATGATAAACACTAATGTTCTTAAATCAATAAATTCACGTGCATTTAACAAGCTACCTCAATTTTGATGGAACCACTAGGTTTGAACTCGTAATCAACTATGTAGTCGTAGTTCCCCACGGTTGTCACTGTCCGGGCTACAAGACTTACGTCTGGTCTAACCTCTGTGATCTGCAACGACGCTTTATGTAAATATATGATCATATTAAATATCACTAACTTTTTTTTACTATTATGTGTAGTTTATTACTTCTAAGCCGGGAACTTCAGATTCGGTGTGTCGCCACATAATGTCTCCCGCGTATTTTTCGAAAATGCATATAACGTTTGATTTTTTTGTAGGAGTTCCATCTAGGCCTGCAGTGATGCTGTCCATGAAGACAGCATTTGCGGGACAATCGGTATATGGCTCAAGAGACACGGCAGCTTGACCGCAGCCGAATTCACCACAGTCAAGGTAAGTGATGAAGTACCAATCATCACTTGGGTCCATGTAAGGTACAAACATCTCTGACAAATGGCCTTTGTAGAGGATTTGCCGGTACTTGTTCATGTCAATGTCGAAAATGGATGCTAGGGAGATAATGACACCGGCTCGTACGTCGAATGATATGTGAAACTCCCAATTGGCCCATCTATTATTCACCATATACAACCAATTAATATTTAATGTTCTCTCTACTATCAAATTTTAATAGGTGTCATTTTTTCATTTTAGTTTTATATTTTGGACTCTTGAAAGTTCAATTAAAATCTCTAGTAAAGCTAAATAAAAGCAAGAAATAGAAATGGGCATTTTTATTCAAAAAATATAAATATATGCTGATTTATTTATCTATATTGTAAACTCTAAAAAATAGCGTAATGTTTATTATTTTACCTCACGACGTGTCCATCGATCTTAAACCCTGGACCGTCCGGCTGAAAAACGATGGCGTCTCGAAGTGACGGGCCAAACGGCGGCTTAAGGTTTGAGATACGGTACTCCGTTCCGTTAGCCTTCGGAAGAGGACCCTTGTACCTGTCCTTAAACTTCGCTATCTTCATCTTGTCAAGGTCAACGAGTATTGTCATTCCTTCAATAGGTCTAAGATACGTGTTCACAGACCCGTTAAGATAAAACGGTATGGTTTTTATAAGCCTCTCCGTCTTGGCCTCACCGAACCATCCCATTGTTGATGACGTGACCACAACCTCCGACATGTTCAAGCCGCGTCTCATCATGGAGTCACGGAACGGCTTGAACTTGAGAACGAGCGCGGTGGCTGCTTGCTGCTCCTCGGTAGTGAGCATAGGGTTACCATTACCTACGTAGATCTTGTCCGAGAGAATGGCTCGTGAGAACAAGTCAACAACGATCTCTCGGGTCTTTCCATTCTCTCGGGCTATGACGAACGCCTGACGTGGAGGTGGTTTGATGTTGTGGTGTCGTGATGAATGCCATGACAAGACTAGCGACTTATCGGGCTCGTTGAGACCTACGTACTCGTACGTGAATCTATGTTTCGGACCAACGGGGTACCGTTTGTTGATAACGTTATGTACGAGTCTGAGTTCGGGCTCAGTTAAAGGATCAAAGGGGTGGATAAAGCTTGAGGATGATGTTACAAAAATGGAAGAAATGATAAATATGGTGAAGTGAAATAGAGCCATTGCTTTGTGATGGACTTGGTTTACGTATGCTGTATTATATAGCAAAAAAATTCTCTTGCTTTAATTGTAAATTTGAAAAAACACGCTGTATAAACATGTTAATTAGGGTGTTGTGGTCCTGGACATAAAATTTCTTGTTATGAAAAGGGTTTACTGGTTTAGTGCGGCAACAACACATATTTCCGGACTTAATTGTGTGGACTCAGTGTTTCTTCTTCGAGAATATATTTGGTTTGCTTCGACGTGTCTCTAACTTGTCTTTGATTTTTTCATCTCTTATTTTCCCGTTGTAACTTTGCTTTTCTGATGTAGTTTTTTATCGGTGTTTCCGTCTTCTAAGTTCTCTCAGTAATCGTTGTCACATAAAATATTATACTGGCTTAAAAGTTTACTTAGATGACGTCATAAAATTTGATTGATGGATGCGCAGTCTGATTGGAACTCTATGCCACACTTGAGAGCTGAAAGTACAAGTGGGGAAGAAGTGGTAGTCCCTTGTTTCGGCCGTGACCACTTGTTCGTATACTATATGGGTTCCGTTAGGTTGTGTTTGTTTTATGTTTTACTTTTGGTTTAGCTTATTTTGGTAAACGATGACACATACACATTTTACTTGTAAGCGAGCGTATCCAATCAGTGCAACATCTTCAGCACCATAGCAAAAGTCAGTAGCAGATTCATATGTCAGTTGAAGTTTGTTTTTTGCCTAATTGAATCGCTTACCCAATGATTTCTAATTGTTAAAATCAGTTTTACCCAAAAGCAATTGTGATTTACCACATAACATAGCTGAACAATATCTTCATTGTAACCCCCACACTTGTAGCTCGATTATAAGCTTGTGTGATTATGTCTCTAGCATATAACATACCTGAACATAAGTACTGATGCTAAGCATAAGATTAACATCACTTTTTAATCAAGAATAAAAGAAAACCATAGAAAAAATCGCTATCTCTATAGAAAGATCTGAATACATATTTTCAAAGCAAAATAAAAATAACAATGATGGTTCAATGGCTACGGCTGGTGATATGGAAAGGTATCCATACGATTTGGTCCAGTGAGGGTCCAATGGTCCATACGATTTAAATGGGAGGAGATATCCATACGATTCGAATGGGAGGAGATATCCATACGATTGAATGCCGATACATATTGAACAAAATATCAAACACAATACAGAACCGTAACTAGTAAAGAATCTAAAGATACACGCTAACAAATAGAGAGCTTAATCTGACAAGCTAACTTAGTATCCATTCCATTTGAAACCAAACTAACTCAGAATCACTGCACACTAATCAACACTCAATATCAGCTAATTTCATTGCGCACTCGAGAGCATGTAATTGATTTGGCTAATTTTGGGATTTTGTTGAACATCTAATAAAGGGAAAAGACAATATGTTGGTCATATTTGCTTGTTAATTAATGTAAGGGTTCCACAAACTTTGTTTCGACAATAATGTTAATTAAAGCCCGAGTGTCTGTCTCCGTGGGTGGTATGTATCAGTTTCAGCATCAAGATGGGATCCATATACGTTGTTGATAAGATATACTCATTATTTTACATTGCATTAGTCCCTATTCCTTTAGATTTCCTTATGAAGGATTTTTTTTTCATATTTCAGTGTCAATAGATTTTCTTTTTGTTTTCTTCCAAATACAACTGGAAAAGATAAACCCAAAACCAAGATTCGTTCACACTTCTCAAAAGAGTTTATAGCTCATCTTTGTCTTTTCCCTAAAAAAGGTAAAAACATTGGTCTAACTAATTTATTCGGATGAAACACTTTTGTCAAAACCTACTTGAAAGAGAGATTCGTTTGGCATCCAAAAATAATTCACATGACTTCATCAAATGATACAAAAGGTTTAGTTTCTTATGTTTCTTGCATATTACTAATAAACTAGTTAGGGTTTCTTATAATCTAGACAACGGAAAGAGTGAAAAACACATTTTGCTGCCGGAGAGACTGGCTGCCGGTTCACAAATTCTGATCGGGTCTTGGGCGGTCTGGGCTCCTTGATGGACCTAATTTATAGGCCGTATGGGCTTGAAACTAGGCTGTTTCTGGTTGAGCTACAAATTTGGGCCCGTATGGGTTATCAGGTGGGGAAATGCTTGTGGTTGAAGACTTGAAGTTGGTCTATGCTGTCTCGACACAAACTGACTTGAAGTTGGTCTATGCTGTCTCGACACAAACTGTGTCAGGGTAATAGTTTGGTCCTGGTTTCTTGACTGGGACAGTCCTTGTCTCAGCCAAAACGTAAAATGGCAAACATTCATGAGCTCTACACTCGTTTGGGACCACCACCTCCTAACTAATGGGAGCACAAATCTAGTGTTCACATTAGTAATAACTTACACTTTTGTCTTCAGAAAGTTTGAATTTTGCGATGGTAAAATGATACTTAAAGAAAGCTTTTTAGGCTTTAGAAGAGGGTTTAGTTACAAAGTTTCATCCTTGTCTTAAGTTACTTCTGTAAGACTGTAACCTCTGGGTCATAAATCAAGTTACAAAACGCGATGCAGTATAATAGAAGAGTTAGGAAAGCATTCACAACGCAAGCATGGCCTTAAGAAATAGTGTAAACTGAGATGATCCAATTCAATAGTAAACTTTATTGTAATCGATACAACTTGCATGATCAATGCTAATGACCAAAATCTGTAAACCGATAATCCAGTTTTCAAATCAGAGGCCATAGTTTCTTCCATCTCAGATACTCCACCTATTCAATGCACATCACAGTAAGTTAGATTTCAATCTCTTGTTACACATCACAGGATGGTAGTACTATTTACATTGCAAGAGATGATGGAAGCAATAAGCTATCTACAATTATAAGAAACCATTTCATCAAAAACCAAGCTTGACTTCAAAATATTAACTACTCTACACATTTACTGGTGAATTCAACTAAAAGTCAGTCAAAACAATGAACAAACAAGCTGAGATCAAGGGAGACTAACCATCATCTGTCATGGAAGCTTTCCTGATCGGAAAACAGCAAACTTTGTCATGTCGGAATCCTTAAACTCAATCTTGTTCTCTGTAAGAAGCTCCTCAATCATTGTCTTGACACGTTCTGGTTCCTCTGTCTCGCATTCGATCTCATAGCAATTCCCAAACGCATACTTGGTCTCATCAACCTCAAGCTTCACACCTCTCCACTCATACACATTCCTTACGTTCTCGAATCCACCTAAGCAAACAAACCCTAGAAAATCTGTAAACCCATACTCCTCCTTAACCCTTTTCAGAACCCTAGATCCGAGGGACGATAGCTTAGACGGTGAATCCACACATTCCTTGGCTAATCCCAGATCGATCTCCTCTTCGTCTTCCTCCACTCGGCTGATCCCGTTAGCCAGCGTTGGTTTCGCCTTGAGAGAGAGGATACAGCGCGACGGAGCAGTCACCGCCGCCGAATCCGCAGCGTTTTGGAGGAAACGGAGACGGAGGACGGCGCGGCGGAGGGAGAGGTCGTTTTTGGGTGTGTCGAAGAAGAGGTTGCGTTGGTGGAGGGTTTTGAGGTGAAACGGAGTGAGGAGAGTGGTGAGACGGAGATGAGCAGCGGCGGTGAGGAGACGGAGCTTGACTTCGACTTCCATTGGTTTTTTAGGAAGAAGAGAGGCCGATTCGGTCGGATTTGGAAGGATTTTGGTGTTTAGGATCGATGAGGTTGAGGACGGAGGAGGAAGATGGAGCTGTGGTGTTAGTGGGTGGTTCTGATTTGCGGGATTGTTCGAGCTCTTCTCGGTCTTCGATTTTGAGTTGGATTTTTGTTGGTTTTCTTCTCAACATTTGGGATGGATTGAGAATTAAGCGGATGAATGTTTTGAGAGCTCTTTGCTTCTCAAAGTTTTGTTTATGGTCTGCTTGTGGCGACTTACGACAGAGGCAGGCCTGATCGGATCAATGGCCTAGAGGCCCACAAAATGTGAAAATGAGTGCGCCATTGTTTAAAAATAATTATAGTTTTTTTTTTTGAATTTTTAAAAATCAGAAAACCAAGCAAATATGGATGTAGGTTTGATTAGGTTTGGATGTAGTCATGTAGATATGTAATGCTGTGTAGCTTTTTCTGGAGAAAATTATGTTTTAGTGCCTTGGTCGATTGGTGAATGGTGATGAATTCAGGCAACACTAACCAAGTCCCTATTGAAGATGTTGACATACATGTGGAGAAGATGATAACACATCTCAACAAGTGCAGGTTTGCATGGAGTCATGGATGATTCATTTGTAGCTGCATTTGCATTTATAGAAACCCAAATTTCAAAGCTCTTGTGGCTACTCTATGTTTGAACTTGAACCACTGTTATGATTCCTGCATCGAATAACTTACCCATGAGCTAGCCTTGAACAGTTGAACTTGAATTTCTTAGACTTTGAACACTTCTTTTGTCTTTTATGTTTTTTTCTAGTGTTAAATTTGTCGAATACTTTGGTATGCAACAGGTGAGGAGTGAGGGACTAAACATATGTAGACTTCTCAGTAAATACAACCACTTTTTTTTTTTTTTTTTTTTGTTCAAAAAATACAACCACTTTTAAGACATTTAATACATGACGGTCCTTTTGTCCCCCCAAAAAAAGGGAATACATGTGGTCCTCTTATTGATATGAAAACTTTAAAAATTAAAGTTGTTACTGAAAATTTACTATATCATGGTTCTGAAACACAAAAAATAGTATAAATTTTTCCAGTATTGGCAACCAGTTGGCGAGTGTCAATTATTTTTGACTTTGGTTGGAAGAAGAAAAAAGTTCTATCGAATTTTAAGAACTTAACTTATGTTAGGTTCTTAATTATAGCACAATCAAAACGACTGAGAATTTCAAAAGACATATATACATACATAAGTGTTACAAAAGAGTGACCAAAGAATGACAATGCACTAAACAATATACAATCATGCATTAATAAAAATCATGAAATAAGAGCAAATCTAGACGCTAATTAAGAAACAAGTAGTCAGTAGGACAATTCATTATAAAGTTGAATACGTTGTTGCTGCTGCTGGGAGAGATGATGAATATCCTTAACAATGTCGAACACTGCCTCAGGCTGCGCCAACTTAAGAGCATTCTCCGACATTTTCTGTAATTCTTCTTTATTGCTGCTGAACCAATCAGCCACAATTTTTGCAGTTTCTTTGGGACTTCTTGTGAAAATTCCAGCCCCATTCTCCACAACATATGGCACATTTCCTTTTTCCTTTTTAGAGTTACATTCATACGAGTTAGTGTTTGGATTAGTGATAGCTGATTAGTATAAGAGCAAAGCTAACAAAAAGTGTATATGTACCTGCCCAGGAATGTAGTCATTGAGGATAATTGGAAGGCCGCAAATCAATGCTTCTGCAATCGTACCTGGACCGGCCTGCATGGCGTCATAAAACACTTGTAAAATTTATCGTTTTTATAATATAAGAACATAATTAGTAGTACTAGTGCTATGAAGGGAGTTGGAGGATTTTTAAAGATATGACTAACCTTTGTGATGATGCAATCACAAGCACCCATCCATTTCTCCATTTGTGTCTCAAACCCACGAACCTATAAAACATCACCAATATAAATTATTATTAGCCACTTCGTACAAGTATTCAGTAGCAATGAAAATTTCACATTTTTATTTTCTACCTTGATCGGTATCTTCCATTCATGAGATGCTAACGAAGACGCAAGGGTTTTGTTCCGGCCACATATGATAATTAATTGTCCTATTGGACTTTTTTCTTTAGAGTTATATAAAGACTCTCCGAGGGCTTGAGCCGTTTTCTGAACCGGACCCATTCCTTCACCGCCTCCCATTAATAGAACCGCAGGTAAATCTGAATCTATTTCAAGCTCTTTTCTTAGCTCATCCTAACAAAACGTAATAATAATAAGTGTTTGAAAAGAAAAGAAAAATCTCTAAGTGCTATGATTTTGAACAAAGTATACCTTGTAGATAATAGTGCGAGGGAATGATGGCCGGACAGGTAAGCCAAAGACACGAATCTGAGAGTCTCCAAGGCCGTCTATTAGTGCTCTCTTTGCAACTTCTTTGGACGGACAATAACATCTGCTTACTCCATGATGGAACCTAGTTACATCAAAGTTAAAGATTTCATTTTGAATTATAAGGTTAAATATAAATGTTTGGATAGAAAAAACTAGTACTCAATATTTTAAATCCGAGCTTGTTAGTTTTTTTTGTTTTTCAAATATTTTCGTATAGAAATTGTATTAAATATCATCATACCATGTTCGGTGGCAAGTGTTTAGATCGGTGATAACAGTCACGAAAATGACTTTCTTTTGAAGTCCTTGTCTTTTCATTACCCACAATGGGATATGTTGCATCATAGGATGTACGCTAATGATAATGTCCGGTTTATACTCCATTAAACCAGTCTCTATTTCTCTGTATACACAAAAAAAAAAAAAAAAAAAAAAATTAAACTCAGTTAAAATCTAGCGAAAATAAAAGGAACATAAGAACCAAAAATGAAGTGGTTAACATATATGTACTTGGCATAATAAGCCGCAAGAGCACTGAGATAACTTCTGTGGATCCATTTGGGAGAGGTACCATGAAACGCAACTGACCAAAGACCAACATGTTTCACCATGAACTTGTACTGTCTCTCCATGTCGTTCAGTGGCCATCCTGTGTATTCTTTCCAAACGTCTTTTATTATTATCTGTAGTTAAAAAAAAGACATTAGTGCCTAGAGCAATAAACTCAATATTAAAGGTAGAGAAATAAAGAATTCAAATTCTAAATCATTAACAACGCAAAATAAGCAGGGAACGTGGGACAGGTTTTAAGACATCAAATGTTGACATCACTCGCGGATCTCCGACAACCTGGCAAACACACTAGGCTACAAATTTTCCAAGTAGATATTTGTTATTTTCTTTACTTTTTTTTCAAACTTAAGGTGACCCCTACAAAAATTTAATAAAATATCTAATTTTCAAAATGGATCCTAAAACAGAAACTTGAAGAATTGAAGATTTTTTCTATATTTCTAGATTAAGTTTTCAGTCTTTTGTGATTAGAAGAAAAAAGTGAAATAGCTTTAAAATTCTCTACTGAAATAACAAACGTAGAAAAAGTGGTAACCTTAGTTTTTCAGAACACTAATTTGAAAAATCTTTGATTAAATAATTTAGTGAGTTCTTCACAATCCAAAAACCCCATTTGAAAACTACTACTATGCTTGAATTTTGTAGCTTATTATATGGTTCATTAAGCCATAAAACTGGCTCCACGAATGCGTTCGAGTTAAGGCAAAGACAAGAAGAAGATTAAGAGAGAAAGAAATTAATAATATAATTACGTCATCATAAAACAACATTTATATTTACCCGGTAATCATCTCCAAATTCGATCTTGAAGGCGTCACGGATGGCCTCGGCTGAGGCACGGTGGCCACCGCCGGTATCACTCATCAGAATAAGAACAGTTTTGATCCTCTCAGCTCCCATCTGCTGCATCTCCATAATCTCTTCCTTTTCTTCAAACCCTCTTTTCCTCAAACTCTCCTTCCCATAATCACCTGATCTCGATCTTAGGCGACTATGGTTGTAATCATCTTCGACCGTCGAGAAACTGAAATTGCTGTAGACTCGTCGGAACACTTTCTCCGTGATTGAGTCAGGCGAAACCACTTTCATCATACTATCTGTTGTTGAGGAATGAAAAAAAGAAGAATGATGGTTGTGGTTTATATGGCTGGTTGGTGTTGTTTTATGTACTTTCTTCGATTTGTTATAAATTTTTGAAGGAAAAAAAAAATGGAAGACCAAGTTGTTGCTTTGAATAGTTAAATTATTTGAGGAATGATGCTGGAATTATTCTTTTTATTTTTGGGGATTCCTATAGTTTTACTTCTGCTTTTTATATTTCGTGTCTTTATTGTTTTAAGTGGGGTTTAATTTTGTCAAGGAGTAAGGAGGGAAATAAGGCTGCCTTGTAGCCGTCGGATCCTCATTTGGTTTCGGTATCTTCGGATATGAAGATTCGGATCTTTCCTTGTCTCATAAGTTTTTTTTTTAATACAACTTGGCTTATTCTTTATTTTTTTAATTTTGTATGACCTGGATACTCCTTTTGTTTGGTTGTTTGTTTTGTGGTGATTTTCTTAGCTGAGTTGAAACTAAATTTGATTAGTATTTTAGTGCTTGATTCAGTTTGTAGGTGTTTAGATACAACGAATGTCTGTATAAAAAAACATCTACTTTTCTATGAAATAATGTAAACTTAAACATCACGAGTTTATCAAATACCTAATATGGCAGGCTGATTGGTTTGAGCGAGTTAAGTTTCCGATCATTGTCTAGCTGTGGACACTACTAAATGCTTTTTTTTATGTCGTTCTGAGGGAGAGAAATTGGTTTAATTTAATATTGACTTACACAATGCACATGGAGTTTACTTCTTAACTCACAAGTCTACTTCCACGATTTGCTCTTGCGTTGTGCGAGAATCTTCAGGTATCTCAATTCACATCAATAAACAAGAAAACGTAGTTTGATGTCAAAATGTAAAAAGAGGTAATATTATGGTACTATCTAACAACAGAGACTATGAAACTGTGAAGTAACGTGTGAGAAACAAATTTATTTATTTTTATTTATTCCATGGACCGTCTAAGGTAACTTGATCTTATAGCCCAAAGCTGCTTCCCAACAGCTTCCATGTCCGGCCGCTCTTTTCTCGACGGAGCAGCACACTGAAACGCCAAACTGAACATTTTCTTTAGTATCTTCTCGTCTATTCGCTCCCTCGCTGCGTTTGGATCCACCAGCTCCAACACTTTCCCTTCATTGTACTTGTCAAACGCCTGCCAAACAAAACCCACAAGAATCTTCAAACTCATAGTCTATTTAGTAAAGTTGGTGAAAAACAAAACTCTCTCAAGTCGCTTAGCTTACCCATCGAACCGTGATCTTCTCATCATGATGCCGTTTAGCCTCCACTGGACGACGTCCAGTGAGTATCTCCACAAGCAAGATCCCAAACGAGTAAACATCGCTTTTAGCAGTGAGTTGATACGTCCTCATGTACTCGGGATCTAAATAACCAACTGTTCCTTTCACTTGAGTCAAAATGTGGGTCTGGTTAGCATCAGCTGGACCACCTCTCGCAAAACCAAAGTCTGCAACTTTGGCTCTCATGCTATCCGTTAGGAGAATGTTGGAAGATTTGATGTCACGGTGTATTATCTGTCTCTCTGTTTCAAAAGACAAAAAAAACAAAACACTTTCCTGAGTTTTCTCTCTGTGATTAGGCCAAAACCATAACACAACATTTTCTTTTTCTTACCTGCATAAGAATGGAGATAGGTTAGTCCATGGCAGACATCGATCACAATCTCCAATCTTTGATTGAAATTGAGTATGCTTCCACGAGTACCTACAGTTATACAAAATGGTTAAGCCTTAATATGTTCTTAGAGCCACAACAAGCTCAAGAACACGTGGAAAAAAAGTTCTTACCATCTAAATGATCCCTGAGTGTACCGTTTCTGACATACTCGGTTATGATAAGTCGTTCGTCTCCTTTATCAACATAACCAAGAAGCTTTACTAGATTCCGATGGCCGATTTTAGACAAAAGATCAACTTCACTCTTGAACTCCTTCCGTAGATTCTCAAAGTGTTCCTGCATGGAAGAAATTATAGTCTAGAGACTCAAAAACACTCGACTGTGATTATGTTCTTGAAAGTTCGATTACTAGCTTATGTCAATGGACTCAAGAACATTGAATAAAGTACAATACAGATTTGATACCACAAGGAAACTGAAACTGAAGATACCTTTTTGGCTCGTTTGATGGCAACAACTTGGCCGTCCTCAAGAATGCCTTTATAGACAATCCCAAAGCCTCCTTCACCAATTTGATTAATGTCTGAGAAATTGTTGGTTGCTGCAGAAATCTGACTCATACTCAGATTCAACGGTCCCATCCTGCTAGGCCTCGGGGACATAGCGTATCTAGACGGGCTTTGCGGTACCCGTGACGGGCTCGGTGGTGCCCGGAATGGACTTGGTGGCATCTTATCACAAGAAGCGCTCATTTCAAAAGACGAAACTTGGTGCACTGTCATAAGATACATTATATAAGCCTCAATGAACATTGTTGCTTTCTGCAAAATCCACCAAGAAAATAAGTCACCTGAGTTAGATTCTTTTGGTAGGACTTCGTGACTATTAGCTTTCCTCTCCTTATGGAAGCAAGGACAACACACCGCGCAACAAAACAGAAGAAACCCGCTCGCTGCCAAGCTGACTTCAACATGACTATATTCAGATTCTGTATCCTTCTCTCTGGAATCATCTACAGATTTCTCTTCCAAAAACCTTCTCCCTGCATAAAAAAAAGCAGAAGCTGTTCAATGAAAAACATAACAAAATTATCAAAGGCAACAATTTGCTTTTGTGACAGAGCATACCTAGTAGATAGTGAACTGTGCAGAAGTTTTCTCTGAAAGAATCTCCAAGAATACAACCATTGGCTTTGTGAAACCGTATGGCTTCACAAAACCGGACTCTGTCCACCGGATTTCCATTAATCGTGAACAAAGTCCCTTGCTGATGAGAAGGCTTTGTGTAGGCTAAGTGATCAGACTGACAAATGCTTGACCCTACAAAGGAAGTTGATGCAGAAGTTTCCTTTGGATGAAGCAATAACAGTAACAAACCCAACAAAGCCGTAAACGCCAATCTTCTGATGCTCAAATCTCCACCCATAGTTGGTGTAACGAATTGGCTCAGCCTCAAGAAGCCATTCATAAACAAACCCAGTTTATGAGTTTTTTCTCCCCTAAATCGGCAATAGATAAAAACCTGTAGAAGAAAAATTCAGCGTTTGAGAAAGCATCCAACATTAACCAATTCTTGAAACCCTTTTTGCTCAATTCCTACTCAAGTCGAATCACCTAAAACCCTAAAAGAAACCTCAATTATTGAATGAAAAGGCCATTTACCAAACCAATTCTGTGGTACCAACAACTTTTTTGACCAATTTAAGAGAAACCCAGAAAAAAAAGTTAAGAGAGAGAAGACCAAACCTGTGAACACGATCTTGTAGCTTTGACTTGACTGTATGTACAGTATCTTGAATCAATTATATGGACAACAAAAAAAACTTTTTCTCTGTTTCAGACAAGCATATCAAAGAAAGACTATAAAAAGTGTTTGTCTGAAGGAGTCTAATGATCTGATTGAAGAAATCATGAAGAAGCTTTGAAGTTTCGCTGTGTTCTGTTTTTTTTTTTTGTTTGCCGTGTCTCGTGGAGGAAGCTTCGTGTTATTTTTTGTTTTACTTTCTTTTTGATTAGGTGACCGTAACCACAACGTTGAAAAGAGGGGAAAAACGACATACAACCCAAGTTTGACACTTTGACTACTAAATTATAAAAACCGAATGATGCAAACTAAGCTACTTAACACTCCCTGGTTCGATTGAATGGTGTCTTGGGAAGTCCAGGTACATGGAGGGAGCCTTTTGAAGCTTTTGGGTTGATGTATAAAATCTTCAAGTCGCAATCAAGACAAAAGGGAAAGAGTTTTGTTGTAGTGTGAACCCCTTGAATGTACATTGGTCCGAACATGGCAAATCTTGTTGTATGAGTAAGTACGAATGTACGATTGAATCCACATGACTCAATGGCTGCGAATGAATTCTTGAGTTGACAAGAAGTACTCAACCCTACCAATCATGAAACAAACACTCTTTGTAATAATGTAAACTCGGTAAATAATGTATTTTTATTTAATAAACCCTTTTTTGTTTATTTTAGAATTTTGTGATTTTCTTAAGAAATGAATACGAAAGGCGGGTCGGGTAATTGGGGCCTTGTTCGGTGATCAGACCCGGGAATTGCCCTAACACGTAACACCAGCTCAAGCAAGTGTGCCACATCGATAGCATAAGCAGGAAAACCCCACACGAGCCCGAGGATTCGATTACGGAGAAGCTAAATCTGCGATAGGAGATTGGTTTGCTCCTGAGATACAGCGATGCAACCAGTGAGGGAAGAAGAATCGTCTTCGATTCAAAACGACCCTGGAAACTGCTCTATCCCTTCCGGTGATAGTTCCGTCTGGGCCGATGTATCGCCTCTCCTCTCCGCCGCCTGCACTGGTACTCTCTCTCTCTCTCTCTCACTCTCTTTCTCTCCTGCTTAGAGACTTTTAACTTTTTAATTTGTTTATAATCATGTTTTAGATTAGGGTGCTGAGAATTATGTCATATTATATGTATTCAGTTGATTCTTTGGTTTAGTATTTTGGTTGATAGCATATGGTTAGTTTCTGCAAGTGAGCAAGTTTTCTTTTTGCAGATCTTCAGGAAGGCGAGCTCATTCATGGAGATAATTTCAACCTTTTTGCTGCCATGTCTGCATTGGAGGTTCTACACAACGTTCTTATTTCTACTTAGATGTTTTTAAAGTAGGCTTGGTGGAATTAGTTACTCTTCTCAATCTTTACTAGAGCTAATACGCAACTGTGCTTGGATTAAGATTCTTTCTAAAGGAGGTTATGCCTTATGCATCCTTTTTATTCCTGTTCATGTGCGAGCTTATACTAATGTTACTACATATTTCAAAGTTCTTTTGTTAGTTAGGTTTGTCTAGACTGCACCTAGCTCCACATTAAGCTTGTGTGGTTGTCATGTCTAATTGATTTCACTGTAGTAAACTTTAAATTATTTTCTATCCTCTAATGGAGTCCTTGCTTTGTACTAGATAATGGACCCAAAGATGGATTCCGGTATGGTGTCTGCATTTTATTCTATAGACGAAGCCATCGAAAGTGGTTTTGCGCCGGTCCCTATAAGCTCTGATAAGACTGTTAATGTGGAAAGCATCATTGACATTATGGACCATCTCCTGGTGTGCGAGGTAATCTTCTATTAAAGATGTGCTAAAATAATATTGAGCGAGTTGTAAGTTACAATTTTTAGTATATCACACCTCATATTTTCCTTTCCTGGGGAGAATTAAGCACTTGTTAGTTGAGTATTCTAATATGGAGATCTATGTAGCTAATACCTCTGCCTGGAGGTGCTTTGTGTGTTTTTTTTTTAACAAAAGATGTTGCTTGATTGGTTGATACCTTGACTATTTTAATCTATCTACTCTTTTGGCAGGCAACATGGCACATGGGACATTCATTGGCCCAAACTGTGTTTTCATGCATATATGTTCTGAGGCCTGAGAGGACGTCTTCCCAGGCTCTACTGCATTCTTATTGTAGGGTCATACGAGCAACATGCAGGGCAGTTGTTTCTGTAGTTTCAGATGCACGTACAAATGAAGTAATTAAACAACTTTGTGATCTTCTTTTATTCTTAGTGGTGCTAAGCAAATGGTGTAGATTCACCTGTTACGTGCTTAATAACAGGAAGAGGATCTTTTAACTATGACATATGGTCTTCCTTTTAATGGAGATGAAGATGCTAAGGGCTTGTTACTCTTAAATGCTGTCGAAGAAACAATCTGTCGCCAGCTGCGTGCCTGTAAGGCCACATCAGCAAAGAGGAGACTGTTGGAAGGTACTTTCTTGCTTTGCATATCTTTCTTTCGTATTTTGAATCCTTATAATTGCAGAATAGAGATATGAAGTGAGTATTCATATGATGGGATTGAATAGTCTTTTCGTTAAATGATGCAGAGTTGGAACCTCTACAAACTAATCCTCATCTGGAAGAGGGGTTTTGCAAGGCTCTGTTATGCCGGATACGTTTCCGTAAGGTCTCATGCTTTATTTATTCTTTCTGATAAATGTTGTTACATTTTATTTGTTCAATAACGTGTGGTTTCTCAACTTTAGAGGTCTTGTTAACTGGTGTACAAAATAGTCCTGAATCTGTTCCTTGTATGATTTAATAACGGAAGATTGAAATTGGTAGTTTAAAGAAGGAAAACTAGAATCATCAGTTAAAATGTCCAATTGTATATATATTTGCTTCCTAAGCCTTCTTTTGTTTAAGTATCTGTAGCAGACTTGTGCAATGCTAGTTGTTTTTAACATTTTCTCAGTAACTTTCAGCATTTTCTACACGCTCTTAATTGTATGAGACGGCCACAAGGACGAGGCCACGAATTGGCGAGGAAACACATAGCGTCTTGCATATCAGAGCTACAGTCTCTTCTGGAGTCAGCAGAATTTCTAAGATCAAATACTGTCAACAATGGGGAAACAGAGATAGAAGAAAGGACAACAGCATCTGGTCGTCAGCCAATTGGATTTGATTCTACTTTAAACAAAAGATTATCAGCTCCAACCCCACCCCGTGCTATTAAGCTTCTTTCTTGGAAAAAGGTTGGGACTTTCAAATTCTCTCTATATACATAATATACCATGTGTGTGTATGTATATATATATATAGAGAGAGAGACACAGACTGTAACCTTTTTTCAATTTTGATTCTCCAGGCTATCGACTATTTTGTGAAACTTCTTCACAATCTGGATCAGATCTGTGCATTCTCATTGGAGCCGGATTTGGATTTCGTCTTGCAGTTTGTGATTCAGTTTCACAAATCTCGTCCTGATTTGGTTTCTAGGGCTCATCTTCAGGTGCCTTACTATGACTTAATACATTACTTTCTTGCAGTTATGTGCTTGATGTAAACATGCATACTTGTTTGCATGATGGAATACAATTGCCTATTTCTTTTTCCACTTTCTCCTTGCTATGCGGTGTTGCGTTTATTAGCACTCAGTTTTAGAGTTTAGAGTTGAGTGATTGAACAATATGAATATGGTAGAACTCTCCTATATAACTACAAAGAACAGTTGCACAAATCTAGAATCAATGGATTACAGAATTTGCAGCCCCCACAAACCACCTTATATGCAGTGGCCTGAAATTCTCTTCTGTCCTCGTTATGAAGACAGAAAATATAGATCTAGTACATGTAGTTGAGCTTGATTCTAGCTGTATTTCTGTTGAGCATTGATTCGGGTCCTTTTTTTTGGTATGTATGTACTGTTGATGAATAAATTATGTATTGAAGCTAGCATAATGCCTTTACCTTTTGTTCTACAGCTTCTCCTTGTGCAAGATGGGAAACTTTACGGCCGTGATACCTTTTTGACTATTTGCGCCAGACTCCTTGCGATAGACGTCTCAAAGAACCATGGCCTTCACTTGAATGAGTACATACTTCAACTGAACCAGGTAAAAACTCGATTTTTTTTATAATAACAGGTTACTGGTTTTTGTGGAGACTTTGACCAGAATGCCTGACCTTAATGTTTTTGATTTTTAGTAGCCGTTGGATTCTAGAAAGAACAAATAGATAGTTTCAATTTTCAGCTTGCTTCATACTTATAAAGCTCTCTTTGATCTCTGTTCTCATTTTGATGTGCAGTTGATGATTAATCTGCTCAAAATACTATGTGCTAATACCCCATGGCAGAGGCGTAAGCTTGGGAAAATCTTAAACGACTGGAGCATATTCAACGTGCAGGTTATTCCATTTATGATTTTGAAACTAGTGTATAACGTTTTGGTCCTTTAATTGGGACTGTGTATATCTTTACCTGACCCTAAAATTTTGTGCATACTGATTCGAGGTTTCCTGTCAACATCTCATTCATTAATGTTCCTGTATTTGCAGATGGGGATTAATGTTGGTCAATTGATGCAACAAGATACATCACGCAGTCAGAAAAACGGCGTAAGTACTGTGCCAACACTCCGATCTAAATTCCAACAACTTTTGTCTTTCTCCTAAATTTTTTTTAAGAAGAGATGGAATATTGTGTTAACTTGCATCTGTCTGTGTACCTTTCAGGATAGGTCTCTGTTCATTTTAAACCATGTTTATGGTTGGATAGAGGAGCAAATTCATTGGGTGGCGCTTCGCTTTCTCGTGCTGGGGTTTGAACTAGATCTTTACTCTCCAAGTGAATATTGTATGGTATACTGGTACATGTACATTATACTATGGAAGCTTCATGAAAAAGCACGTCTCAGGGTCTTAATTGTTGTTCATTCTGGTAAGCCTTCCCAGTTCCTTTTTTTTTTGGTATTTTTGTGATTCGGAGATGTTTGTCTTTATGTGTATCGTTTGGATCAGAGGAACGCAAGGCGAAGAGGAACAAGGAGTATTCTAGGGATATGGCTCGGGAAGATCGGATAAGTCTATGGGTATTACTTATCCAGTGTCAGACTAGCCTTACGCAAGGGCTCACATTGGTAACTTTTGTTTTCAGTCTCTTGCTTTCAAGCGCCTCCTTCCATTGATGTCATATCAAGTGATTTTTCACAACCTGACCAAACTTTGTGCGTTACCTAATAATAGATGATTGCTGCTTTGAGAAATGAAGGGATGTGTTTAAAGAGCCAAGGACCTTTTAATACCGAAAATGAGGTAAAGTATTAGTCTCTTCTCTGTCTCATACTCGTCTAATCAAAGGTGTTGGACGCAAACCCTGAAGTTTGTATGACTTTGACTTGCAGAAATTTACTCAGCATTTTGAACTACTCCAGAAGGCATCGCTTCCTGAATATGATGCATATGAATCATTCTCAAAATCCACAGCTCATGCTAGTCTCGACGTAAGTTTTCTCTATATACTCAAATCTCATTTACATTGTCAGATGAATCGTAATAATGTTAGACCATTTGTATCCATTTCTTTTACTGCAGTTCCTTCCTGCGTATGAGTGCTTCCGCGACGCACAAAAGATGGCCAAAGACATAAAGGTCGGTTACGCCAACGATCCTGATAAACTGGCTGAAGTCAGGGGAATAGAGCAAGTCGCGGAGCACAATGTTATTGCTGTTAATCTCCTCTGTCAAGACCGCTCGCTTAAGGTATCGCTCGAGTTCACTCATCATCCTTATTTCGCCACTGCTATTGTTCGTAGATCTTGAAACTCTTTGTCTCTTTCACTTGTTATACCATCTGAATCCAATTTTGGGACAGACCCTATTTAGTTTTGGAAACTAGTGTGCTTTTTTTTAGTTTACTCCTTTCTGTTGTAAAATTTTGTTGTTCTCTGAAATTTAGTTATTAAAAAAACCTTCTGCTTGCATCTTTTTTTTGTAGAATTAATGCTTAAAATAAAGTTCTAAACGTAGAGAAGTGATTTGTCATCAATATGTTCAAATTATTTGACAAAAGAAAATCAATAAATTTTGATTTAAGGAACGACACTGAATCTCTCTTTTCCCATTTTTCCATAAGCTCTTTTTTTTTTATTAGTGTTCAGGAGTTTTTACCGTGTTGATCGTACAATCCAAATCTAAAAATAGCATTTCTTGCTTAAATTTTAACGAAAGGTTCCATGGAAAAATCCAAACCATTGACCACATCATCACAAGTTAACATATAACAAAATAAAACAACTTTTATTGGACATACGTACGATGGCTTGGTTTTACGCTTCTCATGCATACATATCAATCTACATTGTAACCTTTCTTCTTCTCTCGCGGTGGCCATCTACTATAGCAAAACCAGACGTTCCTAGCCATTTATCAACGAAAGCAAAGACATGTCCGTTTCCATCCACGCTGATATCAAAGGCTTGTAAAGGCACTGCGTCTTTCTCGTCCCTAGAAGAAGCATGTATCACATCCCTAACCTCAAACCACCGCACAGCCTCTGCCTTGACTACATCAGAACTGGCTAAGGCCGCGTTATCAATTGCCATTGAGAAGGCAGAGCACACGATGATTCTCATCGGTTCTCCGAAAAAGCCTTGCTTCAAGAGTTGTGCGGAGAACTATAAAGATTCTGTAGTTGTGGGGTTGAGGAATGCAGAAAGGTCGATGGAGAAAGGTAACGTGGATGAAACCGATGACGAGCTCAGTGTTGCTCGTGATGCCGCTGATTACTGCAATATGGTTTTGGCAGTTGATCCTGACGATACAAAATCACCCATTTTTGCGGCCAACAATGATGTGTATAATCATATTACATTTGTCATGAGTGTGGCAGACTTGTTTTCGAGCCTAAATCAGTAAATCACTGACTTTCATTCAATTTACAATATAATTTTGTTAGAATCTTTGTGTATATCTTTTGTTCATATTGTCTACTGCATTTGGCAAATATCTCTTTTTCCCTAGCTTGTGCATGTATACAAACGACATAACATAAAATAAGTAAGACTTGGTTCAGCGACAAAACACCAACACACACAGCTTATCAAAGAAGAAAGTCTTAAAACCAGAAACTGGAGGAAACAAACCAAGTTCAACATAACAAAGACAACAGAGTAAATATGAAAAGTTCCCAAAGAGAAATGTATAAAACACCATTTGTGAACATAGAGACTCTCAATGTTCCGTCTACAGCGTCACGCTCCCATCGCCTGATTCAATAAACGACATATCAAAATCTATTAGATAGCAAACAAGAAAGAAACATTGTAAATCATAAAAAGTATATATAAAAACATGTAAGACTTACATGGCAGGACACTCTCAGTGAAAGGGAAGACACTAGGATTCGACAATGGCTTCTTCACCCTTTTCTTGTTCCATTTTCCAGTATCCACATCATAACAACACCAGTGATTGTCAGTCAAGCACAGGATATGGTTCTTTAACGAAGTCACGGCAAAAACCAAGTCAAAGTCACCGATTGGTGCGTAATCCACATATTCCAATACCCAATCACCAGATGGTTCGATGTCTTCCTTCCAAGTCCATATATCCATGTACTCAACATGTTGCACAAATAATGCAAGACATCCTCGCAGATTGAGAAGATGAGACACTTCAGTTAGGCTGTCTTCGTATCTTAGATTCGGATCATACTTAGGCAACGGAATCACATCGAATCTCCCTTCCCAATCCACAGAGAGGACTTTACCGGGAGCATCCAAGCAAGACAGCCAGTAGATCTTTCCTGCGACGAAAACATGCCGAGACTTGAATGGAACAAGAATCCCCATCGGAACACAAGGCACCGTGCCAATGTTTCTCCAAGAACCACTGCTGGACGAATAAACCTCACACTCAAATCGATACCCTGCCATTTCTTTACCAGCGCAGAAGATGCGGAACACTTTGTACTCGCTCCCAACATAAGCTACTCCAACATTAGGCACAAAACCAAACGAGGGTGGTGTCCCTTGAGGAAGAAGAAGAGTCTCCCCCATACAAGGGTTGACTATCCAAATCTGCAGATCGATATCATCGTCTTCTTCAGTGTCTTCTTCAGTGAGGAGATTAATACAACAGAGAAGTCCATTGAAGGAAGCTATCGTGTACATAAAGTCATGTTGGCTTCTCTTCTGAGGATCAATTGTGTTCAAGTAACGAAGGTTGAAACTCTCTGGATTCATCGAATAAACCTTCATCTTTTCAGCCATTACTGGACATACGAAATATGAAGGATTCACACTTGATCGAGCAAACTGCATCCTTGCGAAGAACTTGTTTGTCATAGAGTCATGCCAGTTCTTGCTCACGGTACGGTATGACCTGATAGCTTGTACGGGAAGACGCGATAGGACGTCAGTGATGATCCCCGAAGGTATTGCCTCGTCCTCACTCACTTGCTTCACACGCTTGCCACTAGTTCCAGCCATTTTCTCTGTTTCCAAGGCAGAGTAATAAGAAAAACATTGGTTACTTAGCACATAAAACTGATTCAAGAACAGATATTTCTACAACATGTATATGTGTATTTAAGCTACTGTAAGGGAGCTACAGGTCAAACGAGCACACAAATGCAAACTACTCATAGACAAACATAGCATCCGTTGGTGTCCAATAGATAAAGACCCAAAAGACAGTTAAAAAACACTCATCGGAACCAAGAAAAAGCGTTTGAAAATGAAGGGGAAAAAAATGCATCCAAGTTATTTTATCATAGAGACAAGCTCTTCCATCTGCATGTTTCATTCAAGGTAGATAAATATACACGAGATCAACACTCAGCTTGAGAACAACCTCTGAAGGACACAATATCTGAAGAACGGAAAATCAGTAAATCAAAATCATCAAAGCAACAGTTACACAAAGGCATATCATGCACATACACAAAATCCATTACCATTACCACTTAACCAAAAACTAAAATAAATGATTATGCGAAAAATCCTAATCAAAAGGCAGGAGATCAAGAAATGGAGAGACAGACATCGAAAAATTCTTCCTAGGAACTCATGTTGCAATTTTTCAGATCTTATAAGAGAAATAACAAAGACCACAATGGAAAGAAAGGGTGATAGCACTGAAACCTCTTAGATCTTTTGGTACGCGATCGGAATTGAAGGGATAACCAGAAGAGATTCGGCGATGATATCAACGCGTTATAGAGAGGGTATATATATATAACCTAAGACACTTTCTTTTGGCTGAAATTGTGAAAACGTAACAGCAAGCAAATGTTTAGACACTTGTTAATCATTAGGATCTATCACTTTTCATCTAATCAGAGAGGGACACGTAAAAAAGTGTGAACTCGATGCTAATAACAGCAAATCATTACTCCTAAGGTAACATATTTGCTATTTCAAATGTAAATATATATTTAACATTTAAGTCATAAATCATGAATCAAAATCAATAAGGATAGTAAAAAATCAGTCGCATACCATGAACAAACTTGATAAACTTTCACATATAGAGACTCTGTCAAGGCATAATAGTGGTATTGCCATAATTAAGTTGCTATATAACTTTGTAGAAAATTTTGACTAGAGAAGAATGAATGCAACTCTATTTAACCACAGAACAAAAGGATTAACTCTCGTCAACTACAAAATTTGTAATTTTGGTTTATCTTGACCCACAAGTTTGGCCATGAATCTCTAGAAACTTGTATTGCATATACATTACCTATAAAGGTTACATATTTGTGAATCTAGAACAGATCTTTAACAAAAAGAAACAGAGAAAAGACAACCAAAACCAACTGTTCAAGAGAAAATGAGACACATAAATCGATTCCATAGTCTAATCTCCGGACTCCTAAGACCATGAAAAGAGATTACTTTCCAAGAAGCATAAATTCTGATAAATGTTCACTGTAATTGGTAGAAATACGAACATTACGAAATAAAACAACTTTCAGTGAACATTGCACTATAGTGTGATTCAGAAGACTTGCCTAATCTCAAATTCAATGTATACAGTTGCATGCAGCGAAAGAGGCAATGTGAAATAAGCAAAAGATGGTGAAAAAAAAACCAACCTTTAGGTGGAGTTTTGAGAAAAAAACTTGTGCTTCACCAACTCTCAATTAGCAACAACGCCTTCCTTCATACAAGCTTGCACCTTTTGAACAAATGAGATTCATTTAAGTTGCTAAATTTTTGTGATAAATGAATATTCCCCCATAATCACAGAGATCAAACACAGTATCACCAAAATTCACACCAAAATCCAAATCTATTTGATTTCCGTTTTCCGCCATCAATAGCTAAACCTTGTAATTGCTCGAGCATGGATTCCGAATCAGTAAACAGTAAAGATTAGAAATTTCAAGTGGTTAATCAAGAGAAAGAAGAACAATCATTTATGTTCATTGCAATCAAGTAAACTTAGCTAATATGTTCGATTTCAAAGTTTCGACTTGTTAAACCTCAAATTCCAATGCATGTGAATACGATAGACCCAAATAAGCCAAAAGAGATAGAAAGAGGCAATCAATCGTATAAGCAAACGAAACGAACCTTGTGAGAGTAGTGACGAAATTAGCAAGTCGTCTCCTTCCTCCAGCTTTGCCCCTTTTGGAAATGAAAAAATCATAATTAAAGTTTCTGACTTTCATAAACAAATCCAACAAAACCCATGATCATCACATAAATCAGCAACCGTATCAACAAATGTCACAATCGATTTCAGTCCCAAATCTATCTGCTTTCTGTTTTCACAATCATCAATAGCTAAACCTCCGTAACTCTCGAATCAGAAAGATGATCGCTTACCTCATAAACACGAGATGACGGCGAGAGATAACGGCGGAACGAAAGTGAAAACTTCCGAAAACGGAAACAATTTCATCGTCACTGACAGGGAATCTATTCTTATTTTTTATTTTAATTTTTTGTTCGTCAAAATCGAGAAATGTATGAGAGGAATATCGAAGAACACGTGCTACGTGAAGAAGAAACAATTCGTGCTGCGATTATGATCAGAGTGACGAGTGTTTCTTTAGCTTTTGATCCTAAAAACTTATCGGGATTATCACCGTCACAGACTCACAGTTTCTCCGTGCACAAATAACCATCCGGTACGAACCGTTATTAATTTCGGTACGGTTTTCAAAAATTAAACCGCAAAAGGCAGCAAAAAATGATTTACTGCTAAGTGCTAAGTTATCTACACTTATCACTATAACTTTTTTTGTTCTTCATGGATTTCGAATCATTATGATTATATATCAGTATAAGAAACCAAGCTAATAAACGGTTTGCCCATATAATTCAACATTTTGCCACGAAAACATATGAAACAACAAGAAATAATTAATCAAAACAGAAGAACATCACTAGTGGTTGTCTTTTATAACATGAAAGTATTGTTTCGCACAAAGCTTATTACTATGGATAATGCCTTACGAATCGAAACAAACTAGGTTGAAGAAGATAGACTAAAACCTGAAAAGAGTGTCAAAAAGTAGCATATATAAAACCTATCCTCAGCTTTGTAACGCTTTTGATGCGAAGATCAGAAATGATAGTCACCAGAAGAAATACGCTCACAATTTGAACAATGATTTTCAGGTCAGCTGGACGGACCAAAATGGTAAAACAAAAGTTTATACATAACCCTAAACACATATATCATTAATTTCTACCACTAATTTTTCCAACGGCAAAAAGGATACATAAAATGTTAAGGTCAATGTGAGTATAATGAAAATCTACGATTTTGATTTTTGTAGTTACTGAAAACGAATCTCACATCCAGTATAATTGTATAACTTTCTTTTCTAGTAGAGTATAGGGAAAACAATTGGAAATACACGCTGCTATATGATCATGTCTAGACTCAAAATAATCTACAAAATTCTGAACATTTCAAAAGACATGGTTTTCACCAGCTGTCTCATACTCAATTATCGATTTGAACATGTAAGGAAATATATATAACAAAAACTTGAGGAAGTATATATCATGCAAATATAGATCCTGCAACAAATATTATGTTGAAACCTTCTTTACAATCTCAAATATTCGGATTGATAAATTGATTTCTGTTAATGAACATGCCTTTATTAATCTTTACTTGACCATTTAAACATATATATATTTTAGCTCTTTTTATATCAATCCAAAAATTCTTGCGTGCATTAATTATTTTTTCATTTTATTTGTTTTCTTTGACTAAGCAAGTCCGTTTGTGTCTCACTATCTCCTATACTTAGTCCTCTCTTAGAGACAGGTAACTTGAATTATTAGCTAAACATTTCCCAACCATCAGACCAAAGAATCTATAATTAAGAACAACAACAACAACAAAAATTTCTATTTATCTTTCTAACAAAAATATTAAATTCTCTAAAAGAAAAAAAAAAAACCACATGTTGGATCAAGAAAGAATCAGTGTCAGTGGTCGAAAATCATGGTGTACCTGCTGTTTAAGCTTAATCTTCGCAGCTGGATTCACCTGTCTTTTGATATGGCTAGGTCTCCGTCGAATGCGTCCCGATGATCCAAAATGCTCGATCGAATACTTTTACGTTCCTGCCCTCAACACATCTCTTAATTCACGACTCAACACCACTCTCAACTTCATGGTTCTTCTCGATAATCCAAACAGCGACCAAGGGATCTACTACGACGATGTCCACCTTTCTTTCTCCAACACTACCAATGCCTCTATCGCTAACTACACGTTGCCTCCATTCTACCAAGGACTCAAGAAGAAAGCCAAGAAGTGGGGTCAGGTTCTGCCTTTGAACAACCAGACGGTTCTACAAGCGGTTTTGCCTAATGGTTCGGCGGTTTTCCGTTTGGGTTTGAAGACGCAAGTGAGATTCAAGGTTGCGTTTTGGATTACAAAGAGGTACGGGATCGATGTTGGTGCTGATGTTGAAGTCAACGGAGGTGGAGTTAAAGGTAATGATAAAGGTATTAAGATGAAGAAATCTGATTCTTCTTCTTCACTAAGAAGCTATATTCCGATCTGTGTTTGGATGAATCTGCTCGTCTTCTTCGCCATTTGTTAAACTGATTGATGTTTTTGCTTTCTTTTTCTTCTTTTGTTATTTTGATTGACTCTTTCATGATGGTTGCTTTGTTTTTTAGTTGCTTCTCCTTCTTCATAATTTCTAAATTCGACCAAGCACTATTTGAATTATATATTCCTTTTGATTCAAATATGTTTTAGTTTCTTAATTTTTGTATTGAACACCTTCTCATTTGTAAGTATATTTTACTCTCTCACAAATTACTACAGTATAACAAAAAATAAAACATACGCGGAGAAAACTTTTTAAATTTATATAGGGGACTTTTGAATACCTGCGTCCCAAGGTATCTTCATTTTCCGTGTGTGAAGAAACATGTAAGAAGATTAAAAAAAAAAATCAAAGAAAGGAAGATAGTGTATGTTTGTAAAAGATATATAGAGTACTTCCCAGATAATAAACCGTATATCCAAGCTTTGTTCTGCCACCAAACTGCCATGCAACTGATCTTACGTGGAATTCAAACCTTTTAAATTTTGCACAGCATAATTAAACCAAGCAATAACAAAAACTTGAGGATGTATGATGTATCATTTAGATGAAGAGCATGCAACAGAAATATAATGTGAAAACGTTTTTATCTTTACTTGTAAAATTTTGGGGTTGGTAAATTGAATTTCTGTTAATCAACGTGACTTGTTGGCTTGACTATAAAAGAAAAAGACCACCATCCCTCCTTGTTGGTCCTTTTATATATTCCCAATAACTCTTCGGATTATTTTAATTAATCCTCTTTCGTGCATTAACTAGTTTTTAATGTAGTTTAACTTTATTTTTCTAAGCCGCCTATGACTCTGTCTACTAGTTAGTCGTATCATAACAGCTTAAAACAAAGAAACTCGTCAGACCAAAGAATTGATAAGGAAAGACAAGAAAAACATCAAATTCTTTAAGTCTAAATGGCTCAAGACGGAGACCATCGAGGAAGAAAATGTTGTTGCTGCTCCTTAAGCTTAATCCTCGCAGTTGGATTCATCACTCTCTTGACATGGCTAAGTGTGCGAGTCCGCTACAGCGATCCAAAATGCTCGATCGAATACTTTTACGTTCCTGCCCTCAACAAGACCCTCAATTCAAGAACCAATACAACTCTCAATTTCATGGTTCGACTCGCAAATCAGAACAAAGAACAAGGAATCTACTACGACGACGTCCACCTTTCCTTATCCAACGCTAATTCCTCTGTCGCTAACTACACAGTGCCAAGATTTTACCAAGGACAGAAGAAGAAGGCCAAGAAGTGGGGTCAGGCTCTTCCTTTCAACAACCAGACGGTTTTACGAGCCGTTTTGCCTAATGGATCGGCGGTTTTCCGGATGGGTTTGAAGACGCAAGTGAGATTTAAGATTGCGTTTTGGAAAACAAAGAGGTATGGAATCGATGTTGGTGCTGATGTTGAAGTCAATGGAGATGGAGTTAAAGCTAATAAGAAAGGGATTAAGATGAAGAAATCTGATTCTTCTTCCTTATTAAGAAGCTATTTTCCAGTTTGTGTTTTGATGAATCTGCTCGTCTTCTTTGCTATTTGTTAAACTGGTTGATGTTTTTGCTTCTTCTGTTTTTGGTTGATTTTATTGGCTCTTTCTTGAATTTTGCTTTCTTTTTTTAAGATCATCCTTCTCCTTTTTCATAATTTCTAATTTTGCTTTCATGAAGAACAAAGAATATTTTGCATTTTAAACGTGTCATATAACTAAAAAAAGAATGATCACATATTTGTCATAAGTTATTATCATATAGACAAAATCAACTCTCTCGTTGCCCAGGCCCAATAAGAAGGTCGTTACATTACATGCGCGTCTATTTACCGATTTGACGACAAATTTTAGGGTTAGTCATCACCAGAAAAAAGGCAAGAGAAGAGAAACTATAGCGATTTTTTATTTAATTTTCCGGTAGTGAAATCACCTTTGTCTTGTTCAAGTAGACATGTTTCGTGGTCGTGCTCGTGGTCGTGCTTATGCTCGTGGGACCGTAAGAAGGACCTTACCACCGCTAGAATTCCTGAAAAAAACATACGAGATCGTTGATGATCCTTCAACGGATTCAGTAATCTCGTGGGGCCAAAACGGCAACAGCTTCATCGTTTCGAATCCGGAAGAATTCGCTAGGAACCTTCTTTTCAGGCTCTTGCCACCCACACCCTACACCAACTTCCGATATTTTACCCTAAAGCTTAAGGGATATGTAAGTTTGGAAAATCCACACATTAATCATTTATTTGGTTATATTGAATTATTTACTAAAACTCTCTTTTGATGTTGTTGCAAACTCTCAGGGCCTTGAAAAAGTTGAGCAGTCTGAGCATGAATGGGAATTTGCCAACGAAGATTTTGTGAGAGGCCATCCTGAGCGTTTGAAGAACATTATCGATATCTACGAGGCGAGGCTGGAATCAATTCATGACTTGCACGTCAAGCCAATGATTGATAGAATGAGAAGTTATTGCAGAGCCGGTGGTAATGCGGTTACATTCTTCAAGGAGCGAAGGGAGGAAAGGTACAGGGAGTTGAGGGAGTCTATGGAAAAAGAAGCTTTGGCAAACGCTCTTGAGCGCCAGTGCAACGTCTAGGAACTTGATCACATTCCCTTATATCTATCTACCTCTATGGAACATTCACAATCCAATATCACCATGTGTTGCTTCTTCTGTCCAATACCATTCTCCTCCAGTTAAGTTCGATTGCAATGTTTTTGAAATTAGACAGAAAAATTACACTCAACTTATAGTGTTTCAATGGCAAGGTGAACATTAAAAGAATTGAGCTTGGCAATTCAATTGATGATGGCGTTAGTGTTTGATATAAGCTTGAAAGATGATTTCTTTTGAATCCTTTACGCATCAATCCAAACTTTAAAAGCTCCTAGACCCTAAAAATTCTAATGAAAAAAAAGGGGACTAGATGTCTTTTGTTGAACAAAAAAAAAAAAAAAAAAAAAGTCTGTCTTCTCTCTACTGACTCCATGAAAGCTTATTACGAATCAATCAATTGTCGTTGAGACGCTGGAAGAAGTAGAGATAGCCCATGTCTTTAGGAGGATCTGTGGAGACACCGACTTTGCTGTCATTGAAGATGACCCAACGGCCTTCTTTCAGTATGTGCGCCACGTAGTGTCCACAGTGCGTTGACGTTCCCATGTGGCTTACGAAGCCAAAAAGCTTGTATCCTGCGTTTTTTTAAGACAAAAGTGGAACAAAGCTTCGTGAGTTAAGATCAGTAAATTCTTACTTTCATTTTGTTTAGGTAATAAAAGAGGTTTGAAGAAAACTTACTCCCTCCTCCGTCTGGTAATCCACTTTGAGCTGGAGTCTGTGCTAAATTGCTAGAGGAAACGTCCATGTCCGCAACAGTTGCATTTGGGTTGTTGAATATCCAGTCTGTTGCTTTCTCTATATCTCCTCCCTGATTTTAGAAAACAAAAACAAGAACACATTTCAGTAATAAGAATGAAGAAAAAAGAGTGTAGCCAAAATGAAACTAATTTGCTCAAAAGCCTGTGGGAAGTGATTTACCGAGGCTTTGAGTGCCTTACGAGCAACTTCTTCAGGGAAACCAAAGGAGATTAAGGTATCGACGCTTGATTGATCAACGCCAGGTGTCTGATGGGAGATTGGTGCGTCAATGTCTATGAATACATAACACATCATCATCACATTAGAATATTGGTCTTGAAACGAGTTTCAAAGAGAGAAAGTGTCAAGCATCAAATGCATGCAGAGTCGTGGAAATGTTTTTCAGTTACCTTGATCATCCATGTGAGAAAGTAACCAGTTCATCGCCTCTTCGACCCCAGCATTAGCAGTGTTTATGGCAGCCTTCTGGCAATGAAGCTGGTTAAATCCCATTGAGAGAAGCTGTGTAACTATCTCGTCATTTGCCACTGGCTGCGCTGATTCCATCGCTTCTTCTTCTTGAACTGTAATGTTTGCAGAATTGTAGGATACATTTAAGTTATTCAAGCGAATTGGATGAATTGAAACACCATTCCTCTAAATAAATATAACAAAACATACCGCCATCATCTGGCAACAGTTCCTCTCCGGGTTGAATTCCTTTGCCGCGCATGTGGCTGATGTCAATTACATCAGGAACATCAATGTACACATCTGCCTCAGCAAATCAAGAAAAAAGATGTTCAGCATTTATATACAGTGACAGTAAGGGAACATTATAAGGACTGGTTTTTAAGAAAGAGACCAAGTTTCTTTGGCACCCAGCCAGCCTCCATGACAAACTTTCGCATGTGCAACACCAAATAATCTGGGAATGATGTCAACCTTGTTGTCCTGAATAAAAGATAACCCTTGAAGACATTAGTTTATTTCCACTTTAGTCTCAGTTGTGTTAGGATTCACTCTGAAAAGAAACATCATACTTGATAGCTGTTGTCTTCCCCTTCAATGCAGTGCTGTAGTAATCATGAATCTCCTCTGGTGATGCAAAAGTTGATAAACAAGCTTCTAAAGGAACTCGTGGGCGTACGATTTCATCAGTTGACCTGTGAGAACAAATATCTTAGAGATGCAGTGGAACTATTAAACATAATAAAAAAATAAAAAAAAAAAAAAATTGAGTCAATTAACTCACATATCATTTTCTTCTAGTCCTTTTCCTGCTTTGTGGTTGTTAAAGGCTTCTAGTTCATCTTGATCATCAAACAGTAGTCAAAACAGAGAAAACGGAATCAAGAAACATGTCAAATGATAAAGAAAGAGGAAAAGAGAAGGAAGAACAAGATATACCTTTATTGGTTGCCTCATCCAGCGGAATGTTCAAAGAAAGAATACAGTCATCCCTCTTGTTGTATGCGACCTTTCCTGATGAACAAAGGATCTTTTCTTCTACTCCAAACTTGAAGCTCCTCGAGGGGTCTAGATCTGCTCTCATGTTGCTGCCACGCTCAACCTTGTCTAGGAAATGAAGGAAAAAATCGAGAGCATCCTACGAAACAGAATGGCGCTAGTTAGTGTGAAATCTTAATGAGTTTAGCAATAAGAGGTGTATAAGGAGTATCATTCAATATAATCTACAAGAGAAGGTTTTCACCTGCTGTCTCATAGAGGAAAATTCTCCATGGCCTGCAGCAATAACCGATTTGAACATGCGAGGAGGTATTCCTTCTTGTTTCTATTATCGATTAACAAAAAACAATATGTAACGTCATCAGAAATCAACATAACGCGAAATCATTTGTGCCATCTCCGCGTATGTATTTGAATCAGAATGAACATATTGAATAAGAATCTTACAGTATCTCCAGTTGCAGCATCATTCTGCAGTCAGAAGAATTGGAAAGTCAATATACTGAGGCCAAAACAGGTGATTTAGATAATAAATATGTATGCAATCAATTTTGCTCTCCTGAAATAGTCATACCTCTGTTACAGGAATAGAGTACTTCCCAGATAGTAAACCATGTCCAAGCTTTGTTCTGTCACCAACAGCAATAATTAGGAAATGAATATGAAAAACTGTGAAAAGTGGCAAGTTTTCTGACAGAAACTAACAATTGCATATTGAGGTCCAAAGTCGGATCAGCAGGAGCCATCTCAAATGCCATCTTTAAGCTCTGATGTGAAAAGTATCTGCAACAGTTTCAGAGCCCGAAGTTACTACAGTGGATTCTAACAGTAAAAGGTTTGTTTCATTTTTAGTAATACAAGTAAAAAAGGAAAGATGGGCAATGGCATCTTCATGCAAATATGTGCTAATACTTACCTTGAAATAAATGAATGGGTCGAGAAAACAATCTGCATCGTTGCTGCCAAGTAGCAACTAGCAAAAGAAAGGAAACGGGCATAAGGCAACAACAAGGAAATGAATTCCCTGATAAGTTTTTAATTACAAAGAGTACCTGTTCCCAAGATTGACAAGTCCGGTATATCCAGGTCCAAAAACTGGTACCAATTCTTTTCCACTCTCTTGTATACGGTTCCAATCAAAATTCGTATTCTGATCAAGTTCTCTTTCGGCAGTTGTCATTTCCGTCTGTGAAATTGATTTAAACAACCCAAGAAACTTAATATAATTCAAATGGAAGATATATTATCAAAATGGCATATCTTTAAACAAAGAAGATGATCAGGCAGTATAAACTGGCAAACAAGGACAAAAAAACTACAAAACCATGTGCTATGGGAATGAAGCCTCTTTGCAAGGAAAGATGAGGACAAAACAAACCCAATAAACTTTTAAATATTTAGACGTTCATGATGCAACAAATACATGTTATTAGACTCAACATGCGTATGGAAAAACATTGTCTCAAAACAACCTTAAATGACATTTTCTAGGAGCATTGCAGCATCTTTTCAATCGCAGTTACAAAAAAGTAAGCAATAACACTGATGTGAGTCTACTTGCTCTTGGCTAATAAGAAATTTAGCGTCATACATATGCCACATATGTACAGCATGTTGAAAAAAATATGGTTGTTATGTGACAGTTGATAGTGAAAACAAATGAACTCAAGACAGAAGCTTTCTGGAAAAGCCCGAACTTGACCGATAAGACCCAGAAATGGTATCTACACAAAACCCAGCACTATGAGACTACCTAATAATGAGCCTCTAGTAAAAATGCAGAAACGAAACTCATTACCAACTCATTACCACAGACAAACAACAATTTTAAGTGCCAGACAAGACGCACCCTTCACTAATATAATCTAACAAAACCATCCATTACTAACCTTCTGCATCGAGGAGAAGTCAATTCCAAAATGGGCCAGATGCTTAGCCAGGAGCGGGTCGACAACACTGTCATCTTCCACATAGGAATAAACATCTGCCAAAACGATTTGCGATAGTTAGTGCTGAAGATATTAAACAGGCCTATTTCGATCCCATAACAGAGTCTGACTAAAACCAATTTTACAACTTTACCTGCTGCTTCCAAGTCAGCTGTGATTGTTCCAAGCTTCACAGCAAGAGGGTAGGACGTCTCCTTGTAGTGCTCAACCGCATGGTTGTTCCCGCCAGTCCCATCCCAGTTCTTTCTTCCGCAAAGAATCATTCCATCGGTAAGATTAAGCCAGAGATTCTCCCTCTTATCACACTTGGCACATTTCCAGCCAGAGGGAGGAATGACAACGCCGCTCTTGAGCTGCTGCAGTGTCAATGCATGTTGACTAACTTGCTTCTCCTCAGCCGTCCAAGCTGCAACTTGCTCTTTCTTCTCAGCGCCTACGGCCATAATTACAGTATCAACAGCAATCCTCACCTGCAATACAAAAATACAAAAAGCTTTTAACCCAATGCATTGCGTTGCTATAAACCCTCTCTAAAAGCAAAACTATATTGCTAGCACCACCTTCTCTGGTAGCTCAACAGAAGGGAATGGAAGTGAAACAAAATCCGGAAGTATAACTATGCTATAAGATTCCTCATACGCAGGCTCATTGTTGTCAAAGCCGCCATCAATTCCTGCAGATTCAAAAACACGAGAGCTCAAAATCAAATAACCTAGATGAAAGTGCTTACTCATGCCAATCGATTAAGCATTGTAATCATTGTGTAAACCTATAGCGAGCAGAGTCGGTTTCTTCAGAGGACGATCCTCGGGAACAGACTTTGCAGTCTCCTTAATGTGCAGATAAACAGGGTTTCCAGTCTTCTCGTAATTCCAAGCAACATAATCCTTCCCAAAGGCGAGAAAACTGTTCATGTCTACGAACAATCCTCCATCGGATCTCTGAAAATTCATCATCACGGAGTGATCAAACACAGGAAATAGATAGAAGAGCTGAATAAAACAGTCGCCGGCAGTTGGAAGGAGTAGTCGGTAATTTGAATGAGAAAAACGAGCTGAGAGGGTTAAGGAGAGGTTTACCGGAGTGTCGAAGGAGAGGCAACACTCGTGCTTGTAGATGCGGTGGGTGGGCTCGGGGATCTGAACCCTAGACAAGTTGGATCGGAGGAGCTCCATGGGGGTTTTTGGGAATCGGCGAACACTCGACGGAAAAAGCTCGACGGAGAGAAAGAGAGAGAGCGAATTGTGTGTGTTTGTGTGAAATCGCACGTCTCGTTAAAAGGCTACAGATGAGAACGTCGTCGTCCGTCTAAATTCCTTTCTTATTGATTCTTGCCTTAACTTTTGGGTTTCAAACTTTCGATTTCGTAGTGAATTTTGGATAATTTCATAAACTGACAATTTTTATAAATTGTCTAACCAATATTTTGTTGGATAAATTTCTAAAAAATATTATGATGAAGAAATTAGAAATGTTAAAATATTGGATAGAGTTTGGATACACACACAAGATTGTGTACGGCCCAATAGAGTTTATATTACCCAATAGCAACAACTGATTATACTCCAAAAATAAACTAAAAGTTGATGTTTTTGGTTTTGAAAACTAAACACGTAAATGTTTACCACACACGCACACCAGTCGAACACGATTCCGGGACGACCAAACAAAGCAATGTACAATGAAGAGGAGGATACAAAATTCTTGTAGCCTAATAAGGATCAAAAAGAGAATCTTATAACTTCTTGAGAGTCTTTTACTTCGTATAATCATCCTCTTTCAGTATCTAAGTATCTTCTTTTAGCTCTTAACCCGAGCTATACCAACCAAAAATGTTACCTAGCTGTTAATATTCACATCTGTTTTGACAACTCTTAAAATCGGTTTGACAATCTATTTGGATATTCACATCTTATCTCCAGGTTTTCGTTTACATCGTCTCTTTTAGTTAGTTGTGTCATCTTAAGCGATAGTAGTAGATAAATTTAAGTATAGTAATGTAAATGTATGCATGAGCAAAGTGCTAGGTTGGGGAATAGTGTATTGTTAACGGTTGTCGCGATAGTTATATAAAAGAAATCACATTTTTTTAAATAATCTTTGCTTTTATAATTCATTCATATTTTTCATTTCCAAAAGAAATTGATAAGGTCAGTGATCTAATCTCATGTCACTAGATATCTCTGTGTTGGTTCCAAATTTCTATATAAGAAGTAAAAAGTGGTCTAAATCCACCAAGTAGTTGAAAAGAAAATAACAGGACCGAGTTTTTCCATCCAATTTCCTCCATGTAGAAAACTTTTCTCTTTTGAACAATTCTTCTGTGTAGTGAAAATGGAGGGAGAGGATTTTTGGGAAGCATGAAATGCTTTTTTTCTTTCTTTAACAAATGTTGAATAAAGAAACTTTTGGAGATAGAAAAATATTAAAAACCGTTGTGGGCCTTCCACTAACATTATTCCAAAGTTATAAAAATATATATGTCCCAAGATTTTTATTTCCTCTTGTCCAATCAAAATATGCATATCAACACATGACTCTCTCTTATTCGTGGAATCTAATTATTCCCTTTCAAAAATTGAATAGCTAAAAAAAGGATGAAACAAAAGCTCCTTTTCGCTATAATTAAATCATCTTTCTTCCTCTCTGAATCAATGAAGACTGTACTTGAATTATAGATCCCTACATTCTTCTATAACGAATAACTTAACATCTATCTTTTACACATACGTACTATTATTATAACAGAAGACAAAAAATTACTCCTCTTGATATTCTTTGAAATATGTTTGGATTAATCGTCTGAGAAGAAAATTACATGTCAAATCTCAATAGCTCTTATATATATATGCATGATTTTTCAACTACACATTGTTTTGAAGATTAGTAAAAACTATAAATGGACAACACGTTTCACTTGTCCATATATTAATTTCTCTTCCACCCTCATTTAAAATGCGATGATTTTCTTATCAGCAATCAACGTATATATATGTTAAAAAATACGTCAACCAACATCTAATATAACTATTTCCATCTATATATCGATCTATCTAAAAGTCCCACCAAATGTAGGAGTCCAGAAATCTACTGTAGTATCGTGTGTCACTGGAAATGTGCTTGAAACTGGAACTAGGCATAAACCTCGACTTCTAAGATCCGGTTCTTCTGATGCTTCCATCTCTTTTGGATGATCATTCTGCATCATCATTGAAAACACGAAGCAAAAGAAGTAAGTTTCAAATTATATTCATTTGTTGCAAAAAGCGTCTCGTTAATTACATTGCTACTTAGAATAATGATTTGTCCGGTCTTGAAGTTGAAGCAACCATTAAATACATGAAAATATGTAGTAAAGAAAGCGAACGAGAGCCGTACGTTTATTCAAATGTATAATGATAACAGTATAATGGTCGATTTAATAATGTACATAAAACTATATGAAATTAAAAAACAGGCTACCTGTTGATGCTGTAAAGAAGCTCCACTTTTCATGTATGGGTTGCTCAGAGCCTGAATTATAATCATTTGCAGGTTCGTACATCAGTAGAGATCCAATAAACTACTAATATTGTAGCAAAAACAAAAGTTATAATCTACTATAAATTAAGGGATGGCCCTATAGAAACAAGTACTTACTGAAACTTGTTGGTGTAAGAACTTAATGTATTCAATGGCTTCAGAGAGCACTGAGGCTGCATCAGTCTGACACCAAACCACATGAGATTCAGTAAAACAAAATCTAAGAGTTATATTTCATTCATCCATCCTTCGAAATAATAGACCTTACATAGTACTTATACATACATAAAGATATATATAATAATATATATATATATATGATATGTAATAATGACAGTAGACAAATATACTAATACACACTCATCATCTTTCTGAAAGCTAAAGCAAAATTTTGCAGACAAGGAGAGAGAGAGAGAGAGTACCTTTCCGAAAGGTGAAACCAATTGTTGGAGCGCAGCGATTCTGTCCCCCATTTTCTCTTTCCTCACCTAATTCAGCAAAAACAAAACACAAATTTTTTAAAATTAAGGTGATCGAAACTTAAGACATCTCGTGATCATACAAGAATTTTGGGGAAGAATAGATTGTTTTCTTCGTACAAAAAGAAAAAGAAGTACAACTTAGCAAGCCTACTTATTTTTGTGATTAGTATGGATTTGAGTTGGCTATCATAATGTCATGTTTTGGTGTGGAAATGATATACCCTAACTCTATCGTTTAAATTAGGGTTTTGTTTTGATTAATAAAAAGATTCGTTTTATTTGGCAAAACCATGGAAAGTTTTAGCTAAAATCCATTATAAAAATATCAATGTGCTTAAAGATGCTTTTATTAGAGCCCAAAAAAAGAAGCTTTTATTATTTTACTTTTTTGATTAAATCAATAAAGCAAAATACCTTGAAAGCGGGTGACGGAGACGCTGCTTCGCTCTTAGCCCTTTTTGCCGGCGCCGGCTGATCGCCACCGCCTCTCTTTACTTCGTTGCTACTAGTCTCTCGAATCTCCGATATACTCTGCCGCAAAACATTACATATAAAACGTCCGTATATATATATATATATATATTAACGAATACGTCCAGCTACAAATATTAAATATATATACCTTGGATTGTTCATCAAAACTCGGCGCGTGAAGCTGCGGCGGCTGCAACGCCGGGAAAAAGTTTGACGACGCGTCATGATGAGTAGGACCCGCGTTTCCCGCCGTCGCAGCAGGGTTCCAAAACGTTGCGTTGTTAGAGAATCTCAGAGGACTGTGTGGTTTCGGCGGCGAAGATCTTAAAAACCAAGTCGAAGGCAACGCCGACGCCATCTGATCGTAGTTTCCGGTGGATGATCCGAACTGAGAGTACCCGAGATTCGACTGCTGATTCCTCGACGGTTGTTGTTGGTCGGAAGAGCCGGGCAAATTAAAACCAGCTGCTTGATGATGTTGATACATAGCAGCGGAAGAGGAATTAGGAGTTGTCGTGGCGTACAAGGAATTGTCAACAGCGAAACCTTGACACGTCACTGTGCTACTGTCAGTACTTGAGCTCCCGTGAGGACTAAACTGATGATCTAAGAAAAAACCGCGGTTGCTGCTCGTCGTCAGATTCTGTGGTTTGAAATCGTTGTTGTTGTTATTGATCTGTGGATCACGCCACAAAGCTTGGTGGTGGTGGTGAGAGGAATCAGATTCTTGTAGCTGGTGGTAAGACGATGTTGATGACGTTGTGTTAGCGTTTGCGTTTGAGGTCGCATCTAAATTGAGATTCTCTTGAAGCATCACTCCAAAGCTTGTCTCCGCTTTACTATCTCCTCTTCTTTTGTTCCCCGCAAAGAAAAACAAAAACAAAGACACAATTATAAATTTTAACACATAAATCTTATAAAAAAGGAAACAATTAGAGACTTACAAGAGAGATTGGTTCCATTGATCAACCGGAGATTGTGAAGAAAGCCCTAAACCAATCATCTGAAGGTGATGGTTATGATGATGTTGATCAGTAGATAAAGAATGATCATGATGATGATGAAGCTTATCTTGAAAAACACCAGATTCAATTGAGCTTGCTCTCATGGAAGATGAAGTAGATGAAGCAGAAGAAGAAGAAGATACTTTCCACCAGCTTCCTGAGTTGATGAAATCATGATCTCCCATGGTTTTTTTTCTTTTTCTTCACTATGTATGTATATATATGTGTGTTGGTGAAATCGATGATGGATCTTAATTTGTTGTGTCTTCTCAGATTGTGCTTCACATGAAATGATGAGGATCCACACGAGAGAGATACTTATAGTTATAAATATTTATCAATTATATATTGGATATTTCTTTTTTTTCTGGTAGGGTTTTCGTTAACTATTTATGAAGACATCCGATTAATGTTTGGTTGACATTTTTTTTCAGGTGGCTCTCGCTGACTCTTCTGCACACGTCACTCCCAACTTCTTTTTTTCTCCCAAAATATTGTTTATTTTTCCATTGGTTACAGTTCAAAGAATATTAGTATTTCATATTTCTCCTATACTAATTTGCTTCATTAAATATGTTTTTGGGTAAAGTTGCCTTGTGACTATTGTAGAAAACATTCTAACTCACCACAAAAGATCCTTCATAAATAGTATTACATGCACTACGTTTGAAACAGAATTTTTTTTCACCCGTGACATGCTAGATCATAGCACATAATTTTCCTTACACGACATTTGATTTTTAGCATAATTGCATCTCCTAATATGCAATTCATATTTTCTGAGAATATAACAACTTAGTAGTATAAAACAACACGAAATGTTTGGTCAACAGTAAGAAGTAAAACACTAACTAATGAGGAAATACAAATTGACTTGATGGATAAAAATGGAAGAAATGACGTTGAAATGGAATTTGACTTATTTTAAGCGAGAAAGAGAGAGACCAAGGATGGACTAGAAGGAGCGCGTCACAGTCACGGTCACAGTCAGAGTCACAGACCACTAAGATATTTTTTCTTTTCCTTTTTTTATAATATTTGGCCTTTAAGCTTTGGCAATGACCTTCACCGTTATTTTTTTCCGGTCATCTTAAGTCAACGAGTGGGCTCCACGTGGCGTGCGCGCGTGCTTTATCATCTGGACCCCACTTGTTCCGTCTCAGAGTCAGAGCCCGAATGTGACACTTCTTCTTTTTTTCGGCATCTTTTTTTCTTAATGTTATTAACAAATTGTAATTTTCCCCATTTTGATTTTTTTTTTTAGTAAATATGACAAAGTATTACAAATCAGATTTTACAATCTTTGTTTTTTCAGCCGTCGTCTCCCTAATCATTTGCATTTTGCCTAACTTTGGTCTCTATACGCACCTTCTGATGTCGAATTCTCAACCAGCCCGACAGAAAAAAAAAGTCACATAAATATTAGACTTTACTGTGAAAATCTTGCATTAGTATTTGGATTATAGTAAAACAGTGTCGAAATTATCACTATATATTACATACTTTCTCTTAGAACCGCTAGAAATTAGTATATTTATAATCTGCAATTTGCATGATCCTGTTCTTATCTAAAACGATACATTCTTATATAATCATATTTAAAATCAAGTACTTTTTTGTCGACACTGAGATCCGTTCAAGTTATTTGCAAAGGGAATTGTTTTATTTCTATAATAAAGTGTCAGGTTTTCATTCCTTCAGATAACACTATTTTGAAATTAGTTTACTTACTAACAATAGTGTATTAGTTATTACTTATTACAATATGATTGCCGTTGGAGAAAATTTTAAAAGAGCTCCACGGTTGTATTCCATTGAGTTGGTGATTTTCTAATACGAAGGAAGATAATAACATAAACTTGGATAAATGTTTCGCTAGTAAAACTTAATTACATGCAAAATGACGAAAGTTGTAGCAAATCTATCATGGATAAAACAACATGATACATATAATTAATGATCGACCAAATTTGCAGCACTCATGAAAGTTGAACTCATGATTATTTGAATTGACGGTATTTCTCTAGATAAACTCTTTTTGATATACACATATATGAATCTGCTCCAAGTCAAATAGTCCAAAATCCAAATGCATTGTTGACAACATTGTTCACTCATTGACTACTGCACTACAAAACTAGTGATACACTGCGTAAGTTGAAAAACGATAAACGACAATATGGAATAAACTTGTTTCCGAATTGTCTTTAATGTTGATACCAGGTTGTGTCATACGACATGACACCTATCTAGTTTTCGCCGTCCAAAACTTTGTAGCAAAATAGATCGTTGTTGTCGCATTTTAATTTGTCGTTCTATCAAGGCAACAACGTACGTAGGATCACTCCTCTGTGTGTTTCTGAGTAAATGGAAACCTTTTAAAATTTGTATGCATTTTTACATTTTACGGAGGATGCTAGATTGAGGTCAAGAAATGACGTCATAATGACGTAAACATGTGGTGTGATGAAAAAAGACAAAAGAACAAGAAAAGACAGAGAAGAAGATGAACATGTAAATTGTACAGTGAGGGTTTGAGAAAGCAAAGAAAAAGCTGAGAGAAAGAGACTGTCGCCGAGACAAACCCACACGGCCTCTCTCATGGCCTTCCATCAACCTATATTCCTTTTTTTGCTATATAAATCGTAGAATTTTAGTCTTCGATCCTTCAATATTTTCAAACGGTAATCAAACCTCAATCTAGTTCTAAACACACAGTGATTATTATTTTATTTTTATTTTTCGTATATGGATTTAGCGAACGATGTCTATCGTTTAAGCTGCACAAACTAACAGCATGCACTATTATTCAAATTGACCTATAACTAATTAACTATATATATAGTTTGTTTTACTTTCTTATTGCTATATCAAGCATTTTTCTATGTGATACATGTCATTTTTAAGAATTTGTGTTCCATCCCCACGATTATATTTTTATTAATATAAACTAACATTTTCATTAAATAAACAAAGATAAAGTTCATGCATGTTATCATATAAAAATACAGCCGATTATTTAAAAGGTAAAAGTTATTATAAGATAATGGTAAAAGGCTATATAGTCCAAAAATTATCATCATCATCTATCCATCGATCAAACGATATACTTGATTAGATCTCGACCGTCATAATCCTTTTGGTTTGTAAAATATTTGTGTACACACACACATACACTCTCTTATGCTCTCGACTGTTCTTGTCGCCTCACTTTGACGTTTATCTCACAATTCTTCTTTATAAGTCAACCTCTCAGTGATTTTATCGTTTACACGTTCTGTGTTTTTCTATATTATTTTATTCCTTTTTTTCTTTTTTTGGTAAATTGTGAAGATTTTTTTTTTTATTATTCCTTTGACTTTGGTTATACGTTAGTTCTAGAAATATAATTTGATATGGAGTATTTTTCTTGAAAAGAATTTATATGCATTAATTCATAATTATATAAATATATATAATGAGATGCATATATCACGTAAGTTAATTAGAGTGCACCATGATGTATTATTCCAAGTAAACTAAACATTGAAAAATGAACATACATCACATTCGAATTTGTGTACTAAACTTTATATTTATCCCTATTATCCAATGTCTATTTTTAACATATATAATTAATTTAACTGCATTGTATATATATATATGTGCGTGCGTGTGTGTGTGTGTGTGAATATTATAATCTGCGTATAGACTAAAAGGTATTATAATTTGAATGTTTAATGTTTTATCAAAGTAAAATAAAATGAGTAAACTCGTATAACTTGTAGGTTTTGACACGAAGAACGGAAGAAGCAAAGTCGCACCTTTCATATTGGCGTCAACGGTTATATGCTTACGTTCATTGTTAAATCAAAGAAAAAACTTACATCTTTGCTTTCACCAATTATAGTTTCTCCCATCTCCATGATTTCGCCATATACATGTATATAGCCATGTGCCCACGTATCACAGATACATAACACATAGCCACCCATATATAAACTTTTCTTAAGGTATCAAATCACAGACTAACGAGAAACAAGTAGCCATAAAATGGAATTCTCTCAGGTCATTTATCATATGTATGTTAGTATTAATTTTTCATTAAATTTTTCCTATTCAACAAATTTCGTAGTAAGTACATGTACGAGGGAATAATTCTTTTTTGCTGATGCATATGTACATATTAAAGCATATATACATGCATGTATAGTATAAGCCGCCCATAAGCACTAAGACGAAACAAGAAGAAAACTCATAAAAAAAGAGCTCAAGAAAATAGAAACAGCTAAGACTTCCACTTGAGCAGATCAAATGGAATTGTTGTCTGTCTTAATATGTCTTATATAAGCCATAACGTGACAAAACCCCTTCTTTCAAATTAATTAATTCTTCCAACCTACCTTAAGATATGAAATATATTAGTTAATTACAAATTAATTATAATCTTGCGCACTTGATTCGTCGATTGCTTCATTGTTATTTTTGTTTTGTTTTTCCTTTCTTTCAATCATATCTCCGCCGTACTTGCTTATTCTAGTAGCATATCTTCCCCACGCAAATGTTATGATTAATTGATTATTATGTTATAAATACATTATTATACATTTATCATGTGTACAAAATTAATAATATGTAGAAAGTTATGTTTAGGTCAGCTAGTGGTAGAGTTCATATCTAGATTGATGACTACTCGTTCTACCTTTGGATAATTCAGTTTTGATTAGTTCTGATTTGTAGGTAGATATATTTTTAAAAAGTGTTTTCTCTTATTTTCATGATTCCTTGTTCTAAAGGAAAGCGTAACAATCTGACAATCTAACCATTAACATAACCATTCTTCTCTGTTATTTTCAAATCTAAACTAGTTGAACCCTAATTTATATATGTCCCGGCCGGCTTGGCCATTGTTCAAATTTCTGTTTCACTTTTGTTTAAAAATAATATTTTCAAGAGTTCTGAAACATTATATACTTATGTTAGATAGTCAAACATATACTTAAATGTTGAAAAAAAAAACAGTCATAACTGTAACACTGATCAGAAGTATTATGAATTTATTAATAGCGTCATTCGTTTAAATAACATCTCAGTGGATTAAATATCTTATGAAAAAAAAAATTAAGGGGAAAATCACATATTAAACCATGAAAGTGGCACCTACTGAAACTTTAAACCTTGACACTTTCATGGTTTAATATGTGATTTTCCCAATAATTAAGTGCCAAAATTAATAATCGAGCTGATAATTTATCAATAAACCGTAATGTATTCATCGTCACCAACTTTCCCACCCGTCATAGCCCCCACATACATGTAGACCAAATTATAATCCTTCTTTATAGAGCTCATTAATCGGTTTCTGTTTTTTTAATTAGTATAATATAGGGGTTGACATATCTACAGAAACTTTTCACCCCATCGTATATAATTTAAATATTTAATCATGACTAATACGAATTAAATCAAAATACACTTGGTTCAGTTGCTTAATTTTGTATGGAGTATGTGATATTAGATGAGATATTTACTGTCCATGATGTGTTATGTAGTTTAATTTGACATAACATCCACAATTTTAACTTTTGTGTGTGTAGATATGGGTTGTTTTATCTACTATTTTTAAGAAGTAGCATATAAATTCATTTATTTCTCTTACAAAATAAGAAGAAAGTATAACTTCTAAGTTCAACGGTCATCAGATTTGTAACAAAGTGGTTGTAGCTCGCTTATTACTCATGTAAATTAAAACCAGTTATCACTCAGTTATTTGACAATACAGTATCAAGTTTTTTTGTCATGAAGTTGTCACTTGTCATGACTCATAAATAAATTAATTTGAGTTCTTCTCCGAAAGTTCGGGTAAATAAAGTGTGTCAATGAATTATCTCTGTGGAAAAATGAAATTAAAGTGGTTTTTGAAAAATCACAGCATGACAGGTTACAGCTTATAAGTCAACAAAGAAATAAATATGTAAAAACATATCCTTTTTAGGAGTTGACATATTAATTTTGTAATTTACTTATTTTCACTAGTGCTTAAAAAAATATCTTTCAAGCATTAATCATCTTATGGATAAAAATGACAATATAAAACTATCATAGAAGTCATGATGGACAACTACAAGGGACAAACACCTCTCTCCGAACATTCTCCCGACCTTTAATATTTGGGCTCACTTCTTATTCAAATCACTATTTATAAAAAGGTAGATAGGTACCAATCTTGAATTGATCGTTCTAAACCATATATTGTAATTGTATTAGTTTTGATAAATTGTTCAAAATAGCTAGCATATAGTATATAATAAATTGGGTCTTATACATCGTGTACCAATATTAGTTACTTTTTCGAAAGTCGCTGAGCTTAATATTCATCTATACACTTCGAAATATTCATCTAGTGAAATTGTTATACAGTTTTCATTAGCAGCAAAAAATGGTTGGATGCTAACAATTGTTATAAAAACAAATATTGTATACGTTAGTCGTTGGACGATATCGATAAGCCAACCTTATTTTCTTCTGATAAACGATAAGCCAACTTCTATCATCTAAACGTAAATACTAGACTATTTAACATACAAATATTTAAGTGGTAAGAAAACAAAGCATAAATAGTACTTCTAATACGAAAAGTACGAGGAGAATCGTCAATATATATGTGGACCGTTGATTAATAGCATAAGATATATCCAAGTTGTTATGAGATAGCAATACCTCATTTTTGCATCATACAATATATATATTGACAAAAAGACATACTCTAGTTAAAGAAATAAAGGAAAAATAGTTGATGATAACAAGACGAAGAGAGCAAATAATGGAGCGACTTTTTGTTCTGCTTTTCTCGATTTGTCATGATTGATTATATTCTTGAGACTAAGCTTACTTCTTGTACTCAATTGAATAATCTTAAAGAGAAAGTAAAGTTGTCTTACTTAACATTAATTATTGGACTTTGTGCATTTAATTATTACATAATGATTAACCTATAAATTATAAAAGTATATAGTTTGCCTACGCTTACAGAGAGATATTTAGCTCTTTGTACCAAGAATAGTTTTATACTTTTGTCTACTTTGTTACTATTAGACTTCGAATGCTTGCAACATGATAAACGATGTTGTTAGTGAGACCGATACAAAGCCAAATGATGTTGTCGGTAAAAACTAAATTGGTGCAAATTTTGAAACATATTAACTAAACTTACTATTAATCGTTCAAATGGAATTTATATTTACAAGTTTATTCCATACACAAAAGTTTTCAATATTTGGAAGAGAAATGTGAACTTCGTACGCAATATTAATATGATAAAAAAACGTATATTCATTGATCTCGAAGTTGATTAAGCTATTTAAAAAGCTTTCTTGTCCTTGTACATATGGAAGAGTGTGGTAAGAAGATACAAAGAGAACTTGTAAAAGGTTCAAGACTCGATTTGATCAAGTTTCCTAGTGGACCTGGCGGCGATGCAAATGTTCCTTATTAAAGCTGGAACTCGTAAATCAGAGATAGTGAGGTCGAAACAGAACAAAAGCTTGAATCTTTCTCAAAGTTTTTCAAGTTCAAAGTCAAATTTAATCTCAACAAGTAACAATACAAGAAAACTAAGTGCTAACAAAGTACTATGTGAATTCGTAATAATACATATCATGAAACAATATCATAGTGATGATGATGCTAAACATCCTGATGGTATATTCTGTTAAAGCCTTACACACTTGAAAATCCCAAGTACTGTTCAACGACTAACTTATTATTGGTCTTCTTCTCTCATCTTCTTTCTTTGTGAAGGGATCAAAAGACTGCAGACACTCTTTTGCTGTGGTAAAGTTACACTCTTTTACACTTCAGTTATCGATATACAAAACATCGTCTTTCGATAAGTTCATCTTCCCATTCTTCCTCCGGCCTTTCCTTTGAGCTCCATCTGATTCTCCTCTCTGTAAAAAAACCTCCCCAGTTAACCATTTTCCAGTAAAGCGTGGAAAGAGCAAGAAAACCGAGCAGGTGTTAAAGAGGAGACAAACCTTTCTCAAGACAAATGAGAGGTATAGATATGCAGCTTCCCATTCATCAGCTGATAATGTGCCTGAAAACAAAACTCAGATCCATTTTAGTATTGTTTCTAACACAAAAGAAGCGAGAATGGAACAAAACGACTCTTACTTTGATCATGGTTACCATCACCCAAAGCACCAAGCCTTCTCATGAGTTCTACAAACTCTGGCTTTTTCATATACTCATGGACAAACTCGTGTGAGTTCTTCACAAATACCAACTCTAAATCATACTGTTTCAAAAGATCATGGGACAATGTCACATGCTGATACATGAAGGAAAAAACTTTTTTTTTCAGGCTAAGCCCATGAAGATGAAAATGATTACCTCTTCGGCTAAAGACTTGAAGACGTTAAAGGGAACAATCCATTCAGGACAATCAACAGCATCCTACCAATAAAGTTCTGAATTAGCTTCTTTTATAATGCTTAAGTATCTGCAGTAGACTACTAAGTGAATAACTCAAGAAAATTGAAGTACCTCAAGATGAAATACGTATTCGATACCAAAGGGGCTGCTAGATTTGAACTTCTGATTTCATACAATAAGATTCATTATCAGAATCAGGAAAGAGAAAACTGTAAGCTAAATGACCATTAAGAGAAAGCTATAAGGAATTTGGTACTGAGGTAACAAAAGAAGTTTCACCTTTTGGGAGTGTTCTTCACCAAAACGAATCCAGTATACACTATTACCAATCTCCAAACCTTCAGCTGCGTATTAAGCATACACAAAGAAACCAGTTTAGTTTATAAGATCAAAGATCAAATTCTAAACAAAGAAGGAAAAGAAATCTTAGAACCTTCTCTGAGTTTTTTGATAATAACATTGGCATCTGGCATTGTTCCGATAAAGACGCCTCCAGGACGAAGTAAAGCTGAAACATTTGCTAAAGCTCGCCGTGCACGTGCCTCAGTTGTCCATGAGTAATGCATAGCAAACTACAATTAAACCAACGACTTGGTAATATTAGACTCTATAACTACACCACTGACCTCATTTCACCAAATGCTACTCGCATAAAACAAACTAAAAAAAAAAAAGAGGTGACAGAAACATATAAAACCTGGCAACTGCAGATATCAAAAGGAGCATCCTCTTCAAGAATCTTGTCTAGCTCTACCTGAAAGCATTAAAAATGCATCTATCAGGGAAATCTTCATTCCATTGTTGCATCAGATAACATCTTGTCAAGAATTTGGCTTTTAAACGAGAATCCTAAACACGCTTTGATCATTAATACCTCAAAACAATCCCCACATAGTAAACGGGATGGAAAACTGAACTTTTTACGGCGTTGATGATGGTCTGCGTCACCATTATAACGCGTTCGACAATCTTCAATCTGTCATTAAGTCATACAGAGAAGCATTTCTCAGGTATATATATATACAAAAAGATGCAAATAAAGAAGAAGAAGATACAACATGTTACTGAACCAGTCAACTTACCGACCCTTCAGCTATATCGATTCCAACATAGTACCCGATCCTCGCCTTATCCCACTTTATCAAATCACCACCCTGCCAGATCCAAAACCAAATACAAGAACCTTCCCACATGAACAAAAAGATATTCAACTTGTTTTTGAGAAGCATGAACAAAAAGATTGTTCCAAGACAAGAACCTTCCCACAGGCAAGATCAAGAACAGCATCGTCAGGACGAGCATAAAGCTGGATCAACACACTTTTAATCTGTATGTATGTAAGAACAAGTTGAATATCATAGATTCATAATACAACAAGTTTCCCTGTAGAGAGAAGATGTAAATGAGTTAAAACAAACCCAGTTGTTAAGTTTCTTCAAATGAATGATGGGACTAGCTTCTCGCTCTTCCAACGTTTGGTTTGTTCTCCTACTGTAATGATCAGCTACCTTCCTCGCGAAATTCTTTGTGCTCTCATCTTCCAGAAACTGAGAATCACCTGTTGTCAAACCAAAACCAAAACAAAAGAATCTGACTTTAAGCTTTACAATCACACTCAATTTGGTAACACAATTGCATAAATAAAGTAACTTTAAGCAATCAAAATTATATAAATTCAAGTAGAAATCAAACAAGTGTGGTCGAAACTATAAAGAACGAAACTTTTTGCAAAGGGCATAACGAAAGAAGTTTCAGGGCCAACGAAGAAAAAGAACATCCTTTTGGAGCTCAAGTCGAATCGACAGATAACGAAGAACAGAGATAAGTAGAGAGGAAGGAAACCTTCGGGATTTGATTTGAATCTGGAGGAAGGAGGAGGAGCAGAGCTGGAGGGAGATTCGGAGTGTCCTCGTTTCATAATCTTACGAATGTCTAATTATAGAGCAGCTGCTCTCCAATGATAAGAAACCCAAAAAAAAGAAGAAAAGAGAAAGATGGAGTTGGGATGGGATTATCTTAATTCTTCTTCACCATCCGATTCAAAAATTTTGGTTCTTTGGGGAAGCAAAATTGGTTAATTCTGTTGTCGTACACTCGGCTCTCGGTTCATAGAAAACCCCCAAATTCTGTTTACTTGCTTGCGGCTGCGGCTTGTTTCATGGCGCTCTGATTTCTGAATCTGATGCAATAAAATGTTTGGGCCACACAAAACAAAACAAACAAAAAAATTGTAAAAGTAAAAAAGTCCATTTTGTCGATTCCACTGGGGATCGAACCCAGAATCTCTGGTTTCGTAGACCAGCGCCTTATCCATTGGGCCATGGAACCAGATGTCGATTCTTCAGTAACTATATACTTGATCAAATCATTAAAAAGTACATCAGAAAAAGAAGTAATGACAAATTGGCAATGAGATCGTTTACTATGAGTTACAAAAAGTGTAAATTGCAGAGTTAATATTATGCGCTAGAAACAGTAAATTTATGTGGTGAATTTGCTTTAGAAATATGAGTTACTATTCTTGTCAAAACAACTAACCAGTAACAGCAAGTATTAAATCCAAGAAAACAGCAGATTTTTTCATGTTTTTGCAAAACCATGAACATGCAAAAACAAATGTATGTGGTCACAAAATCAACATTGATTATGTTAAAACGTTCACCATTCCAAAACCCAAAGACCCTGGATGCAAAATCACAACACAAGAAACAAACGTTTAAAGCAGAAAACAAGACTAAAACAACAACAACAACTCCACAATTTCTCATCTCTAAATTCTGTGTCTCCTTAATTGTCTTTTGTGTAATAGATTCTAAAAATCTTTCTTCTTCAACACACTACTTCTCTTCTTCTTCCTCTGTTACTCTCAGCTTCGTGCATCCCAAACATCGTATCATACAACGGCTTGTTCAACGTCTCCGGCAAGTAAAACGCAAGCCCACCTCCAACTAACCCGCAAACCGCAAACACACCAAACGGTAACTCCTCACCTAAAACCACCACAAACGGCGCAAGAATCGCTCCCATCTGAGACATCTGAGTCGCGCACCCCAACGCCGCGTTCCTCACCACCGTCGGAAACAGCTCCGCCACATAAATGAACAGAAGGTTGTACGTTCCCGCCATTCCAAATATCCCTAAAACCCCTGAAACCATCCTCACCGTCTTCCACGGACCAACCCCACCTACAACGAATCCAACGAGACAGAAAACGCAACTAAACCACTGCGTCCCTATCGTCAACGGCTTCCTCCCGTACTTGTCTAACAAAACCGCCGTTATCCCGAACGCCGGCATCTCCGCCACCGCGTTGAGGAGGACGTTGAGGTAGAGGTTTGTCTTGAGGTTGACTACGTTGAGACTAAGCCCATAGTATACTATAGCGACGGTGAAACTTATGGAGACGGTTAAGAGAAGTCGGATCCGCGTGAGAGGCGACTGGAAAACGTCTTTGAGCGATCCTTCAGCCGGAGTAACATTCCTCTCGCCGTTGTTATCTCCTGCCTCTGCTTCTTCCTCGTCGTCTAGAGCAAGAGTGACTCCGGCAGGAATGTGACGTCCGTTCGTTTTAGCGATTGCATGCATCAGCTTCATGGCCTCGTCTACTTTCCCTTTCACGAGGTACCATCTCGGAGACTCGGAGATGAAAGGGATAACGACGAGCAAGAACAAGAGAGACGGTAACGAGGATACGATGAAAAGCTCTCTCCACGGCCTGAAAACGTAAGCAATGCCGGAGAGAAGAGCGATCCCGCTGGAGAAGAAGTAGAATGTTGACATTCCGGCTACACCGCGTTTGCTTGGTCCTATGGGCTCGGTGGCTAGGACAAACGCGCATAGACCTACACCGCCGGTGCTGAAACCGGTCAAGAATCGGAGAGCCACGTAAGTCCAGTAGTTTGGAGAGAAAGCGGTCGCGATCCCAAAGATTGCGTTGATGATGCATACGACTGTTAATGAGCCTTTTCTTCCTAGCTTCGAGTCCGAGAGATGTCCAAATACTCCAGCACCTGAACATAGTTGAGTCAATAAATTTTCATTAGGATTTAGCCACTTAGGACATGTTTGTAACAAGAAAATGTGATCACAACACAAAAGTAAATAATGTGTATGCGTTAAAAAAAATATATATATATTTAGGTTAAAGACTTAATCAGAGATTTGATAGTTAATATGTATAGGGAACATGACGCATGTGTGGTCTACAAAAGTGAAGTGCTTTTTGAGATAGGTTGGACTAATGTTTCGCAATCTTTTTTGGCTTGGTGTGAAAATGAGAAGTTCAAATTCAGTTGAAGTTGACGTCATTCATGGCAGTTGCATGTAAATAAATTGACTTGTATTCAAATGTAATTGGATATTCCTTTGGATATCCGACTGATTTTATGATATTATGTAGCCGATTTTAGAGCCAAACTGTCTCTTTTCAATACTAATCTAAACATAAAGCCAAGAAAAACAAAACAATAAGGCAACAACTTTTGATTTTTATTTCGATATTAAGCCAATATTACCGACGAGGTAATATTATAATGATGATCGTTTTGTTTGGTTGTGCAACTACGTAAGCGTTGAATGATGTCATTTTTATGTAGACTTGTAGTGATAGGTTTTTGCGTGAACGTGAATGTTGAATATTATATATAATGATAGGTTTTGGGGTCTTTTGTTTCAAATGTGAACGTGAATGTTGCAATCATCATTATTATAAATGTTAAAATCAAACAAACACGAAAGAACACTGTCTTAATCAAGACCAAAATTAGTAGAGACAAAATTGAACTTCGGAAATCTTCCAAAATTGGGATACCAAATGAACTTTCATATAATTTTTTAAAGAACCAGATATTGTTTTCCCCAATGATAATGTATAATTCCTTTTGATTAAAAAACTTTCCAGGCAGGCATACACCACTCGACAATATACATACTTGGGTGGTCTATCTAGTTAGATCAGTTCAACGAAATCATTCTTGCACTAGCAGTATATAAAATATATTACGACTTTTAGACCAAAAAGCCATCGAGATAATATATCATGTGAGTATGTGATCAAACTACATCATTTGTCAGTCACACGTATATCAAATACAATTCACTTTTTTGTCACTATACTGTTGTTTATTTTGCCACCTTGCATATGAATGAATTTCTTTTGCGGCAATCAAATTCATTTTGTCTTTGTGGGTCATTTTTTGGGGTGTAAATTTTGGGTCAATTTGGACCGCCGATTAACGTGTTGGTGTATATAGGCATTATCATCCAATTTTGTAAAATATACAAAAATTGGGAGAGATATATCTTTACACACTCTATAATGTTATTTTCCAAATTTGGATAAATCATAAGAGGGTCATGTGAAGTTGTGAACGGGGCACGTGGTACGATTTTCCGAAGGATCCAGATTCCTCCGACCAACGTGCCCATCGAAGTGTTTTAAAGTTTAAACTAATTTTGTTGGTCGATCGAAATTATGAGCTAATGCACAACTAACAACAACTTATAAGTTATAACTAATCAGATAACCTCGAAAAGAGCTACAAATCCGCTTTTTTAAGAAGTCTTCATATTAATCCATTTTATACACCCTCAAGATGTATTAACAGATTCTTTTCCTAAGAAAACAACTTTGTTGATACTTGGATATTCTTCTTTGTTAGACTAAATTTTAATAGGAAAACAAAATTATTCAACGTGGAATAAATTTTAAAGGCAACAGCTGTTATTTTCCATTTTTGTAATTTTCCTTAAAAAAAAACAAAAACAAAATTCAAGAAACGGTAAGAAAAATTACCGATCATACATCCGGCGAAGAAGATAGCTTGAACAAGGCCAACTTTGTACTTCTCGCCGCAAATGAGTCCCCACTCCGACACCGTGGAGCTTCCTTTACCCTCCGTCCATTCCCAAGAACCCGGATCCATACCACAAGTCGAAGACCCGACCTGACAACCAGACCCGACGCACCTCCAAGCGGGTTCTTGATCGGCGAATATCATCACCATCGTGTGGAACGCCTCTAGCGCCCAGGCCAGACACGTCAGCACGAAGTGCTTCATCTGCCACCTCCCAAACTCGCCACAGTATCTCTGTAGCATCTCGTCTATGCACAACCTCTCCTCTCCCTCCGATTCTTTCTTCCCCGGGCTTTTCAGCAGCGGTTGCCGGACATCGCTGCCGTTCCTCTCCATTTTTCCGATTTGGGATTTTTAGAATATTTTACAGTCTTCTTGGTTTGTTTTTTATTTTGTTTTGGAGGCGTTGATTACTTGATTTGGTTGATTCTAAAGAAGGAGATGGCTTCTTTGTCGTATTTATATTAATGGGGTGTGTGAATATCTCATTTTGCCGGCTGTTATCGAAAAACAAACTTTTGTTCCTTTTTTATAATTTTTATATTATCATTATTAACTACATTCTTTTATTTTGTTTTAACATGTATATATCAAGTACATAGTTTAAAATTAAACTTTATCCTAATTAAATAATACTCTTGAAATAACACGATATTTATTTGTATTTGTATTAGTCTACTATATAACAAATGATGTGATTTATCTAGACTAAACTTCTGCGATTGATTAGTTTTTCTTGTGAACCGAAGTGTCATAAACCAATGGCATAAAACACAATGCATTTATCAAATTCGGCATGTAGAAGGGACAAACGTTGGTCAATTATCTAAAGCGTAACCGTAGCTAACATGATTTATATGTGATTTTTATAATATGCCATGCTAATTTGATGAATTCAGCGATACATATATAGAAAAAGATGTGTTGAAAATGATATCATATAGAAAAGGTACAATAATGTCGCGCATATTACATGGCAATGTGGCATTTTATTCGTGACAAATAAATTTAATGGCTAATGAAGTTGTTCAAGAGTATGTGTTTGGTAGCAACAATTTTGCTGCCTTACACTTGGGAGTTTTTTTGTTTGTTTATATATATATATATTAATTCAACTCGGAAATGGGCATCAGCCGATTACACTTTCTAACAATCGGACAAAAACACGGTAAAGAAAACAGATCCAAATCGCAATACTAAAATAGACGCATTTCTAACGGTATGAAGAAAAATAACAATAAATCCAATAAAAAAAGTCCAAGAGATACAATGGACCAGGGTAGACTATGAACCAGTGGCAGATGTAGATAAGAACAGAAGGGGCAGTTGCCCCCATGGATTTTTAAAATTAGTTAAAATTAGTGTAGTTTATGTGTAAATTTTGATGCTGCCCCCTTGTTAATTTTATTTTATAAGGTCATTATGCATGTTTGCCCCGAGTGATATCAGTTTCTAGATCCGCCCCTACTATGAACAATCATCTTATGAGCCTTTGGAGAGTCATCTCTATATCTCACTCTCCTCTCTTTAGATTTCTATTTTATTGTAGAGTTCCTTTTTGTTTTTCCAATCAATTTTCTTTAGACTATATGATCTCAAATTCATATCCTTGTAATATAATTTCTTGCATATGAATTGAAAATATTTTACAAATACAAATATTGATCTCTCTAAACAACTCCTACTCCTAGTATTGTCATTTCTAATCATTTTTCTAGACTTTTAATATTTTTGTTGTCGTGACAAAAAAATTGAAACCAGTTTTGCTGTATAACTCAAGTCAAGCTATTTATTTATACAACAAAAACCACCAAAACTGAACCCAACCCTAACTATACTTGTTAAGTACAGCATTATCAGAGTATTATTTTTTAACGTTGTTAAATTCAATTTGATTGACTAAAATATCACTATTCACTAATCACTTTACTAAAACTCACCGAATGGGTACTTCGTTCATTCCAACGTGTTATGTGTATCTTATGAATCTCGATATATAACCGTTGATCTTAATTCAGATCCAACGGTGCTCGTGTCGATCCGCGTGATTGTTTCCTATTGGAAGAGAATCACCAAACCGTCTCCAATCCAATATATATATATCCCGAGAACATGTTGAGTCAACTGTATAATTTCCTTCGATTTGCTTCCCTCTTAATTAATTTTCCCTCCTTTCGCTTTGAATTTTTTCAACTTCAAATCACAAAAAATGGCAGGTCGTGGAAAAACTCTTGGATCCGGCGTCGCTAAGAAGTCGACTTCGAGGAGCAGCAAAGCCGGTCTCCAGTTCCCCGTCGGTCGTATCGCCAGATTTCTGAAGAACGGCAAATACGCCACCCGCGTTGGTGCCGGAGCTCCGGTCTACTTAGCCGCCGTCCTCGAATACCTCGCCGCCGAGGTAATTATTACCCCTTCCCTTCTTCATCCTAATCTCTCGATCCGGTAGATTAAAATTTCCGTTAAACCCCTGATTTTGACCGGTTTGTTAATTTTGGGAAATTGGATCTGTGTAGGTTCTGGAATTGGCCGGAAACGCAGCGAGAGACAACAAGAAGACCAGAATCGTGCCACGTCACATTCAATTGGCGGTGAGAAACGACGAGGAACTGAGCAAGCTGCTCGGTGATGTGACCATTGCTAACGGTGGCGTCATGCCCAACATTCACAGCCTTCTTCTTCCTAAGAAGGCCGGTGCTGCCTCCAAGCCTTCCGCTGATGACGATTAGAGATTCTCACTCTCGTGTTCTCGTTCGAAGCTAATTTAATGTGTAGCATAGATTTTAAATTAGGTCTTTGCTATGGTTTTCTGTTTTCCTTAATTAGACTACGTTGTAGAGTCCTTGAGATCTTAATTAATGGAATGTTATTATTTTGATTCTGAACCAACAAACAAAGTAATCAAACTACTTCTTCCCAGTGATATTTGAAACAAAATCCTTAAGAAATTTGGCTGATTTTGTGATTGGCGAATTCATAGCCATCAAGTTGTAGAGAACAAGCTCGACTTCTTCCATCGATGGGCGAGATTTGAATTGTGAGACCACTTTCAATGTGCCTTCTTCTTCTTCGACGAGAACGTTCCATCTCTCTCCGCTCACAACGCCATCTCTCACACACTTAAAGATGACTCCTTTCCTCTTGCTCAACACTCCTCTCACTTCTAAACCTGTGAAAGCGTAGATTACTTCGAAGGAACCGACGAATTCGTCGTCGAAGCTCTTCTCTTCCTCGAACAGCCATCTCGGATTGATCATCACCACAGGCTTCGTGGAAAACCCCTGCGTCGCCGTCCTCACGTATTCCAGCTGGGATCTCTCCGGGGCCATGAAAATTGCCACGTCGGCAGATCTCAGAGCTCTGTTGACGGAATCTGAAATTGGAGATATGGCGACGTGGTCGGTGTCGTCGGATCGGAAAGTGGTTACGGCGGTTTCGATGAAGGAAGGATCGGGCCAGAGGAAGAGGAGCTTGGCGTTTGAGCCTCTTCTGGAGATGGGCATGTCGTGGAAGATGGAGAAAGCGAGCTGAGAGAGAGAGGAAGGTGAATCGTCGTCGAGGATTGGGATTTCGAGGCGGAATCGAGGCTGTTTGAGCTTTTTGAGCTTTGGGGAAGCGAGCTTTGGGTTGTTGAGGGGTTTGGTGAGGCAGGAAGAGAGACAAGTCTTGGCTTGAAGAATGGCTTCTTCTTTGGAAACTGGAGGAGAGGAAGAAGAAGAAGGAAGAGCTAAACAGAGAGGAACGAAGAAGCGAGTAGTGGTGGTTTTGTGGTTGAAATGTGAATGTTTTGAGAGTGATCTGGAGAAATGAAGATGGAAAATTCTGGATTCATGAGGGTATGAGAAAGGGAGAGATGGATTTAGGGCGTTGAAGGTCTGTGAAGAATGGAGTTTGAAGAGCGTAGAAGAAGCCATGGCTGATGAGAGGAAGAAGAATAGAAGCAAAGGATAAGGTCATTCAAATCAGAAATTCGCACGTGCGAAGTTATGCTCGCACAGGTGATAATTAAAACAAAACCGATCGAGTCACAAGAGGAATTTTTGTTTCGGTTTGGGTCGGTTTATTAACCACCTCTGCCTTTTCTTACAAAGTAAAAAAAAGCAGAGGAAATTGGTTAAAACAGTTTAAAACTATGCTTGAGGATTGGTTTGAAACCATAAATGATTACATTATCATATAGGTGCAACATTGAGTAATCTTATTCAAAGAAGATGAAAGCAAAAAAGAAAAGTGTAAAACAGTCTAAATCATAATCTGGTTTTACTTAGACTAATTGCACAGGAGTTGGAACATAAGAGCTTACTAACCGGCAAAGTTGTATGTCTGTAGAGTTTGTGAGATACACACTTCTGAGAAAAGCTTTCTCTCCAATGATGCAGCAAGATTTAAACTTCGAGTAGGTTTCATAAAAAACCACAGCGACCTTCTTCTCCTCGTCAATAAAGAAATTCTCAACTTTAAACCGATCGAAGAGTAGCATTATTTCAAATTTCAAGAAGCAGCTCCACGACACCGCATCGGGCTCAATCTTACTCGTAACCCATATCTCAATCTTAAAGTCATTCCACCGATGTGATGATACAGCAAGCTTCTCTTCTCTAACCGTAGCTAGAGAAACATAAGCAGCATGCTCACAATGAAAAGGTAGAGGCAGACGCGGTCCAAATCTTTTTCTTGTAAAATCAAAACAGACTAGGGTAATAATACTAAATCCTTCTTGGTCGTTATCTATAGCAAACCAGTAAGTATTTCCTTTTAAAGACACACCTGGTTTAGCCAACAGTTTTATATCCCTATCAAGAGCGTCATCAAGAACCTTCCATGAATTAGAGTTTGACTTCAAATCGTAGATTTCCACGCCGTGATTGAAAATCTTAAAGATCATGTGGCTACCGCTGGACTTGTCGTATCCTAAAGCAAAACTGAATGGTATCTGGATATTATTACCGAGTTTGATACATCTTGTTTTTCCCCAATAAGGGTTCCAAACCACTAGTTCAGTATCCGAGCTTAGCAATGCCAATAAACCGTTGCAGTTGAACACATGAGATATATTCAATACTTTAGCTGAGTTTTCTTGGCTAACAAGTGTACCTTTACGCTTTATGGATAGATCAACGTTGTTGCCGATTCCATGGAGATTGATGCTAACCAAATCCACCCCACAATCCTCCGTGATCATCAGAAAATCCTTTTCTCTTGCTGCTGCTTTGCCAATGTGCATAATTGCAAAGCTATGGTTTTTGGTAAGAACGTTCCAGTTTCTGCAAGTATGTCGTACTGCTTTCATAGAAAGCAATGGAACCCTAGAGAGGATCTCTTCCACCAAATCTCTTGGAAGATTTGATATCATCATTGTCATCGTGTCAAGTCGCAAGCAAGTCTCGATGTACACACTTCAAAAAACTCTTTCTCGTAAATATTGTTGATTTCTTCCGGAGAATGTATCGATATATGATTTTTTTGAAGACTTCGAAACCCTAAATTTAGTTTGGGCTTATGCCGTGTACTTAAAGCAAATTAAAAATGATCAAGTGAAAACGGTGGAGCATTTGTCACGTGGGCCGTCTTATTTGCTACCCAGCTTTTGAAATAGAAAATATTGTGGCATTAAAAATGTAATTCAAATATTCTCATCATTCTCTCAAACTTAGCTAATAACACACATTTTGTGAAGATATATTTTGCATAACTAAAGATAAAGTTTATTCGAACAAGATGCACTCCTCTTTTTCATATAACATGCGATGTGATTACTGTGACATAGTATAAGATATGATGATCAATGATAAGAAACAGAAACAGAAACAGAAGGTATAGCTTACGTTGTTATTAAATCTTGATATATTGCATAGAAGAGATGTAGCAACAAAATCAACATTTATCTGACTAATCTTATTCAAAGAAGATGAAAGCAAAAGCAAAAATGTAAACTGGTCTTAACCTCATATATGCACAGAATTTGGAACATAAGAGCACGCAAATTCTTCATATTCTCCGAGATCCACGCTTCTGAAATATCCATTCGCTCCAATGATGTGAGCACTGTTGTTGCAATCGTGAAGGCCGTCCTCACCAAAAACCACAACAACTTTCTTCTCCTCATCGATGAAGAAACTTTCGACCTTGGTGACGCAAGCGAGGGGCTTCATATCAACTTTCAAGAACTTGCTCCACGACACTTCATCCGGCTCAATCTTATTCGTAACCCAAATCTCCATCACATGACTCTCATGCAGCATCATCAACACCGCAAGCTGATCTTCTCCAACCGCAGATATAGGCACATCGCTCTCAAAACTGTAGTTAAACGGCAGAGGCAGACGCGGTCCAAAGCTCTCTCTTGTAAAATCAAAACCGATCAAGAAACCTTCTCGTGATATCTTATCTCTAGCGTACCAGTAAGTGTCTCCCTTCACAGACACACCTGGCTTTTTCCAACACACTTCTATATCCAAGCCAAGAGTGGCATCAGGAACACTCCATGAATTAGAGTTTGAGCTCAAATCGTATATTTCGAGTTCATGGTCGAAGAACTTCAAGATCTTGTGGCTACCGCAAGATTTGTCGTATCCTAAAGCGAACTTTTGATATAATACCAAGTTACTTTTTCTGCGTGTGATCAATCTTCTTTCGCCCCAATACGGATTCCAAACCGCAAGATTAATATTGTTTCGATATACACATAACAATAAGCCGTTGCAGTGTAAGACTCTAGATATACAGAGCATTTTTTTTTTTTTTTTTTTTTGAGTTTTCTCGGCTAATAAGTGTACCTTGACGGTTTATGGACAGATCAAAATGGTTGTCGTTGATCTTTTGGAGATTGACGCGATTCAGTTCAAGCTTAGAAGATTCCCCGAACATTAAGAAATACTTTTCGTGGCTCAGATCTTGGAAGAAAGAGTTCCACTTTTTACAAGTAGATCGAACTTCTCCCACAGATTTCATCGGAACCCTAGAAATGATCTCCACCACCATTTCACTTGGGAGGTTGGATATCATCATCGTCGTCACTGTTTCAAGTTTCGGGGTAAGGATCGATGATGTACACACAGATGTGGTGCAAGTAATTTTAGGTCATCATTCCAGAAAAAAACACGGAAACCTTAAAGATGGTGGAGACATTATTATTATTGGGCCAGTCATATTTAGGCCCATTAGATGTAACCGTAGCTTTTGAAACATTGTGGCAATAATAGTATTTCTTCTTTCAAGGCAACTTAGCTGGTGTTTGATGGTAAAATTCATATTAGATGATATGAGCAAGAAAACGAAGTTGAAGGTGAAGAAGTAGAGATTATGTGGAGGATTTTGGTTTGAGACCAGATAAACTAATAACAGGCTCGATCCTTGATCTTAACTCTTTATCATATTGCAGGTAGAAGAGATTTGCAAGAAAATAATTTTTTTTATTGATTAATCTATCTTATTCAAAGATCATGAAAAGCAAAATATAAAAGTGTAAAAACCGGTGAAGATCATCAAATTCACAAAATCTGGTTTGACTTAGATTTGCACAGAAGTTGGAACATAAGAGCACACAAACTGGAGAAGTTGTATGTTTGGAGATTTTCTGAGATCCACTCTTTTGCAATAGCCATTCTCTCCAATGATGTAAGCTGTGGTGCAAATTTGAGAGGTACAGTTTTCAAAAAAAACCACTGCGATTTTCTTCTCCTCCTCAATGAAGAAACTTATAAACTTGAACATGTAAGGTTGTGGCGTGATATCAACTTGTGGCTTGGTATAAACTTTAAAGAAGTTGGTCCACGTGACTGCATCAGGCTCAATCTTATCCGTAATCCAAACCTCCATTTCCTTCGTACCCCACGGTCGTATTAACATCGCAAGCTTCTCTTCTCTAACCGCAGATAGATACACATCGCATTCATAGTTATCGCCAAATGGTAAAGGCAGACGCGGTCCAAATCTCTCTCTTGTAAAATCAAAACACATTATAAAAGCATTTCTTGATTCATAACTTCTAGCATGCCAGTAAGTATTTCCTTTCAACGACACGCCTTGTCGACGATATCCTATATTTATATCCAGGTCAAGAGTGACATTATGAACCTTCCATGAATTATATCTTAAGTTAAAGATTTCGAGGTGATGATCGAACCACTTCAAGATTTTGTGGCTACCGCAGGATTTGTCGTATCCGAAAGCAAACCTTTTCACTAATCCCGAGTCATCTTTTCGTTCATCGATCCATCTTGTATTCCCCCAATACGGGTTCCAAACCACAAGCCTAGTATTCATGTTACCCAATACACATAACAAGACGCCGTTGCAGTGAAAGACTTGATATGTCAAGAGTAATGGATCTGTACATTCTCGGCCAATAAGTGTACCTTTACGGTTCATCGACAGATCATTGTCGTTGTTGTTGGTTTTGTTGAGATTATAGCTAATCAACTCAAGCCCATGACCACCCGTGATAATCAGAAACTCCCTTTCCCTTGTTGATGCTGCTACTTTTCCAATGTGCTTTTTTACAAAGCTTTGATCTTTAGATAAAGAGTTCCACTTTTTACAAGTTGATCGAACCATTCCCATAAGTTTCATCGGAACCCTAGATATAATCTCCTCCACCAATTCACTTGGAAGATCAGATATCATCATCCTCCTCGTCATATATGTTTTCAAGTTTTAAACTAGGATCTCGATGTACACACGATTTTTCTTCCGGCTGGAAGCTGATTTCTTCCGGAGAGGCTCTGTTTGATAGATTGTTACTCAAGGAACCCTAAATGTGTATTTAAGGCTAATTATGAAAACGGAGGCTCGTTGTCATTGGGGCACTTATTTAGGCCCATAACACGTATTACATGTAAGAGGCGAACCTCACGTTGTTGTCTTGTTGAATAGTGTCCCAACTCCCAAGCTAGTGATGTTTGAAACAAAAACACTGATGAGAGAAAGAAAAGAGAAACAGGATCATGTCACTGAAATAAGAAATTCACACGAACAAGTGAAGAAAAAAAGTGATCGATATTGATTCTTTGTTTTGTGAAATTCACACTGAAATAATACTCTTTGTTTTGTGAAAATTTAAATAAATTAATTCTTGATCATAAGAAGAGCTTAAACAAAACTTCAAAAATTAGTTTTACAACTAAGATAGACTAGTCCATAATCTGTTGACTTGATCTGTACACAACTTGGAACATAAGAGCACAAAAGTGGGCAAAGTCGTGTGTATAAAGGAAGAACTTTTGTACATTGATGCATTCATCTTATTGTAGAGCATTCATTTTTTTATGAATTACAAGTTACAACATAAGTTGATACAATGGTCAACGAGGAACATAGAGTGAAGATGGGTCTAGCTTTTGGTTTTACTCTTTTCATTGTAGTTTGTTTGGTCAAAAATTGTTTGATTTGATTAGCTAGTCGTGGAGATTCAAGGCACATTACGTTGGTGATTGATGGTCAATTTAATATAAGATAAGTCATGATGGAGAAAACGAAACAAAAGGTGAAAAACCTGAATCATGATGGAGGATTTCGAAAGAGGAACAAAAGTATATTAAAACTATGTGGAGGATTTCGGCTTGAGACCAGATAAACTAATAACAGGCTCGATCCTTGTCCTTAATTCGTTATCATATTGCATGTAGATAGAGATTTGCAAGAAATGAATATTTATTGATACATCGTTCATGAACACAAAAAGAAAATGTAAACGGTCTAATTCATAATCTGGTTTTCACTTGATTTGCAAAGAATTTGGAGCATAAGAGTACACAAATGGGTGAAGTTGTATGTTTCCAAACATTCCGAGATCCACTCTTCTAAAATAACCATTCTCTCCAATGATGAAAGCGATGCTGCAAATTTGAGAATTATAGATTTCACCAAAAACCACAGCGATTTTCTTCTCCTCGTCAATAAAGAAACTTTTAATCTGGAACATGATATCAACTTGTGGCGTGATATCAACTTTCAAGAAGTTGGTCCACGAGACTGCATCAGGCTCAATCTTATTCGTAATCCAAACCTTTATGTCATAAGTACGCCACGGTCGTATTAACACCAGAAGCTTCTCTTCTCTAACCGCAGATAGATACACCTCGCATTCATACTTATATCCAGATGGCAAAGGCAGACGTGGTCCAAATTTCTCTCTTGTAAAATCAAAACATAGTAAAAAAGCATCTCTTGATTGATAACTTCCAGCATGCCAGTAAGTATTTCCTTTCAACGACACGCCTTGCTGACGATATCCTATCTCTATATTATCCACCAGGTCAAGAGTGACATTATGAATCTTCCAAGAATTATTGCTTAAGTTAAAGATTTTGAGGTGATGAAAAAGGAACCACTTCAAGATTTTGTAGCTACCGCAGGATTTGTCGTATCCGAAAGCAAACCTCTGTACTAATCCCCAGTCATCTTTCCGGTCATCGATCCATCTTGTATTCCCCCAATACGGGCTCCAAACCACAACCCTAGACCTAGTTCTGATGTTACTCGATACACATAACCATAAGCCGTTGCAGTGAAAGACTTGAGATATATTATATACTACGTGATCTGAAATTCCTCCGATCCTAAGTGCACCTTTACGGTTTATCGATAGATCAAAGTCTTTGTTCTTGTGATTTTCATTGAGATTGACGCTAATCAACTGAACCCTATCATCCCTCGTGATCATCAGAAACCCTCTTTCCCTTGTTGATGCTGCTGCTTGGCCGATGTGCTTTTTTACAAAGCTCGGATCTTGGAAGAAAGAGTTCCACGTTTTACATGTAGATCGAACTATTCCCATATATTTCATTTGAACCCTAGATATAATCTCCTCCACCAATTCACTTGGAAGATTGGACATCCTCCTCTTCCTCCTCCTCATTGTTTCAAGTTTCAAACAATGATCTCGATTTACACACGATTTTTCTTCCGGCTGGTAGCTGATTTCTTCGGTAAGGCTCTGTAGATAGATTGTTACTCAAGGAAACACAGAAACCCTAAATGTGTATTCAAGGCTTATGAAAACGGTGGCTCGTTATCATTGGGGCTAGGCCCATAACACGTATTACATGTAAGAGGCGAACCTCACGTTGTTGTCTTGTTGAATAGTGTCCCAAGCTAGTGATGTTTGAAACAAAATCACTGATGAGAGAAAGAAAAGAGAAATAGGATCATGTCAGTGAAATAAGAAATTCACACTAACAAGTGAAGAAAAAAAAAGTGATCGATTTTGATTCTTTGTTTTGCGAAATTCACACTGAAATAATACTCTTTGTTTTGTGAAAATTTAAAGAAATTAATTCTTGATCATACGGCATAAGAAGAGATGAAAGCAAAACTTCAAAATTGAGTTATACAACTAAAATAGACTAATCCATAATCTGTTTACTTGATCTGCACACAACTTGGAACATAAGAGCACAAAAGTGGCCAAAGTCGTGTGTATGGAGACATCCTGAGATCCACTCTTCTGACGAAACCATTCTCTCCAAAGATGGAAGCTCTTCGGTAAGAAAATCCGTTGTTTTCATCAAGAACAACAGCGACCTTCTTCTCCTCGTCAATAAAGAAATTCCCAAACTCAAAACAGTAAGAGAGTAGCACTGCGCTAACTTTCAAGAAGCAGCTCCACAACACCGCATCCGGCTCAATCTTACTCGTCACCCATATCTCACACTCAGGTGCATCCACCAGCTCTAAAAACACTGCAAGCTTTTCTTCTCTAACCGTAGTTAGAGACATATCAACAACATGATCACAGTGAGAGGGCAGAGGCAGAAGCGGTCCATATCTCTTTCTTGTAAAATCAAAACAGAGCAAGAAAAGGCCATTTTGTTCATTATCTCTGACAAACCAGTAAGTATTTCCTTTTAAAGACACACCAGGTTCAGCACAAAATTTTATATTCCTATCAAGAGCGGCATCAAGAGCCTTCCATGAACTAGAGTTTGATTCCAAATCGTAGATTTCGGGGCGGCGGTTGAACATCTTCAAGATTATGTGGCTACCGCTGGATTTGTCGTATCCTAAAGCAATCTTATATCGTCTCTGGATACTGTCATCGAGTTTGATACATCTTTTTTTTTTCCCCAATAAGGGTTCCAAACCACAAGCTCAGTACCCGAGTTTATCGAGGTGCATAGCAATGCCAATAAACCGTTGCAGTTAAACACATGAGATATTTTCAATGCTTGACCTGAATTGTCTTGGCTAACAAGTGTACCTTTACGCTTTATGGATAGATCAACGTTGTTGCCGATTCCATGGAGATTGACGCTAGTCAATTCAACCCTAGAATCTCTCGTGATCATCAGAAACTCCCTTTCTCTTAAAGCTCCGGATGCGGCTCTGCCAGTGTGCTTGATTGCAAAGCTCCGGTTTTTGGATACAACGTTCCAGTTTTTGCAAGTAGCTCGCACTGCTTTCATACGAGTCCACGGAACCCTAGAGAGAATTTCCTCTACCAAATCCCTTGGAAGATTGGACATCATGGTGTGATCAAGTTTCAAGCAACACAGATAAAAGCTAGGTCAACTTTCAGAAAATTGCTGATTTTCTTCCGGAAGACTTCGAAACCCTAAATTTAGTTGGAGCCTCTGTCATGTCTTCTAGTTGCTGTCTAGTGGACCAGTCTTATTCACGGCCCAACTTTTGAAATATTGTGGCAAAAGTTATTCAGCTAATAATTCGCTTAAACGAAAGATAAACTTTTTGGAACAATATGCATTCGATCTTATATGTGAACTAGATTAAGACCCGCGTATACGCATGTTTATTTTAAGATTTTTTATAAAATCATGGAAAAGTATTAAACCAAATTTGATCATTTTAAAGTAAACAGAATAATATTAAAAACCCGATAAAAATATTTAAATAAAATAAGATCGGTAACCTTTTTACGTTTTTATTGTAATTGATATTTTTTTTGAATTCATGATATAAAAAATGAATTAATTTGTTTTATTTTTATTTTTATCCAATATAGAAAGACTTATATATGTCTAAATATGATCAACTGATTAATTAATTCAACAAAACTTTATTATTCCATTCAAGAGATTTCAATTGATGAAATCTTTATTTATTTTTTTACCTAACGATATTGAAAATATATAAAAAAAATTGCAGATATATTATACCAAATCTGCTTATAATATGGGACAAAGGGAGTATTAAACTATTTAAAATTAGAATATCGGTTCATTATATTTTCTTAATATTAGTTAGTTGCTTGATAATTAATTTGTTAGTTTTCTATTTATATTGTTTCTTTCTCAATTTTGTTTTTGACTCAGACATTATAAATTTTCATTTTCATTATTAGTTAGTTTTTTTATTATCATTATTTTATTACACATATCGCAATTTTGTGAGTTATAAAAATCATACGTATTGCTATCATGTTGTTTGCTTTGATGAGTTTGTGAATGAGAAAAAAAAACTACTTTAACTCTCTTTTTATAGGGGTTCATGTAACTTATTCCATGCAGTTATAGGAAATTTAGTTTACCTAACCTATTTCATGTACTAATAGGATTTTATTTATTTCATTAATTTGAATCTTATATGTGTTTGGATAATATAAATTTGATGAATGAGAAACCTTTTTCTATTAGGATATGACAAATATAATTTTTTTTTTCTTTTAACTATAAAAGATTAACTAAACCTAACCTATTTCATGTACTAATAGGATTTTATTTATTTCATTAATTTGAATCTTATATGTGTTTGGATAATATAAATTTGATGAATGAGAAACCTTTTTCTATTAGTATATGAAAAATATAATTTTTTTTTCTTTTAACTATAAAAGATTAAAATTTAGTTTTTTTTTTCCTTTATCTAATTTTTTTTAATTATTATTTTTTTCCTTTTTTTGTGAATGAGAAAAAAAAGACTACTTTAACTCTCTTTTTATAGGGGTTCATGTAACTTATTCCATGCAGTTATAGGAAATTTAGTTTACCTAACCTATTTCATGTACTAATAGGATTTTATTTATTTCATTAATTTAAATCTTATATGTGTTTGGATAATATAAATTTGATAAATGAGAAACCCTTTTCTATTAGGATATGACAAAAATTTTTTTTCTTTTAACTATAAAAGATTAACTAAACCTAACCTATTTCATGTACTAATAGGATTTTATTTATTTCATTAATTTGAATCTTATATGTGTTTGGATAATATAAATTTGATGAATGAGAAACCTTTTTCTATTAGTATATGAAAAATATAATTTTTTTTCTTTTAACTATAAAAGATTAAAATTTAGTTTTTTTTTTCCTTTATCTAATTTTTTTTAATTATTATTTTTTTCCTTTTTTTGTGAATGAGAAAAAAAGACTACTTTAACTCTCTTTTTATAGGGGTTCATGTAACTTATTCCATGCAGTTATAGGAAATTTAGTTTACCTAACCTATTTCATGTACTAATAGGATTTTATTTATTTCATTAATTTAAATCTTATATGTGTTTGGATAATATAAATTTGATAAATGAGAAACCCTTTTCTATTAGGATATGACAAATTTTTTTTTTCTTTTAACTATAAAAGATTAACTAAACCTAACCTATTTCATGTACTAATATGATTTTTATTTATTTCATTAATTTGAATCTTATATGTGTTTGGATAATATAAATTTGATGAATGAGAAACCTTTTTCTATTAGTATATGAAAAATATAATTTTTTTCTTTTAACTATAAAAGATTAAAATTTAGTTTTTTTTTTCCTTTATCTAATTTTTTTTAATTATTATTTTTTTCCTTTTTTTGTGAATGAGAAAAAAAAGACTACTTTAACTCTCTTTTTATAGGGGTTCATGTAACTTATTCCATGCAGTTATAGGAAATTTAGTTTACCTAACCTATTTCATGTACTAATAGGATTTTATTTATTTCATTAATTTAAATCTTATATGTGTTTGGATAATATAAATTTGATAAATGAGAAATCCTTTTCTATTAGGATATGACAATTTTTTTTTTCTTTTAACTATAAAAGATTAACTAAACCTAACCTATTTCATGTACTAATATGATTTTATTTATTTCATTAATTTGAATCTTATATGTGTTTGGATAATATAAATTTGATGAATGAGAAACCTTTTTCTATTAGTATATGAAAAATATAATTCTTTTAACTATAAAAGATTAAAATTTCGTTTTTTTTTCCTTTATCTAATTTTTTTTAATTATTTTTTTTTTCAAAGACACATGTCACGATCTTAACGAATATAACATTAAAAGTGACATATGTCACAATCATAAATTTTACAAAATCCTACGTGTCGCAACCACGTTGCGCGCATCCAGCTTTATATAATAAGATAAGTGATTGAATAAGTGATGGTCAAGTCAATGATGAGAAACCAAAGGTTGTCGGTCTATCTTTTGGTTTTACTCTTTTCATTATATTTTTTTTTGGTTCAATGTGTTTGCTGATTAGTCATGGGAGATTCAACGCAACAAGTTGATGCTTAGATTTGATGTTGTAAAATTCTTTGTTCAAACCTAATGATGTTTCCAAGGCATAAAGAGAAAAATGATAAGGTCATTCAAATAAGAAATTCAATACTTGACTTGAATTGTTATAAAAGATATGCTAAAACCGATTTTGTTATAAACAAAATTTTGGTTTTGGTTCTCATCTCTGCTGTGATCAAAAGATGGAGGAAATAGTATTTCTTATTACAAGAAGAGATATTAAGCAACTGAGGTTAATATATATCGACTAATCTTTGTTCAACGAAGATGAAAGCAAAACAGAAAAGAAAATGTAAACAGTCTTGTAAGTTCTAACACATAATCTATCACTCGATTTGTGCAAAAGATGGAACATATGAGCACAAAAATGGACGAACTTTTATGTCTACAGATTTCCTGAGATCCACACTTTTGAAATAACCTTTCTCTCCAATGATGTAAGCTGTGTTCAAAGTGCCAAGGTCATCTTCACCAAAAGCCACCACGATTTTCTTCTCCTCCTCGATGAAGAAATTCTTGAACTTCAAAACGTAAACGAGCGGCCTCATATCAACTCTCAAGAACTTGCTCCACGACACTTCATCAGGCTCAATCTTACTCGTAACCCATATCTCCATCTCAAGCGTATCCCTTGGTAGCATTAACATCGCAAGCTTCTCTTCTCTAACCGTAGATAGAGACACATTGCATTCAATGTTATCATCATCAAACGGTAGAGGCAGACGCTGTCCAAATCTCTCTCTCGTAAAATCAAAACAGATCAAGAAACCTTCTCGTGTGCTCTTAACCCTAGCGTACCAGTAAGTGTTTCCCTTCAGAGACACGTCAACTTTACCATAATCTATCTCTATATCCCGGTCAAAAGTAGCATCAAGAACCCTCCACGAATCAGAGTCTGAGATCAAATCGTAGATTTGGAGGTAATTGTTGAAGAACTTCAAGATCTTGTGGCTACCGCAAGATTTGTCGTATCCTAAAGCAAACCTTTCTAACTTACATTCTCTACGTTTGATCCATCTTCTTTTCCCGTCATACGGATTCCAAACCACAACCCTATTATCGATGTTTCTCAATACACATAGCAATAGACCGTTGCAGTGAAAGACTTTGGATATACAGAGCACTTTTAGCGAGTTTTGTCGGCTGATAAGTGTACCTTTACGGTTGATGGATAGAGCAAAGTCGTCGTTGCTTTTGTCGATTCCGTAGAGATTGATCCTTATCAATTCAACCTTAGAATTCTTCGAGATCATCACAAGATCCTTTTCTCTTGACGATGATGCTGATGCGTAGCCAATATGCTTGATCGTGAAGCTCGGATCTTGGAAGAAAGAGTTCCACGTTTTACAAGTAAATCGAACTATTCTCGTAGATTTCACCGGAACCCTAGATATAATCTCCTCCACCAATTCATTTGGAAGATTGGACATCATCGTCTTCATTGTTTTCAGGTAAGGATCGATGTACACAAAGATGTGCAAGAAATTAGGTCATCTGTGGTTGGTGGTGAATTTATGTCGATAGATTGGCATTGAAGAACACAGATACCTAAAGATGGTGGAGACATTATTTTTGGGCCAGTCATATTTAGGCCCATTAGATGTAATCGTAGCTTTTGAAAGTTGAAACACTGGCAATTATAATAGCATTTCCTCTTCCGCACAAATCAACGTATTTTATGGCAAAGAGAAATAGTATAAAAATAGTGAGTGAGACATATGATTCAGAAAAAGTACATCTTCATCGTGGAACTAGACCTCTTTGACCTAGGCCCCTCCTTAGCTAGGTAAACTCTTCCATAATATTACATTCTCAGAGATCAAAGGAATCATTATTGTCATCGATGCATTATCTTATCGTATAGCATGTGAGTGTGATTGTTATGACTTACAAGTTATATATACAACATAGGTTGAATCAATGATCGATGAGAAACATAAACTAGAGATGGGTCTAGTTTTTGGTTTTACTCTTTTCATATAAAATAGTTTGTTTGGTTCAAAATCGTAGGTGGAGATTCAATGCAACGTAACTGGTGACTGATGGGTACGTAAATTTCATATAGAGATGATCAAGAAACATAAACTGAAGAAGGTTAACGTAGAGATTAGGAAACGGAACCTTAATCATGATGATGGAGGAAAATAGTAGGGAGTATATTCCTAAGCGTGAACATGTTGCCTACATAAGGGATGAGCAAGAAAATTAATACAACTATTGAGTAATCTTGTCCAAAAGAAGAGTTTAAAAGCAAAAAGAAATGTGTAAAAGGTCTAAATCATAGTCTGGTGTTTACTTGATTTGCAAAGAATTTGGAGAGTAAGAGTACACAAATTGGTGAAGTTGTTGTACATCTCCAGACATTCCGAGATTCACACTTCTGATCAAACCATTCTCTCCAGTGATGTAAGCTATGTTGCAAGTTTGAAACTTCCCCATTTCACGAGATAACACAATGATTTTCTTCACCTCGATGAAGAAAGTTTCAGACCCTGATAAGTAACCATGTGGCTTGATCCACGACACCACATCAGGCTCAATTTTATTCGTAACCCAAACCTTGTTCTCAGACGGACCCCACGGTTTCATTAACAGAGCAAGCTGCTCTTCTCTAACCGCAGATAGAAACACATAGCAATCATAGCTATAGTCAGATGGCAGAGGCAGATACGGTCCAAAGCTCTCTCTTGTAAAATCAAAACATAGTAAACCTTTTTCTGCATACCAGTAAGTATTTCCCTTCAAAGACACTCCCTTACGTATACCATACTCACTAAACATATTCCAGTCAAGAGTCGTATTAAGAACCCTCCATGAATTAGAGCTTGAATCATAGATTTCGACCTGATTCTTATTGACAAAGATCACCAAGATTTTGTAGCTGCCGCAGGATTTGTCGTATCCGAAAGCAAACTTGTCTACTAATCCCAAGTCATCTTCCGAGCGTTCGATCCATCTTCTTTTCCCCCAATAAGGGCTCCAAACCGCAAGCCTATTATAGATGTTTTTGAATACACACAGCACTAAACCGTTGCTTTGAAAGACTTTAGATATTGGGAGTATTGGATCTGAACATTGTCGGCTAATAAGTGTACCTTTAGGGTTTATGGACATATCAAAGTAGTAGTTGTTGTTGTTGTTGTTGTGATTTTCATTGAGATTGACGCTACCCAACTCAACCCTATGATCCGTGATCATCAGAAACTCTACTTCCCTTGTTGATGCTGCTACTTGGCACATGTGCTTTTTTGTAAAGCTCTCATCTTTAGATAAAGAATCCCACTTTTTACAAGTTGATCGAACTATTCCCATAGATTTCACCGGAACCCTAGATATAATCTCCTCCACCAATTCACTTGGAAGACTGGACATCATCATCCTCCTCCTCCTCCTCCTCGTTGTTTCAAGTTCCAAGCAAGGATCTCGATGTACACACAAATAAAGTTAGGTCAACCTTTTATTTTTCTCTTGTGGTTGCTGATTTCTTCCGGAGAGGCTGTCAATAGATTGTTACTCAAGGAAGACAGAGAAACCCTTAATGAGTATGTAAGGCGGAAAATCAAGTGAATACTGTTATTGGGCCATTCGTATTTACGCCCATTAATACATTTATACGTATTACATATAAGGCCCAGGTTTTAACACATTGTGACAACAATAATATCATCATCATCATCATAGCTCCTTCCTCTGCCTGCCTAAATCAATAAATACAAGGATAATAGCTCCTTTCTCATCATAACTAGTAGTGTGACACATATCCATATGACCATATCCATATCTCAGAATGTAATAATAATCTCCTCATAAGATGTGATTAGTTCTACAAAAAAAGCTACACCTCTATAACCAATGCCTCTCTTCTTATAGCTCACATGTCGCAATGTGGCAAACACTTCAAATGTATTACTTCCTACAGAGCTCAAAGTAACATATTACTCAATAGCATGTGATTCTTATGACCATATAAGATATGATGAATCTATGATGAGAACCATAAGAGTATGTATAACGCAGGGTGCTTATTAAAGTGCTTACAAGATTTTTTATTATTAAAATTGGGTTAAGCAACACTATTAAAAATTATATGTTTTCTCTGCTCCAATGGAGAGTGCTTATAGGGGTGCTTAAAAAAAACTATTTGCACAAGTTTGTTTTCTCCTACAAAAATTATATGCACAAGTTTGTTGTCTCTACAAAAAAATTATGTGTAAATCTATAGTACTTTTACTTCTATATCAAACAAACAACTCTCTGCACAAGCTTGTTATCTCTACAAAATCTCCTTTGTTCGGTCTACTGAAAAACATGTGCGATTACTTCTGCATCTGTTAGTATTTTCAATCTGCATCTGCATTTTCACTGGTTCCTTGACAAACTTATCATCCACCACTGCATTTTCCAAGTTAAAACAACACAATCCTTGCTTAGAGAAACAAGAGATGTGTTTTGATTAATCTATTAGTGGAAGGAGGATTCATCTTTTTACCTGAGAATGGCTGAGTTTCCACAACCCCAAGTGATGTGTTTTGATTAATAACGACCATCACCAGAGACCACAAGTGCGTGGCACCTGCACAAGTTAACAATTGTTCATGCTTAGATGGAATATGCAGTTATCTGCGTAACACAGTTATGTAAACAGAGATCTTACCTTTGACTTTCTCCTTGAGGTCGTGGTGGAACATGATTTTGAAGACGTTTGAGCTAGCCGAGAGGATGGCGTTGTGAGCGGAGAGCGTACCGTCGGCTGTGTGGATTTGGGATTGTGACGTCCGATAGGATGCTTTCTTCTAGCATCCGGGATAAGCATTTGAGAGTCGTTTGTGTTGAGATTGATTGCATTGTTGTATCGTTTGGCCAAACAGGAGACGCTTCACCACCCTGTGATTTTATTTTGATTTGATTTGTGATCAAAATGAAGGCTAGAGTTATGAAACTTTGCAGCTAAACAACTTACATTCAAAGGGGAGATTTTGAGTTCCAGAAACTCAAAATCAATGGTGAATCGGCCGTGGAAGCTGGAATCCACATGCCACACACAATCGTCTATTGTACGAATCAGTTTATCATACACTGCACCACACAATACAAAGGATCATATAAGGTACTACTCATCTTTAATCATATATTTTTTTTCTGAAAACCCCTAATTCAGTTTCCACATTATAATTCAAATTCCACATGTAACGAACTCGAATCAAGAGACTATACATACCGGGAGAGATGTAGAATCTGCAATTGGGGCCAACGTTGGAGACGCGAAGAACAAATTTAGCAACAGAGGTTGCTCTTTGGAAACTCTGAGAAAGTTCTGGGAAAAGCCTCACTGAGAGATAACGATTCCTCTCTATAGACAGATGCTTTCATATCCAGAAACAGAATCAATCATAATTTTGAGAGTTAAAAAGGAGGAGGTGATTGATTACCAATTCCAAATTCCGACTTTGAAAGGATCGGAGTTTTTTGAAAGAGCAAGGAACCGAAATTTCCAATCCGCCATTGATAAATGGACCAATTTCTCACTGGAAATCGAGAAGCTTTCCAATCGAAATCGAATCACCATATGGCCTTTGAAGAGCAGCGGAGTAGTGAGAGAGAGGAGAGAGAATCGAAAGAGGAAAGTGAAGAAGAAAAAAGAGTTTTGTTTCTCTTCATTAACGATGAGCCAATAACCTGCTGCCACGTGGCACGTAAGCTTCGACGCTTCTCACCTGGATAAGCGTCGGATTCTCCTTTTTCTTTTATTTTTGCATTAAATTTTTGCTTAGAGCTGCATTAAGCGCCCTGCGTTACACATGCTCTAAACTGAAGTTGGACTCAAAGCTTTTTGCCTTTTGGTTTGACTCCTTTTCATTTTACAGTTTTGTTTGGCTCAAAATGTTTTATTTAGCCATGAAGAGAGAGACTCACGTCGGTCAGATCTTAACCACGCGTGCGAACCGAGTATCCTCGCACGTGCCAGACTTACAGTAACAGCATCCTCAAGATTCTACTCTTCCCATGAGAACACATTTGATAATTCAATTCAATTCTGATAAGAAAAGTAGTCTTTTTTGTTGTTGAATTTATTATTATTACACACAGAATTAGCTCTAATGTCCTAAAGACGCAACATTTATCGATTCCACGTCTTTGCTTTTTTCTACGGAACCCAATTTCTCGGATCTGGAGGAGATCGGAAGTCCATGAGGTGTTGCTGATCCATCCTTTGAATATAGAATCAGAAGGATCATCATCATCGTCGGCGAAAATGGAGTCGATACTGGCGCGAGCCTTGGAGTATACTCTCAAGTATTGGCTCAAATCATTCACCAGAGATCAGTTCAAGCTTCAAGGCCGTACCGCTCAGCTTTCTAATTTAGGTTGTTGCTCTTCTTCTTCACTCTGTTTCCCGGGATTATAAAAATTGTGCCTATTTCTCATTCAGATTCTCTGTTTGCAGACATTAATGGCGAGGCTATACATGCCAGTATGGGTTTGCCACCTGCCCTTAGTGTCACCACTGCGAAAGTTGGAAAATTGGAAATCATGGTTTGTGCTGCTGCTTCTCTGATTTAGCTACTGTGATCGAATTGTTTCAAATTGGAATGAGTAGCAAACTGTTAGGAAATTGAGTTTGTGTTTTGGAGGCTTTATAGTTTGGCTACTAGCAGATTCTGTATGTCTTTAGTTTAATTTTCTTGATTTTGAAGATGGTTTATTAAAATTAAGCTATAATCCTGGTGAAATATGTGTAGTTTCCACCTTTACCAAAGATTTATCTTAGTGGATAGTAAGTAATAATAGTTCGTTTGAATTTGATGGAACAATGCTACTAAGCTGAAAGGTTTTTCTGTTTTTGCTCTCCAGAAGCATTAATTTTGTTCTCTCTCTTCTTTTTGTGCTCGAATAAACTCGATCGATAGCTTCCGTACGTCAGTAATGTACAAACGGAGCCTGTAGTTGTGCAGATCGATAAACTCGATCTTGTTCTTGAGGAAAATCCGGATGCTGATGTGACAAAGGGTCCAAGCAGGTAGAGAAACCTTACTTCATTTGTTTTGCTTCTACTCAGCTCTTGATTGATGCTTGATTGATTTTCCAGAATACTATTGAGCCTTTAATTATTGTTTTTGTTTTTAATGTATGTTCAGTGCTCAGTCTCCTACCGCTTCTGGAAAAAGTAACGGTTATGGATTCGCTGACAAGGTGAGGTTTCTCTGCTCATATTCCAATAAGGCGATGCTGATAATGTTTTGGCCAATATCTGTTTGTACGTCTTAGTAACACAGCACTACTGAATATGCAAAAATGAAGTGGTGATTTGTATCACTTTTGAAGTTGGGTTGTTTTGAGATTTGTTCATTTTCGGTCTTTCTTGTACATGTGGTTGAAGACTAGTTAAGCATATAATGTCTTCTAATTTATAGTTCTTTTCATTTCCGACGTAGAGGTTCTCATGCAATTATCTTTTTATTATTTTGATCAGATTGCAGATGGAATGACTTTACAAGTTAAGGTGGTCAATCTTCTTCTTGAAACTGGTTCTCACCGTGAAGGAGGAGCAGCCTGGTAAGTTGCTTTTACTGCACCCATTGTCTAGTAGTTAATTTTCGCCTTTCACACTTGACCTGACTATAAATGATTTGATTGTTGCTTATCTATGTCTAAGCTCGTCTACTTTGTATCTAGGGCTGCTCCGCTGGCATCTATTACAATACGCAACCTTGTTCTGTACACCACTAATGAGAGTTGGAAGGTGAGCTCTTCGAGCACGACGTGATAAACTCCTTTTCTGGAAGAATTAGTATTTCTGAACCAGAATTATCGTTTACAGGTTGTAAATCTGAAAGAAGCAAGGGACTTCTCCACTAATACAGGATTTATTTATTTATTTAAGGTATTCTTGCCACTCTTTTTAGCTACTTTATTCCTTCCTGATACACTCTTTGAAGATAATATTATTAATCTGTTTTGTTTTTCTACCTGTGATGCATGTACTTTCCTTATCAGAAACTTGAATGGGAATCTTTATCAATTGATCTTCTGCCACATCCTGATATGTTCACTGAGGCTAATTTAGCCCGCTCTGAAGAAGGAAATCTCAGAGATGATGATGGTGCAAAACGAGTTTTCTTTGGCGGAGAACGCTTTTTAGAAGGAATTTCTGGCCAAGCATATGTAAGCATTTGTTTATGATTATCTTTTACTTGTATATATGATATTGAAGTAGGATGCTTGAAGTGTTTTGGTGCGTAATTCGCTAGCCCTGATGGTGGCCTTTTGTTCAGATTACAGTTCAGAGAACTGCACTAAACAGTCCCCTTGGGCTTGAAGTACAGTTGCACATTCCAGAAGCTGTTTGTCCAGCGTTAAGCGAACCAGGTTTGAAGACATTCTCTCTTAGTTTCAGATAGCTTGTTGATGGATATGGATAGCTAAGTCTGCCCATTATTCTTGGGAACAGGGTTGCGCGCACTTCTCCGCTTTCTAACTGGAATGTATCTATGCCTAAACCGAGGAGATGTGGATCCAAAAGCTCAGCAGGTCTTTAATTTCTCATTCCCAGTGGATCTTTTTAAAGGAAATGTTTTGACAAAAAGTGTTTTTCTCACTCGTCAATGGTATGCCTCCAGCAGTCCGCTGAAGCAGCAGGACGTTCTCTTGTCTCCGTTCTTGTGGACCACGTATTTCTTTGCATCAAAGATGCTGGTTAGTTTCTGCTATGCTTATATTGAAAGTTTCCTTCGTTTGGCTGGGGTCAAAATTTGACTCACCTAATGTTTAGTTAGGAGTGCAGTCCTGCATGGAACCATTACACTTGTTTAATATTTGCCACCTATCATGTTTTTTTCAGAATTCCAACTGGACCTACTAATGCAATCACTCCTCTTTTCTCGGGTATGTTCTCAGTGATTCTTAGATTTTGATCTAGTTTCCATTCACATTATGCACCATGGAACTCTCTTAGTTCTGGAAAATCGTAAACCAATTTTCAAGATCTCTTTAATCCTATTGTAAACGTGAATATGTTTAGTATGAGTTGGAAACATGAAACACACATGATCTTAATAGATTAAATCGTATCAAGTCGTTCTGAAATCTGACATAACTATGCATAAATACTTGCAGGCCTGTGTTTCGGACGGAGAATCAGCTAACTATTTGACTAAGATTTTGATTGGTGGGCTATTTTTAAGGTGAATATGCTTATGTCATGCTAAAATAGTGAAATCCCTGATTAGAGTTAGCTGTCTATAGCTTTAAAGATTAAAACCATGCTCCCTGTCACCATATCACTAGTTTCCTCTTTGCAGTTTTACTAGGATGATCACTGGGCGCTTTGTAATTTCTGTTGATCTTCGTTTCTGATGGCTGTTTTGAAACCTTATCGGATTACTTAGTGTTATTAATGTTTAACGGTTGCAGAAGCCAAAATTATAGTGTCTGACTGTCTGTCATATATAAACATTGTTTCACAACTTTGAATTATTATTTCTGGCATAATTTTGCTCATGGTTGCAATTCAGGGACGCTTTTTCACGCTCTCCTTGTGCTCTTGTCCAACCATCTATGAAAGCTGCTGTTGAAGCCCTTGCAACTCCCGAATTTGGTATTAATAATTCGGACTGTAGTCTATGAATATTATATTCTTTTGTAAATTTTCAGTTGTGAAACTCTGTCATACTGATTTAATTTCCTTCGCTATATCTGGTGCAGCCAAGAATTTTTGCCCTCTCATATATCCATTGGACAACGGGCCATGGCAATTAGTTCAGGATGTACCTTTGATCTCCCTACATTCTCTTCAGGTCAAGCCATCTCCAAAACCCCCACAATTTTTCTCGAAGACGGTTATCCAATGCCAACCACTCATGGTATGTTTGTGTCTATCAAGTAAAGTCAAAGTTTCTCTCTTTGACAAATCCTTCACCATTTTCTTCTTATATCCTTTTTAGGTTCATCTTCAGGAAGAAGCTTGTTTAAGGATTTCCTCTTTTCTGGCTGATGGCATTGTTGTGAATCCCGGTGATGTTTTGCCTGATAGCTCTGTTAACTCTCTTCTTTTCACCCTCAAGGAGTTGGATGTTTCTGTTCCATTAGACATGAGTAACATGGAAGGTTCAGCAGTTAAAGACGACCTTTCACCAAAAAAGTGCTTTGCTGGAGCAAGGCTTCATATTGAAAACTTATCTTTTGCGGAGTCACCTACCCTAAAAGTTCGGCTGCTAAACCTGGAGAAGGATCCTGCTTGTTTCTCTCTATGGCCGGGACAGCCTATTGACGCCAGCCAAAACAAATGGACAGCTGGAGCCTCACATTTTAGTTTGGCTTTAGAAACATCTCCCAACTCAACTGAACTTCAGAGCCCTCGTGGTCCGGAAATGGGTTTGTGGAACTGTGTTGAAGGAAAAGACGTGTCTATAGAAGTTGCTATGGTATCTGCGGATGGAAAGCCACTGATAACCATTCCTCCTCCTGGTGGTATTGTTCGCATAGGAGTTTCTTGTGAGCAATATATATCGAATGCTTCAGTGGAGCAATTGTTTTTTGTTCTGGACCTCTATTCTTACTTTGGCAAGGTCAGTGAAAAGATTTCCATTGTTAAAGAAAGCAAACGCCAGAAGACTGTTTCTTTGACTGAAGGGTTGTTGGAGAAGGTTCCTAGTGACACTGCTGTAAAATTGGCTTTGAAGGATCTGCAGCTTAAGTTTCTTGAGTCTTCCTTTACCAGTACTCAGGACATGCCACTCGTTCAGTTTCTTGGCAAAGATCTTTCCGTGAAGGTAACTCATAGAACCCTTGGCGGGGCTATTGCAGTATCCTCCAACATATACTGGGAAAATATTGAGGTAGATTGTGTAGACACCGACATACAACATGAAGATGAGAATGGCTTGAATGGTCACTTAGTTAGCTGTAATGGTTCTACCCCACTGAGGCGTGTCTTTTGGATTGTCAACGGAAGACATGATGGGCATGGTGGCAGCACTCTTGTGACACCTTTTCTTGACATAAGCGTAACACATGTGATTCCCCTCAGTGAAAAGGATATGGAGTGCCACAGCTTAAGCATTGCGGCTTGTATTTCAGGCGTACGTTTAGGTGGAGGAATGAGCTACACTGAAGCTCTATTACACCGGTTCGGAATTCTGAATCTTGATGGTGGTCCAGGAGAGGGTCTGTCTAGAGGATTAGAGCATTTATCTTCTGGACCTTTGTCAAAACTTTTCAAAGCATCGATAGTCGATGACAGGAAACATGGTATTGAAAAAAATCCATCTTGATTGTTTCCATTTCCTATAGTTCATGTGAAAGTAGCCTATATGCAGATTCGTCTTGCTTACAGATATAAGTATCACTAAACATTGTTGTTCCATATTTGCATCTAGATGGAACTCTTGGAAATTTGAAAGAAGATGGTTTCCCACATTTGGGAAGGCCAGATGACATTGACGCCTCCGTTGAGTTAAGAGACTGGTTGTTTGCATTGGAGGGCAGAGAAGGGTTGGCAGAAAGGTGGTGCTCCAATGATAATGAAGATATTGGAAGAGAAGAAAGGTGTTGGCACACGAATTTCCGTACTTTCCGAGTAATAGCCAAGAGTACACCAAAGCATGCGGATGCAAATGGGTCAGAAACCCAGTATAATCCTGACAAGTATCCTGTAGACTCAGTCGTTGTAAGTATACGTACTTATTTTTCCACAGCTCAATTTATTTCCTGAACTTTACAAGATTATCTTGAAGGCGAGTTTGGTCATCTTAGAAAAATGCATATGCAACTCTCAGAGCTACATTTATCTTTCTGGTGTTTTACGAAATTACATTCTTGAATGCATTATAGGTCAGTGTTGAAGGTCTACAAACATTGAAACCTCAAATGCAGAAAGGAACCAGTTCATGTATCGGTTTGCCTTCAAATGGAGTTCAGGAAAATGGTCACCTGCCTGGAGGGGTAAACCTTGAAGCTAACATTGTGGCATCTGAAGACAAAACTGGTCATGGTGACTCGTTAAACTGGGTGGCAGAAAGTCTGAAATTCTCTGTTAAGCAACCTGTAAGTTAAACAGAGCTCATTGTTCTTTGCTTCAATTTCTTTTAGAAAAGCAGTTTCTCTAATATAAACGATTTTGCCTGTTTTGTTCTTCGTGCTGCAGGTTGAAGCAGTTGTTACAAAGGATGAGTTGCAACATCTGACATTCTTATGCAAATCTGAAGTTGACGCGATGGGAAGGATAGTCGCAGGGGTTCTACGTGTGCTGAAGCTTGAAGAATCTGTTGGCCACGCAACTCTAAATCAACTAAGCAACCTTGGTATATGCTTATCACAAACTCTTCTGCTCTTGAATGGTCTCAAATTTCTTCAGTTCTTGAAGAAATCTACTGATGTTGCAGGAAGTGAAGGTTTTGACAAAATGTTCTCCCCAAAAGCGAGCAGAGCAGGCACTCCCAAAATCTCACCTTTTGCTGCATCAGCAGACTCAATGAGGGAAATTTCCCGACGTACAGACCTGGAATCTACAATTTCTTCCATTGAAGAAGCGTCCATGGAGTTAGATGCCAAGTGTTCAGCTCTAGCTTCTGATCTCAGCGATTCAGAGTCTTCGTCAAAACACGTCAACGACCTCAAGCAGAAACTGGAGAGCTTGCAGAGCTTAATGGCTAAATTACGAACCCAAATCTAAACATTTTATACTCCCAAGGGAAGAAGAAGAAGTGAAGCAGCTAAATTCTTTTATGTAAATAGCATATATAGAGAGAGATTTGAGAATCACTACTTAAAGCGGGAAACTTTTTTGTATCCTAAAATACGCCCTGAAACGAAAGTTTGTGTATGCATATGAGAGCAATGCTTGTACTTGCAGTTGCTAAATTTTGTGAGTTGATATATACCAGAAAAAGCTCTGTTTTTTGTTGTACCTTCTTCATGACCGTCAATAAAAGGGAAAGCTTTTCTTCTGTCGACAATTTCAGTTTGTAGACATAATGCTGGCTGCTTACCTCAAAGCTCTCAAATTTCGGAGCTGTGAAAACGTGGAGAAACAACTTCTGTTGATCCATGGGGCTTCGGTGATGAATGGGTTCGGCTCGAATCTCGAGTTGAACAACAGGTTGATAGATTTGTACTCAAGACAAGGAAATGTGAAACACGCACGTAAACTGTTTGATAGAATACCTAAAAGAGATGTGGTTTCTTGGACAGTTATGATCTCAGGGTTTTCTCGATGTGGTAATCACCGGAACGCGTTGCTGTTGTTCAAAGAGATGCGCCGGGAAGCTGTTAGGGCTAATCAGTACACTTACGGGAGTGTTTTGAAGTCTTGCAAAGATTTGGCATGTCTGAAAGAAGGGATGCAGATACAAGGATGTGTGGAGAAAGGGAAATTTGCAGGGCACGTAGTCGTTAGGACTGCGTTGCTTTGTCTTTATGCTAGTTGTGGAAAGATGGAGGATGCTCGTCTTATGTTTGATTCAATGAAAAGAAGAGATTTGGTTTCTTGGAATGCAATGATCGATGGATACACTGCCGCAGCATTTGCAGATACTTCGTTTAGTTTGTTTCAGTTAATGCTGGCAGAAGGTGAATTACTCTTTTTCTATTCTTCCAACATATTTCAAATGTTTTTGTGAATCGATTTGGTTAAGTAAGCTTCTTGTGCTGTTCTGTTGTTAGGGAAGAAGCCAGACTGTTATACCTTTGGAAGCCTCTTGAGAGCTTCTATTGAAGTTAAGTGTCTTCAAGTAGTCAGTGAATTACACGGATTTGCGATTAAGCTTGGTCTTGGAAGATCTGATCCATTGGCTGGTTCTCTGGTTGATGCATATGTGAAGTGTTGTAGCCTTGCCAATGCTTGGAAACTGTTCAATGGCACGAGGAAAAGAGACGTCATCGCTTGCACTGCTCTAATCACAGGTTTTGCACAGCAGAACAACTGCACAAGCGATGCTTTTGATATCTTCAAAGATATGATACTGTTGAAAAGTGAGATGGACGAGGTTGTGGTATCCTCAGTGCTTACAATATGCACCAGCATCGCATCGATATCCATCGGAAGACAGATCCACGGTTTCGCCTTAAAATCCTCCCAAATCAGATTTGATGTTGCTTTAGGTAACTCGCTGATAGATATGTATGCAAAGTGTGGGGAGATTGAGGATGCGGTTCTTGCTTTCGAAGAGATGGAAGAGAAAGATGTGAGATCATGGAGCTCTTTGGTTGGAGGATATGGAAGACATGGGAATATTGAGAAAGCAATGGATCTTTATAACCGAATGGAGCAAGAAGGGATCAAACCGAACGGTTTCACATTTCTTTCTCTCCTCTCTGCTTGTAGCCATACAGGAGAAACCGAGGTAGGCTTGAAGATTTTCAACACAATGATCAACAAGTACGGTATCGAAGCTCGAGAAGAGCATTTATCTTGCATCATAGATATGCTTGCACGGAGTGGCTACTTGGAAGAGGCTTATGAGCTGATAAGAAGTAAGAAGGGTATTGTAAATTTTAGCTCATCAACATGGGGAGCTTTGCTTGATGCGTGCAGGCGCCATGGGAACGTGGAACTCAGCGAAGTAGCAGCCGCGGAGCTTCTGAGAATGGAACCGAATAAACCGGTTAATTATATCAATTTGGCAAGTGTATATGCAGCTACTGGAGCTTGGGACAATGCTTTGGAGACTAGAAAGCTTATGAAAGAGAGTGGTTCTTGCAGTAAAGCTCCTGGATACAGCCTTGTGTATTGAGACAAACAAAACAACAAAATCTCCATAAAGGGTTTAAAGATACAATTTGGTACAGATGTTTTAACACCAACGTGAAGCTTATGACTTATGAGGCTACAAATAGGATCTTAAGGCTTCAGGGAATAGCAAAAAGTTTCACTCATCGTCGTGTGTGACCAAAAGAAAAATTAGAGTTACAACAAAACAATGGATGGGTGTCTTATTATTCCTCAAGATTTCAGATTTCTCAGATCCTTCAAGACATGGATTTGCTACTTGGTGGTAGGTGCGTCCCAACGCCATATTGTCCCGTCCTCGCAGCAAGCAAGAATTATGCTACAATGCCATGGAAGAAACATAGTATGTCAGGAATTTTTGTTTACAGTAATTATAGAGTTTTCAATGTAATGGGGAGAGAGAAGATGAATATTACTTTCCATCATCGGACATAGCAGTTTGCCTGATTACAGACTTTGACTGATTGTGTGATAACCTAGTTGGCAAAAGAGAATCAAGTCAAGACTACAACAAACAAACACCAAAAGTGATGATAAATTTCTTGATCAATGATCAATCTGAGACTTACTTTGAGATCAAAACAGGAGGGCAACTTTGTAAATCCCATACATAGATTTTTCCTTCTTGATTCCCTGATAACCAAACCAGCCATGAATATTTCACAACATGGATAAGAAAATATTTAACTATATCATAATGCAGATTTGTATATAGCAAGATTTAGGATCACCTATTGCGAGAGAACTGCAGTGGATGTCACAAGAAAACTTGATAAACCAGATATCACACATCGGAACTGGGTATCTTAGAAGAACATCTGCAGTACCCTGCAAAAACCAAACTTCAATCTGTATTATTCATTCTTTGTGACCAAATGAATGATTCCGTTATGTTTAGTGCATAAATTAAGATCCTAACCTCCCCAGGAGAATTCTCTTTTAGTTGTGGTTCCCACAATAGGATCTCGTTGTCTACACTCTACAATCAGATAAGAGCACACAAGAGTAAGTGCTATAACATTACACTTACAATTGATCTTACACATCATTGACTAATAACTAACCTTTGAAAGGATAAAATCACCAAACCAACGGTTACAGTCTACATAATTTGTATGAACTGAAGCTGTAAACACCTACACATTGAAGTTGATGTCATAAACAAAGGCAATCATCAATACGTGTGTAATGCCACTCGTTGTAACAAGACATGGAAAAAAAAAAAGTACTCACAGGGAATTGGACAAACTTGGTGGGGAATTTTGTCGGATCATCTGTCCAAGTGAATGACTTCTCAACATATGTCCAAAACTCTGAAGACAGGAAATGAAAAAGATCATACAAAACGAACCACAAACCTATTTTTCTTTTCTCTAAAGGAGTGAGCTTGGTTTTACTCTTACCTTTCATTGACCAGATTTTGATAGTTGTGTCCATACCACAACTAGCAACACGGTGAATATCAGAGGGATGAAAATCCTACAATTTCCAAGAGAACACTGTGATCCTTAAACATGTCTCTTTCTATTAAGTGAAGCTAACTCAATCAGATAATTGTTTTCTTCCACATCCATTATATTCAAGGGAACATATAAAAAATAAAACCAATATTGGCTCACCACACTTAGAACTTCGTAGCGATGACCTCCAGCTCCAGCAAATATCAGAATACATATCCCAGTTTCAATATTCCACAACCGAACAGATTCATCCTGATCCAATCAAAACGTAAGAGCTCTTAATCATCATCAACCAAAAAATGTCAGAAAATATCACAGAGATATATATATATATCTCTATATATACCTTGCTAGCAGTAATCACAAGTTGAGGTTTCAAAGGTTGTGTCCTGATTTCGTTCACGGAATCCCCGTGGCCCAAAAGGCTCTGCACATGTGCAAGTACACAGATTATACAAGAGAGACAGTGTAGAAGATCCATAAACTCTTCATGTCATTCTAAAGCTTTGTAAAAATGCAGTGATAATACCTTATGAATCCTTTCATTGTTGACATCAATGACTCGGACTATGCCTTTCACTCCTCCAGCCGCAACAAATGGGTTCCCAATAACATCACAAGCCCAACTTACAGTGTAAAATGACTCCTCCTTCTGATCTCCAGAGCACATAGACATAAACCCCAAATGGCCTCAATGAAAACTTCACTTCTTTTCATTTCATAGTAAAATATGTGATAGTGTAATATGTATACTTCCTTACATCTTCATCAGTGTAGGATTGCAATGCAGTTATGGTACCACCTTCAACACAATTGTACAGAGTAATCTACATAATGAGAGATCCATGAGTATTGCAACAAGGTAATGAAGTCACTCCAACTAGTTTCTAAACAGACAAAAGCCATAAACTTTCACAATATCTCCAATACCAAAAAGCTTTAAACTTTTAACGAATTCATAGTCACTAATGAGCTAAGTATGTCTGCTATTTGAAAAGGAACCAATCAGGCAAAAGTTTCAATTTTTCGGACAAGGGAATCGACAACATCTCATGGCAACAATCAGGAATCCTAAAATCAAACGAAAAAAAGAGAAATTTCTAATTGCGGATTCCATTTCGATCAAAACCTAAACAGACCCAGGATTGAAATCTTAAATGGGGATTTCAAAAGACGATTTTTTTTTTTTTTATACCCGATTTCCACCAGCGGTGGCGAAGACTTTGAAGAAACGAGAATCGATGAAGTTAAAAACAAGAGCGTACAAAGGTTTCTTCCCTTCTTGTATCCTGTTTGTTACTTTGTACGATTTCTTGTTCGATGGAATCAAAGACCCAACAAGTGATTCGTTCCCTAAAGCTATCTTCGACATCTGTAACGCTCTCTCTCTCTCTCTCTCTCTCTCTCTCTCTCTCTCTCTCTCTCTCTCTCTTCCGCTTTCTCGCTCTCTCGCACACTGCACTAAGTCTAAACTCACGAGGCTCATGCACTAAAAAGTCTTTTGTAAGTTTCGATTAAACACAAATTAGCCGTAACCGTCGTAGAGACATGCGGACAGAAATTACTTCTGACCTGACAACTATCAAAACTTTAAAAAGAACAAAAGAAAAAGAAAAAGAGACCAGAATTTAAGGAAACCGAAGTTACTATCCGACACGATAATTTTGGTTTATTTTATAATCAAAAGAGATTACGCTTTATAATCTAAATTATTATTTTTTTGATCTAGAATCGAAAATTAATTGAATATTTTATTGATTCAATCGGAATTTATTTATCTGGCTTTTTTGTTTTAGAAATTGTATATGATCGAATTTTTTTTTAAGTTGATATGGTATTAATTTACAATTTGGTATCATTGGAATTGACCACTCAACAACCTAGTACAAGTTTTATAAAAAAAAACATGTTGACATTCGTATTAGTCGGACTTAATCTGTTACACCAGTGCTAATCAAACAAAGAAAAAATGTAGCATTACAATTTTAATTGTGACACTAATAGTGTTTAAATCAATCAAACATATAGTACATAATTGGTTTGGCTGTAGAACTTTTCTAAACTCTTTACATCATTTGTTTTTCAACCCGTCTCTAAGTGTTTTAGTAGGTCTTATTGAGCGAAAACTAGAAACTAGAACAACCCAAAAAACAAAAGAAACAAAGCCAACTCAGGTGGTCTAATACAAGACAACTCAGTTGAGTTGCTTTTCCGTTTCATAGTACCTTTTATCCTTTTTATTCTTTCAAGTGACAATCCTTATTTTATGAAAGTTTGATTTTCTTAATAATTTTTACATTATAAAACAATTCAAAAGTAAATCAAAACCAAAATACATTAGTTTGAATAAATAAATATTCTTTTTGTTTCATAATAAATTATGTTGATTTTTTTTCCACCTGATAAATGAATAATATATTTTTATAAAAAATATCCATTATAATTTTTCTAAAATCAATTTAATCAATAATAAAACAAACTAAAGAATATAATTGATCGCAAAACATTAAAAATTAATAAATTTTGCATGGAAAAATGTGTTACTTTTTTATATCTCGCACGAAACCGATCGGATAGTTAATGCATTTGTATCGAAAAGCACGCTCATGTTGTCGAGTCGAAGCATGCTTCCCAACATATATGACATCTCGATCAGAATAACGAATTGTCATATACTTTTAGCATAATTTATTATTTGAAAACCGACAAACAACATTAAATTATGATCCGATAAAAAGTTGAGTTACATTCACCTACCTTCCCTTAAGACGGACGATTTATTTTTTACACATTTTAGAAATTAATTGTCTGGTAAATCTTAAAATTTCGTCTTGAACAATAAGTTAGTAGTTTAAGTTGTTGCTCTTTGAAAACTATAACTTGAGAAATTTTAAATCTGTTTAGTTTTAGAAAAGTTTGAAATTATATTCATGAACGACGACATTAGGAAAAAAAATATATCAAAGATCTATATAAAGAATATATAATTTAGCAAGATTCAAGACGCGAATTAAAAATAAATAAAATCATTTTTAAAATAAAAATGGAGAAAATCTATTCCATATGAGAAAATCCTATCAAGTCTATAAATCAATCCATTTCTTCTCATCAAATTAGCTACAAGAATAATTTCTGAGGTTCCAAGGAAAAAGGTCTCTAGTTGTAAGCTTTGATCCTTGATCTCTTCAGTCTTCTCATGTTTTTTTCATGGTTGTCTTACACAAATTTTACCGTTTCTTTAGATTTAACGTCTATTTTTCGAATTTAAGCTCGTTTTTTGTCATGTAGCAATCATGATTTGTCGATAATCACATTTCTCATGCCTTGCTGTTACTCTCGAAATACGTACGTATGTATACGCATAAAAAAATCGCACGTATACTTGTCTATGAGTATAAATATGCACCAAAGCAATACACGATCACCACAAGATTAGAGGATCGTTTTAGTCTCAGATCTGAGAAAGAAAAATAGACCAACTAAAACTTGTGTGGATCGGTTTGCATAATCTCTGTAAGTCTAGTATGAACACACACCGTGCATGCCCATTCTCATACTTCATGTTTTTCTTCGAATAAAGGCTTTTCTCATACTTCATGTTTGTTTATATTTTTCTCTCAAAAATGTTTTTGCAAACTGTAAGTTCACTATATTCTCTAAAAATCTCTATTTATTTGTTACTGATTTTCTTCAAATTTTGATGTAGCAAAATGGAGAACGGGTTGGATTTAACACTGAGGCTGAGTCTGCCAAGTCCGATCACTGTTGACACAAATCTGAGCATCCGCACTCCCTCCACTGATCAGGTTTGATTTCATTAAATTTTGTAGATCTTTTTTCACTGTAATTGATTGATGTGGGCTTGAATAAATATGGAGGAAACAAAATCTTTCCACAGTATATGGTAAGTTAATCGTAGCCTAGTGAGCTTTTTTCGGTTTTCTTAGCAAAAACGTTATGTTCAAAACCAAGAGCTTACACCCAAAAGCTTGAGACACACATTACATCGATGAATGATCTTTGCGAGCTGTTTTTTTCTTGATCTAGTTGATAAGATTTTTGGCAAAAACATGTCTACTTTCATCTTTGTCATGAAACACCTCAAGATTATTTTTTAATTTAAATTCATTGAACTATTATTAAATTCATTAATCTTGTTAAAAAACGGTCTTAACTCTTAAAGCTGAAGAGGAAAAAAACATTCTGTCCTTATCATCATTTGTTTGTTTACAAATTAATTCTCATTTTATTAGCACTACATATAGAAATTTATTACACAACTATGCGTTAACTGCTATAATTAAATAAAATTTAAAATAATGATTAAAATAATAAACAGGGAATCAACGTCGTCTACGGTGGCCGCCGAGACAACAACGTCGGCGGCGGCATGGAGATTCATCACCGCAACCGTAACCTTCCTTGGGACGCCGATGAAGTGAGGAGAGACGCCGAACTTGTTAGAAACAACATCAACGTCAATGTCAGAGTGTACAACTTAGTCTTCAACCAGTTCGCCGGCATGGGCGAGACCTTGAACTTCTCTCCTTACCCGATGCCTGCGTCTTCATCTTCGGATTCGTCTTTGACTCCGGCGCCGGCGGCTCCTGCGGTGAATGAGTATGTTCTCATCGATGTTCCTGCTAGGAGAGCATATCGTAACAGCACTTTGGCGGCTGAAAACGCTCTGGACGCAAACGCAAGCCAGAAGTGCCGTCAAGGCTGCCGTGGCTGCTGCTGCAGCCAGAGGAAGTGTACCAACATTAACTGCAACGCAGTTAGCACTCCTATGTGGCGTAGAGGTCCTCTTGGTCCAAAGGTAATTTAATCTAATTATTTTAAGATGGTCAGCTAATTAATCAGGTTTTTGAATATTAATTACGTTAATTTGGTGAACTTGTTTCAGAGTTTATGCAACGCTTGTGGGATCAAGTACAGGAAGGAGGAAGACAGGAAGTCCAAGAGAGCTCAAGCAAATGATGCGACTACTCAAGCAAATTGAGTGATTGTGTTTAACTAAAAATAAATAAAATGAGAGAGGAAGTGTTTGTTGTTTCTGCATGTTATTGTGTATGTCTCTCTGTTTAAGGTTTTATTTTGTTGTTGTTAAACTCTGTTGAAGGTTTATTTTTGTTAAAGAAAGCTTAAGTTTGTGAGATTTAAGCTATTGTAGTGGGAAGGTCTTATCATTTACAAAGTTAATGAATTTGGAGCTTTTTTTATATATAATGGAAAACATTACTTGCTTGTATTGAACAATACATTTTTGGTCATAACTCATACCAAGATATCAAAAAAGTTGGTAGACTGATACAAAAAGAAAATAATTTTACTCATTTTGATAAAAAGAATTTCCAGGAATGTTATTCTTTATTCTCTCTAGATTATATTGCTATTGCTGTGATTTTTTCCTTTTGCTGTTTTTTTTTTGTAAGTGAAAGAACTGCAAATGCATTGTACGGTTCAAAATTATGTGTCAGCAGGATAAGATTTTAGTATTTCTAATTACGATAAGCAATAATGACCATATCTTTCAATTTTTTTTGATAAATTAAATGCTGGCTGTGTATAGAAATAATCAGAAAAAAATAGATAGATATCTATTGGTTTTACATTACCAAAAAAAAAAAATTTACTTTCTGCTTTCACATTACCAAAATAAAAATTACTTTCTGCTTTTACATTACCAAATAAAAATGAATTTCTGCTTTTAGATAAGTTTTGATTTAATTAATTTAAAAATTAGATTTATGAAAGCGACGTATGGACACAATTTTCTTGGACATAAGATCAAAAACGAAATCTACTAAAATCAAAAGAAAAAACAATAAGGTCCATTGAGGAGCAAAGATAGCACAAGTATGCTCCTCTTTCATGCATCATCACCTTAAGCTTCTGTGTTACAAAAAAGAAGAAGAAGCAAAGGCCTCTCTTTAACTTACCAAAATAACAACACTGAGTTCCTAACAAGAGACCATCCGTTAGATATCTGTCTACCTCAAAACATGCTGTTAAACTATATACCCCCCCCCCCCCCCCCATCCACTTTGGTATCTTATTGAACAAAAATGGTGATATTGTTCCCTTTTTATTGGATGATCATAATACTTCTCAAAAATAAAAGGACTAGTCAGAAGAAGAACCATTCACGAACCATCTTCACAAGTGAGTCGCCTGAGCTTGCTTTTCCGGCATAGTCCAACATCTCTACTGTCTTCATTGTTGCCTTCATCTTCTACAACCTTTTCCTTTTTTATCACCGAACCTTTGTTCCTTGACCGCTTTCTTGTCTGAGAATCTTGTTCTGATGCAAAGCCACAAGCATACGAAGCAACTTTGGTTTCCCTGTGTGGCATCAGCTCCTCACCCTCTGCCACCATTGCCCTCATTGGCTATCAAATAATCACCAAATTCATTAGCTTAACTAATCACTGAAAATCAAATGAGACAGTAAATTTTCAATTTGTACCTCCCAATCTTTGTAATCATATCTAAATACGAAATGGTTGTAAACCACTTCCCCTGACATCACCAGACTCGCTGCAGGACCATTCCTTGGCACTGAAGAAAAAACAAGGACAATGAGATAAGTTTGAAAAACAGTTTTTACTTTTAGGGACAAAAGGTGTGATCTTACCGGCAAAATGAGAACCATTGTTCTCGACAACTATCTCAACTCTTCCGTCTTTCACCAAGAACGATAGCGCAAACAGATTCTCTACTGTCTGTGCAAATGATCTCCTGTTCAGCACCAGATTCTCAACCTTGACACGTTTGTTTCTCCGCAAGATGTTGAACATGGTTGCCATGTTATTGTCCGTATCAGTTTTCTTTTCAGTTTCTGTTTCATCAACCTGGAGGAGTCAAAAATATGAACAGAATCCAAAATCAGTTTCCTTTCTAATCACATTCAATCATAACACCAATTGAACAAAAGCTCCACATGCATTACAACATTGATAGAAACTTCAGGCTAAAACAGAACATCTCTTACCTCCTCTGGCTTAACACCTCCAACAGGCTTGGTACGTCTTCTGTATACCAATGCCTTTTTCCTTTGTTTCAATTCATTATCCATAGGACCCATCCTGCAACAGATGCAGATTACAGTATAAACAAACAAACAACAAGTTTCAAAACATTCAAAATCAGTTAAGCAAGTTCATGTCCTAAAGGAAGCACTTTTTTTTGGTAATGAGAGAGCTTACATTGTTGAGAAACCACATGTTACCATGACAGGAGAGCAGACAGCAAAACCAATGTCCTTCCACTTCATAGACACTTGCGTATTTTCATCGATTCCTAAAGAAGTGTTCCCAAATCCTTTGATCAAGGCATTAACAAACTCGGCTGGAGAAACACCATGAGCAGATTGAGACTTCACCGACGAAACCAAGTTATTAGCCAAGTCCAAAAGCGCCTCCGCATCTGCAACTTGCTCTCTAGGCTTCTGCACTGCACAAAACAAAACAAAAAGAAAAGAAAACAAAATTAGCAAGCTTTCTACAACTAGTATACAAGACAACAGTACATAAGCTCTTAAATGCATAAAGATACCTTTTTGATGCAAATTCTCAACTTCATTGATGATACGGTTGAATTTTTCAGAATCAATCGTTGCTAAATCATCTTTCGAATCTGTACCAATAATAGCAGTTAAGTCAGAAAACTCAAATCCAGTGGAGGATCAAAAAAAGACAAACTTTAAGAAAAGGCAATACCTTTAATCTCGTGAATAAGAGCGAGGTACTGAGATCTCAAAGCCCTCCGATCGGCGGCTCCTTGTTCTACCTCCTGAGTCGGCGGCTCCTCAGGCCAAACAGAGCCAGCTCCGCTCTTACTCTGCTTTTCCTTCTTCACAATCTTCGGCCTCTCCGACTCAAAGGCCTCTCTTTTGACGACTCGGGCTCCTCTCTTACTCTGCTTTTCCGTCTTCACAATCTTCGGCCTCTCCGACTCAAAGGCTTCTCTTTTGCCGACTCGAGCTCCGGTCGCTACCGGTTCTCGCTTTACTGAGCTCCTCCTCATGATTGATACCAGAAAAATCGGAAAGTGGAAGGTAGAGATTATAAGAAGAAGAAAAAACCCTAAACGGAGGCCAGAAGATGAAGCGACAAATTTGGGATTTTTTATTTATTTTAGTAGACAGGACGTCGGTTAAATTTCCCGCCGAGAATAATGATTTTGTTAAGTTCGAAGCATAGAGAAAATTTTAAATTTGTTAATATGCCTTGTCAAACCAATAGAAAACGGAAAAATAAAAATAAAGGTATTTAAGAATACCTCATTTCTGTAAGATGTTTTGTTTTTTTTTTTCTTTTTGGGTTTGTGTGTGTTGGTGTGAGGTGTGTTCGATCGCTCGAACTCGTTGGTAGAGAACACTGGCCCATGCTCATATACCAACGAGCCACTTGCAACGAACACGTTCTCTATCGAAGAACAATTTTTAATATCGGTTTTTGTAATAAATAATCATCCTTGTCGGTCCGTAGATCATACGAAACACATGTGTAGTATTGCCATTGATCATCATCAATTCAGCATATAATGTAAACAAAGGTTAGCAATTTAGCATATATATATATTAATTCATGGACCACTACAAAATGTTAGCCAAAGCTAAACTAATGCGTCTAAAAAGGGCAAAAGAAAGGTATTTAAGAATACCTTAAATCACTGTGAATTTTTTTCTTTTATTTCCTTCTTCCTTTGTGTGTTTGTGTGCTCGTTCCCTCGTTGTATGAAACATTGACCAATGCTCTAATACCAACGAGCCACTTGCAACAAACACGCTCACTATCGCATATAACTTTACATATTGGTTGGTTCGTGTAGAAACATATCAAACTTTTCAATCATCAAGCGAGTTTAAAAAGACTTAAAAACATAATAATGAAGGAAAAGATTTAAGAGAAATTCCAAATGATATATAATATGACAACTTACAATGTGTTCATCCCCAAGTATGGGGTCTGTAACTAAAAAAGGCTGGTGATGATGACAGAGTTTCAACCAGCCGAGACAAGACACAGTAACAGAGTTTCAGAGACTCTTACAAACACAGTAGCAGAGAGACAGAGGGACATACCCATAAAATATTACATGGTGTAGAGTGAATGTAATAATAACACCAAATACCCAAAAAAAAAGAGAGATAAAAATATCAGAAGATGAAATTCTACTACCAATCCCAAGACTTTAGAACCAAATGGATACATCCTGCTGCTTCTGCTGAATACCATCCATCGTTCCCATTACTCCTGGAATTGTCATATCATCTCTGTAATCGAATGACGCCATATCGAACGGTGTAGAATCAAACACAAGTTGGAACCTGTTGCTGTTATTGTTGTTGATATTTGCACCTTCAAAGTTGTTGTTGCTGTTGTGGTGAGGAGCCTCGAACTTAAACCCATTGCTGTTGCTCCCTTGGAAGAACGTTTGATTGCTGTTGTTCACGTTGTTGTTGCCTCTGTTAGGGATGTTCAGGTCCTCGAAGAAACTTCCTTCCACCATGTTTCCTTGGAACTGGAGATGTTCTTGATGATGATTCTGCACCGTTGGCGGCTGAAGAGTCTCCATAACCATAGAAGCTTGGCTTCCCTGGACGTTTCTGTCGTACATTGACATAAGCTCAGAGATCATCTTCTGTCCATCTTCAGGCACTCCAATTCCGGTTAAGTCAATCGGTTGGACCACAGAGTTCACAGGCCTTGGCTGAGCAAAACCACCAACAACAGGCTTCACTTCATTAACATGGTACCTGGACACTCCTCCTCCTGCTCCATACGGTAAGCAACTCTCACGATGTGGACAAACCAACTGATGATTGTCTCTCGCGTTCCTATCAAGAAACCCTCTACTAATGTCACTATGCGCACACACAAGATTCTCACAAGTGAACACTGCTGTTCTGTCCATCACACTGTTGACCTCTCTGTTCGGTTTCCTCTTCCTCATGAACTCCGAGTTCCCCATTGGAACTTCCTCCTTGACAACTTTACCAGCAGACATCCCAAAGTTTGACAAAGGCTTAACCTCTTCCACTTCCGAACCTTCAACATCATACTGACTACAATCATTCATCAGAAGCGAGCAACTTCCACCGCCAGACAAAGAAATCGGAGGACAAGACTCAGGGTAAAGCTCTCTAGCCAAAGACTCCTCCTGGTTAATAATAGCAAGCCACGTCGCACTCTCCTTCGCAGTCATCTTATCCTGCAAGCACTTACTCTGCCTCACCAGCTTCCGGATCTTAGCAATGTCAGGAAACATATGCTTGATCACAGCAGTCAAAACTCCAACTTTCCACGCCTTCTTCAAGTCATGAGGCTTCTTGTAAGGAGCAGGGCCTTGATCTTTAGGTAAACCAAGTTGCGGCCACCAGTCTTCTTTCCCGTTAGGCCACCACGGAGGAGGCACACCTTTCTCCAACGGGAACCTCCTCTGAGGAGGATCACAGTGCTGCATCAACGCCGAGAGAAGCGACCCTAAAGTCGTGTCTTGAAGCTCTTGCAGAGTATGTGGAGTCGGTCCAATCGGATTGTTCCCTTCGTGAATCCCGGGGATGTTGTTCTCGGCTTGGTACTTGGTTATCGCGGCGGGACCATTCCGGTCGAACCGGACTTTATCTTTCCACCACTCACGGAGGTTGTCAGAAGCGCCGGTGACCGGTTTCCCGTTCTCCGGGATGATCCCGTAGACAAAGCCCTGAGCTTTGCAGACTTCCATCATCTTCAGCATGTACTTCAAGATCCCGTCTTGCGCTCTGGACATCTTCTTCCTCCTCGCCTGCTCCTGGGACTGCCTCTGCTTCGCGGCGTCGACGCCTTCTTTCCCCTTGTCCTGCTCCTTGAGACGCTTCAGCCGCATTTTGTCTCTCCACATCCTCCTCTCGAGCTCGTCCACGTCGATCTCGTCGTCGGTGTAGTCGTCCTCCACGATCGAGTCCGGTTCGGTTTGCGGCGCCGGGCAGAAGTCGACTTCGCCGAGAGACCCGGATGGGAAGAAGTCCATGTTCCCACACATTCCCATCTCGTTAAACATCATCGAAACCGATCCAAACCTGGAAAAATCGAGAAATCGATACATAAAATTAGAGCGATCATTTACGTTTTTTTTTTCCTCAAAGTATCAAACTTTCACTCCTATCTACAGATTCGATATCCACCGGAGATTCCCCAAATATAGAAATGATCAATCTTTGACGAAAGAGAAATGAAATTAAACAAGGAAAACGAAGATAAAAATGGAAACTTTGACATAATTATCATATAGATCATGGATATCGAAATCTGAATAAAGCAATTTAAGATTCATCAAAACAAAAAAAAATGAAAACTTTAAAATTAGTATTTATATGATTATATCTTAAGTAAACCCGTCGATCTAGCGAAAACCTCCACCAAAAAAAGTGGGAAATGATCTATCTATTATCAATTTATCATCTTCTTCTTTAGTAATCTAAAACCCAAACAGATGAACACAAATAGAGATAAGAATCAGTTTGGAGAAAGCGCGAAGTAGTTTTACCTTTGAGAAAAGAAGTAAGCCCCAATAGAAATGGACGAGATATGTGAAAAAGGTGTGTGACTTTCTCTTCTCTGGTTTACCGGAGAAAAAAAGAATATAAACCCTAATTCATCAAAAACTCCCCCAAAAAGACGAGATTAGAGGAAGAAGAAGAGAGCAAGAAGGAAGAAAAGTCGACGAAAGATCACGTGGGTAGAAAGCGACTTTTGTTTAATTGCGTTTCTTGCGTTTGTGGAGTCTCTGTAGATCAGGGAGAGAGAGGGTAACTATATATATGTATATATTTTTTTATTACACGAAAATGTTTTTTTATTACACGAAAATTTAAGAGGTTCATTTATTGTCAGTTGATTATTAAAATTAGTTTCAGACGCGCCTTTTGGCACTACTCACTGCTCCTCGTTCGGGTTACTTTTGTTCAATTTTTTTATTACGCGGTATGAATTAAATTGTCTTAAATATTTATTTATTGCCGCGAAACTCTTTTTACGTTATTTCTCTCACTGCTTTTCTTTTTCTCAAGAATAATTTAGAAAATGGATCCATTATCCATACAACCATACCTCTCATTAAAATAGCTCCAAAGAAAAAGAGAGAAACGCACGAACTTTTTTACATGACTGACGTCATCGACAACTATTATCGATTAGGACAAAAATAATCTCTCAAGAGGTAAGAAAACATTTTAATAAGTTTTCGAGCTCTAGAATTTTAAACTAATTATTAATCACGTTCTCCAATACGTTTGTTGAAACGCACCAAACAGAGAGTGTTAAATTTTATGCTTTCTTTTTTCACTTTTCGAATCTCTAAAATCTGACAAAATTATTCAAAGAAAGAAACACAAGTGAAACACGTTACTGAGAGTAATAGCAATGAAGTTGTAAATAGTAATACAAACATTTTACAAGATGAGTCTGAAGACAAAATTTGGACTGTGAAGATCAACGAAGTTGGAAGTGTTGGGATTTAAGTGTTGAAGATAAATATTTTCTCTGGGTTCTTCACTAACTCCACTCTGTGTTGCATACTCTAATGCCATCTCGTAATCCACCTGAAACCACCAGAAAGATCCATCAAAAACAATGGTGATGATGCAGTGGAAACTTATAAAAAAGACAGTGACTGATGCAAAACAACACAAACCTGTTCCACATGCTCAGCAAGCTTTTCTTTCAACGTTTCCTTTGTGATTACAAGTTTTGACACTTTATCAAGCATGTTTATGTCTTCCTCTCTGTAACGTTTTCGCTCTGTTGTATGGTCTTCTGTCATTTGTTTAAGAACATCGAACACTGCTCCCGTTGCATCCGGGATGTATCTGCAACATTTGTTTTTTTTTTTGGTTAAGGTCTGTAGCAAAGACGCTGCTCACATTATGAAAAGGAATCTGATCTGTTTATCTTTTTACCTGGTCAAACTGCGTTTTCGCTCTTGTTGTTCGCGAGCTTGCAGTCTCTTGACTATTTTGGATTTCAGTTGGATGCAACATTGTTGAATAGCAGACTATGATGGAAGAAAATTGCCCAAAGTTAGCTTTAACAAGTTGCAGACAATGTCGAAAAGTCATTTATGTTACCTTGACTGCAGTAGCTATCTCACTGATGTCATCTCCTATGTACTCTTTCCCTGTGCCTTTGAAAGGAATTTTTGTACTCACTATGCTCACAAATACTCCTATTTTGTCCTGTGTCTGGTTAATCTTATAGCTACTCCAACTGCAAAGTTTATTAAATAACCATTAAGTACAAAAGTTGGAAGAAAGACACTAATTTGAGTGAGATATAGCAAAGCTAAAGAAGAAGTCTCACTTGATTCTCTTTAAGGCTGTCCTGGTGACTACATCACCTCCTTGTTCAAACAGGAGAGGAATACGGTTTGCAAAACGGAATATGTTGATCCCCTGTCATTTCAGTTCCCACAAATTCATAAGAAGAAAGTAAAAGATAAATATTGTGGCAAGACGTAAGAAAAAAACTTAAAACTTTTGAAGTTTTTACATGAACAAACATAAGGGAAGGATATGGCTTGCCTGTTTCACATCTCTTCCTCCCACACTAACACCAGCTTCAACAATGAATGGATGACCTTCAAAGACCTGAGCACTGAGAGTTTCCAGGAAGAAGTCAACACTTAAAGAAGGTAAAGCTTGACAGATGACTTTGTTATCAGATAACTATTAAAGCACTCCAAATTTAAATCAGATTAATTTTCAGAAACTCAAAGGTTAAAGTAACAACCTGCCTGAATGCGTTGCAACCATATCTGGATGCAGCTCCTTGATAATCCCTAGACGAAGATTGTATTCTCCTGCCGGGCTAAGGCACTACAGGAGAAATCCAAAGTATGATTTGAGCTAACTTTTGCAGATGCTCTAATAGCTTAAAGTTTTATAAGAGCCTTGAGAGAGGCATAGTGACAATAAAGCAGTTCTCAATGAACAGTTAAGAGAAAGTAGCTGCTTACATCACCACTAGGATCGTCGAATTTAGCTTGGCGGAACAACTGATGTATGCGTACCATTTGCTGAGATGTCACAGTTTTGACAGCCATGCTAGGGCTGAAATCGGGTCCCATTTCCCCTGAAAGAAAGAAAACAAAGCATAATACAACAAACTGTCTAATCCACTAGGACATGTGATATCAGATATTTCCATTGGCCAGGTAAAAGTAATGTCAAATGTGTTGCGACGGGAGATATAAGACAACTTCAAACTTATATAAACAAACGAGATCGGTGTCATACTTACCAATTAATCGCGTTGCAAGGTTTTTGTTAATATTCACAAATTCATTCTGAACAAACTGCAGAAGGGTCTTCTTGGAAGTGTCTGTAATAAGTCGCTTGATAAGCAGCAAGTCAACAGACGAAGGATGGTGCTTTGTCTCGACAGGAATTGGAGGCATCACATCAGTTCTTCGAGTAAATTTTATAGTGACATTTTTCCTACATCAAACAGAAATGGAACAACTTAATAATGCTGCACATGAACAGATAAAGCTGTGTGACATAGAAGCAAGAAGACAGAGGACAGAGATCATACTCAGGTGTTTCTGATATAAATCTAAACACAAACTGCGCATAAGGAGTAATAACAGCCATTTGGCGCATATAGTGTAAGATCTTTGACTGGAAAAAGAAGAGATAAAATGTGTTAGACAACTGTGCACGCACAAATATCTAAAGAAATAGGATAAAGCGAAAAGATGATCTAAACCACGTACTCTGTATGTTGTCCAGTTTCCCTCAATTACCACATGTATTTCGGCCCCATGCCATTTCTCTTTGTTGGCCTTCTTTTCGTGTAGATGAATATGAGGAATGTTCCTGAAAAATTCAAAGCATTCATGGCTTATCTGTCACTGCGCATATATATAAACCGTTAAACCGCTTTCGAGAAGCTGTTCATGTGTTAAAGGGGTACCTGTGAATATCAATATCCAGTCTGCAGAACGTAACATAGTTTTGGCTCTTCATAGATGAAGTGATCTCTATGGGGAGGCCTGTACTCATTTTGGACCAAATTAAGGCCTGCACGCCAGGAAATAAAACAGAGAAACTAGAAGAGTTAAAAAGGTTCTCTAGGAAAAATTTAGATATTTGTTGCAAACTGTTAACACAAGACCCTTAGATTTCAAACATGAGAAGGAAAGAGTACCATCTTTGCACCCAAACCAAACTTTCCACGTGTTTGCTTCAGTCCATACTTCGTCCCAGACAAAACTGTAAGAAAGAACAATACTTGAATCTAGCCTCGAGATAAAAGCTTATTATAAGAGTGGCCATTAGCTATTTACCTCTTCCAAACATATTAGGAATGTCATCGTGTGGCATCCCCTTACCATTATCCTACATTATGATCAACTCAAGTCATAAATCAACAAACGTATAAGAACATATTTTAGGATCTGCAGGTATAAATATTATATATAGACAGAAGTTGACACACACATAAATCCGTAGAATAAAATGAAAATTGTTCAAATACTCACCCTACATGTAACCTTGTAATAGTTTGCTTCCCCACGAGCCTTTAAAACCTTTGAGACTCCAGGCTCTTTGTTTTTCTTACCCGACGCCAAATTTTTAGCTTGTATCTCACTGGCACGAGCTTCCTTTACTAACCTTTTCTACATAGCAGGAAAACAACTACAAAAATCAGAATTGTTAACTAATCATGCTAATCCATGAACATATTGCAGAAGGGTGAAACAGTGGAACTTCTTGAACATTAAAGAAGATGAGAGCAATTAACACAGAGTTCACGCACCTCACGGGCCTTCTCTGTCTCGTAGTCATCATACAGCTGCGTGTCAACACGTTCCCGGTCGATAAGACCAATCATGGCATTAAACTTAGATTTTCCAATCTCTTCGCTTCAAAAACAAAAACAAGACAGTCAATCTACAGATGGGATTATCATCACATGCTTCATCTCAAAGTATTAGTCTTTAAGGCAAACCAAGGAACGTACATTGTTACTTCAATCTCAGGGAGCTCTGAAATCGACTCAGCAGAATCAAGAGCGTTTTCAACAAGCTCTCTCACTGTAGTGTAAAGCGACTTCCCTGGCTGAAATCCACAATTCACCACTCAATTATCAAAAGTTTGAAACATTGTTGAGAAAGGTGATACTGAATTGAACTACAGAGATTGAAAAATTTGTTAATTACTCACATTATCAAATCCAGCAATGTTCTTATTCTCCGCGAAAAACTCAGCTGGAGATTCTGCAAATTCAAAAAGAGAATCCATTTCAGCTCTATGAACACGCAATTACACTCGAAATACGCAGAGAGACAATAGCGTTACTTTGCTTGAGAGTGCTCTCTTTACTGTTCTTAGTGTTCTTCGCGCTTCCCTTCTTCGTTTGAGCTTGACTATCATCGCCCGCCATGACAAAGCTCGAAACAACAACAAAAATTGGAGAATTGAATAAGATAACTAAAAATCAAATCTTTTCAGTACAAAGACTAGTTCCGATCAAATTCAAAGCAGGATCTCTAGGGAAACTCGATGAGAAATCGGAAAAGGGCATATCAGTAATTTCCCTGTATAGCGATTCAATCAATTCGATGTGCACATAAATAGCGATTGCGATTGGACGAGTAAGCGGTTGCGAATGCGTTCGACGTCTGCGGTTGAGTAAGCCATCACTATCAACTGTAATTTTGTTTGGATCAAATACAAAATCTCACTCGGAGATCGACGAGAAACGAAACAATGGCGAATCCTTCTCCTCCTGGAATTGCGATTCTCGGAGCTGGGATCTTCGTTAAAACGCAGTACATTCCTCGGTTAGCTGAGATCTCCGATCTCGTTGTCCTGAAAGCGATTTGGAGCCGTACTGAGGTAACATTCTCATTTCCCATTTTCGAAAGAGTGAACTATCGTCTGGGTTAGATCAATGCGCTTGATTTATGAGATGTTTATGCGAAGAATCTGATTGAATATCTAGATTATACAAATGGAGCTTGATTGTTATAGTTACCCATTAACGAGATTACTTGCTAAATACATACCAAAACGTCAATAGGCTTTGCACCGATCGAATCGTGAGGAGATATGGTAAATTTGGTGATTGTGGTTTTTGTTATGGTTTGAAGGAATCTGCGAAAGGAGCTGTGGAGATAGCAAGAAAGCATTTTCCTGAAGTGAAGTGCAAATGGGGAGATGAAGGTATGAATGAGATTATTCAAGACAGTTCGATAGTTGGTGTTGCTGTAGTTGTAGCTGGGCAAACCCAGGTATCTTTGATCCTAGTCTCAACACATGCGTACAAATCAAGTTGGAACAATACTGAAGAGTGGGTTTTTCAAAATCTTATTCTTTAGGTTGAACTGTCACTGAAGATGCTCAAGGCAGGAAAGCACGTCCTTCAAGGTGACTTGTCCACTTTCATTTATCCTAAAAGACTTTTTTTTTTCTTAGCTGCATTCGATAGCTCAAACATGGATAATCAGCCTTCTGCTACTATAGTTTAAAAGTTAAAAACGGTCAATGAAATTTTGATTTTTGGCTTTGCCTTACCTTTTCTAAAGGGGCATGCGTTGCTTTTATGACTGTTTTGTTTCGTGAAAAACAATGTCATTACTACTTGGAATTGTGTCCCAACTAAATTTTCTTCTTTTTGATATGTATGTTGCTGTTCTGGATCGGCTTGCAGAGAAGCCAGCTGCTGCTTGTAAGTTTACCACTGCTTTTGTTTAATTTACATCCATCTTTATTTAATGAGATATGTGTAGGATTTCTCTGGCCCATAGTCATTTTCTCTTGTTTACCATGACCCGTTTATAGTCAAACTTAAAGACGTCCTGCTTGTTCCACTCTGAAGTGAAGACAAGATGATTTCTTCCTTTTGTTTTAAAAACGTTTTTTTTGTTGCAGCAATCAGTGAGATAGAAACTGCAATGTCAAACTACAAAAATATATCTGCTGATTCCCCAAGCACTCCTATCTGGGCTGTGGCTGAAAATTATCGTTTTGAGCCAGCTTTTGTTGAGGTAAGTGTTACTTATCGTCTTCTTGGCACTTCCGGTTGAGAAAGTAACAATGTGCTTGATATATCTGATGATTGCTTTCGGCAGTTGAAGAAACTGGTAGCAGAAATTGGGGATATGATGAACGTGCAACTTATTATTGAGGGATCAATGAACAGTTCGAATCCTTATTTTTCAAGCTCCTGGAGGCGAAATTTGGGTGTACGTAATGTCAAACTCTGTTGCATCTTGCTAACACTCTGCTTGCTTAGAGTTTAACTTAAGAATCATAGGGCTCCAAATGCTATCATCCTGCTACAATGATTTTGCTCTACGCTGGTTCTTTCTTTGCAGGGTGGTTTCATCTTGGATATGGGTGTGCATTACATTGCTGGGTTAAGAATGGTAACCATAAAACTTCATTGACTAATAAGCTTCTTCGATATACCGCTTTTGGATCCCAAATATGATTGTATTGGTTTGTCATGAACAGCTTGTTGGATGCGAGGTAACATCAGTCTCAGCCACCACTTCCCATGTGGATAAGACTTTACCTGCACCAGACAATATAACATCAAACTTGTAAGTGTATATTACATCAATTCATATTTCTTAGCTCATTAACTTCACATGAATGCTACTAATCCAAGACGTTTCTTTGCTCCATAGTCAACTCGAGAACGGATGCTCTGGGGTTTTTGTTATGGTTGTGTCTTCAAGGTCTCCAAAGGCATGTAGTAAGACTTAGATGTTTTACTTTCGACAACGATTTAGCCTAAGATTCATAGTTTTTCTCACAGAAATTCTATTGTTTTAGATATTATGGAGAGTCGTAGGACTAAAGGGAACTGTTCAACTTGAGCGTGGAGTCCAAGATGGCCGTCATGGTTACATGGTTTGTCTACTTTAACTTGTGACAACAGTTATATCCAAATCTTGCTTGAAACTACTCAACTCAAATGGCTCTGATCTTCTGAGCTTTTCAGGCCACGGTTTACGGGGAAGGAGGGACATCAAGGACCATCTTTTACCCGTTCTGCGGAGTGACTGAAGAGCTAAAAGCCTTCTTCAATGACATTTCAAAGACTTCAAAGGTAATCCTAGAATCTTAGCCTCTGAATGCAGTAACTAAAAAATGGGTATTCTGTTATCTTGATTCTCCTGATGGATTTTCTGCAGAATGAGCTAGATCCTAGACTATCATACGTGGAAGGTGCTCGTGACGTTGCTGTTCTCGAGGCCATGCTCGAATCTGGTGCAAGAAACGGAGCTGTAGTCTCTGTCAACACATTCTAGCTTTGCCTTTATCTATAAGGCAATAAACTTCAATAAGTATGATGATTTTTAAACGCCTGAGAGGCCAATGCTTTGTTTGGAATCAAGACACATGAAAATACAAACTCTATAGTATTGTTTTGTAACCAATCCTTTATTATCCCGAGTAGCATTACGCATTCTGGGTTTCTTGTTCTAAAGCTTACAATAATTACAATAAAAAAATTTCAAACAGAGTAAAAGCCTATATAACGCATCATCCAAGTTAAAAGGCAACAAAAAACACATGAATAAATTAGAACAAAAGAAACACTCCATGCGATTTGGCTGAGATGGATACAGCTCAAAGCATGTGCTCAAATCCTCCACCTTGATGCGTTGGGACTCGACCAACACCAACATTGTGAACCAACTGTTGCAGCCACCTCCTTGCGATTTGATCCTCCTGAAAAGAAAGAAACATACCCAAGTTTTTCAACTAAACCATCTCTCACACACAAACAAATTCAAAGTCTTAGCACTACAACTTACGCGAAGGCAACTGCTAAAGGTTCCATCTCGCAGTGAGTCAGGGAGACAGCTTCCGAGTGCAGCACAAGCCCTAGCACAAGTGTGACAAAAAGGCAAAAACATGTTAAAATATGAAGAATCATCTCTGAAAGAAGTTTGTTTTGAGCTAAAACTAACCTTGGATTGTCTGATAAACGGAGGTAACAACGAATGATATGCTTCAAAAGGCGCGGAGAAGGCTGCTCTACTAGTGATTGGACCATATTGCCTAGGACTCTACCAACTGCAAAAAACCGCTCTGCTGTGGTGCAAATGTAGTCCATACCAACATCATCCAGCAAGATTTTTTGAACTATGAATGTGGCAACCTGTCATTAACACAACAAGTTAAATTGTAACCACATTTTCTACTATGAAACTTTGAAATCCTAGCCTGAGATATATAAATAACTGAAAATGACAAATTCATCAATCAAAAATAGTTTTAAGATTGTCAAAAACATGAGGAGACTACCATACGAATATGAAAATGTTATGGCAAGATGAAAAGGCTTACTGTTTTTGACAGCTCACTCCCCATTTCCATAGTACGGAGGCACAGAGGAATAATTTCAGTGGAAAGAAGGAAGCTAATGACCTCTGTATCATCAACCTGCTTAACAAAGTGAAATACGGATGCCAATGACCTTTCTTGTTTCATACACTAACTATCAAAAGAAATATAAATTCTCTGAACCTCAAAACAAACAGAAGCAAAGGGACAGGATGATTTACCTTCACAAGTGCACCAATGACACCTAAGCTAGTAAGCCGCAAGTACTCGAAAGGTCTTGACTTGCTCGTTGTATTCAGGAAGGGATACAGGTACAATGGAATGTGAGCTGTGCATGCGAACGAAAAAGGCATAACAAAGAATTCATCAGTTGCCATTTCATATGAAAAATCGAAACCATACAAGAAATGTTCAATATACATATAAACCACTAACTAGCAATACAGAGACGAGATGATCTAATATAACATTTTAAAGAACAAGAGCAATACCCTTGAGAAATAACATTCTCGTGTCGGAATGAGATGCTACGCACTGCAGAGTAAGCAAGCAAGACAGAGAAGAGTATCAGGAACTTGATGGATTCAGCAGATATATGAACAAGAAATAAAACTGAGCGGAATCATCTACCTGAAGAAGGGCGAGTGAGTTGCAAACACGGTTCGACTGAGCAGGAGTCAGATTCGGAGGTGCAAGAACAGAGTAGATTGACACTATCTCCTGCATTCACACAAATAGATGAAATGAAACCAGATCATACCACACTAACACCGAACAAATAAGCATTTACCTCATCGGTTAAAGTCATTACCTGCAACAACGCAGCAATGGTACCAAAAGAGTTCCACAGTAGAGGCGCCAAATCCTGAAACAGCTCTCTTTTCTACAAATAGAAAATCACAAATTCAGATACTTAACTAGTCCAAACCATAAATTCCCCAAATCCAGAAATTGTGATAGTCTAAAACATGCAAAAAAACTTGCCCTTTATTTCATTTCATAAAATAAAAGTTCCTAACTTGAGCAAATTTATGGACTTGTCAACATCGGAAGAAGCTAACGGAAGCCCTAGCTCTTGTTCAACACGAATCTGACGAAAAGAAATAGAACCCAGATGGGAGAGATAGAGAAGAAATCATGTGAGATTAAAAGGAAAACCTTGGAAAGCTCGAGAAGAGCATTCTCTCTGAGTTCAGGATTGCTGAGATCGAGTACTAGCTGCTCCGCGGAGGCCAAGTTTCGATCTTTGTTCGCCGGAGTTCCGGCAGAAATTTGAGCCGAGGTGCTGGGACCACCGAAAGGTGTGCCCATGGAGAGAGATTGGGGTAGATTCGCCATTATTCCAGAGTCAGGAAACTTGTTTCGCTTTCTCTCGTATGTTTTACTTTCACAGAGTTTGAAGAAATTCGGTATCTCTCTGTTCTTCTGTTCTGTCTTGTATCTTTTTTTGGAAATGGCAAATGCCAATTACGCCCTTCCTCTCTCTTTTTTTTTGTTCCTTTTTTCTTTTTCAAATTACGCCTTTTCTTTTGTAGTTTCATGAAAAATAAAGTTAAAAATCACCCTATACATTAAAGGAGAAGACAAAATTATGTCTTCTAATTTTTCTGTTAATCATCAATTGAATATATAACAATACTCAATGATTTTTATCATCAAATATTGTGATAGTAACTAATTAGTAAATGTTGACAAAAAAAAAAAAAAACTAATTAGTAAATTAGAATGTCGTTAACTTCGTGAGTCTGATACCCAAATCTTTCTTTTTATATAGAAATGATGATTAAAACAATTGATTTATTAAAAATTGCCGAATCCCAACGGTGTACTCAACAAAAGAGAGTATAAAGTACAAGTACAAACTTTGAGTTAAAAAGAGAATGTATAACCGTGTCCAAATTTAAATTTAATAAAACTATAAAAATATTTTCAATTGATTTGAGGCGCTAATTAATATCAACGAAATTACATAAATGTAGTAATCATTATCAAACTGATGGCATCTAAGCAAAAAATAAATAGTCTACTAATATCAAGAAGGATCACCAAAACTATACTTGAAAGAGAAAAAAAAACTTTGATAAGTGTAATTTTTCTTCTTCTTTGTGATAGCTTTTGTACTTTAAGGTAAAAAAGACAAATACAATATACCTTTTGTACGCAACTATATTTATGGGAGGCCTAAAAAGTTGTGTTTTTTTCGAGCAAATTAAAAATATTTCAGGTATTTTAAAAGTTTTTTCTTTGTGAAATATATATGTATTTGTGTTATACTGTTTTGACTTCTGTTTACACCTGAAATTGAGAGAGGAGAGTATTGCATCTCGACAATTTCTTCTTCACCAACAAACGAAGGGCATGTACATGTACCCGAATCGAGAGCATTCCAACTCGTCAAGTTCTTCTTCGCCAACCAACGAAGGGCATGTACATGTACCCGAATCATTTTTTTAAAACAACCGATGGACACAAGTATAGGGACATGCACTACAGATCCACCGAGACTCTCCAGCAGGTAATTTGTTTACAAATTTTCAGAGGGATACATTGTTAATCAGTTGAATCTACTGTTTACTTATATTGCTCTTTTTTCTTTGTAGCTTGTGCCTGTTAGCTACAGATTTTCCATTGCCAATCATCCTAGTGATCCAGAGAATCGTTATGTCACTGTGAGGAGGTACAAGCTTGTATATGGAGAGAAGTTCCTGGTGCATTACAGAGAAGAGTTTAAACACCTTGTGATCAACGAACAAGAGGCACAACCCCGGATTCCATTTGAACCAGAGGTGTTGTTTGATTGATTCAGTGTATGGAGAGACTGAAACTTGTAATAAATGTGCTTGTGTAATAAATTAGAATCAATCTTTGCTACTTGGAAGCACACGGATTATTTTTGTCAGCTCTCATTAGCATTAGTGAAAATTTTAATTTTAAATGTGATGGACATAGCATCCTATTTCTGGATATGAAATGCATCCACCACCAACAAAGAGTTACAAGCTGCAATAATCATGTCCCCCAAAGATCTTGGACCTTTGAAGGAAGAACACAAACATACTTGAAGCTTACGATATACTCTTCCAAGGCCTTAACATACATAGCCTTAAAAACTATGTATGTCGTCAAAATGTTAATATGTAATCCATGATGATTACTATAAACTAGCACATCCACTGAAATTTGGCTGGACTATAGCTACAAAAACCATGAAAAAGAAAGCCGCGAGGAAATGAAATGAAAAGCTGACTCACAATTCCACGGAAGCAAATCACTGTTTTATAATGTTTCCATGTAACACTCCAAAATGAAAAAGCAAGATAAGACTTGTAACATACAGAATTCATTTCACCGTGCCCATGAGATAGTATGTTTCGGTCACCGGAAGCCTTCTTGCTTTAAATTATTATTTCTGTGTTGAAGAGAGTAGAAAGACGATGCTTCAATTTTGGCTCGTCAAGAGGGGATAGTGTAGCATTCTTATCCTCGATATCCCCACAAAACATCCAAAACTGGATCAGAAGAGGCAGTTGGAGTAAAAGAATTGTAACTACCTGTGGTAACTGTAGTCGAATATAGAAACCGAGAGTTAATGAAGCAACCATCAAGTTTTTATGGAAATGGAAGAAAGACCTTAAAATTGTCACTTATGAAACACTTGTTTTTATAAATATCCGATCGAGCAAGGTTCCAGAGATAGTAGCCAGTACAAGGTTTCCCATTGTTGCCAAGAACATCATTAGGGAAAAGGATCAAACGCTAGCTAAGAATAGGAAGATGCCCCGAATAAGACGTGAGGTCATATGTACCTTTCCAAAAAGGATCGGAGTGCTCCTCATGACGAGATTCAGTTACGCCTCTAAGATCTGAGGGACAAGAGCTTGATAAAAGATACTTCTTGAGAAATCTCTCCTTTATTCCGTCTACAACTACAAGTAAGCCAATAACAGGATTTAAGTATTTAATTGTATAATCCTCACCCAATATATGTCATCTTGGTTCATATTAGTCGGATTAGATTTCAAAACCATAGCAAAATCCTAATTAAATCATCTTTCTTTCATTAGAAAAGTTTATGATGTTTATTCGAAAATACTTTTAGTTATCTTTCAAAAACAAATGTGGATTAAAATTATTTTGAAAAAAAAAATATAAATTAATAAAAAATAGTATCTCAGAAGATATTATAATTCTGTTGTAAAAAAAAATGTATTTTGAATATAGCAATAAAATACCGTAAGATTTGATTTGTGTAGTTTAAGGGATATATATTAATTATTATCCTTTACATACTAGTAAAAGAAAATCAAAATGTAAAATGAAGAGAGTTATTCCGTTAGCGTCTTTCTAAAATCAAGGGTATTGTTTTGTGTAATCCGAGATTATATATACAGCAACAATTTAGGCCGTTACTAATATTTTCCCATTGAAATGAATTCTGTATGTTTCCCATAAAACTTAAGTTCTCCGATCCATCTCAGAAAATGGAGATTAGTTTTAGCTTTAGTGAAACCAATGGACCTGTTACCATCAACGTTCCAACTGGCTCTAGGTTTACAATTAACGTTACACCTCTTGGCGGACCGGTACCACCGGTTGGTGGAGATGGTGGCAGATTTAAGATTAATGGAGCTCATGTTCATCCTCCTAAACCTTTGAAAACGGCGCCTAACCCTATAGTTTTCTTTGATATGACGGTGGACGGCAAACCGGCTGGTCGGATCGAGATGGAGCTATTCGCCGACACGACCCCTGTGACGGCAGAGAACTTCCGTGCCCTCTGTACCGGAGAGAAAGGCATGGGGAGGTTTGGAAAGCCACTCCACTACAAGGGATCAATCATGCACGAGGTGGATAAAATTTATACGTTGCATGGAGGAGATTTCATTGATGGGAAAGGAGAGAGCGGAGGCGAATCGATCTACAGCAATAGACTGTTCGATGATGAGAACTTCATCTTGAAGCACACGGGTCCAGGTGTCCTCACCATGTGGAACCGTGGTCCCAACACCAACGGATCTCAGTTCATGATCTGCATGACGAGAAACGCCGGATACGACGAGGAGTGCGTCGCGTTTGGCCAAGTTGTGGAAGGATTGGATGTGATCAAGAGCATTATGGAAGAGGTCGGAGATCCTGGCCGCTGCGTTAGGCCTTCCAAGCCCGTGGTGATCGCCAACTGCGGTCAATTGGTATAGATTTGAATGATTTTCGTCCTAAGCTATAAATGCATTAATGGTCGATCGTTTTTATGTTTGGTGTTTTTTTTTTGTTCTTCGTTTGGATTTGAATTTTCTACCTTTGAATAATGAATAGTGACCATAAAATATTCTGATACTCAATGATTTTTATCATCAAATCTTATGATAGTAAAAATTTACAATGTCGTTAATTAAACTCATGAGTCTGATGCCAAAGTTGTGTAGTTTCTAGCGTGTCATGAGTAGCCTTTGAAGAGTGATGCGTACATGTCTTCAATGCTGTGTTTTATTGCATACTCTTGACTCTTGAGTAATGTTGGTTTAATTAATCATCTTGTTTTGACTCATAACAACAATCTTGTTTTATCGTCTTATCTTGAAACACTAATATTTGTCATATTTTGAAAGTGTTAGGAGTCCGGAAATAGCCTATCTGCGTATTCGTTTGGTTACAATTTTACAAGGTTTAAACAAAAATGGATGAACACTCCTCAATTATAGTCTCGCATAACTACTATGGCGTGTCTTACATAGCTTTAAAAGCCTGATGCATGTCTTGAGTGTGTTTGTGAGTCTGTGACTGTGTGTCAATGTGTGTTGCACATAACTTGACTCTTGAGCTAATATAATTGATCATCTGGTTTTCAGCTGAAGCAATAGTTTTAACCTTCTTGATTCGATGAGCATCTTTCTTATGGTCTTTTCAAAAGTCTTTTTTTTTGTTAATTACTATTCTTGAGAGTTGTTGAAAAAGTATAGTTTCTTCAACTTAACTTTACAATTTGTTTGCATAGTCAAGAATGGAAAACCCTATATCTCGATCCTTCTATAATGCACCACCTCCGAGGAAACCACACGCTTCTTTATCCCTATATATAAGAACTCTTGACTCTTGAGCTAATATAATTGATCATCTGGTTCTCAGCCGTTACGAATAATTTATTCATAAACCTAATCCATCTCAGAGAATGGAGATTAGCTTTCGCTTTAATGAAACCGACGAACCTGTTAACATTCAAGTTCCGGTTGGTGGTTCGTTTACAATGACTGTTAAACCTGTTGGTGGCGGATCAAACGTTAACGGAGCTAATGTTCATCCTCCAGCTGGTGGTGTTAAGGAGGAACATGAAGCCCCTAACCCTTTGAAAACGGCTAACCCTAAGGTTTTCTTTGATATGACGGTGGACGGCAAACCGGCTGGTCGTATCGTGATGGAGCTATACGCCGACACGACCCCTGTGACGGCGGAGAACTTCCGCGCTCTCTGTACCGGCGAGAAAGGCATGGGGAGGTTTGGGAAGCCACTCCATTACAAGGGATCAATCATGCACATGGTGGATATAGATTATACCTTGGGTGGAGGAGATATCATTGACGGGAACGGAAAAACCGCAGGCGAATCGATCTACGAAGATAGATATTTCAAGGATGAGAACTTCATCGTGAAACACAGCGGTCCAGGTGTCCTCACCATGTGGAACTGTGCTCCGGACAAGAACGGATCTCGTTTCATGATATGCATGACGAAGTGCTCGGAGTACGACGAGGAGTGCGTCGCGTTTGGCCAAGTTGTTGAAGGATTGGATGTGATCACAAGCATAATGGAAGAGGTTGGAAATCCTAGCCGCGCCGACAGGCCTTCCAAGCCGGTGGTGATCGCCGATTGCGGTCAGGTTTCATAGAGTTTTATCCTAGCTATAACTACTATGGTCGATCGTTTTGATGTTTGGTGTTATTTTTTGTTCTTCGTTTGGATTTAAGTTTGCTACCTTTGAGCTAATTGATCATCTTGTTGTTTTAAGCTTAAACAATAGTTTTGTCCTCTTGATTCAGTGAGCATCTGTCTGTCTTATGGTCTTTTCAAAAGTCTTTTTTGAATTATTATTCTTGAGAATTATTGAATATGCAATATACTCTCTCCGTTCCTTAAATATAAATTTTCTATTTTTTCATACATGAAAAAGTTGATTCAAAAAATTGTCAGAGAATTCATCTATGTATTTTTTGTTACACTGTTATTACTGATCGAAAGAGTTTAACAAATTTGAGTCCCCATGTAAAGCGGAAAACTACAATTTCTTGTCATTTTTATATATACCACTTTTTGTGGAAAAGTATTAAAACATATTTGTACCATTTCTTATTTCACATCATTTACAAGAACTGTGATTTTAATCTTTTATATCGAAAAGAGAGGAGAGGGTTACCCAAAGGCCAAAAGATTGTTTAATCCCTTCATTTTATTTTCCCGGATATCTTTTTGGATCTAAATCACCAAATCTATAAAATATGTAGAGAAGTTACGCTGACCATAACGCCACGTCGACTACAAACTAGTGAAAAAAAGCAAAGAGACGAGTGTTGACAAACAATCCAATGTGTCGGTTAGTGCACGTCACATTTGGTTCGGCCAATGCGAAAACGACATATCAATAAACCGCTTTTCCTTATCAACCGTGGAAAGTTCTAAAGTATTCGTCACTTTGTCAGATAGATTATTTCATTGGACCGACCCTATGACCCATGAGCTTAAAAGTTAAAAGTGCTCTTCTTCCATGAAATTTTTTTTTTTGAACAAAAAAAAAAATTTCTCCTTTTTCTTCTTTTCAGTAGTTACACGAATGACAAGTTGAATAAAGTTGAATGCAAATTGAGAAGCTCTTATGTTTTACCTAGTTGAGTCGTTTTTCCTTTTTTTTCCTTCTTAACTTTTGACACTTTTTCTATAGATCTATGATCAAATGTTGATGATTTCAAAAAATCTAATAAATTATTTTGAATTGATGAAAAAAACATATTGGGAATGTATAACCGTGTCCAAATTCAGATTTAATAAACCTATAACAATATTTTCAATTGATTTGAGTAAAAAAATTGAGCTAAAACTAATATAAACAAAATTATATAAATGTAGGAAACAGAGTAATCAAACTGATGGTATATAAGCAAGAAATAAAATAGTCTACTAATATCAAGAAGGCTCACCAAAACTATACTATGAAAAATAAAACTTCTATAAGTGTAATTTTTCTTTTCTCGTGATAGCTTTTTTATTCTCCGGTAACAAAGACAAACATAAAGTAATTGTACCAAAGTAAAAGAAGTCTCGGTTATTATTATAGGAGTCTAGAAAATTCTCTAGCAAATGAGAAATATTTCAGGTATTTTAAAAGGTTTTCTCTTTGTTGAATCTATATGTATTTGTGCTACACTGTTATGAAAATGAAAGAGTTTAACAAATTAAAGTTATGTTTTTTAATTTTCTTTTAGTCATCAGATTTTATGATATACACTCAATGTTTTTCTTTATAGTCAAATATTATAATAGTAAATTAGAGAAACACTAGGAGGATGTTTACAATCCGTAGAGAAACACTAGGTGGTTCCTTAACTTGTGTGTTCTGTTTAGGATCCTAAAATATGAAAGACATACAACGAACACTTGTAAAATATTGAAAACAAAGAGGTTAACTCCGGCTTGTTTGTTTTTGAATTAGTTTGAATCAGCTTGTTTGTTTTTGAATTAGTTTGCGGTTTACAAAGGCACACCTTGCCTAAAGGAATCAATGTTTGGCTTGCTATTGCCTACTTTATCTGAGAATATTTAATATCTAATGATTATTGGTCAAGGAATGTTCTTTGCTTTTCTACGTCTTTAACACAAGCAAAAGTTAAGAGAGACTTCTTTGTTTTGCTAATATATATCTTATTTTACAGTTGGAATCGAACAACATTTTGAAAACAATGGATTATCAGATCTCAGGTGCTGCATCTACTGATGACAGATAATACAATTCCAACTCAACCAAACCTTCTGTGACTAATGAATTACAAGCCGATGGATGTTCCAAGACACAAGTTTCAAAATAGACACTACAGTTCAACCCAAACACTTCAGGTAATTTGTTTATACTATTCATAGTTGTACATTGTTAATTATTTGAATCTTCGGTTTACTTATATAGTTGTTGATTTTTTTTTATAGTTTGGCCACAGGCTTGTTAAGTATATGTTCTCGATTATGAATTATCTTCATGATCTGGACGGTAACATACTGCCAATGGTTTTAAATTGTCCACAAATTGCACACTCTCGTTAACCTCCCAATATGACATACAAGTTATGTAAGTAATTATGAAAACAAATTAGTTTCGTTTGAATCTCTAGATCATTTGAAATCATGAACAGCCAAATTTTTTTTACAAATTGACAAGGATAAGTTGATAACGGACATATGTGTAAGATATATCTTTGAACCTTTTTTTGTTTTGTTAAAACTGTATGCTACAGAAATAGATATATTAATATATGTATTTTTGATAGATTTTTTATTTGACATGTAAAATACAAAAAGAAAATATTGGAATGATTGCGTAAGTTATACGATTTTGGAGGGGTCCTCTTCCAATATTGAAACAATACAGGTATAAATACAAAAATATCTCAATCCTAATCATCACTCAAAATATCTTTCTTTCCCTTTCCACTTTTTCGCTCACTTTTTCCCAACTCCTCACTCAAAAATATCTCACACCACATCCTTTAACCCAATTAACCGGACCCGACCCGACCCAATCCGATCCAATCCAGGCCATGTCAGGAGCTACCACCGTCTCGTCCGGAGACTGCAGCCTCCGTCTCCCGACTCCGACGCTCGACGCAGAGTCCCGATCCCTGTTGCAATCAATCTCTGCTCAAGGCGGCTACGCCTATGCTCGCATGGCGGCGCTAGCGGCGGCCGGTGACCAACGCGCGGCCGAGGCGGCGCGTGATATGGCCTGGGAGCAACTTCACTCAGGTCCGTGGCACTCTGTTCTCCCAGTCTGGCGCGACGCTTACTCAATGGCTTGCCTCCACGTCGCCAACTTCCACTTCGCCGCCGGCGAGTTCGGGGAAGCCCTCGGGGCCCTCGATATGGGTCTCATCATGGGAGGGATGCTTCTCCGCAAAGACCTCCACGATTCTGTTCTGCTGGTCTCCTCTGAATCCCGTAAGAAGGCCAATAGTCTAGAAGCTTCTGGCGATTTCAAGGGTCAGAAATTGGTCCCGGAAGTTCCCGTCGACGTCAATGAGGTAACAGAATGCTCAGATCTTGTTAACATTTGGTCACAATTTCAAAATTAGACTTTTTGAATCTGCTTAGTCACTTTCTGTGCAGGTGCTTAAGATTCTACCTTGCAGGTCCTTGACGTCTCGAAGAGTAGAGAAGAGGTCCGGTTTATCAATGGAGGGGTTTCTGCGTGATTATTTCCAATCAGGTACACCAGTTGTGATAACCAATTGTATGGCTCATTGGCCAGCCAGGGCCAAGTGGAATCACTTGGACTATCTCAATGCTGTTGCTGGTAATCGAACCGTTCCCGTCGAGGTCACCACCCCTTCCATTGCTTCTCTTTGCGTCTCTGTAAACGTCCTTAGACCTTAGTTAGCCTCTGAATGTTACCTCAGTATATGGTCACATTCATGAAATTGCCTGACTTGGTTAGTTTGTGAGTCTTATGATCGATATTGTTGCACTTTCTGATGGAAAAGAGTAGAACGATTTCACTAGAATTTTTGTTTTGGTTCATAGAGATATAGTGGTATCACTGTTCTGTCTCAGCTAATAAGAAGATGGAATAATAATTGTTTTCCGTAGCTGAAAGCTGGTAAAGTTTGAAATGGTATTCAGGTGGGGAAAAACTATTTGTGTACGGACTGGAAGCAAGAGCTTGTGACATTTTCAAAGTTCCTTGAACGGATTCGTACCACTAAACCTTCTTCTTCCGTGGAACCTACTTATCTTGCTCAACATCCCTTGTTTGATCAGGTAATCTTTGTACCAAGAATGTTTTATTTATACAATGTTGTGTATCATACTGAACATATGCTTAAATGTTTAAAACGAATGGGCAGATAAATGAACTGAGAGATGATATATGTATTCCTGATTACTGTTTTGTCGGTGGCGGAGAAATTCAATCACTTAATGCGTGGTTTGGCCCTGCTGGGACAGTTACTCCTTTACACCATGATCCACATCATAATATTCTTGCTCAGGTATTTATTTATGGTCACAGGTCTAATTTTCTTTATTGAGCATGGCTTCTTGTCTGTGCTCAATGTCCTTTTTAGACCTATCCAATGTATACGTTCTGTAAGTGTTTGACAAGCTTCCTCTTCTTTGATGTTCTTGCATAAGAAAAGACTGATCATCTCGCTGGATTGAAGCCAGATGCCTGAACAAATTCTAAACTCTTTGACTAACCAAAGATATCGTTTCGCCTGCAATGGGCTCTCTTAGAGTGTCCAATATGTTTCTATATTTATGCTCTTTTTTTCTCCTGCTACTGAGGTTTTGATATGCTCTGTTCTTCAGGTTGTTGGGAAGAAGTATATAAGGCTTTACTCATCCTCAGTGCAAGACGAACTTTACCCTTACTCTGAGACAATGCTCTGTAACTCTAGCCAGGTAAGCTTCCACATTCCAAAGTCAAGTCTGATTTCAGGTTTAAATAAAGAAAAGTGGAAGCTGACTTGATCCTTTGGTTGAAGGTTGATCTTGACAACATCGACAACACTGAGTTCCCAAAAGCAGAGGAGCTAGAGTTTATGGATTGCATCTTGGAGGAAGGCGAAATGCTGTACATACCTCCTAAATGGTGGCATTATGTGAGGTCCTTAACAATGAGTTTCTCGGTTAGCTTCTGGTGGAGCAAAGAAACAGATTCTTCTTCTTCTGGCTAGTAGCAAAACGAGTTCTTAATCTCTGTTTTCCGGGTTTAAGTTCACTCTCTCTGCCTTCTTTACATAAATTGTGTTAGATCCTTTAAAAGGGGTTAAAGAAGAAAGTAAGTAGAGAAGATAACAAATTGCTCCGAGCATGAAGATGTTTGTTTGGTGTACGCCTATGTTGTATTGTAACACTGACATTTCTCTCTCTCTCTTTGTATTGTATTTGAATGGTTTATTATTGTTCCATTAATCTAAACTACTCTTCAACTAGTACTATTTCTCTGTTAGTTGTCTTATGTCATTTGTACTTGCACTAATAAGTTAAAATTAATTATACCTTGTTACCTAACCAACGCTTTGGAGTTCGTGGACGATTAATACACATAACCAGAAAGCAATAATTGTAATTTAATGACATGTAATACCAGCAACAACTCAGCTGTCATGACAGCAACAAAAAAATCATAGTGATCAAAGAAAGAAAGAAGCCACCAAGATGTGGTCTTATCTCCTAGTAGATTCTGTTCATGGTTATTTTTATAGAGTAGTAAATTTTGTGCTGGAAATTATGAGTGGACGATAGATATTATGCGAGTTGCAGCAATAACCCTTTTTGGGTGTAAGGCAATAACTTTGGAAAGATAGTTAAAACACAAAATATGAAAAAGAGTTTAAAAAAGGACTCCAGTCCACACTACCTATGAACTTTGATAAACTCTTTATGTAAAAACAGTAAAAAGTCATTGGTGATCTGGCCACAAATAGCCAAATCAAACATGAGTATTAAATTTTTCGACATGTACCAAATACTAACATGAAAGTGCACATGTATAAACGCCAAGAACCAAAAAAAAATGCCTCAGTTATGTCTCTGTGTTTCATGTTCCCGCGGTATAATACAAAACCGTCGGTGCGTATGCGGTTTCAGTTCTGAGTTGTGACTTGTCATTAATAAGCTTTTATAAGCCCAATCTTAGCCCAATCCAAAAGCCGATACATAGTTGCAATATCAATACATTGTCAACGTATCTACAATTATATGCGATTCGAAGATATGTGCATCGTCATCTCATAACACGATTAAAAAAGATTACTACTAAAACGCAAGAACATGACCACGTGGCGTCATGTTGACTCTTCGATGTATGATTGTAGGCGAAGCTTATCCAGCCGGCAAGTCGCATCGGAAAATCTAATCGTAGCTTCAATTATTTGCATGGGAACTCTCCCCCACTTTCAGTTCCTGTCTCTATCCTAATTTGTCTTCAAGCCTTTTATTAATATCTAATGAATGTGCTCCAAAACTATAATCCATGTGTGTTTGTTTTTACATATTTGTGTCCACATAATGCTTAGTAACGAGTGGTACATATCCCTTAATCCCATGTTATTATTCAATAAACAAACCCACATGCTAAAAAGTTATAGTACCAAATTAATTTAAATATAATTGACAAACTGAAAAATAATCAAAATCTAACATGAATTTGACAGTTGTTGTTGACTAATCGTGTGTAGAATTTCATGATTAATCAAGATTACACGAACACACATTTTCATTATTGTAACGAGTCCAAAATGTCTAATCACCAACCTAATCGAATTTATAATTTGTGTGCAAAAAAAAAAAAGCCAAGCTTTGTCCTTTATCATTTTTATTTTTTTTATTAATATTTTTTGAAAAATTTCCCTTTTTATATTATCCGCTATTTATATGCCACAAACGTTTATCTTCTACCCTCACCATCATCAAGTCCCCAATTCCCAACACTGTCACAAAAGAGAATCTTCAACGATGAAATTCAACGTCGTCGTTTTGCTCCTCCTCCTCCTTATCTCGACCGCCACGTGTTGTCCACCGTCAGACCGCCGTGCACTCCTAGCTTTCCGGTCAGCTCTTCACGAGCCATACCTCGGCATTTTCAACTCATGGACCGGTCAAGACTGCTGCCACAACTGGTACGGCATTAGCTGTGACTCGGTCACTCACCGAGTCGCCGACATAAACCTCCGCGGCGAGTCAGAGGATCCGATATTCGAGCGAGCTCACCGAACCGGTTACATGACCGGACGCATCTCTCCCGCCATCTGCGACCTCCCTCGTCTCTCCGCTATCACAATCGCCGACTGGAAAGGAATCTCCGGCGATATCCCCAAATGCATCACCCGCCTCCCATTCCTCCGTACGCTCGACCTCATCGGAAACCAAATCTCCGGCGGGATCCCGTACGACATCGGACGACTACACCGGTTAGCCGTTTTAAACGTCGCTGATAACCGAATCTCCGGTTCAATCCCGAGATCGTTAACCAACCTCTCCAGCTTAATGCACTTGGATCTCCGTAACAACCTAATCTCCGGCGTAATCCCGGCAGATGTCGGCCGGTTAACCATGCTCAGTCGCGCATTGCTAAGCGGTAACCGAATCACCGGTCGGATCCCCGAATCCCTAACCCGAATCTACCGGTTAGCTGACGTCGATCTCTCCGGTAACCAACTCTACGGCACGATCCCACCGTCTCTAGGCCGTATGGCGGTTCTCGCGACTCTTAACCTCGACGGAAACAAAATCACCGGCGAGATACCGCAGACGCTGATGACGTCGTCGGTGATGAATCTGAATTTGAGCCGGAACTTGCTGCAAGGGAGGATACCGGAAGGATTTGGGCCGAGGTCTTACTTCACTGTGCTCGATTTGTCGTATAACAATCTCAAGGGACCAATCCCGAGAAGCATCTCCGGTGCGTCGTATATCGGACACTTGGATCTTAGCCATAACCATCTTTGCGGGAGGATTCCGGTGGGTTCTCCGTTCAATCACCTTGAAGCGGCGTCGTTTATGTTCAACGACTGTCTCTGCGGGAAACCATTAAGAGCGTGTTTAAAAAATTGATCTTTACGTAATTTTCTTTTTATTAGAGACATTATATATTTATGATTATGATTATGCATTAAAAAGAAACTTTGTATGCTACGTTCTCTGCTGTATCAGTATGATTAGTTGAACTCTGCCATGACCAACGTTATATAAAATCCATTTTCTCACACGATTGATAATAATTTTAGAGTAGTATTTTGCAGTTTGTTGTAGTATTATCAAAGTTATCTGAATTAGTTTGCCAATTAGATTTGATTACTAAATACTCCATTGACGGTTGTGTATTTAGAGTCGTAGCAAACTTTTTTTTTTCTTACATATTTTATAGTACAAGTCATGTTTCATAACATGGAATGTATTCACTTGGGTTTGTTTTGGAAACATTTATTCCAGAGTTATCTGAATTTGGGGTTAGAGCAAAGAACAATTGAATGCGGGAAAATCAAAATCACATGAAGAAGAGAGGAAAGAAAGAATTAAATGAAACGTTAGTAGAAATAAGGGGTGTGGGGTAATAAATAAAGGTACAATAAAGATATAAATGGGCAGAAGCATTGCATGTGAGACTCTGTAAGCATTTTGCGGTGAGTGTGACCTCGGGACCTGTCTCTGCTTTACTACATGGGTCTACTCTTTCACTCACTGCAGCATTCACTTCTTATAGTCTCTATGAATTAGAATTATAATTAAAATTAAGGATTAGGCCTATACTATTTGGGCTTACGCTAGCCCTATCTGGTGTTGATTTTTATGGCTTATTTTTGTCAAAGCCAAATCTTGTTTTGGACAAAACTTGTCAAAGCCAAATCTTGTTTTGAACAAAAATTCTCAAAGCCAAAGCCAAATCCTATTTGATTCTTATGTCTTCAAGATTGTATCATCTACCATTTTTAGTTGTAGTCATTAATGAAAACATAAACTCAGATATATAATGATGCTTTGCATAACCAAATGATCACTAGGTCCATTCCTTATTTAATCAACTATATAACGAATACAGTAAGATTAATTGTAATATGTTTTGTTTGGGAAAGTATGGATTACTGGCAAAGCCATGCCTCAAATTATTAAGGTCAAATGCCAAAAAAAAGTTAGGCCAGTTAAGTAGTGAGTTTTCCAACAAAAAAAGCTGTAAGGAAGAATTGAACAAAATGACATTTAAGAAGGCATATATTTTATGGTAGCTTATCATTTGTATAATGAAAATCGAAGTACGGAACAAAAATACAGCTGACCAAACATAAAAATCTCTCTGACCTAAACTTGAAGGAAACACCAAACTAGGAGCAAAAACACACACCTGGCCAAACATCAAAACGACCATTGTAGTTACGTTATAGGATAAAAAGCTATAAAATCTGACCGCAGTCGGCGATGACCACGGGCTTGGAAGGCCTGACGCAGCCGCTAGGATCTCCGAACTCTTCCATAATGCTCTCGATCACATCCAATCCTTGAATAACTTGGCCAACCACGACGCAGTCGTTGTCGTATTCCTCAATCTCCGTCATGCAGATCATGAACTGAGATCCGTTGGTGTTGGAACCACGGTTCCACATGGTGAGGATACCTGGACCCGTGTGCTTTCTGATGAAGTTCTCATCCTCGAAATATCTATCTTCGTAGATCGATTCGCCTCCAAGTCCCTCCCCGGGAATGATATCTCCTCCAGAAAAGGTATAATCTAAATCCAACTCGTGTATGATTGATCCCTTGTAATGGAGTGGCTTACCAAACCTCCCCATGCCTTTCTCGCCGGTACAAAGGGCACGGAAGTTCTCCGCCGTCCGAGGAGTCGTGTCAGCGAATAGCTCCATCACGATCCGACCAGCGGGTTTGCCATCCACGGTCATATCAAAGAAAACCTTAGGGTTACCAGTTTTCAAAGGTTTAGGGAGGATGGATCCATGTTCCTCCTTAACGCCACCACCCGGAGGATGAACACAAGCTCCATTAGCGTTTAATCCGCCACCAACTAGTGGCACCGGTCCGCCTAGAGGTTTAACGTTGATTGTAAACCCTGCACCAGCCGGAACGTTAATGGTAACAGCTGATCCGTCCGTTTCATTAAAGCGAAAACTAATTTCCATTTTCGGAGACAGAGATCAGAGTTGCACGGAGATTTTCGTAAGTAGAAAGAGAGGGAGGAACTTGTTCCAAGCGATTGAAAAGTATTTTGCTTAGATCCTTCAAAATAATTTTCAGTCTGAATTCTAAACAGAAAAAGATCAAATTAATCATATATAGCAATCTAAATTAATCAGTTTAATTCCAAGCATATTCTGTAAATCATAACTAATTTCGTAATCTCCAAGATTACGAAACCCTTACACAATAATCTAATAGCATTTTGTATATAAATACTACGAGATCGGCCTACTCAAAACCATATATATAAAGAATCAAAAAAATAAACTCAAAGCGATAGAGTCGATCATTCGAATGCTTCAACAGCCAAAGAATATAACCTGTTACAAAATGCTACGATGTTAAATATGTGTATCGAATTGACACTAGCATACTGATTTAGACTACCAAATGCAGAAATTTTTATTTCGATAACTATATATAATTTATCAACTGGAACATATATTGTAATATAAAAAATGTGGGATCAAGGTGCCCAACACTAAACAATTATTATATACATGTCTAAAGTTTGGTTGCTAATTTCGTACTTGTTGTCTTAAGTCGAACTTCAGTATCTTACCTGTAATCACTAACTCCGAATTACTAGAACTAATCGTGTACTTATAAATTTTAAAAGATACAGTTAATTTGTTATGGCTTGTTAATTTTAAAATCCTCACCTTAGTTGAAAAACATTTCTTGTACTTCTAACAATAATTTTCATACAAATAACAAAAAATCAGAAAAAATGAAAATGAAAATTACACGAGAAAAAAATGTATAAAGTCTTTGTACATGCTAGATTACGCACACGTGGATCAGAAATCAATAAACGGATCGTTTTTATGACACATGTGTGGCGGAGACCGTAACGGTGACTGAGGAGCTGATGACGGCGTCCTCAATTTCTCCAAATGCTCTTTTATATCAAACCCACCAACCGTTAACTCCCCGTCATCTCGTAATGGAATAAACGGAGGTCGTAAAACTTCCGTTAATAAATCCCAGCTCACACCCGCGATAAAAGAGTGCTCTTTTATTTCCGCCGCGCCACGGTGGCTACCTAACCGCCTGCTCGGATCTTTCACCAGCAATCGTTGGATCAGATCCGTGAGGTCGTTGGGTTTTCCGGCGAACTCGGGTTCCTTGACCAACACGTTTTGAAAAGTCTCCTTCTTGCTCTTCCCTATGAATGGCGTCTCTCCGTACATCATTTCGTATGTCAGAACGCCCAGCGCCCACCAATCTACGGCGAAGTCATGACCATGGCCGCGAATTATCTCCGGTGAGACGTACTCTTCGGTTCCTACAAAGGAATTGGAACGCTCACCGGAGGAAAAACTCGTTTTCCGGCGATTAATCGGGTTAACCCGAGCGGATCTTGTTTTCTTCAACCCTGTTTTGTTGCTCTCTGCCGCCGATGAGATCCAACGAGAAAAGCTCCGACTTTTGGTACGAATGGTTCTCAATTCCGGGTCGGGTTGACAGAATTGGGGTCCGGTTGGTTTTTTGAGACTCCGAGAAAGGTCGAAATCAGTGAGTGTAACGTGACCGGATTGTTGAATCAGAATGTTCTCGGGTTTCAAGTCTCTGTAAGCGATCCCCATGGAATGAAGGTGCTCAAGCGCAACGACGATCTCAGCAACGTAGAATCTAATAACAGAGGAGCTAAAAACGCCGTCGTTTTGACGGCGAAGGAGGACGTTGAGATCGCCGCCGGAGCAATAAGGGACGGCCCATGCAAAGAATTCCGGTGACTCGTAAGAAGATAAGAGACGAGGGAGAAAAGGGTTTTGCAACGAGTCAGTAGAGAGACGTCGGAGAACCTCGATTTCCCACCGTGCACGACGGAGAGAGGAGGCGGATGATTTGTGGACAAGCTTGACGGCGAAGAAAGAAGAAGAGACTGATGCGACGTCACGCACGAGGAAAACAGTCCCTGCGGCGCCTTTACCGAGGATTCTAAGAGCTCTGATAGAGTCGAGGTTGAGAATCTCCGGCGGTGAAGGTGGGGACGACGGTGATAACTCCATTTGAGTGTGTGAGTGAGAGAGAGAGAGACGAGTGGGTCTGAGTTTTACCTCCTGTCTCCTCTTTCTCTATTTATAATATAGTTCTTCTCTCGTTATAGTTGCCTTCATATCTGTTATTTATTTGTCTCTTATGGTGTTTTTTGTTTGCTTTGACGCAAAATTTGTTTAAAATTGTTAATTATTTTCCCTCCTATTATGGCATCGGTGTCCGTCTAATAAAAAAAGGTCGCGGAATATATATGCACACGTAATATTATCTAGAATTAATTTTTCTTTATTAGGATACAGACGCCATGACTAAATGATATCATTATTAATTTCATTTTAATTGAACTATATAATTCCACCTTGTCTTCGTGCGATCAGCTTCCTATTGTCAGTTTCAATATGTTCCTCTCGAATTATTTCCCCATCAGATTGGTCTCTTATTAGAGGGTCCTCATATATATATATATATATATAGAAGCAGAGGCAATAAGGCATTAGTCAGTCTTACACGTATGGTAGTATTTGAAGTAAGGAATTCGAAACTTGAAGACGCCAATGTTATGTTTTGCGGGAACTACATCTCTAGCTAGCCTCCTTCATATAGAGCCGATCAAAATCAAAGGACTTAGGAACCACGTAATTATATGTTTTAACTATCATCAATGACATTCTAATGCGAGATCTTATACTTTTTACATTGCATGTATGTTCATACTTCATAGAGATCTTAATCAAGTAATAGATGGGCTAGCAAAGAACGCTAGACTCCACTAGTGTCTTGGACTCTTGGGTTATATATATTTTGTGTGTGTAAATTAATTTCTACTGCATGCAGTATCCAGGTTGTCTACGGAAAAACTTTATTCAACCGAAGTATATATATTCATTCATGTGTATAAAACTGAAGGCAAATAATGAATTAAGGAGAAGAAAGAAATAATGGAACACGTGCGGTAACATAATGTAGTAGAGCCAATGTGTCGACATGCCAAACTGGAACCTCGCAACTACCACATTTAAATCTAAAGTTATTACTTTGTTTAGTGTTAATCTCTTGGCACGCCCGTACAATTATTAAACCTACTTTCATTTATCCGATATATTATTACTTATTGTGTACCTTGTATTTTAAGGAATGCCTAACTCACCTTCGAAGTAGCGACTTGTTCTTTGTTATTTTTTACTGTGGTTCCTTTTTTCTTTATATGATAGATTATTGCGTATGTACAAGATGGAGGGGAAAGAGGAGATAATTATGTTTACACATGAAAACTTCATTAATAATTTTTGCATAAAAAGATGATAAGTTCTGCCAAATTTTTTTTATGATAATTATTTTTTGCAAAGTTACTGCATGATAATAGTCTGAGTTATTTTTAACTATGTAATACTGTAATCAAATATCTTGCAAGATCCTTCTTATAGAGATAGTACGCAGGTTACAGTCGTCAACAACAGCAAAACACACACATATCAAGAAATATTTGGTGGATTTCATAACATGATGACAATTACATTTAGTGGTTGATTGTAACAACTCAGAAGAACTTGGCAGAATTGATATACGTGGTCCTACACTCCTACTACATCGAAACAGAAAAAATCCACAAAATTAGAAGGCAAAAATGGTAAATATGAAACAAAAAAACATTATATGGATCACATTCTTATTCTTCTTCCATCACGTTGTCAAAGTAAGAAAAGGAATCATAATACTATTATATTTTTTTTATTTGAAAGGAAAAAAAAGACATACTAGACTTATTATGACTCATGTCGGCCATTATTTCTTGGCCAACGATTTGTCAGAGATAACTTAAATCAAAAGTGGATTGCACAAACGTATATATTATATTGTTCTTGGCACGATTAAAGGGGGACACAAGATCGGAGAACAGAGTAAACCATTAAGGTTGCAATTGAAAAGTAAAGGCTATGCATAATCCACCTCCCACGTATGTTTTATGCTTAAAAGTTTATCATTGATGGATTTGCTTTCTATTTTTTATTTCATTTTAATATGTATTTTTAGCTTATCCTCTAGCACTATATGAAAAAATTGCACCCAAATAATATACGGATTTGATCACGGAATTGTATAGTAACCTTATACGTGGTTTTCTTTCTTCATGTAATTACTTTATACTAATATCTTTACTTTCATTTTAATGAATTTCTTAGTTCTTCCACTACTAATATATGAAATATTTAATAAGAATATAATATGCGATTCCATGATTCCATCACTAAATTCGTTACAGTTTTTTGGGGCTGAAAATGTTGCAACCCCTCCACTACTTCTATAGACCACTTTCTCCATGGTTCGCCTCTTCGTAATGTAGTATACGTACATATATATATTAATAGTTTTTGTCGGAATGCATACAGTTTTATATATAATTTTTGGTATACAAGCTATACTGACCACTAAAAGTCTCGGTGGCAATTTATGAGGGGGTTTGTGTTGTTGCCTGTGGTGGGAATGAAATTATGAAAGATTGTAAAAGATTACGAAGATTAATAGAGTATATTATCAATTGATTATAGAGATAACTTAAAATTGCTTATATAATTGGTTCCACTCGTTGAAGCATACTCAGCTTCAAGTAAGGTCAGACTGAAAGTCAGAGACACTCATTTTTTTGCTTTTGCTTTACTCCGCGATAGTAAAGCGATGTTATTACAAACATTTGGAATAGACCAGAGAAATGCCGACAAAAGAAGACCAGTGGATTAGAAAAAAATATAGTGCTTCCGAAGACCAATCAAAGCTTGTAACTTAGTAAATCAAGAAAGTTCTGTTTGGGCCTAAAGAAGAATAGTGCATAATAAAACTAGTATTGAATGGACCGATAGAAATCCTTGATGTGGTTACACCAAAATGGGCTTAAGAGAAAGATTTCATGAAAAAGCTAATGCTTGATTAAACTTTGTTAACAAATGCAGACTGCGGTAGTATTAACATCATGTATTTCATTTAGTTTTTAAACATAAAATTTCACGATAGAGATAGTAAGCAATCCCTAGTTTTGTCGAATATCTTCTAGAGAATGAATACTTTTTCTTTTGAACAATAAAGAATGAATACTTTCTCTCTTTTTAATTATCGGACTGTTGGTGTATATGAGGGTAGCGTAGGCTATGCGTTCCTATCAATTGATAAATAAACAGGTTTGGTTCTACATCAATTATAGCTAGAGAGAAAGAAAAAAACGTATTTCTTAAGAACAAAATCTTAATAATGTATTGTACTAGCTAGATGCGATTTGTTTACCACCAAATATGAATTATCTTTCATGTGATTCCTTGGATTACTACATTCACGAAAATCCATATCCTTCCTTGTCTTACTTGATTTTCTATTAAACAATGCAACAGCTATACAAGTCGAGTAGATTAATTAACGGCAGCAGAATTACAATGGAACAACAACCGCTGTATTTTTATTAAACTTAACTTAAGAGTAGAATTATAGTAGTATATACTAGTGCATAACTTTTTTTAGTTATTAGGTCTATAGATAGGATTTTTACTGATCCAAGTTTTGTAATCTATATGTGAATTCTACTCAGACCAAATGTAAATGAGTGCAGCAATAAAATAATATTACGTTAGCTATATGTCTATGACACCAATTATCTACATACCACTGATCTTATACATAAAATTGTTGGTAAATTATTACAATGGAAGGCTGCAGTTTTATTATATGCTGATGCAACTAATTAATTAGTTTAACAAATTTGAAAATTATCTATTATGGTAGTATCAAGTATGAGTACCAAGTGTAGAAATAAGCTGTGTTTTGTGAAACTATCACGAGTACCATCAATAGTTAATCCCATTTTTCGAAAGACCATGAAACAAAACCTCTACTCGGTCATAAAACCAATTCTATTTCACAGAATAGTATCTACGAATATATATGGGATATAATGTTACTATAAATGTTAGATGATTAATATGTCTCCTTGTGATTAAGAAAACACTATAAATGCAACCAAGAACAATACGACCACCTATAAACGCCAACATAACATAAATACACATTCGAACTATATAACCTTCCAAATATTGACTATTGAAACCACTTAACAACAAACACAAACGCCATGCATGCCCATACCTCTCTATATACATACTCCACTGTACATAGTCATTAGCTCCTATAGGGTCCTTTCTTGGGATCATTAAATTACCAGTGAGTTGCGACCACTAATTAAAGCATCCTTAGTATTATGCGGCCTCGTGTTTTTTCAAAGACAAAATCCTATGTGCACCCTACCTTTTTCCAGAAAAATAGAGCTTATATATATGCATATGTCTTTGCCTTTTTTTTTAGCTTAGCTTATATTTGTATGTCTTTCGATCTCATGTAGTATAGTATCCATATCTTGTATACTGCATTTCTTAGCTCACAAACCTACTTAGTTCATATCTATTGTAAGCACAGCAAATCCCCAAAAAGAATAAAATTTAATCGGTACTAACAAATTAATAAGGATAAACAAATGGTAAGAGAAGACTCATCTCGAGGCGACACGAGCACTTTTCCGGCTATTCCTCCCACACCACACCACACACCAAATCACATTTCGCCATGGAAACTCTACAAACCCTTTCTCTGGATTCCCGTGACTTGTGACCTCTCTCTCTCTCTATTTTTTAACCTCCAAGAAATTGCTACCGGTTTTCGTGTTTTCAACGTCTTTGCTTCACTTTTTATATTCAATTTTCTTTTGTTAAAGGCCTCACTTTTTTATATTCATGTAACTGATCTCTTAAAGCCAAGTTATACTTAATTTTATACCAATCTAAACTAATTTAAATTAAACCGCAGGCTTCAAAACTCAACTGGCAGGTTGTTGACGTTTATATGGATACACATTTATGTGTAAACGCAAAATGATTTGGTAGTTGTGATTAACTAGAAAAAACCATAGCATCAATTCATGTATGGGAGATGGAAAAGTTCGAGCGGCTCTCTTTCCCATTTGATCATATAAGTAAAA